GGATCAGCCCGTAAGTTCATATAGTCTAGCCTTTTCATAGAATCATGGAATTGTAGAGCTGGAAGGGATCCAAGGGTCATCTAATCCAACACCTGCAATACAGGACTCTCAACTAAAGCATCTATGACAGATGGCCATCCATCCTCTGCTTAAAAACCTCCAAGGAAGGAGAGTCCAACCCGCCTCCTGAGACAATCCATTCCATTGTCCAACAGTTCCTACTGTCAAAAAGTTCTTCCCGATGTTTAGTCAGAATCACCTTTCTTGTAACTTGGTTCAGGTCCTACCCCTCAAAGCAGGAGAAAACAAGCTTGCTCCAGAAGTCCATAAACAGGAGCTGAGGGTAACAGCCCTCTCCCCATTTGTGAGCCCAAGCAACTGAAATTTCAGGTCAGTGTGAACATACACCTTCATGATGTAACCAAAGTGCCTTCTATACAGGGCTTTTCCCTTTGAAATAGTCATCCTTTTTAAAAACAAAAATAGAACATCCAAATGACACTGTTATGAGCCTACTTATACTTATTCCAGTCATTTTTGTGTTGTCCTCTGTTTTTTTCTAAGACTCCACAGCCAGTGATTTTTTGGTAATAAAATGCAGCTGTGGCACCATTCAATCTAGTATGGACAAGCAAAAGTTTTAAGGGTCATTTTCCTTTATTAAACATTTGCAGGTTCAGTCCATTTTACTGCCGATGAATGCAAGTGGGGTGCTTCTTAGTGATGAGCAACTTCTTAATTTCCCCTTGAATAGCTTCCCTTAATTGCTTCGTTACTGGTTTCCTCTCATTATTCCTCTCATTTCTATAGTGAAATAGTGCTTTTACACTACCATTGTACCTCTACTTATGTATCCCTCTGAATATAGAATCTTCGGGTTACGGCCACGGCAAACACGGAAATGTATACTTCCAGGTTTCGCCGTGCGCGCATGCGCAGAAGCACTCAATCGTGCCACGTGCATGCACAGAAGCACTCGATCGCGCTGCACGCATGCGCAGAAGCGCGCCTCTATTTATGTAATTTTTGGGGTGTAAATGGACCCCCGGAACGAATTAAGTTCGTATCCGGAGGGTCCACTGTATCACAAAGTTAGAGCAGGAGTAAAACTGAGGGGAAGCTCATAATTTCTCCCCTCAAGAACTGAAACTGACATCGGTGTAATTAAGAAAGGCTATTTAAGAAGCTCTTTTAATCAGAAATTTCCCACCTGCCCTCAACAGGAAGCAGTAACACAGGCCAAACCAACAAGGAAGTTTGAAAGAAAGAAAGAAAGAAAGAAAGAAAGAAAGAAAGAAAGAAAGAAAAAGAACTAAATAGAAATTACTTTTCTCAAATAGCGTAAGCAGATCTAGACCAGGAGGGGTCCATAACCCAGCATCCATGGGTACCAATGCTACCACAGAGCGCCTGTCAAGCTCTTTGATCCTCACCTGGACACCAGCCACAAATCCAGTATGGTCTTCACTCTCCTGCCCACATTCTAGTTTAATTGGCTAGCTGATTTGGAAAGGAGGAAAGGAAACTGTTCTCTCTGCTGGTGCCGTCCATTTAGAAGAGAGAGGGCAGTTCTAATTGGATGCCACCAGCTGAGAGGACACAGAGAGAACAATTGTAATTGGAGGCTGCCAGCAGAGGGCAACAGCTCCCAGGACAGATAGCAATAATCTAGCAAGCTCTTCTTAATCTCAGTTACAACTCCTCTTCCAGACCGTTGTGGGAAAGCAATGCATCAGCTCTAGTGTGAAGCAGCCAGTCATCTTTTTGCATGGATCCCAATCAGAATGTTTTAGGAGGAAGAGGGCAGAGCTCAGTTTAGAGGTACTTTAGTGATAACAAACTGACCTTAAGGGGAACCTTCATTCTGTCCTTGGTCAGCAGCCATGAAACAAGATTGGTGCTCTATCCCTCTTCATCATGTTGTTATACATTTACTGCAGAGTTAATCAAACACAACGCACAAGTCTGCCTCATGCAGAGGGCTGATATCATCCAAAATCACCACAATGTATCAAGCAGCTATGTATCAAGCAATATCTCCAACAACAACAACAACGATTAAGGATTTTGTAAACCTGCGACTGCAGATCTGAATGAAAGGATACTCTGACATCTGCCATTAGCCGGGAGACCAAGGCCTCCTTGGTTGTATATGCGTGCACACATAAAGGCAGGGGGGTCCACCTGCCCAGATCAGACAACACTTCAATAATTTGTGCCTGAATTTGCTTACAGTGGTGCCTCGCAAGACAAAATTAATCCGTTCCGCGAGTCTCTTCGTCTTGCGGTTTTTTCGTCTTGCGAAGCACGGCTATTAGCGGCTTAGCGGCTATTAGCGGCTTAGCGGCCTAGCGGCCTAGCGGCTTAGCGGCTATTAGCGGCTTAGCGGCTATTAGCGGCTTTAAGAAAAAGGAAACAAACTCGCAAGAACTCGCAAGACGTTCCGTCTTGCGAAGCAAGTCCATAGGGAAATTCGTCTTGCGGAACGACTCAAAAAACGGAAAACTCTTTCGTCTAGCGAGTTTTTCGTCTTGCGAGGCATTCGTCTTGCGGGGCACCACTGTATTTACCACTTGCCTACATTTTCCCATTTAATCCAGGTTTACCGTTTCCATGGAAAAATCTGGTCAATTAAGCAAAAACAACATGGAAATTGGAAATGGAACAGGCCCTTTCTCCCACCCTCACTAAGCAAACTTATATTAAGCTTGGAAACAACAGAAAGCACCTCAATAGCTGAGTGAAGTTCTCAATTGATTCTTGAGGCACTCTGGTCCCAGATCATTTGGGCTGTTAAAGGATAATGCCATCCAAGCACCTTGAACTAAATCTGGAAACAATCTAAGAGCTAGTGGCATATAAAAGGTATAATGTGAACCATTCTGCGAGTCTCTGCTATCCGTTTTGAAGCAACTGAAGGTGCAGGCATTCTTTTATTTAAATTTTATGTAAAGTATTACAAGGCACTATAAAACAACTCCACGAAGATAGCATTACACTAGTCCAACGCTCAGGCTGTACTTATGTCAAGGTTGGGAGAGAATACTATATTCACACACATACATCATCATAACACATAACCTGCATTAGTAGGCTCTGCTCATATGATCCCTCTGTTTTGTGGATGGTGGATCACATGCATAAAACATGCACAAGGGTCCTCCTGACTCATGCTAAAGTTCCAACACACAATATGAGAAAGAGTTCACAAGCCAAAGTTTGCTGTGAAGTCCTGTCAAACGGACAGCATACTCCAGCCTTTTTCAACCTTTGGTCCCCAGATGTTGCTGGACTACAACTCCCATCATACCTAGCTAACAGGACAAGTGGTAAGGAATAATGGGAGTTGTAGTCCAACAGCATCTGGGGACCCAAGGCTGAGAAAGGCTGGCCTACACCAAAGGTGAGGAACCTGTGATCCACCAGTTGTTGTTGGACTTTAGTTTCCATCAGTCCCAGCCAGCATGCACAGGACAAGTGGTCAGGGATGATGGGAACTGGAGTCCAGCAACATCCGGAGGGCTGCAGCTTCCCCATTTGTGTCCTTCATGTATATGTGAACAACTTCAGTATATGTACGCAATGTGTGACTTGGGACCAACAGGGTGGGTGACTCAGCTTCAGCAAAGTGGAGATTTTTTTGCCTACTCTCATCACAGGTGTTACATATAACGGCCAATGTATGTGCTGAAGCAAAATGCACACAAGCCTTTTAGTGCATAAAATATTACACTTACGACAAAGTGTTTAAAACACACACATCATAGCTGTAATCTGAAACATTTTAAAGAAATGAAAGTGTTAAAAGTTTCCTACTACAGTTGCTTTCATTCTTAGTAATTACCCTGAAGCCAACCCCCACAAACAAACAGTGCAAAGAAGAAAACACAATAAATTTTGAAGTTGTTCCTTCCATTCTGCATATTTAAGGGTGCAATTTAGCTATGTGGACATTGCTGAATTCTTGGGTTATTGAAATAAAGCAAATTAAAATTTAACACTTTAGGATACAATTATCCGTGTTCTAACAGAATGCTGGTACAGTACTTACAGCAGGTTTGGACTGCCATCTTCTGGGATCCTGGAAAATTGCCCCATCTTCTGCTAGACCTAATGCAGTGTTTTCAAGGGCTGAAAGTGATGATTCTACATGCTGTGCAGAATCCAGTTGTACAATATAGCTATAGAACTATTGACTGTGCTTTAGACTCCAAATAGAAGAGTTGTGTTGTTGAGTGCTCCCACACAAACACACACACTTCTTGTAAACTAGCACATCTAGAAAGATTTTCTATGAGATATTTATATAGGGCAGCACTCAACAATATAACCTCTCCACATAGAGTCTGAAGGGTGGAGTCCAACCTCATTTTGCTACTTCTATACTGGAGGTGTGCCAGCCATCACAACCTGACATTTTCCATTGTAGAGGTAGCATTAAAAGTATTGGGGCACAAGTAAGGTGGTGAGGGATGTCAAAGACCAGTCCTCTATTTGATAGGCTGGTGAAAAGATAAAGAACCATATGACGGGAGAGTCGGTGCAGGCCTTTCTGTAAAATAAATCAGTCTGGGAGAAAGAAGGGGAAGCAATCTGGGGAGAGTGGAGACACCAGCACAAAGCAAATTTGGGGGGTAGGGTCATACCACAAATGCAGGCTGTCTGTCTGTCTTCCATTGTCTGTCGTTCAAGAAAAAAGATAGCATGGACACTACAGGTAGATGTACGTAGTTAGAAAAACATTTAGAGGTATAAGGTGACTTGCACTTATGCCCTGCAGTTCTCTTCATTGCTTTCACAGGGGATGCAGGGGGTTTTCTTGAGAAAGCCTCGCTAGCTTCATGCATCCCAATTAAAAAAATAAAAAACCACAGAAATGAGGGAGACGGATGCTATTCCACAACATCACCCAGGCACCTCCACCAGCTTCTGCCTGCCAATTTCATCTGCTAACTTCAGCCTGCCAACTTCCGTGGGTTTCACCTATTCATGAATATACACCAGTTTCTTTTCACACATCACAGTCATGCACATATGCACACCACTAGCCCCAACCCCTTTCAAAATCTTACAGTCATGCACACAAGCATACACCAGAACACCAATGGACACAACCACTCATCTTCCACTCACCATTTATTCATATTCATTGCCCAACTTCAATCCACAAATATCCACTGGCTTCTGTCAATCAGCTCCCAAAGGTGAAGTTCAACCAGTTTACAACCACAAATATCACTATGTTTCAGCCTTGCAACATCCAAATGAGAACTCCATTGGCTTCCACCCACCAACATCTGCCAGCTTCTGCTAGGTCCACCACTAGACATCACACATCACACCCCATGGATATCAGCTGCCTTCAAGCAACAATTCCACACTGCAAATGAACTTGCCTTATTATTGCTCCGTAGCATCCTACAGCCAGATGATCATCTCCATCCATCTGCCTATTCACCTCCTCCATGTAGAAGAAGACTAAACGTCACAGCTGTTGCTTGCTGTGTTCTGTTGGGGAAGAGGAAAAGGCCCACCTTCATATCCACTCAGCTGCCACGTACTTTTGTGATGTCACAGGTAGTCTGTAGCCAGTGGCAACAGCTGGAGATGTATCATTATAATCTCTGCAGGCCTCACAATTGTGGGTACATCTCAGCAGTGATTTATTTGTATGCTTGTTTATTGTTAAAAATATTTATAGAGACCAACCTTCATACCAGGGAAGGATATACCATAAAATGATTGTAGGAGTCCTTTTTCAGCACAAGGGTCACATTTCCCTCTAGGGACCCCCGCTACACACACACACACACACACACACACACATCTATGTACAGTAGGCTTCATTCCAGCTATGTAAAAGCCAGAGGCTCCCCCCCCCCAATCCTTCAATCCGCTTAAATAAGAAGCATGATCGAAGTTCAGGAAAATATTCCAACCAGGCAGAAACATTTTGAGGGTGTACAGCTGGTGAGGGGAATGACCTAGAGAGAGTCCAGTGGTCTGCTCTTGACTTGCAGACTGGACGTTCCCCACCCCATAATAAAACCCAAGGGTTATAGCCAGCATTATTTACAATCAGATGAGACCTATTGAATCAATAGGGTTAATAACTTAAATTCATTGATTTCAATGGATGTACTCTGAGTATGATGTATTTGCATATTGTTCCAATTATTAAAAACACCAGCACACAAAAACACTAAAAAAAAAAGCTGAACAGAAGGAAAGGGTAAAATACTAGTTTCACAGTTAAGTAGCCACAATAGTTGCCCAAAACAGACATGACCAAAACATACAAATGCACACACAGAACTACATACTATATTCTCTTTCTTAACACACACAAACTGCACATTTGCATGTGCCCACATCCATCCATTGAGAAGAGAAGACTCCCTGGAAAAGACCCTGATGTTGGGAAAGATGGAGGGCACAAGGAGAAGGAGACGACAGAGGACGAGATGGTTGGACAGTGTTCTCGAAGCTACCAGCATGAGTTTGACCAAACTGCGGGAGGCAGTGGAAGACAGGAGCGCCTGGCGTGCTCTGGTCCATGGGGTCACAAAGAGTCGGACATGACTAAACGACTAAACAACAACAACAAACAACATCCATCCATCCATATCTCAATCACACATGCATTACACATGTTCTCACCCATTACCATACTGCACACCTCTCTCAGCTTGACTTCATCATTATGTGCTGTATCACTTGCTTGCTCCATTTTTTCCCCCATGTACTGTACTGAGACAGGGGCTCCCTTTTTTGAGCGTGCAGCAAAGAAGCGGAGTTTAGAAAAGGGAAGCACAACAAACTGGTGACGCAGGAATGCTTTACTCTAGTGATTTAGAGACAGAGTGCTTTTCTTTGCCAGCCCACTCAGTTTCCATATCGTCAAAGGACCTATTCTAAGATGCACGCTCCTGCACTGGATTCAGACCCACAACATCAGAGGCACCAGACAAACGAGAACGTATAGCCTGAACCATGTAGCTACGCTTTTTGAAGGGAGCAATATATTGCTCCAAAGAAAGGTGCTTGTCATTTATACAAATGGCCACAAGGTGTCAGCTGTTTGTAACTTTAAAGGGGAAATCTGCATTAACCTATTGCCAGAAAAAGGCAAACACATGCAGCACAATTCTATGCATACATGTAGTAAGCACCACTAAACAGGGATCGTGGGCATAACCAGGATTTAAGCTATGCACCTATCTGTCTTCATCCTGTCTGGCTCTGTCTAGCAGATTCTAAATGAAATGTCTCAACAACTGTTGTTTTAAATTACTTTCTTTTGACCCCGTGCTCAGAAAAACCTGTCAAAATCTCTCTACAATGTATACTTTTAGTTAAGTATTTTTTTTTTTACTTATTTACTTGATTTAGTGGGGGTGGACACTTGCCCCCCTGCCACACCCATGACTGGGATGACTGCCACCTCGAACGTAGAACAAAAGGGGGGGTTGCGCCGTGTGCGTATTTCACCAAAATATTAATTTTCTGCTTCTCTCTGTCACACCAGCCTTCAAAACTTTGGTGGCTATTGGATTCCATTAACCTTGTCAAAGCTAAGATAGCAGCAGCAGGCGACGCATCCCTTGTGAGGCTGGATCTGCTGCCCCTGCGAGCCCTGCCGCCTGAAGCAGCCGCCTCATCTTGCCTCAGTACGTTTTCAGAACGCTTTAGGAGGGCCGAAGTCATACTTTGAATAAAGAAGGCTTCCAGATATTTTGCTGTCCTTAACACAAGCGAGGGACAGAGGCGCGACGAACGTTACAAGCAGTTGACCACCTCAGACTAACAGCCTCTGAGGAGAAGCACTCCGAACCTTTCCCCCTCCCCTTTACCCGGCGAAACCTAACCCCCAACGGAACCCTAAGCCCCGCCCAGTGACGCAATCGCACGCGGCGGGAGGGTTCTCTGGCGGGTGGGGCTTAACTAAGCTCCGCCCTTTGCCTTGTCCTGTCAGGATTTCGCAATGCACTGTGGGAGCGAGGCGATGAGCCTCTAGAGCGGCGGCGGGACGGGGAGGGAAAGGCTCTTGCGCGCGTGCGCGTTCTCCCTCGTCACGTTCGGCTTTTCCTCGTCTCTTCCCGTTCCCATAATGCTCTGCCGCTTCCGTCACTGACGGCTTGTCGCAAACGCGAAGTCCTCGTTCTGCCGGTGGTGGATTCCATCAGTCTCCCCTCACAGCTTGCCCGCCGCCACCACCACCCCCCAGCCGAGCCCCCCTCCCCTCCGCTTGGCGCTTAAGCAAAGGCGTGGGGGTCGCTTTTGCTTCTGGGCCTCGGCGGCGTCTTCTTCCCTTCCCCCCACCCGTTCTCTTCCCTCCTCTTCCTCCTCCCCCCCTTCCGAAATGCCCCCCAAAAAACAGGCACCGGCAGCATCGGGGGCGGGTAACAAAAAGGCAGATCAGAAAAAGAAGGAGAAGATCATCGAGGTGAGACAATTTAGGCCCATTGTCGTGGGGGGGTTCATGCTCTGTTTGGGGCTGTACCACTAAGGACTGCAGGGAAAGCTTTTTAACAGCGTGGCCTCCAAACCTACCCAATGTGTGCCCTGCATGTAGAAAGCTAACATTTTAGGAAGGAGGGAAGTTTCAGCTCATGTCATTTCTCCCAGACATGTTCTGGGGTGGTGGGTGTTTTCGTCTAGAGAACCAATAAACCAGGAGATTCCCCCCCCCCTTTGCATTCTGATTTTGTGCTATCCAGACACAGAGGTAGGCAACTTTTAGCAGGGTAGTGAAGATGCCACCTCTCTGTAATTACCTGCTTCGCTGGACTTGGCTGGACAGGTTTCGGAGGCTGCACTGATTCTGGTCCTGAGCCGAGTCCAAGATCCTCAGGTGGTGTCATAAATTAGTATTGCCATTCCTGTTTATGTGCTCTCTGCTCCTGTTAATTATTACAAGGCTTTAAAGCAGGGCTGGGGAACATGTGGCTTTCCAGATGTTGATGGATTATCACTCCCATCATCCCTGACCTTTGGCCAGATTGGCTTGGGCTGATGGGAATTGGGAGTCCCCACAGAATCAGGAAGGCCCACAGCTTAGCCACCTGTTTTAAAGAAGCTATAGGTACTGGATATCTCTTAAACAATGCCAACTTTGGAGTAATGCACAGGACTATATGCCTCATATTTTTCTATCAGTATTATTTTTCAGAGGGTATATTTCAGTATTATTTAGAAAGTGGCATGGTAATAAATAAAAAGGCTGAGCCCAGGCATTTGTTTCCAATGCCACTTAACTTCCTTCTATAGTCAGGTCATTGATTCTTCTAGTCTGGTATTGTTTACATTGGTTGGCAGCTGCACTTTTAATGAGGCCTTTCCTAGCCCTACATATTTACCAGGGATTGAACTTGGACCCTTTCTCATGCAAGTCATACAAAACATGTACTCTGTGCACTGAACTATGGTGGTAAAATTCCTACACATCATTATTATGGGAAAGGCTTCCAAATTCCTGATCAAAGGGTCATGTTTTCAGGTAGATAAGCCCTCCAGCATCTCTTCAAAAGAGTAAAGTACTGAAAGATACAAAACGATTTGTAATGGTGGGATTAAGAGAGCTGCAGAATATTTTGCTTCCATTTTAATTGGTCATCTAAACATGGCTATTGTAATTCTAAATTGTAGTTTGTTCTAATCCACGAACTCATAAACCTTTAAGTTCTTTTAAAAAGAATTATCACAATTCTGTAGTTACTAAAAAGTTCTTGATAACTGGGTAGGCTCACCCTCCTTTATTTGCATGGCTCTATTGAATCATCAGATTTTATCACTGAAGAGAATATTAGATACACATTGCAAGACAGATGTATATGATTTAAACTGAGCTGTAAAGAGCCTTCATAGGAGATTTATACTAGAATTGGTGTTTTTTGTCACTAGATAGCAGTTAAAATGTATTTATTTTCTAACAGAGTTACAAGTAAAAAGGTTTTATTTAGAGTTTTAAGTGTTTGACTAAACAGATGTGCACTAAAAGTGAATGAGTGTTAAACTACATTTTCTACACATTGAAAAATCATGCTAGCTAATAACATTCCTACAAACCTTTGAAATTAGGACAAAACCTTTGGCTTGAAGAATAAGAAAGGAGCGAAACAGCAAAAGTTTATCAAGGCTGTGACCCATCAAGTTAAGTTCGGTCAGCAAAACCCACGGCAGGTAAGTAAATGTTTACTTGGCTTCACTGTTCTCTCTTTGCACTTGTTATAATTTGATTGCTTTTTCTATTATGTTGCATTATAGGAGTGTGGAGCTGTCAGAAGATGGGACAATTAAGTTAGGTCCTTCTTTGTTGGATAAATTTGTGTTAAGGGGCAGCCATTATGCTTATGGATGTATTGTGAGATTAGGCCATACTCACAGCAGAAAAAGAGTTGATGGGCTGTAGTTAGCCCTTGGGCTACATGGAACAGTTCAATATATATTAATGTGTCTTTAAAATTTTTTTATTATATTTATATCTCGTCTTTTTCCCAGACTGGGACTCAATGTGGTTTACAGATGAAATAGAAAAAAAAGAAAGAATAATAATAATTGAAAAGTAATTAAATACTTGTACAATGAATATATAGTATCTGTATGGAATATAGATAATAACAATAAAATGCCAAAATATGGTTCTTTAAAAAGGTAAGAAAATGCTTTCAAACTCCTCACAGCTGCGCCAGAGAGGAGAGGGAAACACACAAGTCCAGGTTATGCACAGGCTCGTTCCGCTTATAATGTCTGGAAAAAGGCCATTATGAATTATGTTTTATGGATATTGTATCATGCACTTTGTCTTAAGAGTTGTGGTATGCACTTATGCACCCCCCTGTGGTCTTGTAAATACCTGTTCTGTGTGTTGTTTTAGGCTGGTCAAGCAGAAGGTGACAAGAAACTAAAGAAAGATGATAAGAAGAAAGAATTACAGGAGCTGAATGAGCTTTTCAAACCTGTGGTTGCTGCACAGAAAATCAGTAAAGGCAAGCTTTCTTTGGATGATTTCCATTTTCCTGCCTCAGTGCATCTCAGATTTATGTATTACTTGTTCTGGAAAGGTACTAAATAATCAGCATATCTTGCAGGTGCCGATCCAAAATCAGTAGTCTGTGCTTTCTTCAAGCAAGGGCAATGCACAAAAGGGGACAAGTGCAAATTTTCTCATGACTTGACCTTGGAGAGAAAGTGTGAAAAGAGGAGTGTTTACATTGATGCCAGAGATGAAGATCTCGAAAAGGGTAGGTTACTTCTTGAAAATTGCAGACAAATTATTTTTCTGTTGTAGTTTTTAGAACAAGTCATGTCTTTGAGGAAGTAGATATAAATGCAAGTCTAAATAGGTGGTTCTTCTCTTCATTGGATTTTCATATATACTTATGTAAAGGACAAATTACTTGCATTTCTACAGATTCACTGTGATCTGTGCTTTCAATTTTTATAAGCATTTAAACCAGGGTTAAAATTGGTTAAAAATGATCTGGGATGATGACTCTCCAGCCCATGAGCCAATCTTGTCGTGCCAGGGGGTCCATCTTTGGATTTTTTTTTCCCTTTGCAAACAGCAAATAGGCTTTAAAACAATGCTATACTGGTTTTGGAAGTCTCGACAGTTGGGACTTCAAAGTGCAGCATCAGCTGGCATAGTGATGTCATAGCAGCTGCATTCATCTGTCACATTTGGCCCACCAGGATGTGAGGAGTGTGATCTGGCCCAGTGGCCAGAAAATGTTCCCTGCCCCTGTCCTAGATAATGGTATCTCTTGGCACTGTCTCGTGCTTTTACTCTGGGAGAATGAATGTAAAATAAGAGAGCTGCAGATTGATCAGTGGCTATATTTACAAACATAGCACTTAGGAAAAGACTTCTGTGAACATGCTTCAGCATAATTCAGATGCAATGCTAAATTATGGTTTGGTGTTACATGAACAAACCTGTGCAAACTTTGGGCTCATGCACCCAACCCCTTCCTCTGGTGTGGCTAAGAGGAGCAGTTTGGAAGCTTTTCTTTTTTTACCCACTTCACAAGAGTTTGGACTTACTAGTTAGTTTTGATACCTGAACCTGGTTTTCTAAAGTAATTATTTTGATCTTTCCTTGAATTCTTTCATTACTCTTGTTGCTTCATCCAAATATTTCCCTATTTGTCTTCATCTTAGTCCTGCCTCTGCACTTTTGATTCCTTCTGCCTTACATCTTTTTTATGTCTCTTGCAGTATAAACACAAAGGTAGAATTCAAATATTTATATAGGAGAACTTTGCTGGTGGTGTTGAACAAGCTTAGTCCTTCCCTTGTATAATGAAATGTTTTGCTGCTATATGTAGACACAATGGATAACTGGGATGAAAAGAAACTGGAGGAGGTAGTGAACAAGAAGCATGGTGAAGCTGAAAAGAAGAAACCCAAAACCCAAATAGTATGTCTGTCTTGTTTTGTATTGGAATACCTAGTTTAAATCTTATATATTACATACCTCATTTTTAGCAGAAAAAAAACCAGTTTATAAAATGACAGGATATTCTTATTGTGTGACTTGTGGCTGAAAATAAGCTGTGATGCAAATAAGCTGAATTGTTAAAAAAATACTATGGCAACAGCTTGAACTTTTAAGGACAAAATAGCTCAGGGACCACCTGGTGACATTATATGATAATGCCAAGGTACGATAAACAATACTAAATAGAATGAGAAGTAGCTCAGAGATGTAATTACTTTATGTAGTTATTAGTACAATATAGGTAAAATCCAGTCCATAATAATTACAAGTACTCTTGTTTTGAAACTATACTATTTACTAGTGTTTATCAAAACCTTATGTGTGATAATTAGTTGATTCAGCAAATGGAGTCTGGAAGTCCAGTTTTATAACCCATTACTATTAAATTTGAGTATTGGGGGCTGGGGGGCTTGTGTTATGTTGTAAATAAAATTCCAGTAAAAAAAAATTGAATTATAAGGTGTAATTGCTGTTCACTGTATAGTACAATGACATATAGATGGCAATTCTGTGGTGTCACGAAATTATTTCATAGACTGTAATCTCAAACTTGATTTTATTTAAAAGTAGATATTCACCGTAACCTGCAAATCAAAGAACAATGATTGAAACATGATACTACTTTCCTAGGTAAAAATTGTTCCATGGAGGTCTTATTCTTCCAAATCAAGATAAATGTATACTTTTTTGAAGTTTTGACTAAAGGTAACCATTAAACCAGAGAGCTAGCCAGAGTGGTAAGGAATGCTGCTCTATACATTCTAAGCCCAGCTGAATGTACAGACTCCTTAGTGGGGTTTCTTCTGAATTTGCTGCCAAAGTCAAGAGAACTTAACATTTCTCTGTATTGTGCCAGATTCTGCTATGTAACCACTACATTCAGTCATGATTGATTTATACATGTCATACATTTAGGGGTTCTGGAAGAAATTCAGTGTCACGCTAAGATCAGGGCAAGCATTTCAATTTGCCAGACAGAATGATCCCCCTCTCCTTCCATTACATGCTGTTGCAGGGGTTATCTCAGTCCCAATTTGGAGGGATGCAGTAGGGAGGAGGAATGTTTGTGCCCCACTGCAAAAGCTGAAGTTGTTATACAAAATTTCCACTTATAGGACTCATTGATTGAATCTCGCCCACTGCATCTGATAACTTTAAAAATAGGTACAACTGCTGAGTGAATGTAGATTTAATTATCATACTATGGTAACTTCATCCACTGTGTAGTGCAGCATTTCCCAAACTTGGGTCTCCATCCATTTCTGGACTACAGCTCCCATCATCCCAAGCTAGCAGGACCAGTGGTTTGGCATAGACACCTGGTTTGGTGACCAGAGCCTAAGATTCATTCTGCCTTTTGTGTCTATAAAATGAAGACAATGTGTGATAATAAATGTTCCATGCAGGTCTGCAAGTATTTCCTCGATGCTATTGAAAACAATAAATATGGATGGTTTTGGGTCTGTCCTGGTGGAGGAGACAACTGTATGTACCGCCATGCGCTCCCTCCTGGCTTCGTACTCAAGAAGGACAAGAAGAAAGAAGAAAAGGAAGAAGAAATTTCTTTAGAAGATCTAATAGAAAAAGAGGTAACGTAGTCATTTTCTCTCTAAAAATACAGTAGTTTGTCACTTTGATGTTGTGAGGTTATTTTAGCAATGAGGAGTCTTTAGTTAACTGGATTTTTGTATACCTGAGCCTTAATATGGACACTTTAATTTTTTAAAAGGCTTATTTCAGTAAAATTTAGCAATTTCTATCCATAATTGGAGAAGATTTATTGGATTACAGCAGATTTTTTTGTAATACTCTACTCAGGTTTTTTTTAAAAAAAACAATTTCTGCAACATCAGGAATCAGTACTGATTTCCTGCCTCCAAGGGACAGCTATATTTACTTTTTTAAAAATGTGTTTATATATTCAAACTGAATACAGTGTAGCACTTCATGCTAAATATCTGATTACTAATGAATGTGGCTTGCCATGTACTTGGAAAATGTTTACTCAGAGAAGAACATTTATGGGTATTAGTGCATCATCTAGTCTTTTTGACATTAGGTAATTCTTTATTCTGGCTGTATTTCATGTTTACTAGTTCCTTGTAGGCTCAGAGGAAACTATGAGAACAATAATGGAGATTTGCTGAGATTCATAGAACAAAAGCTTCTGCAGAAGGGCTGTATTTAATTGCTTTAAGGCTTTTTCTTAATGTACTGGAGAGAAAAAATAAATCTTCTAAAAGCGTGCTCAGTTAATAATGTTTTCTCTTACAGCGTGCAGCCTTAGGAGCAAATGTTACTAAAATTACTTTAGAGTCTTTTCTGGCATGGAAGAAAAGGAAAAGACAAGAAAAAATTAATAAGGCTGAGCAAGATATGGAAAGAAGAAAAGCAGACTTTAAGGCTGGCAAAGCACTGGTGGTAAGTTCTGTGTAGCCTGATCTATAACATTAAAGTCATGACACACAGGCAAACATTTTTCAGTGAAGCGAAATGTTCCGAACTCTCGAATGTATATTACTGTTTCATATTGTGATCTTTCTTTGTGGCTAGATCAGTGGGCGTGAAGTGTTTGAGTTCCGGCCAGAGCTGGTCGATGCAGATGATGAAGAAGCAGATGACACCCGTTATATTCAAGGAACAGGTGAAGATGAGGTAAAGGAGATCCAAGAGTATTGTATGCAATCTCAAGACAACCAAAGAATAGCCTTATTTCCATGGTTGAGGAACTTACATAATGAACTGTAGCATTATTAGTGACCACTATGTACCAGGTGCCTTTTGATCACAGCATGATCTGCTGTGGGTCAGCTGCACTGAATGCAGTGGGACTTAAAGCCTACACTGATTCTGCTGTAAGTAAAATTAAAATAACTTTTCCCCCCTTTCAGGTTGATGAGCAGGTGGATGTAAATGATGTGGACTTGAACCTGTATGTTCCAAAAGCCGTAGATGAGACTGGAATTACAGTAGCAAGTCTAGAACGATTTAGCACATACACTTCAGCTGAAAAAGATGGTAAGATTTGTGTGTTCTGTGTTCTTAAGATCTGCAGTAGTATTTAAACTTTGAAAGGTTATTGATATGTTCGGGATTTTAATTGATATATTCAGGATTGTAGTCAATGAAGCTGCCCTGTTTATGCAAGAACTTGCCCTTGCGCATTGGAATGGCCTTTCCATTCCTTCCCCACACTCTCTCTGATCCCTTCTAGGGGTTCCCCCAACACACTAGAGCAGATTTGGGGGCAGAGGAAATTCCATTGTTAAAGTGGAAGTCCTTGGCACAAATGGAATTCTGTTATTGGATTCAACCTTTCATGCATGGGTGTAGGCAGGGGAGACAGCTGCCTCCCCTAAAGCGAGTAAATCAATAAAAAATACTTAATTAACTGAGGTTCTGCCCCCTCTAGCATAAATCCTGGCAACGCCCATGCTTTAATATTTCGTGCCACAGTGTGTGACTCCTATGTTTTCAATTTATCCTTGCAGTTTGTATATGGAATAGATTGCAAAACATTAACTTGGGTAGAGGTAGTTATCCCTTTTAAAAAGTTACTTATGTATCTTTCCTGTACACGGACATGTGTAATGATATATAGCATTGTATCCATTATGACCCATCCAGCTCTATATATAATGGAATATAGATTGTTAAATAAATAAATCCTTCCCATCTGGCTGGTATCCATTACCAGCATGAAAATTAAATTTTATCTTTATAACTTAGGGTTACAATAATGTCACTCATTTCCCCATTCCCCTCCTTTCCATTTCTCATTCTTTCTAAAATCTTCAGGATAGAGACGATGGAAAAATGCATTGGCATATTTAATATCCATTTTCTAGCTCTTGTTGTGGTTTTCTTTGGAACACATTATTTCTGAAGCTGCTAAAATTATATAGTCACTATACACAGATTAAAATGAGAACATTACTGGCCTACAGGTTTGGAATCTAAAAGACATGATAAAAAGGAGTGGGGGTGATAGGGAGAGGAAAACAAGCAGGCATCAACTCTTCTTCTTATTATTATTTATCATTATTATTTATACCCCACCCATCTGGCTGGGTTTCCCCAGCCACTCTTGGCGGCTCCCAACAGAATTAAAAACACAATAAAACATCAAACATTAAAAACTTCCCTAAACAAGGCTGCCTTCAGATGTCTTCTAAAAGTCAAATAGTTGTTTATTTCCTTGACATCTGATGGGAGGGTGTTCCACAGGGCGGGCGCCACTACCGAGAAGGCCCTCTGCCTGGTCACATAGTTCTTAAAATGACAAGCTTGAATGGAAACAGTTCAGAAAGAGGAAAAGCTAAATTACCAACTGAACTTTAAACCAGGTCTATGGAGAGAGGCCTGATGTTCCTTTGCCCTCTGCTACCATTAGGAAAAAGCAAAACAAAGCAAAAAATCACAGAACAAAAATATCAGCAACAAAAGCAGTCATTCTCGGTGAGCTCACAAGCAAAAAATGTGGAGGAACACTATAAAATTAAAGCAGTGTAATAATGGCCACCAAACTCCCAAGAAATTCCTATCAAGGAGAAGGCTCAGATAAAGCTGTAGTTTTTAAGTCCAGGAAGCCTCTGAGGGACTTGAGTGTAAGTGTGCTCAGGACTAAGTAGCAAATATTTCTGATTTCTGTGACGTTTACTTCAAAATAAGGGTGGTTTGCTCACTCTGGAAAGTATCTAACAAAGTAGTTCAATTAGCACACAAACTTCCAGCTATGCAGTGGAATTTCTCCTTCCTCTCCCTTCCCCACAGACTCCCTAAATCTGTTTTGGGGTTTCCCCCAATCCTTGAGCACATTTAAGGAGGGCCTGTGAGGAGAGGGAAGAAATGTTTGATTGCACAAATGGAATTCTCCTAGCGCTAATAGAATTCCTTCATTGGAATCCAATATATATTTTTCAGATACATCAGCCTCACTTTCTAGAGTTGTGTAGCCAATTTTCTTAGCCTGCTTAACATCAGCAGGAAAAATAGGTTGGTGTGTTTAAATGGTACATGGTACGAATTGTTTTCACTTTCAGATAACAAGTTGAGTGAAGCTTCTGGAGGTGGACTGGAGAATGGAGAACAAAGTGATTTGGAAGCTGACAGCGACATGGAGGGCACCCAGGAAAATGGAGTAATTGATGCAGTCCCAGTTGATGAAAATCTTTTTACTGGCGAGGATTTGGAAGAACTAGAAGAAGAACTAAACACACTTGATTTAGAGGAATGAACATTTAGAGGAATGAATCTACTTGACAACGTTAATACTATCTCCATTCTTATGTGGAGTACTCTTGGTTCCTCACATGATTCTGGGGAAAAAAAACATTAAACAGAAATATCTTTCCCCCCAATTTTTTCCTGATTCAGTCTTAACCAGCTTAATAAACTTCCCAGATAGTACACTGAGAAAGAACTCTCTTAATGTACAATGACGTAATGAAATCCCCGCCAAAAGTAGGAAGTCGATCACAACTTTTCCAGGATGTGTGAAGGGGTGTGTTGCTACCAAGTCCAGGAAGAGGTCAAGAATTCCTTCAGTAGAACTGCATTTGAAATAAGTATTTTGAGTGATTAAGTTTGTGCTACGATACTGTAAGTCGAAGTGATAACAGGTTGAAATGGCTGTGTTCTTAAAAGTGCTGGAATTGCTTTTGATTATTTGACCAAACAGATACCTAAGGTAGAGATTCATAAAATCACACAAGTATGGTCCCTGCTTCTAAATTTTAAAGTTAATCCACCAAGGTGTAAATAAAGACTATCTGGTTAAAAAAAACAAACCATGTTGGTTCTACATTAGTGTATATGCATGTTTTGCAAATATGCAGTAGACCTAAACAATAGCACTTCTGCAAGTATGATTAATTGCAGTTTAAAGTGTAATTTATAGATTGCCTGTGTGTGAAAAGGCTTCTTCTGCCTGCTGAAAAATCCCAGTATATGCAAAATGTACTTGCCATGACTTCATCATTCTTTCTGGTTTTCAGGCATATCCATTTGTATGTAGTGTAAATTTTGTGAGATTTGGGAATTAGTAGTACTGGAATTCTGCTTTCAGCAATCAAAGCAGGAGATTCCTGCATTCTTTGGAGTACAGAGCCAAATGGATTTAAATTTAGCTGTAATGTTGAAAAGACAAATACCATATTACAGTGGTATTTTTAAAAAATGCGTTAGCCCAGGTAGTTCAACATTAAATACAGCAACTCGCTTTGCATTTTTTGTAGCAAAGTTTAGAAGTTTTTCTGGCAGAATAGCTTGCAAACCAGTGATGTGGAAAGAGCTTTCAGACAAATGTTACATTTCATGTGGCACAGACCTCTGGCTTAGAATGTGAATATAGCCTTGATCATTTCAAAAGTGTTTTTAGTCCCATATTTCAGTACAAATGGGATATGTTGCTATATGACCCAAGTACTAAAATCTAGAAATTCTTGATAGATTTTTTTTAATGGAAAATTACTTGGAAGGGATATTGTGAACACTGGAAACTGAAAATGCCTTGACTAATCTGTCCAGCTGGTGAGAGGTAATGCTTCATCCAGTACTGGGGGGGAAAGTTAAAACATAATGCTAAATAAGATAATGCTGAAGATTGATTTGTAGAACTGAATGTTAATGGACTAGCCATCAAAGTTCATAGAACCTTCCCAGCCGGTGGCTGGATTAAAATAGAAAAACTTGGATCATCCTATACCTAAGTGGGATCTGTAGGGTTGCTTATATATTTTATGTGTACTTTATTTTTCACCGTCTCCTTCATTGCTCACTTTTTTTCATACAGACCTCTTATTGAGTTGAGATTCATTTGAATCACAATGTCTTGCTTATCTGCCTTAATTTTTCCAGAACCAAGTAGAGTTGTGGGCTTCCGTTTGTCATACATCCTGCTTTTTATTTTTTAAAAAGCACTTGAATTATTTTTTTTAGCACTGCAGTATGCTTGTTTTCAAGGAAAATGAAGAGTAAATGTTGTTGAGCATCTTGATGTTATTCTCTTTTTCAAAAGTTTGGAAAACTTTCCTCTCTAAAATGTAGACTGAAGATTAAACAGCAGACCCAGCCATTTTTAGTTGTGGCTAATGTGGCCTTATTTTTGAAGTAGTAATTCTTACATTATTACTATGCCAAGCAAACCTTAATAAGACACAAATGGCTTCTTTGATTCCTCTATCCTGAAAGTGGGTTAGCCTTTTGAATTGTAGTGGATGATTGTGTTTATACTTGTGCTATTATTTTCCAAAAGACATTGAATAACTTTGTATTCAAGTTCAGTTATAGCGAAGGAAAAGACAAGATCATGTTGAGATTGAATCCTCAGTTTAATTGCAGTGTGCAGTGAACCACATGGAGAAAATGCATCTAGATCATATAACATAGGAATTATTGTAAATCAGTGGCTCTGCAGCTCTTAATTTTCTCATGTACCGTGTGTTATGAAATGTTCTCTTCCAGAACTATAACATGTTTCCTGACTAAATATTCATTTCAGCCATATTCCTGCATTTGGCAGTGTTTTGTAAAATTATAAATAGCCTTGGTTGAAAGATGACCCCCCCCCCAAAATTTCTTACTAAGTAATATGGTATAAGACATATTAAACTGGGGGAAGTTTCACTAAATTTTAGAGTAGTTGAATTTTCTACACACAGTTTAGCAAAATAGTGGCTTTCAAATTTTCATAAGGTTTGCTAGATTTTGTGTTCCCCCTACTTCAACTGAGGCTGACCTTAAGGGTGTTCCCACTGTTCCTTTGCAGTTGTAAACTTGATTGCCACTAATGATATTTTCATTAAGGGATCCTTGAGAAGCTTCCTAGGTACTCCAGGATTCCCTGAAATATAGTTAGGAAACCACTGTAATAGTCATCTGTTCATATGCGTCCAAACTGTAGGGATGGGGGATCCCAAACTTAATCTAGTCAGGTGGTATGGTGTGGTATATCTTTCTAGTCATGTTATAGTCATGACTTTGCTTTGTGGCCCTTATTTTTGTGTTTGGTTGTTTTCTAGAGATTAATGAATTTTTAACCGTGCCTAGAAATGTTTTGCTCCCAAGTGGGAGCTCTAGTTCCCAAATTGTAGGATGGGATCCCCGTCAGGTTTGAAATGAATGAAGAGTGGGTGTAAAGACCCTTAGACGCAGCATGTCTTACCTACCACCCAAAGTCCTGGATAGTCTGCAGTGGACACAGCTGTGCTTAAACGAATTTTGTAGGCCTGGGGAGAGGAAACTGACTCTCCAGCTCTTCCCATCATCCTTGACCACTGACCAAGCTGCCTGAGGCTGCTGGGAGTTGGAATCTGGGGGAATCACAGGTTCCTCACCCTTAGATACCTATGGAGGAGATGATTGACACTTACGGAGTGGGGGCAGAAGGTGTAAACTTGGAAAGGGAGCTGAGCTGGAAAAGTTTGAAAAATTCTGCCTTAGTTTGTTACACAGGGGCGAGAGAACCTTACAGATGTTGGTCATCTGTATGAGATCTGTAAAGGAACAGCGCTTTGCCTACATTTTTCACTTGAAAAGGTGAGTGAAATATCCTCTATTTTTGTTCATAGTGTGTGGTAGGAATCATTATTTACATCCTGCCTAGCATATTTACTCTTGAATGTGTGTATGTATATTGGGTGGGGCGGTCCACCAGTGATCACGATTGGGGAGGCGGCTACTAAAACAATTCCTATCCTTCAGCACTGAAATCAGTGCATACTTTGCCTGAGAAGTAAACCTGCTAACAAAGGGTTTAAAAATTGGAAATTGTGATTTTTGTAGTCCTCTGTCAATGGAGTTACAGCAAGGTCTGAATCCAGTGTAGTCCCCTTTGCTGTGTGGTCTTGCATGCTCACATACTCGTAATAAGGGAGATGCAAAGATTATTCACTAGTGAGGGTACAACTCAAATACAAAGCACAACTTAAAACACTTAGTGTCCTAGAATAAGTATTGCCTAACTACTGTGCAGATCTAGTATATCAGCAAATGGATGCTTTTTGTGACGAGAGAACCAGCTGTTACCTTTATTTAAAACCCTGTTTAAGTGCTCCCATAAGGTGTTTTTTCCAGTTAACTGGTAGGCATTGCTGGCAGGTGGTGATGTATATTAAATTAGTTGACATGGAAATCAGTGAGCCTATAAAATTGCCATTTCACCATCTTCTCAAATTTTCACAGCCCTCTAGTGGCTATGGTGGCTCATTTACCAGAAGTAATGTATTTAACATTAACTCTGGAAGTATATACTCGATTCTGACCGAACTAGGCTCTCTTGGTATATTTTGCAACCTACAATAAATTAGGCCAAATATATTTGGGAAACAAGTTACCCACCCCATGTACCGTATTGGCCCAAATATAAGCTGCACCCGAATATAAGCCACACCTTTAAAATTCGGGGGGGGGGAGAGAAAAAGAGACAATACCTGAATCTAAGCTGCTCCCTTAAAATTCTACAGGCATTCACACCCATTCTATTTTACTGTATGTCTGTTTCAGCAGCGATCTCGTAAAAGCCAATTTTTGTAAGGTCATGAATTTAAGCCGCACTTTAACTTTTCACAGTCAGAATTTGATAAAAAAGTGAGGCTTATATTCAGGGCAATACAGTATATACTGCATATGCTGAGCCAAGATATGTGCAGGAACACCATCCTATAAGCAGCACACACAGTTCCCAGTTAAGAGATACATCCAAGCTACAATTCTGTTGTTGGTCTCACTTTAATAACCACCTCACCAGGTTTGCATACCCTGTTCTGTTATAAATGCTTTCTTTGGTTTAATTACCTGCTGGTCATTGGGCTGGCATCCAAGAAATGAGCTGTTTCCTGTGTTTGTTGCTTCTGCCGTTAAAGCTGTGAACCATTAATGAATGCAGGAGAGAGTGATGTTGAATGCTCATAGACTTGTAGATTTCCTCCTCTGCTCTCAGTCATGTTATGTTATTATCAGAGTGGAAAGTACCCATAGCACCAATCAGATGCTTCTTTCCCATCCCTGCCCCTTAAAGGGAAGATAACCCTGTGAGCCTATATAGTTTTACCAAAGAGGAGTTTGAAGCTTCATGTACATGGGATTTAAATCTGGATCCTTGTGCATTTGCTTTACCCCATGCAGTCAAATATGCTAGCAGTTTTATTGTTGCGCCATCCTTTTAAGGCTCTACCATATTATCAACTATTATATTGTAACCTGCCCCAGGACTCCTATGATGAAGAGTGAGTAAGCAATCTTATAAATAAACAACTTTCGTCTGAGTATAACCCAATGCACCTTTGAATTGTAGGTTGTATGCTTTCTTGAAGTGACACACATGCACATGGCTATCAGCCCCTTTTAGAAGTGACAACCACTTTTGTGGGTTCATCCCATAGTGCAGGGATGGCATACCTCAGGACCAGAAACTGAATGCTCCTCTTGTCTGGCCTTTGGAGTTCTCAGTCTACATTCTCCCCAGCCCTCCTTCATAACTTCCTTGAGTGTTTTTGTCTGTCTGGAATGTGTCATTGTTGTCTGATTATGCTTCTTGCTCAGAAGTGGCCTGTCTTGTTTCGCCACCGGAGGCAAAAATGGAATGGGCCACCACACCACCACCACTTCCATTGTGCACCGGAACATGCCTCCTTGCCAAACTTGGCAAGAGTGAGGGGGCGTTCTGCAAAGCCCCATGACGCTCGTCTCTGCCCCAGAGGCAGGGAAGACAAGCGGAAACGCCACACGCCAGAACAACCCCCTCTCACTGACTTTGGCAAGAGGGGGACATTCCACCACCGGTGGCAGAAGCAGTGGGGCTTCACCCTGCCTCATCAGTGAGCCGGCTCTGCTCTTGCTTGGCTGGATAGAAAGGTGTGGGTGTACAGAAATCATAGGTCATGCATGGCTTTTCTTATCTAGTAACCATCATAGAACAACCAACCAAACTCAGTAGAAACATTTGAGTTAAAAAAGAAAGAGAAGCTCAAAGCCAATGACAACTTGCCCTGTTGTTGTTATCACAAAAGTGCTGTAACTGGCTGTAGATAACATGGGTTTAGTCTTGCGGTGAGTGAACAAGTACTCCTTGAGGTAGGCATGTATATCCTGATGTGGCATTATGGTTCTGGAACTGCAAATGTGGAAACAAAGCTAATCTCATTTAAGATGCTGTTTCTATCCTTTAATCTGTTCAAAATTACGATGCTAAACTGCAAGAAAACAGCAGCATTGACTGGCGACAAAATTTTAGAAAACAGAATTACTGGTTAGAGTCAAATGAGTAAAGGCAGATGTAATCCAGAAACGGAAAACAAAAAGGGATTCTTCCAGCTTTGCCATCTGCATACCAGACTGGTTCAGCCACCAGTCATGTCTCTTTTCCCATGTTAAAGGAAGCATGCCTTGCCTTTAACAAATCAATGTTTGTTTTAAAGCATCTCATGTACATTTCAACTTTGATAACCCTGACCTTTATTTTTTAAATAGGCAAAACTAATTGCCAAAGGCCTGCTGCTATAATGCAATTTGTATCCACTTAAAAAATAAAGATGCTAGACAATTTCCTCCAGCATCAATTGTATTTTAAAGGCTGATTGGCGCATGGATTCTCTGCTAAAAATACAGCCAAGTAAATGCAAGTGGGGCTAACCCATTGATCACTGGAGGGGAAAGTATTGTGGATGAATTTGGAAATCTATCTGCTATAGCAACTAAAGAGTGCTGCCCTTATATGTAGTTCTAGTCGAAAGCAGCCGAATGTTGTTTTGTGTGAACCCTATGTCTGCATGAAATTACCTACATCTGGACAGCAAAGAAATCAATGCATGTACATAACTGTATGTATGTTCCATAATGTGCAAGCTGGAAAGAAGGTAAGTATACATGCCATAGGTGGGAACTTCAAGCTCCACTTGCTTGAGCATGGATTTTCCGTTCTAGTGCAGCTTACCATGCTACAAATGGGTCATTTGATGTCATAAGGGTGTCAGGTGATTGGCCCACCTGTAAAAATGGCCCATCAAAGGTGGGGAAATCCAGACCAGGTCCAGTTCACCACCCCTCTTCTAGGCAGAGACCTTGGTCCTGGTCTCATCCTTGAACTGTAGGGTGTAATGTATGAACTGATACAAAGTCTTAGCTTTGTCCATTTGTGGCCCATGACAGATCGATGATGATTGAATAAGCAAGTGTTTTGTGTCTTGCAAACTAACCAGTATTTTCACTGTATCCCATATCTACATCCTGTCCAACCTGAAAGCTCAAGAGGGAAAGGGGAAATGACTGTCAACTGGGATACACCAGCCCTTGCGATTAAGTTCACATACATTTTCACCACTTGAGTGTAAAGAGGAAGAAAATGTAAAGCTTCCATGTTTGCCTTTTTGTATTGTTTACCATAGATGCCAGGTAAGTGGTTGTTTATAAGCTTGGGGTAAGTATTATATGGTGATAATAGGAAAAGTTCAGGAAAGGGGCTGTAGCTCAGTGGCAATGCCAGATTACCCGATAGGAGAGTAGACACAGGCTTATGGGCCCCACACCTTTTAGGGGCCCCACAACATAGGATCAAAATATTTATTTGATCTTGAAAGAAAATTACAAGAACATATTAGGAGATAATTTGCAAGGAGGCCCCTGAGATTTTGACTGCTGAGGAGCCTCCACAGCATTTAATCTGGCACTGTACAGTGGTAGGGCACCTGCTACCTGGTAGGACTGGGAATATCCTGTCTGAAACCCAGCCAACGTTAACAATACTGGACCAGTGGTCTAACTTGATATGAGAAAGTTCCTCCAATATGCCACTGTGAATCCTCTCCCACTATATTCCCTCGCACTTTAAATAAAAGAGAGAGGAAAGAAATATACGTGTTTTGGCTGTCTTAAGATGTAATCAATGGTGTGTGCATGAATGTAATAGGCTGTGCTATGCATTGGGGGGGGGTGTTCTTAGCAAGCCAGAATTAATCAGGAAAAGGGATCAATGTGGGAACAGTTAATATGACTCTCAGTTGCCATGTATTCACTAACTTCAATTCACTAACCAAGAAACAGCCCACAAAACATTTCTCACTCATTAAAATTACGTGTTTTGATTTGAATCTCCTCTCTGCTTGTCACATTCATCACATTCCAAGATAATCTATAAGCAGGAAAGAAAATATCCCACGTTCTAATAAATAACTTGTGAAATATACAAGGTTCCTAGAAGCAGGCCATTTTCTGTCGGCGACCGAGAACTTTGTACAGCAAAAAGAACTTGGACATCCGCAAATATTTTTACTCTTGGAATGGATGCTGGCTGTTCATGTATCATTCCGTTGCTATTTTTATACACATATAGGAAAATGCCTAAATGTTTCTTAATGCATTTTTAGACATCTGCAGAATAGTTCCTCAGGGGGGGAAATGATTGTTAAGGGGCAGGTCTTCTGGGCATCATTGTTCCATTTTAGAGGATGGTGGGCTTCCATGTGAGTCTGACTGTGCCTGGCCCTAGTTGGTGGCAAAGTTCTGGTGAGTCATTTATTCATTAGAACAAAGAGGAAGGAGGAAGGGCGAGACGCCATTGATTCTTATCAATATAGAGATTGAGCAGAAACTGAAACAAGCTTTCTGCTCAAGCAACTAACCCTTTAGGTCTGCTTCTTGAAGTATATATTGCTTTTCCATAGACCAACCTGATGTCCTACAGTTTTTAGACTACAGCTCCTGTAATCACTCACCATTGGTTATGCTGATGGGAGCTGTAGTCCAAGACATTAGGGCTGGCATAGACCATTAACACTTTGGCAGCCAGGCAGTTCTATTTACCTTCCACGTGTGGCAACTATAAATATTTGGGGAGGGAGGGCTGTCAAAAAATCAACATGTGTTGAAATCTGTAGGAGACCCTTGAGCTTATAGTCTAAGCTGCTCTTCCAGTCGGCTTTGCTGAGTGCCCATCTCTCCCACTACCATTCACTGTCTCCCCAGGTTGGTGGAGGTGGCAGGCCTTCCCAGAGTCTCAGTAGAGCATATTCCCACACAAGCCATCAGAATCATTTCAGTGCTGGGGGATTCTGGAACGAGTCACTCCATTCCCACCACCAATGAGAGAATATGCTTTGCCATGGCCCCCAGAGGCACCTGCCACCACTGCTAAGGCCCACATCCTTTCCTTGCCCTCTCTAGGTCTGGAGAACAGGGTGGCAGCACGTCCAGGATCAAGGTGTGAGTAGGTCCCCGTTTGCTTCCTTGTTGCTTGAAAGTATTCAAAAGGGGGCCCTTGGTTTTATAAGGGCTTGTGGCTTCACTCATTACAACTGTCATAAATGAATACAGTGGTACCTCTGGTTACGTAGTTAATTCATTCCAGAGATCCATTCTTAACCTGAAATTGTTCTTAACCTGAAGCACCACTTTAGCTAATGGGGCCTCCCGCTGTTGCCATGCCGCCACCGCGTGATTTCTGTTCTCATCCTGAAGCAAAGTTCTAAACCCGAGGTACTATTTCTAGGTTGGCAGAGTCTGTAACCTGAAGCGTATGTAACCTGAGGTACTACTGTAATTATGAAGAATGAGCTGTATCAGTTTGGGCATCAGTTAGGAAACCCCCTAAACCCTTTGGTCTCTGCTTTTAATCCATGAGCTCAATTGTGTCTTCATGCCTGTGCCATCTATGAATCAGACTGCTGGCCTCAAAGAAACCCTGAGTTACCAGAAACCATGCCGTCTCCAGAGTAAACACTGCCAGGGCTTTGGTTTTCATTTTAATCACCCTCCCATAGAGGCTGCTTAATCAGATAAATGCTGAAGCCTCGCTTTTGCTGAGTTCCGGGCCTGCCCACTCAGCCACCTACCACTCAGGGTATTTTCCTTTCTTTTAGCAATCTGAAGGGGAGAAATGCTTTCGGTGGATTTGCTCAGTGATGCTGTCTGAACCCACGACAAGCTAGTGTCGTTCAAGAATCTGGAGTCTGAGCTGTCTTTTAGCACTGCAAAACCACCTCTGGGTTTCTAATAAGTTTTCCCCTATTTAATGAATTTATTGCAAGCTGCTTTTTGAGAATATGCTGCACAAAAGCAGCTTTAAAACAAACGTATAAAACTACCTTCCCACCATCTCTTTAGGATGCATCTATCAATTTCTATTAGTCCTGACAGCTGTATACGACCACCATAATATTAGGAAGTTGCCTGAGACAGACAGAGCACTGATCCACCATATTCTACACTGACTTGGAAGCAGGTGGCCAGGGTTTCAGACAGACTTTCCAAGCCCTTCCTCATGGGCATGAAACCTTTATCAACCTCCCAAGGACAACATGCCAGAGGTGGGTGAGGTTAGGGGCAAAGGGGAGCTGAGGGAAGAGGATGCAAATGTTAACTTTGTGCTGTAGGTTAGTTTCTACACACACCCCTCTCTACGCTCCCTCCATGCAAGAGGAATTCTCAGAGTCCCATGCGAGTCAGGCAGTTACAACAGCATGGACCACTCAGTCAGTAATCTAAGGCAATGAATCTGTTCTTTGGCTCGCAGCAGACTGGTTGTCTGTAGGTTCTGAAAGTTCTAGTCAATTCAGAGGTAGTTTTCAGTGAAGAAGACTGGAGATTTGAGTTTAGCCCTGTATCGGGAAGTTTTCAATGAATGACATTTTATGATGTTTTTATATGTGCTGGAAGTCACCTAGAGTGGCTGCAGAAACCCAGCCAGATGAGCGGGGTATAAAAAATAAAATTATTATTATTACTATTAAGAAAAGTGGTTCTGAAGGAGTTTCTCTCCCAAACCCTTACCCTCCCTGTGTAGGCCTGACTTAAGAGAGACAAAGCTATGTTTTTTTCCCTCCTGTTCCTGTTCAATTGACTTCAGTAACGTGTTTACAGTTTATTCTCTCTCTGGACTTTTGTATGCTCTATTCCTGTCACTCTGCACACAGGGCTAATGAAAGGTAGACTTTTTAGGGCCTGACAGAGAAACTTGGGGAGCTGCATATGCCCTGCCCCTAGGCCTGAGGCTTCCCAACCCTGTCTGGATAGGCACTTAGAGATTTAACCTGGGACCTCCAGAAGCAACATCACAACATTTGCTGGGGGATCCTGAGTAGTGATGTGCTACTGCTCTCACTTCCTGCTTGCAGGTATCCCAGACGTATCTGGTTGGCTACTGTGGGAATACATTACTAGACTAGGTATGGCACTCAGAACCAGCACTCGGTTAGTCGTCTTTAAGATGCACAAGCCTTTTTTTGTTTCAGTCAGGACAGGTTTTCTTCTCCCACCTGTTTGAAGAGATTAGCATTTAGGCTATACAGCCCCAAGGCAGAAGGAACCACAGCTTTGGCAGGATGTAGTTATTTATTTATTTACTGACTGCCTTTATAGACTGCCTTTCAGCCGTAACAGCTCCCAAGGCAATTTTACAATTAAAAAACAGCAACACAGTTCCTGTGTAAAGAATAAAAAAAAAAATGTAAAACATCTTACAAAGCCATGCCCTCACTTCAAATGATATTGCCTGAATCCAGGTGCAGAATCAGAGCGCAGCAGGACCCATGAAAAACAGTGCTCAGGGCCCAGAAAAATGTGGCACAATGGGTCAGTGCATCTGGCTGTTAACCAGGAGGTTGCTGGTTTGAGCCCACTCAGAATTCCTACATTGTAGGGGGTTGGACTAGATGACCCTCAGGGTCCCTTTCAACTCTACAATGCTATGTCAAACCCCAAGCCGTAACATGCCAGGCTACGGCTACCCATTTGCCAGTCCGTTAAGACCGAGGGTTTGGAATGTCTTGATCGTTTTAATGTATGCCGCCATGATATTCTTACGAGTTGGCAGTTTACACATATAATAAATAACTAAATCCAAACCACCATGAAAAAAAGACAGCTTCATAAATGGGTGTTTTTATCAATGGAAAACTCAGGTGGGATTCAGCATTGTGCTATTGCAAGCATCCCATCTGCACAAGCATATATTTGGTGGGCAACTGGAAAATAGCATTAATCGCAGGCTGCACACTGCTTAAAACAGGTTCTGTATCAAAGTATTCTTGTGGCCCACTTGGTATGAGGGGTTGAACTGCCCTGCTGTAGATGATGATCGTACTCCAGCTCCCATCAGACCTGGCCAGCATGACAAATAGTCTAGATCGGATGATGGGAATTGAAGTCTGACAACACCTGGAAGGGCACGGCTTCCCCACCCCAGTATAAAAGGTTATTCATATTTCTCTGAAATCCAGTAATGAATCTTCCAGCTAGGGGAAGACAGAGATTTAAATACAAAGGCTTGGTTATAACCACATCGACTTGTTTTCCCCTCTAAAGCACTGCTGAGGTATCCTAGAATCAAAGCCCACCTCTCCTCGGGAGCATCATCTCAGGTTTCAGGGGTTGAGAAAATTAAACCAGCGTGGAAAGAGAAGATTGAAGCTGGCTAGGTAGGAAGGCCTTCTCTTGGCTAGAGATTCAATATTACATAGTTTATAAAAAGAAGAAGAAAGCAAAGCAGTGTTTTTAAAGATAATTAAATATTAATCCCAATTCTATTTAATGTACAGTGTGGTGACCTTAAACCACTGTGCTCAAATTAGATTAGATTAATTTGTACTGAGACATTCGGCCGTCACAAAACAAAACTTTAATAGGATAAAAGTTCACAAGGGAACATCAGTAGAAGTTAACTTGGGCCCCAAAGGACTAAAGCATAAGCAAACTTAAAACACTGAATTTCCCTGGCTAATCACAACATGCCTCTTTAAAAAAGAAAACAAAATGTTCCGCTGCAGTGCTCATATAATGGGACATGACAAGAGTGGACTACATAAGAGTTCTTTTTTTATGAAGGGCTGCATCTGATGAAGTGGGCTTTAGTCTATGAAAATTTGAGCCGCAATAAGGCTGCAATCCTGGAAGCAACCCATACTGAACTCAGTGGGATTTACTTTTGAGAAAGCATACATGGGATTACATGGGAGATCTATTAGGCCCCATCTGCACTATGCGCTTAAAGCAATTTCATACCACTTGGAACAAGTCACGGGTTCCCCCAAAGAATATTGGGACCTATAGTTTATTAAGAAATTCCTATTCCTCTCACAGAATGGTTTAACAGTCAATCTCTCTTCTCAGAGAACTCTGGGAATTGTAGCACTCGGAGGGGAATAAGAGTCTCCTAGAAACTCTCAGCATCCTTAACAAACGACAGCCCCCAGAATTATTTGAGGGAAGCCATGACAGTTTGAAGTGGTATGCTGTTTTCAATGTACACCACAGATGGAGCCTTATAAAGGTAGGACAAGACTTTTTTTTGCTACAGCTGTGCAACATAGTCACTGATCTTGCTTCTTTTTTTTGAATAGCTAGAACAACATTACAGCATACCAAATAAAAGCCTCCTCTCCTTAAGTCTGCCCTTAATTGCGACTTTCGGATAGGTATCTGAGCCTAACACCAAAAAACAAGAGCATGCCGGCCCATTTTTGTTTACCATCTGGAATCTGATTCTAGAGTTGTTCATTTTGCAGCTGTACCCAAACACTGAGCAAGCAGAATCAGAAGTACCATGTTTTCGACTTCTAGGCGAGATAAGGGTTTTGTTCACCAGAACTCCACTTAGCCACAAGTCATTCTCATCTATTCAACCTAAAATTAGTGTTTGTAATCCTTTGTTAGCCGTAGATCAATCAGATTTAGTCATTCATTCCAAAAGGCAGGAATTGTTTTGCAGCTGAATGTAATACATTATCTTCTTGGCCTATGACCATTCCTCTTTAGGCATATTACAAACTAGTTAGGATACACTCACATCCTTACCTTTCCTAGTTCTGGTGCCCTTGGGGATTTTTTTTTTTTAATTGTAGGGGGGGGAGGCACATTTCCATATAAGGATGTGTAGCTACACCCTGAATATGTCTAGACAGCTGGAGGGTTGGGTTGCTAGGTTTTTTTTTGCAAGGCCTGTAGGGACTGAAGTCCATACAGTAAATGACTCTGTGACTTCCTTTTCTTTGAGATGACTCAGCGTGGTAGGAGGCAGTTTGCTGACTTGGCAAAACAACTGCCTTAATTAACTCAGTTGCTGCCCTTCTGACACACATCAAAACACAAGGAGGAAACAAATATTATGGAAGGATTCTTTTTTTTTTAATCCAACAATGGTGGGAGTATGAGGAAGAGGGATAATAAACCCAGTAATAATTAACCAACTACGTTTTCTTCTGGTCTAGGGTTTATTCTGCTCAGTTCACTTTTCAATAAACAGGATGCTAAACAACTACTTGATGGGACAAACTATTTAAATCAGAAAGAAATTTCTTTTTGATTCAGCCTTTTCACTGTGGAACCAAATATGTCCCAGTTCAGAAGTAGCAATCCTGGTCCAGCAAATTCAGAGTAGCCAGATGAAGAAGAACACAGGGTTCCTACAACTTTCATTAGTTGAGTAAGGAAAGGAAACATGGGTTCCTGGTTTGTTTTCCCCAGATAAGCCAGGAACAGTAAACTATGAACAAACCTTCATTACAGAGTGAGACAAACCAGAGCCTTGGTTCAGATACAATGCGAAGTGAAACCATGGTTTAGAGCAGCAGTACAACCAAGGGATGAGCAAAACGGTGCCCGTTTTTACTGCGGGTACCCATTCACTCACCAATTCATGCTTAACCAAGGGACCCTCCGTCCAAAGCCATGTTGTCCCCCGCCAAGATTTCCTGTTAACCGCACCTGACTGCTAGAACCCCCATTTTACAGGTGGGCAAGCTGAGGCCCAGCTCAGTTCGCCTTGTAGTTCGAACTTCGGGTTGTCGGCGCGTTTTCCAGGAAATGATTCGGCGCTCTCGGTGCCTATCCAGTCTGATCGTGCACTCGCTCTGCGGTCAGCAGGAGCCGAGGCTCTCCCGCCTGCGGCCGGACCGAGGAGAAAGCAACCCCTGGAAGCGACCAAGGCCGCCTTTTCCCTAGAGCTCGCATTCAAGCGCACGCCGCTCCTCCTCCTCTCCAGACAGTCACATGATGGCGATGATCCGCCTTTCGCTCTCTCCTCGCCCGGCCCCCTTGGAGCGATGGGGGCGGTTCGGCGGCTCAAGGCTGGCGGCGTTGGCGGCGGCTGCGCCTGTTTCCCCGCCCACGACCCACTCAGTGCCCGTCCTGGAGAAACAGGGAACAAAACAAAAAAGGAAGTGGTCAGTCCCACCGGCTGGCTGTGGAGTAATTTTCGCAGCTCCTTCTTCGCCCTGTCGGAATCGGATCTCCCGCAACCCTTCCTTGGCTGGACAGTTGGGGTGCCCGCAAAAAAATAAAATCAAATCCCAAGGGGGGAGTTTGGAAGGACCCGCCTCTACAGGGCATCTGCTGGGCATCGCTTTTGCTGGCCATGGCTGGGTTCTGGTTGTTTTTGCTCGTGGGCCGCCTACTGGCGCCGGGCAGCGCCTTCAACCTGGACGTGGAGAGCCCAACTGTTTACTCCGGTTCCGAAGGGAGTTACTTCGGCTTCGCGGTGGATTTCTTCGCCCCGGATCTCTCCTCGTAAGTATAATCTGTCACTCGGGCGCATCCATCCCGAAGCGGGAAAAGGCGCCGCGCTCCTTCGCCAGGAGGACCCTGGGATCTTTGCAGTCTTTTTGTTGTTGTCGTTGTTAATTATTTGACGCCAGAAAATGCTGGACAAGCCCCAGGAAAGTCCTTGATGGAGCCCTGCAAGTGAAACTGAAACGCGCCTGTTCTGATCTCCATTCTGAGCACAGCTCCGCTTTGGAAGCGAGCTTCATTGGAATGAATGGAACGGAACTTCCGAGCAAAAGTGTGTCTGGAATTGGGATAGAGCAGGCTTCCCTCCGCGCCTCTACGCCCCGCTTAGATACCCTCCTCCTTGCTCAGCTATACGTTCTCCCCATCTTCTGCCTCTCCCAAATCCCACTGATTTCAGTGGACCATAAGAAATGCACCACAGAGCGAGCCTCCTCAAAAGTGCTTTGAGTTGGACTTAACTCCCCAAGTAAGGGTGCGTAGGCTTTTGGGAGCCCGGATTTAGGAAGGAATCCCGTTGAAATCATTGGAAAGCTACGTGCATATAGGAAGATTTGGCTAAAACCCAAGTACTGAAAGTCTTAGCTCACATTCCTTCCCCCTGATACAAGGCAAGATTGCCTCTTCTTATCCTGGCCATACAAATCCGTGAGGGACACTTTGTATCAGAAGATGATAGTGGTGCTATGCGATGTGAGCCATTTTGATGCTGTAATTGCAGAGGAAAGGGGAGGGGGAGGGGAGAGAAGGAAACATTTTTCCCCCCTTATTCATAATTTGTTACCTGCTTGTCCCAGATTAATTAGAAGCGGCGGACAATGTCATGCTTAAATCCTGCCTTTTAGAGGACCCCGGCCGACATTTTTATTATTAATATTATTACTATTGTATAAATGGAGTAATTATGGACAGATGCTATGATTCATAATTATATGTGGAAATGTATAAAACTGTGGAAGATGAATCAATAAGAAGTGAACCTCTCTTAAACCCGCCCATCCACTGAATCCTAAGCAATGCTGTCTTGAACTTCGGATCCGTTACCAGGAGTAACACAAACTCTGTGTCAGGATATTTGCAGCCTGTGAGCCAGTCTTGATGTGTGATTCAGATATTGTCATCCATTTGAAAGCACTTTTGTCTAATAGGCTCTAATGTGGTCTGACAGCTTTTCATTTTGATTATGGGGATGAGGGGGCAGAACCGTCCAGATTGCACAAACTTTGCTGTGTTAAGTCCCCCAAAATGAGAGGGTCAACTGGTCCTGGGTCCGTTTGTTTCTCTGATGGCTAAACCTAATGCTCTGAAGCCAGGGATGCCAACTTGAATAAAATCTGGGCGTGGGGGGCAGGTAGCCCTCGCCCCACATAATCGATCACAAGACACGGCACACGCACAGCGTTAGAAAGGCAATGCCCATCAACTTGGGGGGGGAAGGGTAGCCTCATCAAATATTTTATTGGGGGGGGTGAAGTCACCTCAGCCCCTAGGAGCTGGCTGCTATGCTCTGATGCGTATTCTCCTAGTCTCACTGTGATTTTCTTTCCAGATAGGTGTTTGTGGCAGAGGATATACATTTTGAATGTAACTGAGGTGCTCCAAGTTGGTGCAAAGGTTGGGATATGCTGCTAATGTCATATGTGTGTGTTTTTCCTAGAGGAGGTCCCAGGAATAAGTGGTAGCCTAGGCCTGCAATGATAAAACATCAAACATTAAAAACTTCCCTATACAGTGCTGCCTTCAGATGTCTTCTAAAAGTTGTAGTTACTTATCTCCTTGACATCTGGTGGAAGGGGGTTCCACAGGGCAGGCACCACTACCGAGAAGGCCCTCTGCCTGATTCGCTATAGTTTCACTTCTCACAGTGAGGGAACCGCCAGAAGGCTCTTACTAGTTTGTAAGCCCCACAGAACCCAAGGCATATACTTTTGGGTAAACATGAGTAGGATTGTCTTATAAGACCGTTTCACATATGAACTGTCTTTATGGATTGAACCAAAGGTCTGTCATGGAAAGGCCTCTGACCAGATATGGCCAAATAAGTTTTGGGCCTGAGGTAGACTTGGGCAGGGCCATCCCCACCATTAGTCAGAGTGAGGTGGCCACCTCAGGCCATGAATGCTGAGGGTGGGGCTGGCAGCAAGATGTTGAAGGACAGAGCTTATCCTGTACCCCCTAAGCTAGCTTTAAGCCCTCAGGTTTGGTGGGGAAAGCTGACACGTGTCTAGTGTTGAAGTAAAATTCAGCTGTCAATCCCCAGGCAGCTTCTGTATGTGCCATTGGGAGGAGAACCATCTTGTCTGCCTCAGGCAGCAAAATGTCTAGTCTGAGGAGGGGCTGCCTATGGGTAGATAGGTTTTAACCCTTTACTCCAGTACGTAGCATTATGTACTGATCAATCTAGCTCAGTATCACCTGCTCTTGGTGTGTAGGTTCCTCACTTCCATGATTTATAAGCCCTGTATGATCTGGGTTCGAAATTATGGTGGGCTTTGTTCTACAGACCTTATCTGCATCCCATGGATGGGGGTGGGGGGCAGAGCTAGCAGGGGAGGGAATATGGGGCAGGGTCAATGGGCTGGGCAGGGTGGAGCTGGTGGACACAATCCTGGTGTCTGCATGAAGGATAATGCCCAAATAGGACTACAGTAGCAATGGGGAAGACATACCATATTTTTCCATGTATAAGACTAGGTTTTTTTTAACCAGAAAGTAGGTTTAAAATAGGGGCTTGTCTTATACATGGATAGTGCTGAGGGATGTTTTCTTAATTTGGAGTCCCCAAAAATAGGGGGCATCTTATACATGGGGGCGTCTTTAGACGGAAAAATATGGTAAGTGTGCTCACATTTTCACCATACATTTAAAGCAGTCTTATGCCTCATTAACAGCTATGGTTTCCCCCAAGGACTCCAGGGAAGTGTAGTTTGCTAAGGGTGCTGGGAATTGTAGCTCTCTGACAAGGATACAACAGTTCTAAGGATTCTTTAGGGGACGCTGTGACTTTTAAATGTAGAATAAGAGTGGTTTAAAGGAATGGTGTGGATGTCACCCATTAGATGGGTGTGTATTTGAACGCCTATAAGCTGTGGGCATCTGCTGTCAGATGGGACCCAAAGAGGCACATGAGTAAGAGCCAAAAATAATATTACCCATGATAAGTGCAATATCAGTCAGACTAGAATAATAATTTTAAAAACCCAATAAAGTATTTATAAATAGCTAAAAACGGCACAGCTGTTTCAACCACATCCTGGAAAATCAGCAGATAATGCCTGCCATAGTTCTTAGATGGTGATGTGAGACTGTCAGTGGAGGGAGCAGGAAAACTTGTCTGAAAAGGGGCTTTCCGTAATATTGGCATCACCATGGAGAAGGCACAGCTCTCAGCACCTTTGCCTACAGTTGCTATTGTAGGTGTGCCTCTAATGGTGGCTTGCAGTGCAGACCTTAGAAGAATTGCTGTTTTGCTTGCACAAGCTTCAACTTGTACAGCAGAACTTCCCCCTCCTCTCTTTTCCTTTGCAGCCCCCCCCCCACCTACCCTCAAAATCTGCTCCAGAGCCTTTGGGGGACCCTCTGGAGCAGATTTTGGATGAGGTGAAGGCACAGGGAGAGGAGAAGAAGTCCCACTGAGCGAGAAGAATGGCAATCGCCTAGCATTGGAGGCAACCCAATATTTATGGCTGCTCTGTAAAAGCTTCACCTGCTCATGCCAGCACATCAGGTTCTGGTTCAAGGCCTAAGGGCAGGAAAAGCCAATTCCCTGCTCCCAGTCATTCTTTGTCTAGCTGGCTCGTGGATATATGGGGACGAGGAGGCAACTTGCAGGTAGAGATGCAGGTAGAAGAATAGTCTGGGTTGGAAGTGGGTGTTAAAAGTCAAATAAATAAATATGCCACATTATAAATAGATTTCCATGTTCCTTACTGTATAGATATCTAAAATGGGGGGGGGGGTGTTAAAAGCTATATTATGTATTGAATTGCAGATCGTAGCATCAAAGAATCATAGAATTGTAGAGTTTTAAGTGACCCTAAGGATCATCTAGTCCACCCCCCCTGCAATGCAGGAATATACAGCTGTCCCATACAGGGATCAAACCTGCAACCTTGGCCTTATCAGCACATGCTCTAACCAGCTGAGCTATCCAGCTGATGCATTATTATACAGTGGTACCTCGGGTTACATACGCTTCAGGTTACAGACTCCGCTAACCCAGAAATAGTGCTTCAGGATGGGAACAGAAATCGTGCTCCGGCGGCGCGGCGGCAGCAGGAGGCCCCATTAGCTAAAGTGGTGCTTCAGGTTAAGGACAGTTTCAGGATAAGAACAGACCTCCGGAACGAATTAAGTACTTAACCCGAGGTACCACTGTACACATAATGTAGGCAGGAGGAAAGCCATGCTTATGACCAAGTAGGATGAAGGAAAACAGGTCAGTAGCAGCTTATGCTTACAGTGGTTTGTTCTGCAGAAACTCAGGAGAGCAGTTTTGCATGATGAATTGCAGGAGGAATTCAGGAAATTCCCCGAAACCTTGATGTATGGAACTTGGTATGCCTGGGTAGTACAAAGAGCTTGCTGTCTATCATCTTGAGATGCCGCAGGACTGGAGATAGGCAAATGTTGCCCAAATAGTAAAAAAAAAAACCAGGGCTGGGAAGTGGGAGAGTGGGGGAGGATCCAGGAAATAACAGACTTGTCATTCTGACATCAGTACCAGGGAAGATCCTAGGGCAGATGATGAAGCAGTCAATTTGCAAGCATCTTGATAACAATGCAGTGCTCAGTAGTGGCCCCTCAAGCTGAACCTAGTCCATCAATCATGTATGAGCGCACCACCAGTGGTGAGATAAATCACACCCTTGTGCTTCCTGCCTGCAAAACTGGGGGCCAGGATTGGGGAGGGGAAGTCCCTGCAGCCCACAACTCATGTCTGTTGACCTGTCTTGGGCTTGGTGGATTATAGCTTGAATAGACCTGCTTTATCTTGACAGTAGTCTGATAACTTACAATATCTGATGGTTTAATAAGTGGCAGTTGTTTTGATTATGGGCAGATCCCCATCTAGCACAACTTGTATGAATCATTCAAAGAAGGAGCAGGGAGACCTCACAAGGATTAGATAAATTATTGGAAGATAGGACTATCAGTTGGCTACTAGCCTTGATTGATATGCTCGACCTCCACTGTCGAAGGCAGGCAGCAATGCTTCTGATACCAGTTGCTGGAAACCACAGGAGGGGAGAGTGCTGTTGTGTTCAAGTCCATCTTGGCTGTGAGTCCTGGAAGACCTGCTCCCTGCCTTACAGGCCTTTTCCCACCTGGCATGGGAGGGTGCGGTCCGGACTGACTCCAACTACAAAAGCTGAGGCTGCTGAACAGACTCATGGGCTGAGGTTTTTTTTGTTTTTTTTGAAGGGGGGGTGCTGTTGGTTTTTTGTAACTTTATTTTAGATTTTGTTGTGATTTATGTGGAAATTGTTCAGTTTAGTTTTGTAACTTTTAAAGTTTAATTTATTGTTTATGAATGCTTTTGTTAAGTTGTAGATAGGGCTGGGCGATATCTGGTTTTCAGCATTGTGATATATCATCAGCTGAACACAGTGGTATATAGCGATAGATCACGATGTCTGAAATAAGGATGTAACTATGTAGAGGCAAACAGGATAATGTCCTGGCAACTGCTACTACTTAGGGCAGAGCTTTCCAAACTGTGTGTTGCGACACATTAGTGTGTCGGCTGCAGTGTGTAGGTGTGTCATGCGAACACTCCTCCTGGGGCTGAGAGGGGGTTAGTTTAACCTCCATTGTGCTAGTAAAACTGAATTACTGTGTCACGAAATGATGCGTGTCTGAAAAATGTGCCATCACCATGAAAAGTTTGAAAAACTCTGACATAGGGGTCTAAAACTGATACATTTTTACTTACCTTTAGCATACTGTTAAAACTGCTATTTTATAAGCAGCAGGGGCAGCAGAAATCATGAGAGAAGTTAGGACCGGCTCCATTATTTCCCCCCATCACAATTTTTTATATAGCACTCAAACACACACACATTGTGATTTGTGATATCACCATGTCAGATATTATGAAACCATTATCATGATAGGGATAGGGAAAACCGATTTTGGGTGATGTATTGATACATCACCAAGCCCTAGTTGTAGTCATTTATGTTTTTTCATGTTGGAAGCCACCTTGAGCATGGTTTGAATTGTGGAAAGGTGGCATGTGAATAAAATGATGTATGTATGCTTGTATGTCCTGCTTGCTGGTTTCCATGAGCATGGGGCTGGCCACTGAGAGAACAGGATGCTGGACCAGAAGGGCCTTTGCTCTGATCCAGAAGTCTTCTTACGTTCCTACTTTGCAGAAGCTTGATGACTGACCATTTTGCTTCACTGTTTCTCCTTGGTGAACGTTGCTCCTCCTTTTGTTATTCTTTAGACGAATTGTGCCCCAGGCAAAAACGAAATGAATGGTGGTATCCGATGCTATTTGTACTCAGGATGGAGCCATAGAAATTAACAAACTTAACCAACTAAAGTCCATTGATTTCAATGGGTCTACTCTGAGTACAACTTAGTTGGATATCATGCTCTTAGAATAGTTCACTTGCCTTGTTATATTTAGTACAGCATGACTCATTGTATATATAATTTTCCTGAACTCTGATGCCAAGGAACAAAGACTTGGAAAAAAGCTCTATTCAAATAATTGGGATTCATCTACTTGGCTGGGGATCCAGTGAACCACAGAACCATTTCTACATGTTTAACGATATAAACATGCCCAAGGTATAAACTTGACTAGCAATCCAAATAAGCAAGGTGTGTACATGGCACAAACATAGTTGGATATTTGTCTACACACAGTTCCGATTGCTGAAGACGTAAGCCATGGTTTCAGTTTTGCAAATTCAGCAGTTGTTAAGAAAGAAATAGAGGAGGAATCTTATGTTCTGAAAGCATGCAAATACTAATTCTGGGATAAAAGTGAAACAATTGAGATTGGCAGGAACAGAGGGAGTGGACACTATTTTCCCTTTCTCTTATATCTGTTCACATGGTGGTAAGCAAACTGTACCTGTGGAACTTCTGACTTCCTCTGAAAGAGAGAGGAGCCATAATCCTTTTGGAATGTGGCAATTTTGTGTTGGCGCACAGCACACTCTGTGGCTCACCACTGCATCTGCTGATATCTGTAGGATCAACATGCAACACTCCAATCCTAAACATTTGTGTTGGACAGTGTTGATGTCCCTGGCAAAATGTTGCGCTGTAAGTCGCTGCAGTGGGTAGAGCAGTTTATTTGCCATATGTTTTGCATTTATTTCCTGGCATAGTCAACATCAGAATTGGGATATTATGGTGTGTGTTTTTTGTTTGACTGCTTCTTTTCTATTTTAAGCTGTCATTTCAATACTGTCACGGCCAAGATTTGCCAAATCAAAACATCAGAAGTAAGTGAGACTGAATAGCTGAGGGTATTTGCTCTGGAGAGTAGATTTGAGCAGAGATGTTGTGAATTAAGGGGAATATGCCTGATGATTTATAGTGGCATGTTGCTTGAAGTGGAAGGAGAGCAGGAGAGACTTTCCTTGAGAACAAGGAACATGATATATTCTAATGACTGCAGGAGGCTGTTTGTTTTATTTTTGGAGTAGATTTGTTTGCGCTTAAAGTGTGTTTGCTGGGGGAGGAGTTGAAGGCCAGAATAGCTTTGGAATATATTGAATGCCATGGAATTTAAAGACTCTTTCCCTTCAACTTAGAAGATCACTAAACCTCATATGCTGCTGGTTACTCAAACACAGCACATGGAAACATCTGTTGTGTGGAAACATCATGCAAGGCTCATCTGCCATGTAGACTTCTTCTTTGTGGTCTGTCTATCTGCACTGTCAGAGGCATTATGCCTCTGAATACCAGGTGCTGGAAAATGCAGACAGGCAGAGTGCTCATGTGTAGCTTGCAGACTTCCCACAGGCATCTTTTTGGCCATTGTGAAACAGGATGCTGGACTAGATGGGCCAGTGATCTGATCCAACAGGCGTTTCTTACGTTCTTATGTCTTACAGTCCAGCCCTGTACAGTCGTACCTCAGAAGTCGAACAGAATCAGTTCCGGATGTCCGTTCGACTTCCAAAACATTTGAAAACCAAAGTGTGGCTTCTGATTGGCTGCAGGAGCTTCCTGCAGCCAATCAGAAGCCACAGAAGCCCTGTCAGACGTTCGGCTTCCAAAAGAACGTTTGAAAACCATAACACTCACTTCGGGTTTTCGATTGTTTGGAAGCTGAAACATTCGACTCCCAAGGCGTTCGGGAGCCAAGGAATGACTGTATATCGTTTTGGTTGAGGTGGGGTAAGCAAGTTGCAACTTTTGCCATTCCAGCACATTTTGAGCCTAGGTCAGAGAGAAAGAGAACCTCAGGCCTGGTGGCCTTCATGCAGTCCTCTAGGCCTTTTAATATGGTCTTTGGGCTTCAAAGGCTACATGGCTTACTGACTGGAATGTGTCCTTGAAGTGTGATAATGCCTCTTGCTTGCCTGGATAAGGGATGGAGATGTGTGTGAGAGCAGAAACCTCTGAGCTTTGTTTTGCTAGAAGGTAGTGCCAGATCACAACAGCAACAGCAACATGTATATTTATACGGGTACCTACTGAGAAGATCCATTTAAAAAGCAACTGTACCAAAAAGACTTATTATGAAAATAAGAAATATGGGGGGGGGGGGGAGGGCGCCAAAGTTTATCCTTCCATATTACCTGTCCCTAATACTGCATGGTAAGATTCACATTCATTGCTCCCACTTTTTGCCTCTAGGCCTGCCCACCACTGACATGTAGCCCCTGAGAAGTTCTCTTAAGGGGATGTCGCCCTCATGCTGAAATCTTAGGTCTCACTGGTATGCCTGTAAACAGGGGGGCCAACTTGAATAAAATATTGTGGGGTCCCAGGAAAGCCCCATCCCCCATAATCAGTCACACAATACAGTGCACACACACACCCTTTGAATGGGAAGGCCCAGCCCCCTCAAATATTTTGTTGTGGAGGCCAAAGCCCCCTTGGCCCCTAGGAGTTGGTTCGTATGCCTGTAAATATCAGTTGCTGCGATTCACAAGTTGGAAGAGTGCTGCTGTTCTCATGTCCTGCTTCTGGGCTTTCCATAGGAATCTGGGGGAGAGTCACACTGGCTCTGAATTTTTTTGTGGTGATAATAAATCTCATGGGACAAGACCTCCCTAATGGTGACCCACCAAGATGACTACAGCCCATGAGCCATGTGCTCTGCCAGGTGATTGACCCCCCACTCTAGCCACCATTTTTCTAGTCTCAGCTGGGCAGCAAAACCACAATGTTTAGATGGGCTAGACTCTCACGTATGGCTGGTGGGGTAGCATTTGGCTCCGTGGACCACAAGTTGTTCTATGCAGCAAATCTGACTATAGAAGGAAGAGCAAACAGGGCCTCCGGCAATCCCACCTCAATCTTTTGGCTTCTACATGGTCCTAGCTATGGTTCTAGCCCTACCTAACATTACAGTAGCTGCCATACTACACTTGAATCCATTTCCTTCAGTGGCATAATGAGGATTCCTAAACTGTTTGCTTCTTCATTTGTTTCCTGCAGGATGTTCCTCCTTGTGGGTGCTCCAAAGGCAAACACAACTCAACCTGGGATTGTGCAAGGAGGCCAGGTGCTCAAGTGTAACTGGAACCCCAACAGAAGAAACTGCCAGCCGATTGTATTCGATGCCACAGGTAATATAGCAATATGGGCTTTTGCCAACCCAAGGGATTTGGATGAATTGCAAAGAGGAAAGCAAATCAGCAACCTGTTGGAAAAGATTTGGAGCAATAAGGGTCATTGTACACAAGGCTCACTTTGTTGGCCTGTCTTCATGCCATAGTCATTCAAAATGGTGGAGGTGCTCTTAGCATGTTGTGGTAGGCCTGCCGACATGCATAGTATGCCATTGATTTGGAATGGTTGTGACAAGACAGCCAACACATTCATTGTTGGTGAACAGTTTGGATCCTGGTGACAGAACCAGCAGGATGGGAGGATGTAGCTTTCCCACGTGATCTTGGGAATCTGTACTGCTTGGAATCTAGCCCCCATCTCCCTGCCCTCTTCTGCTTGTTTCTGGCAGCCCCTCAAGGAACTGCAAATCCTAGCAGATAAAGTTTCTCTTGGCGGAACCGGATTTGCAAATGTAAGGGAGGGAATGACGGCCTGTGATGAGAGGTAGGGTATAAGCCAATTCAAAGACATCCCTAAGCCGTCACTGTTCGTTCTTGGCAGTTTCAATGTGTTAAGATAGGCTGGCTTTCTGGTGAGCTGGAATCTTTGTTGCTGGAATTAAAGAACTCTCTGCTTTACAGTGGCAAAAACCATTTGAAAGTGCTTTTTATATGCTGGCTATTCCAGCAAAGGGTACATTGGTTCCTTGTCCAGGGCTTACAACAATGTAGACATAACATAGAGGACTGGATTCTGGAATTTCACGGAAGGAGGGGGAGGTTTCTTGTCCCCTCCTCTCCATTGCAGTGATTTGCACTCCCAATAAAAGCCTCTTTGGAGGGTCGAGGACCCCTCCTGAAAAATATGGGGTGTGGTGTGGTGGGCTGCTATGAGAGGGGAGAATTGCCCCAAATCAAATTTGAACCACAAAGGAAATTCTAGTTCCTGTTCCTAGCAGCAATCTCATGCCCTGCCCCACATTGTTTAGGAGTCCCCTCCCCAACCCTCCAGGGAACAATACTAGGGGGTGCTCAGGTGATGGGCAGCAGGTAAGAGGGGATGGGAAACTTTCCATTCAGAAAGTTTCTTAAGTTCACTTAGCCTGAGGCTCCAAGTCAAGAGGTCCTGAAGTGGGAGATATGCTCAAAAAGGCAGGCTTGAATTCCTGTGCTTATGAGTTGCAAATTACTCAGTCCCTCAGTCACTCCCACTAAAGCTAGATTTATTTATTTATTTTTAAAAAGGGAAACCATGTACGCAGCATGACTTTGCACATGCAGCCCCACAGCCACTTGTGGACATGTGGTGGAATCCTGGTAAGCGTGCTATAGGGGCAGGCAGTCATATAAGGCATTTCTGGAGCAGTGCTGGGCTTGCGGGTACACTAGTTGCAGGCTACCTATTCAGCTATCTGTTCCACATTTGCAATTATGCAAATGGTCAGTTTGTAGCCCAGTTTTCTTCATGCCACACCTGAGGCAGCTAACCGTAACAACCACTGAAAAACACATGGCATGAATAAATACAGGTTTACAGACATGTTTGTCATCTGGCTGCCAATTAGCTTCCAGGTCCAATTCAAAGTGCTGGTTTTGTTCTATAAAACCTTAAATGGCTCAGGACTACAAACTTCAAAGACCGCCTCTTTCCATATGAACCTCTCTGGACCCTGAGACCATAAACTGAGCCCTGCTCCATGAGAGGTCCAGAGGATGGCAACATGAGAGAGGGCCTTTTCTGTGGTGACTCCCTGTTTGTAGAATGCTCTCCCGAGAGGGGCTCCCCTGGCACCTTTGTTACATATCTTTCAGGACCAGGCAAAAACATTCCTCTTCTTCCAGGCCTTTGACCAATTAATCTATGGCCTTCAATCTAAAAAAATCTATGGGGTATTGTTTTTGTTTGTTTGTATGTTAGTGTTTTTATATTGTAAACAGCCCTGTGATCCTCAGATGAATGGTGGTATAAAAATCATAATTGTCATCATCATCTGGCTAGGACTAATGGGAATTGTAGTCCAAAATGTGTAGAGGGCACCAGGTTGGCAAAGGCTGGAGTAGATCCACTAAAATCAATGGGGCCTAAAGTGGAAATCTCAACGTAACTTACCTGGGAGTGAGCCCTATTGAATTTAACAGGACGTACTTCTGAGTAGTTAGGATTGTGCAGAAAGTTAGTCATGGCTAACTTGAGTCCTGCTGGTTTCCTCCAGGAGTTGTTGGACTACAACTCCCATCAGTCCTAGCCTGTAAGGCCAATGGTCAATGGGGACTTTAGTCCAACAACATTTAGGGGCACCAGATTGGAGCAGACTGGACTACATTAAGCATCACTAAGGCTGTGTACACACTGCTGCTTACTGCATCCAGTGTGCTCCCACTGCTGGTTTGGGAAGCGATGTACACACAACATTGGCCACAATCCATATCTATCCTGTCGTTTCTTATGAAATACTGTGTTTCCCCCCAAATCTGCTTTGATCTAAATTGAGAAAAAGAACAACCTAGCTGTGTTTTAAGCTGGCAATGTGTCCATGGCCAAAGTCTGGATCCATCTCAAAGATTCTCCCTCTAGCCTGCACACAAACACCTTATGGAAACATGTCATCTGGTTCCAGCTGTAGCCTGACAGTTCCAAAAAACCAGCCCATGGGCTGAGACTGGTCAGCTGTAGTGTGATGCAAGCCCAGTGAATTCCGCTCCCCTTCATTTGACTGTTGAAATGTTCCCCATGAGAAACTCTGCAGCTCTGGTTTCATTTCTGATGTGCGTGGAAGGGGAAGCATGGCTTTAAAAAGAGTGTAGAATTCCTTTTTCAGGGCAACAGAGCCACGTTCCCTTCTGGTTATTGTGTGTGGGTGATCCCTTCGCCAACAATAGAAAGCCTTGTTTGAGAGCCAAACAACGCTATCGGTCAGGCATGGCCATTGCTGTGACCCATTTAGCATCTGGCATATTTAAAAGGGCCTTGCGTAGCGCCATCCTCTCAGCCTTCTCCAGCTCAGGAGCTGCTGCCGGTGCCGAGAACTCATGCGGAAAATGTGTGCCAGGGGTCTGGGAAGGGGGGGAATTGGTGGGGAGCTGCCTGCCGACTTCTCTCGGCGTACGGCAGAGGAAGCTGGCAGAGCCGAAGCTGAACTGATCCAGCGTGTCATTGTTCAAAGGCTGCGTTTGGGAGCGGTGGGTCACGGGAAGGTCCTTTTCCTATTTATAGCTTTAGTCTAAAAAGAACATCTTGCCAACAAGCCCACAAAAGGCTCCTGTGGCAGCAAAAGAGCAGATCAAAATATAAAACCCCAACGAAAACGTTTAGAACACCGAGTCCACTACAAAATGGGAGGGAAAGAGGAAGCGAATCAAGGTGATTTTGATAAAATAATATTAGGAACAGCTGATTTGACTGAAACCCTTATGTGAGCAGGAAAGTATGTATCACCTTCCTGTGATATGAGCTAGTTAGAGGAGCCTCCCCAGGTAACTGTTCTTCATCCTTAGGTCCCCAGGTGTTTTTGGACTACAGTTCCCATTGTCCCCTGCTGGTTTAGGCAGGGGTCAGGGATTATGGGAGTTGTAGTCCAACAGCATCTGGGGACTGAAGGTTGAAAAGTGCTGCCAGCAAGGGAAAGCGCTCAAATCAAGGAGACTCATCTTCACTGCCACCCAGCTTAGACAGTGACAGCAACAAGTGAAGTTCCTTTAGAGGTTTGACATGGGATCAGGCATCCTGGACCCAAACAGCACAATCCTGCACATCTGAATTGGATGGTGGGAAAGGATTATCTCTCATAATACTAAGAACTTGTTAAATGAAGCTAGAGTTGAAAGATTCAGGGCAGTCAAAAAGAAATTATATCTTCACCCGGTGCATAGTCGAACTATGGAATTTGCTTTCACAAGATGTTGTGATGGCTGCTAACCTGGATGGCTTTAAAAGAGGTTCCAGGTTTGTTTGTTTTTCAAACTTGGCCCTCCAGCTGTTTTTGGACTACAGTTCCCATCATCCCTGACCACTTGTCTTGCTAGCTAGGGATGATGGGAGTTGTAGTCCAGAAACAGCTGGAAACCCAAGTTTGAGAAGCCTTGACCAGTGATGGCCAAACTTGGCCCTCTAGCTGTTTTGGGACTACAGCTCCCATCATCCCTAGCTAACAGGACCAGTGGTCAGTGATGATGGGAATTGTAGTCCCAGAACAGCTGGAGGGCCAAGTTAGGCCATCACTGGTTTAGACCAGTTCATGGAGGATAAAGCTATCAGTGGCTACTGGCCGCATTGGGTATGTTCTGCCTCCATTTTGGGAGGCAGCATGCGCCTGAATACCAGTTGCTGAGCACTACAAATGAGGAGAGTGCTGTTGTACTCAAATCCTGCTTGCAGACCATGTGGGTAGCTGGTTGGCCTCTGTGAGAACAGAATGCTAGACGAGATGACCCCTCTTCTGCTCGTATCTTTACTCAAAAGTAAGTCCTGCTGTGTTTAACAGGTCTTGTGGATGTGTTTCAGGATTTGAGCCCTTGTGTGACTGAGTTTGATATCCTTTACTAAGGTTCTGCAGAAGGAAGCAAAGGATGGACAGGGGCCCCTTTAGCAAGAAGAAACATTGCAGTTTCTCATTTCTTGGAGGGTCCTGCCAGACCTCTCCTCTGGTTTAATTTTACAGTTCAGATCAAAGCTTTTCAACACATGGTGAAACAGGATATGACATTTGTGCAAGGAGCGTGCTTCTTGCAAAACTCCCAGCCTATTTTGAAAGTGTTGCAACTGATACATGGTTTAATATATGTTGATTTTCAGTGTGTATATGACAAAACCTTTCACTGAAGCTGTTTTAAAAGCTGTTTTTGAAGCTATTATGAAACTACAGGCAATACACACAAGGAAAAAGTATAGTGGGAGCAAACCAAAGATCCTGTATTTTTTACTATTATATTTATATCCCAACTTTCCTCCAAGGAGCTCAAAGTGGCATATATGGGTTCTAACCCACTCCATTTTATCTTAACAACAACCCTGGGATGTAGGTTAGCCTGAGAGACTGTGGCTGGCTGAAAGTCGTCCAGCAAGCTTCATGGCTGAGTAGGGATTTGAACCCAGGTGAAAGAGACAGAGCACTTTGTAGAAGAATTAACAAAAGATCCAAGGGTGCTTGCTTCTGGCAGCTGATGCACTGTGGGGGCCCCTCCAATTTTTTAAATTTTTTTTTTTTGAGGGGGCTGGGACTCCTCAATGTTCAGAGCACCCTGTGTGCGATGTCAGGAAGTCATGTTGGGGCCCCTCAATCCTCTGGAGAAGGTGGCACCTCTGAAAGGATCTAATATAGCTAGGACAACTGAGACACAAAATGGTAGGTAAAGGGACCTCTGACCATTAGGTCCAGTCGTGGACGACTCTGGGATTGCGGCGCTCATCTCACTTTATTGGCCGAGGGAGCCAGCGTACAGCTTCTGGGTCATGTGGCTTCTGGCGAACCAGAGCAGCACACGGAAACGCTGTTTACCTTCCCGCTGGAGCGGTACTTATTTATCTACTTACACTTTGACGTGCTTTCGAACTGCTAGGTTGGCAGGAGCAGGGACCGAGCAACGGGAGCTCACCCCGTCGCGGGGATTCGAACCGCCGACCTTCTGATCGGCAAGTCCTAGGCTCTGTGGTTTAACCCACAGCGCCACTGGATATGTAAAGTGGCACACCCATGAGAAATATTTTGGGCAAACCAATCCCAACCTCTGATCATGTGCTTTGGGTGTGCGGGTGGGTGTTAAGATAAAGAGGAAATTTCATGAAGATAGCCTTCTTTATTCTTTGGCGATCACTCGTAGCTGAGTAAGATTGTCTTCCATGAACACAGTCTTAACAGTGCGTCCGTAAGTGACTGTGGAGGCCAATTCTGGATCCACATATCCTTCCACAGTGGAGACATAGGTTTCTGGGCAGGATTTGATTACGATGAGGATTTGCCAAATGTGCCTTCCTCTTAGCTTGTTTCTCCCTTTCGTCCTGAGTTTGTGCTGCTTCAAAGCCTGTGACACCTTTGGTAGAGGCTGTTCTTCAGTTGGAGCCCTCACAGGCCAATGTTTCCCAATTATCTGTGCTTATACTGCATTTTTAAAAATAGATTTGCCTTGAGAGCATCTTTAAACCTCTTTTGCTGTCCACAAGTATTTTGCTTTCCATTCTTAAGTTGCTTTGGAAGACGATAATCAGGCATCCGAACCACATGACCAGTCCAACGAAGTTGATGTACGATGAAAATGACTACAGATGACATCCATCTGTATGCCTTCTGAATTTTCTGTTTGTTTGTTTTTTTAAAGCATTTTTAAGTTGCGGGAATTTGAGAAACAAAAACTTTATGGTATGTCTACTGGATGTCACAATTATGTTGCCAAGTAAGCACTTTTGTGCTTTCTTTACTTACACCCTTCAGAAGTGTCTGGAACAGATCACTGTCAGAAGTAGGATGCGGGGCTGAGGCAGGTCATTGACCTGACCCAGTCAAGATGCCCTTTTTTGCGTCAACTTCCTTATTTCCTCGTCTTCCTCATTCACATTGGAGCCCCAAAGTGTAATCTCACAAACTGATAGTGGTGCAAGTAAAAAGAAAACACTGTTGGGCATGGGAAGGGCTGGGGCTCAGTGGTAGGCCATCTGCTTCGTATACAGAAGGCCCCACATTCGATCACTGACAAGTTGGGCTGGGAGAGCCCCCAGCCTGAAACCTTGGAGATCTGCTGCCAGCCAGTGTAAACCAATACTGAGCTAGATGAATCAATAGTATGACTTGAGATAAGACAGTTTTGATGCCTTGCGCCATGGCGCAGGTTGAACATTTGGTTGAAAAACACCTGGGCTTCATTTTGGTTCAAGCAAGTTGCAATGTATACCTATGCGCTTAATTTATTATGGGGCCCTTGTTAAATCCAGTATACCTCATGCAAAGCTGCAAGGAAATAAGCTCTGCCTCTTTTCCACCACAGCGTGCAATTCCCGGCATGAGTCATTGTGCGCACGGTTAAGGAGATTCCTGCTCCGATAGTTTTAAACTGTGTTTACTCAAGTCATAACTAGATGGGAGGATAAAATGCCTTGCTCGTACTAGCCAAGATAGAATGATTTATTTGTGTTTTAAAAGATTTCTGGAGGAAGAAGCAGTTCTTTCCTGACCAAAGCAGGAGCTGTGCATTTCCAACGAGGGCCAGTTGAAATGTGGTTGGTGCTACAGCAGTGGCAAAGCCTGGGGCGGCCTTGACTGCATGGCCGGAGTTATTGTGAACATGCCTACACAGCAAACCAATGCTTGTGACTGTCTTGTCGGTTCTTGGAGCTGTTCCGTGCAGCCCAGCAGGAAATCCTGAAGGCCGAGTTCATATATTTATCCTGGTGCAACAATATATCCTCACAGATTGAGGAGCAAGCATGCTCTCTCCCCTCCACAATGCATGTCATGTTGCATATTGTGCAGGTATCCTCCTCCTTGGATGAGCACCATATTCGCCTTCCTCCATCCTGCGCAAATGGGCAGAAACCTGATGTGATCAGCATGGCAAAAGGGGGGGAGGTTCTGTCTGCTCTTTCAGCACACACACACTCCACTATTTATCTGATGAAAATAGGGATGTCAATAATAATAATAATAATAATAATAATACCCCACCCATCTGACTGGGTTGCCCCAGCCACTCTAGGTGGCTTCCAACATATATAAACACATAATCAAGCATAAAGCATTTTTTAAAAAAAGTTTCCTTATATAGGGCTGCCTTCAGGTGTCTTCTAAAGGTCATATAGTTACTTATCTCCTTGGCTCAGTTGTTGCATAACTTCACACCCTCCAACATTTCTCTGATGGAAAATAGGAACGTCCTAAGGAAAAGTGAGACCTTCAAATCAGAAACCAGGACAGCTTCTGTAAATCTGGGACTGTCCCTGGAAAATACAGATACTTGGAGGGTGTGCCAGCATATAAGGGCTATTGCCATCTGAATGCATGTTTAAATGAAGACTGAGTGCATGTGAGGGTGGCAGGCCTATTTCTTTAAAAGTGCAAAGTGGAGAGGTTGAGTTGAACGGTAGGGCGTCTGATTCCATGCAGAAGGTCCCAGATTCAATCCCTGGCCTCTCCAGGTAAGGCTAGGGAAATACCCCATCTGAAACCCTGGGGATCCCCTGCCCGTCAGTGTAAGCAGTACTGAGCTATGTAGTCCAATGGACCGACTCTGTATAAGGCAGCTTCCTATGGCACTCTTGATGGTGGTGTTGCATCCTTCCCCTGCTCCAGAAGTCTCTCCCTCAGCTGCTTTTTATTTAGTTATATTTGCTTCCACTATTAGAGCCCTCTAGGAGAGAGAGAAAATGTTCTTGGGAGGTAAACTGTAGGGGTGAGCTTGGTTGGTGGGTGGAGAGATTTGGCATTCCTTACCTGCTCACCTCTTTTGCTCTTTAAATTGCACACCACCCCACACTTTACACTGGCTGACTCGCGTTTAAAGACATGGATCAGCCAACCCACAGGCCTTCCGCCTCCCTCCACCCCCTGCCCTCCGAAGACTAGCGTTTGCTTTCATTTATATTGTGTATGTTACAACGACTGCTGTGCTAAACAATGCGCTCTGGAGATATTAACATTGGAAGGCCTCTAAACAAACTGAGAAGGAGGCAGCAACATCGCAAGCCGTCTTTTCTTGGCACAAAAGCAGACGAAGCATCTCTGCAAATAAATGATCCCTCTCAAGATGCAGTAAATCTGCGACTTCTGGCTAGGCTTCCCACCCCATGCAGTCCACTCCTTCTTAGATTTCCTAGCCAACCAGGGACCCTGGTTCAGTTTTTGCATTTTTGATGTATCTGAAGGGCCGCATGAAGAGAAGAGAAATGCTGGGTCACATCTTGCAGAGCGCTGTTGCTCCCAGGGCCTGCTTGCAGGCTTCCCATAGGCAGCTAGTTGGCGAAATAGCTGTCAGCTTTTCCCTTTTCTTGCAAGGGATCCTATTCGGAATAAGGGAATTTTCCTTTAAAAAGGGGGAAAGTTTACAGCTATGGTTGGCCACTGTGAGAAAAGATTATTGGACTAGGTGGGGCTGAATGACCCTTGTTTCCAGGGGTCCCCTATTGCTGAACTGCAACTCCCATCAGCCCCAGCTAGCATGGCCACTGGGAGTTGTAGGGCAACAGCATCTGGAGCGCACCAGGCTGGCTGCCATTATTTCCCCTTGTGAAAGTTACTAAGCAGTGAGGTGCCCAACATGTTAGCATTTGCCCAACTGCTTTAAGGGGCCCGGGGCTGAGAGAAGATCTTGGTGAGGCAACTGCAGCAGCCTTGCCCCTTTTTGCTGCCTGCTCCCAACAGGCTCACTTGTGTGTGGTTGTTACCAAGGTGACACTTTGGGGAGAGAAACTTTTTGTGTGGGAGCATAGAACAGGGCCTTTGCTGTACTGGCCCCCAGGATGTGAAACTCCCGCTGCAGATACAGCCACACACCCTGTTACCTGTTTCTAGACATCAGGTTAATATTTCTTCCTTCAGGCCTAAGGCAGATTTTAAGATTTGGTTTCCTCTGCTGATGGGTTGCTGTTTAACACTCTTACTGGATTTATGGTTTTTACTGCTGAGTATTTCAATAAACTATTTGGGTGCTACTTTGAGTTTGGAGACTGGGTTATAAATTCCATAAATAATCGTGACTAATTAAGAACAACAATGTGCTCTGGAAGTATTGGCGTTTGAAGCACCCCAAGCAAGGAGCTAAAGAGGCAGCTGTGATGCAGGCCACTCCCCGCCACTGACTGAAAAAGCAGATAAAACATACTGCCTTGAGGAACAGGTCATGTCTTGCCTTTCCATTAGCTGAAGAGATGCTTTTGAAGAAGTGCCTTTTTTCTTGCTCTTCAATCATCAGGCTTGCTTCCAATAGAGGTGTTGGTTTTCAAACTCTCCCAGGGAAACCAGAGTTTCTCAGCTGGGAAGCTAGCCAGACAAACTTCTCCAAACTAAGACTGATCTTTCTCTACAATATAGAGCCAGAAGGGAGTATGAAGAGTATGTAACACTGAAATCTCCAGCCAGAAAGCAATACGGTATAGAGTAAGGCATAGAATCATAGACTTGTATAGTTGGAAGGGACCCCAAGGGTTATTTAGTCCAACCCCCTGCAAATGCAGGAATCTCAGCTGAAGCATCAGTCCACACTGGGGAAAGGAAGCCCTAAGCCCTGACCTAACCAGAGCTATGCATAAACTGAATGTGCGGCCCAGGACATGTTCAAGAATCTTCCTCAGGCGCTGTGTGACTTAAGATTCCTCAGCAAAGAGGCTAGTGTTAAAAAAAAAATCACCTGCAGGCAGAAAATTTGGAAACTATTGCAATGTACTCTCACATTTATGCCAAGATTCTAGCAAATTTCAGTTGCACCTTCTGGTCTTAGGTACTTGTTTTTGTTTTGTCTGGTCTTGTTTTGTTTGCTTGCTTGCACTGAAACATTAGATCTTAAGTTTGGAAGCGAGTGAAAAATCGTTCTTGAAATACTAAGTACAGTACGGGCTATTTTAAGTGCTTCTGTCCAGAAAAAGCACAGAAGCCTCATGGAGCTCATTATGTGCACCGACCGTAGCATATACCTCAGTATGCTCCAGTTTATCACACATTTTTACTTAATTTTGAGTGCGTGCGCATGCGCGCACACACACATATCAATTAGTGTACCGTTTGTAAAGTAGCAGGCTCCTACAATATTATATTAAGAATAGGAGGATGATAACAGTCCATAATGCACTTGTGAAGAAATGCCACCTTTCGAGTTATTTTATTCTGTTTCATTTCTCCCCACCTTATATAGCTGGCCGCCAAAGCTGTATTGTGGCCAAACCCATCACAATATTACATACCGAGGCAAATTAAAACAAGTGTAATCAAGGCAATGCATCTAGAAGGGACTAATGACTGAAAATTTGGCGATGGCCATTCAGACAAGTCAATTGTGCTTCCAGTTTAACAAATTGAGGCTGCAAACCTGTACACACTTATCCTAGAAATTAACCCCACTGAACATTATGTCCAGGGACTTGCTTCCTTCCTTCTGAATTGTGTTGTAAGAACTACAAAATCTTTATTAATCTAGCATCTTCTACAGCCAGCTCTGCAACCTTATAAGTAAACTTCCTGCATTAAAAACAAATCACCTTATGATTAGATGGGAGAGCTTTGCTTCTTGTCTGAAAAGCTCCCTGCTAGAGATTTTGTACACATGACGGTGTGGAATGTAAAGTGGTAGATCTTCACCCATCCCTTTGCCGCATGGTTATAAAATCCTACTAAGATTTTAAACCAGCTGTTATTTGTTTCGGCTTGCCAGCAAAGACGGAAACCTTTCTCTCCAGGATTTCCCGGACAGGAAGCAATAATATGCCTAAAGAGGCAGAGATTTCCTTACAAGGTGGATAGCATACAAAGGAGTTTAGATTAGTCGCCAGCAGTTGAGCTGAATTACTGTGGAGCTGCTGACTCGTAGAAGAGAGGATCATTCTTAATCATGGCTCTCTTGTTTTCGTGAGAACCATGATAAGCGGTGCTTGCATAACCTTTGAAGATGGCCTTGCTTTGGGTTGTATTCTGGCAAGGCCATCTTCATGGACAGATGCAATACTGCAGCCCTATTCTTTGAGAATATCCCACAGAATATTATGTGGTTTGTGTCCAGAGAAATGTGAACACAGCTTAGCCAATGAAACAGTGCCAGAATTTGTCAACAAGGCTTTGGAGCAGGTGAGATCTTCTCAACTCCAGGCAGTCTTGGCTTCAGAATGCTTTGGGGACAAAAATTGACTTGGTCACCCTGGTGGGTGACATAGAGCAGGGTGGGAAGTGCAGTGTTGTTAGTCAAAAGCTAATCTTTTGAGGTAGATTACAAAAATTTAAGCTGATGTAGCTGGTGAGTCACACAGACATCTGCCTTGTTGGCCAAGCCTGGGGGTAGGGTGCAGGTTCTGGAAATATTTATTGGCCCTCTTGATGTATTCAAAAGATACTGCGAATGCAGAGTTCAACAGGCCTAACAAGGTCCTATATTTATTCCTTTTCATTGGGAAAAGTGGTGATCGTTAACCCCTGCCTGAGCCATTTATCATCCTTCAGGAGCAACTAAGGAAAGTTGGAAGAAAGGTTTCACAATCTGTCTCCTGAACTGGGTAGATTCTGGTTGGGCTGTTATGAGAACGCACTCCCTTTGGGGGTGAAACCATAGTTCAGTGGTAGCACAGCACATGCTTTGTTTGTCAAATTCAACCTCTGGCATCTCCTGTTAAAAGAATCAGGTAGTATATGATGTGAAATACCTCTGCCAGAGACCCTAGGGTTCCCTAGGGAATGGGGAACCAGGTACCCTCCAGATGGGATTGTAACTCCCCTCATCCTTGACCATTGGCCATGCTGGCTGGGACAGATGGAAGCTGGAGTCCAGTACCACCTGGAAGTTCCCCATCCCTTCCTTCAAGAGACATTTGCATGAGAGTAAACAGTATTGGTGTAGATCAATGTGTCCTAAACTTGGGCCTCCAGCTGTTTTCAGACTATAATTTCCATCATTCCTGACCACTCACCTTGCTTGCTAGGGATTATGGGAGTTGTAGTTCAAAAACAGCTGGAGACCCAAGTTTGGGAACACTGGTGTAGATGACCAAATGGTCTGATCTAGTATAAGGCATCTTCCTATGTTCCCAGCATGGTGATCAAGTTATGAGGGTCACTTCCACCAAGATAATGAGGACCTTTAGACTGGAGCCATATCCTCATCTCATGGAGACCTTGTCTATTATCACTGATCCCAGACAGCTAGGCACAGCTTCTAAGGTGCCATTCTTTCTTTAGAAGATGCAAGTCTTTTAACAGATACTGTGGTTTTTTTCAATAGGTGATTCAGGTCTTTGTAATCTAGTAGGCTGACAATGGGCAACATTATCACTTTTGATGAATGCATGCTTCCTTGGTGTGCGAATGAGCCAACTCAAACACCACAGATAGGAGAACTTCAAACAGTTTTGCAAATACTTCAGGCGGAGTAGCCCTTCTTCACACATGTGAATAAGCACACTAAGCTCTGCCACCTCCACCACACCTGGCAGCCATCCCCATTGCCTTTCACAAGCTGGAGGGTGAACTGCACAGTTTAGACCTCTAGATTCTAAAGCACACAGAGAGCCTCTGTAAGTGCAGGAAATTCTGAACTGCATAGATTTGCTCTGCAACTTATGGAAGATGGGGTGGAGACCTAGCACTCTTGCTGTTCCCTCTCATGTGTTTAATCAACACATAAGCAGAATGCTTGCATAGGGTCACATGCGCACCATACATTTAAAACACATGGGTACCACTTTAACAGTCATGGCTTCCCCCAGAGAATCTTGGGAACTGTAGTTTAGCTCTTGCAATGCTAAAATTCCCAGCACCTTTGACAAACTACAGTTCCCAGGATTCTTTGGGGGAAGCCATGTGCTTTAAATGTGCAGTGTGGATATGGCTTGAGCTCCTGTTTTTCAGTAGAACCTATTCAGTGCATTGTAAGACATCAAGGGCAGTGTAATAAGTAAGGAGAAAGCTCTCTTTGATATGGACGGCACCAACATTAACGAACTTTCCGTGACAGCTGAAGATGCACTTATTGGGTCAGGGCTTTGCTGTTATTGCTGTGGATCCTTTTTGTTAATTATGATTTTAGATCTACTGGGACGGCTGTTAACGGAGTGTGAAAACTAATCTTGTAAACAATAAAAAAAGTAATGCATGGATACATGATGTGTAACTCAGTGCAAGGGACAAGCCCACTTCAGACATTATAGCACTCGGTAATAAATAATAATAATATTTTTTATTTATACCCCACCCTTCCCGGTTCAGAAAACCAGGCTCAGGGCGGCTAACAACAAATTTAAAACACTTATTTGTAATACAGCATAGAAGCAGCATAAAATACAGTATGAAAGCATGAATAACAATAAAATTCAAAGTTCAAAAATCAATTTGGGGGAAATCCATCCAATAGGCATTAGATAGTCACCAGGGCTAGCTGGCTGAATTAGTCCTACTTTGGCCAGCGAGGAGGCCAGGGGAGAATTAGCTGTGGGGTCTCAGAGTGGGTAATCTTCATAAAGGGGAGGGGGAAGGAAGAGAAGGGAAATAAAAGGCTGAATTCAAATTAAAGGCCAGGCAGAATAGCTCTGTCTTACAGGCCTGGCAGAAGGAGCTTAAATCCTGAAGGGCCCTAGTCTCATGGGACAGAGCATTCCACCAGGTCAGAGCCGTCACTGAAAAGGCCCTGGACCTGGTGGAGGATAGTCTGACTTCCTTAGGGCCCAGGACCTCTAAACGATGGTTATTCATGTACCTTAAGGTCCTCTGCGGGGCATACCAGGAGAAGTGTTCAGATGTTGCAAGACTGAAATGTCATTTTCATAGCTCCATGACGGGGTTGTTTGTCTTCTAGGCAACAGAGATTTTGCGAAAAACGATCCTCTGGAATTCAAGTCCCATCAATGGTTTGGCGCATCGGTGAGATCGAAAGATGACAAAATTTTGGTAAGCCTTCATTTTCAGTGTTTATTGCATGCCGTTATCATCATATCTATTTACGAGTCAATCAATCAAATTGATTGAATATCAATTAACATCTTTGTACACCACCCACTCATAAGAGAGTAGAATCAGCAAGCTCAGGGTAACTCCAATGTACAAAAAAAATCAGCAGAATTGTTTGGAGGAGAGGACAGAATCCACTCAAACTGTCCCATGGGATGTTGAGAGACTGAGGGGAGGCAGCCTTTTAATTAAGTAGGTGGGAGAAGATAGTGTCTGACAGGTCACTCCCTGATTCAAATGGAGAAGATGTCCATAGACATCAATAGAGAAATTAAAGAACTGGGGGACCAGGGGACCCAAATAGCCCAACAGAGACTTGGGATGCTCAGTGGGCCTAAAAAAGGCAGACTCACTATTTGATTGTGGTGGTGGAAAGCAGGGTGTTCTCAGAGAGATGGCATGGAGTAGCTGGAGCCCTCAACAGAAGCACTCCATGCTGCAGCATTTTGTTGTCGTGCCGCATCTGTATATACTAACAGTGATTTCTGTGAGTGTCCGTTCTTACACAGCCAAAACAGCACCATTCACACATAAAGAGGGCAACATCAACAGGTTTGGAGGAATTCAAAGGCCCCAACATAGGTTGCATTTTTCGGCTATGTTACAGCACAGAGACAGTCGATGTGCCCTCCAGATGTTGCTAGACTCCAGATCCCAGTATCCCTAACCATTGACGGTGGTGTCTTGGGCTGATGGGAGTTGGAGTCCAACAATATATGTAGGGTACCATAGTTTGACAGACCTTTGGGCACTCCCTGGCCTTTAGATAGATAGAGTTCCTCCAGCTGCCCAGCACCTTACTGCACAGTCCGTGAGCACCCATTCCTTCAGGTGTTTGCTTGGATCATTTGAGCACCTCCATGCAGCAGTTGTTTAACTGAGCTACAGGCTGAGGCAGATGCTGACACAGCCTTGGTGCTTGGGTGGTGCCAGGAAATTAATGGCTAGGGCACCCTGAAAGTTAGCTGACGTGAGGAAGTTTTTGCTTGCGTCGTTTCTTTTCCTTCCCTTCTTGTTATTTTTTTGCGAAACTTCAGCCAAATCACTTTGCGAAGCACCTCATTTACCTTCACCAGACTGAGTGACTTTGCTTAAGCTGCAGACAAGGCAGACGTTCCCCTCTCTATGGCTGGCTAAGGCAAGCATCATTTGTTCCCTTTTCGAAAGCATTTCCCCCCCACTGATTCTCAGCATCTCACTGCACTGCGTATAATGGTGGACTTTTAAAAAGAGCTTTCTAAATGCTGCCATTTTGCTTCCCCCGCAGGCGTGTGCCCCATTGTACCACTGGAGAACAGAACAGAAAGCAGAGAGGGAACCTGTGGGAACATGTTATCTTCATGACGGGTCCAAAGCTTTTGAATACGCTCCCTGCAGGTCAAGTATGTGGAGAATGTCTTGCTATTGTAATTACAGCCCTGAATCTATTTTCTGTGTGCTGTCGTATTATAAGCACAACTTTAAGGTGTGTGGAAGAAACACACCCACACCCTCATCTTTGCAACAGTGATTTAAGGCGGGCATCCCCAGCCTTTTGGGGCCCAAGGGGAATATATAGAAATCTAAGAAACTCTTGCAGTCACCACAAAATGAAAAACTGGCGATGATCAGAACCCTTCTTCCACAAAATAACAGGAAAAACATCTAGACACATTCCAAAACAAATACAACACAAAAGCAAAGAAAGCAGGCTACCCCCTCCCCAAATACATAACCAACCAACAAAAAAAAAAGTTTTAAAAAAAAAGCTCATTGGGGGGGGGAAATCAGAGGGGCAGGAAGCCTTGGCAGGCACTTGGGAAGGGGGTATCTAACAAATGGTGTCACATTGGTGGTTCTAGAACTAGGGTGCGTGGTCATACAAAAACAAAACCTGCGAGATGATAGGATCCTCTGCAGATCAATTGAATGCTCAATCTGGTTCCAAATTTCACAGCACATAGAAATTTCATAGGGATCTGAAGATAGAAGTGGAAATATGATGACAGCAATGATCTGTTCATTTTCAATGCAGAGTCACTGCAATGGGACTGTGCCAAACAACTGGGAAGGCTAAGGGCCAAATGACGTGTGACATTATATGCGTGGTTTGGCACTGTATCTTTTTTAAAACAAACAAACTGTAAATGGCAGGCTCTGTTGAAGGCTAGTCATGACCTTGGTGTGTACGGAAAAGAACAAACCACAGGGGTACTAGGACCACTCCTCCACCCTCAAAAAAAACCCCATTTTTTTGGCAAGGTAGGAAAGTTTTTACAATCAGGAGAATAAATGTTTAGGTGCTTTCTTGCAAAATAATAATAGCAAGCCCCTTTCCTATGTAACAACTAGCAGGTCTTAGAAAAGGTTACTGGTCTGTATGTACAATATGTGTTGTTTTTTACACGAGGAAGCACCCTGCAATATGTTCCAGTAACAGATACATCATGCAGAGCTGCTGATCATGTAGCTTGGCTCTAACAGCTGGGATGTAAGCTGCATCCTGTTTGGGCAGAACCATCTACTACAGCCCCTGTGACTTTCCAGGACACAAAAGGTTATTATTCCAGCTAAGCTGGAACACCAAACTTGGATATCCAGCCATTTTTGTTAAAAAAAGGGGGGGGGGAACCCAGTAGGTCCAAATTACTTCCGAACTAGAACAGACGCATTTAGTGCATCCCCAGTGGTGATCAAAATTAACCCTCCACCCCTGTGTGCACATGCATACAATCTATTTAAACAGCAAGAGCCCAGAGAGGGAGAGTGCATTCCAGAGTCATTCCCAGGATCAAAGGGGCACGGAATGCCCTAAGTGAAATGTGCACTCTGTTATACACTGCAGTACCGATAAGAGACTGTTAGCATTTCTGTTATAAAGCTCTGTATTCAGAGGGATTAACCACATCATAAGAAAGCCTCCTTGGGCTGTCTCGTGGCATGCGAGGGATTAGCTCTGGAATTCCCTTTCTTTTCCTGTTTTAAAGGCAGGCGACATCTCAAAGCTGTTTGTAGGTTGCTGATCTGTAAATAGAGAAGAAAAGCAGCATATACTCGCCATGCTAGATTTCGTACTTAACGTGTTCAGAAACAGGCAGAGCCCTTTGGATCGATTGTGTTGGCCTTAACAATAGGGAGGGGGGTATTCTGTTCTGACCAGCGTAGGTCAGGCCTGCACAGATTATGAGACCCAAAGCCAAATGAACCATATCAGCAGACCAGAGGCCCACTAAACCTCTTTGTGCTGCCTGGCTGGACTGAGTCTTAAAAGGGGGTGGGGTGGGGAATGGCTAAGCCACAATGGCAGGCCACAAGACACATAGCTCGGTTGCATCTGGGGTGACTGGGCAGAGCTCCCCTTCTGATACTGGTGCTCACTGCAGGGGATTGGATGGTCCTCAGGGTCCCTTCCAACGCTACAGTTCTATGGGTCTGGGATGGAGCTGCCACTTTGGGTTGAGCAAAATACAGGACAGGTCAGGCAAAATAAAGTACGCATCAGGGTGGGGATTGGGGGGCACACACACTTTCATGACACCAAATCCTCCCCCCCCCTTTGTGGAGTGGGGGTTCCCTGCATTCTGCCTCCTGACTCCATCACCACCCAGGCTCCATTCTTCCCCTTGACTCACATAGACAGGCAGGGCCATTGGGGGTAGACGGCCAGCTCTCAGGGTGACTTGAGCCACAGCTCGAGCCTCTCGCCCATGAGTGGGGAGGAGGAGAAGAGAGGTCAGGGTGGTGGAGGGGGCCAAGCGGCAACAGACCCACACTATGTGAGACCAGTGGGCAGTGGCTGAGGAGGAGCACCAGTGAGAGAGAAGGAAGGAGGGGCAAGGGAGGCAGAGGAGGTCCCTCCTTCCCCTTCTCTCTATTGTCGCTCAGGAGGACACTCAGGAGAACCTCTCAGACCTGCATGCTTGCTCGGCTACTGCACAACATCCCTGCAGTACTTCCAGCTAGGTCTCAAGATACGGTACTTGCTGCCACCAAAAATAAGCCAGAGCACTGTGGCTCTAAAAACTGGACTAATCCTAGCCTAGCCATTAAAGATAATACTTCTAGTCTACATATGAGTAGGCAGTGAGAATGTTCAGCTTTCTGGTGCTGGTGGAGCCCACCTGCAAGGGCAGCTCAGCTTTTTAAAGGCTCTCTTTTTCGAGGAAATGACCTCTGACTCTTTCTGGCCAATGGGGAGCCAGCACCAGTTCACCAGGTAGGGCATCTCCCAGGTAAGCATCTTAAGTACCTTTTTTTCCCCATTTGAAGAGAACAAGAGGAAGTTATGTGGCAGCTTGGCTTAGAGCAGTGGTTGTTCCTCCAGATCAAGGTCTTTCTTGACACTATTATGCACAGGGATTTGTGTTAAACATCTTCACCATCTATTGTTTCCCATTTCTCTTGTTCTCACAGCAAGCATTGACGCTGAAGGACAGGGCTTTTGTCAAGGTGGATTCAGCATTGACTTTACTCAGGTAGGGAAGCTATAACTGTATGTCTTCCTTTTTTTCAGTACCTGACAGCAAAGGAGAAAGAGTCTGTAGAAATCAATTCTATAAAGGCATATCTGTCAGATCAGCTTTTCAAGGGGCTTCTTACACTTCGCTCCTGTTGGCTTAGATTTATACATCTGGATGTAGCCTGCTAGACAGAAATCATTTATTCAGCTCAGGATTTCAAAGAGCATGTGAGCAAATCAGGGAAGAATAGGAATTAATAAGAAGGAGATGCTATCTCTCCTACTGGGTTAATTCTGCTACAGAATATAACAATGTATTTAAGAATTTCCATTTGCCTTTGTCTTTTAACAACACTAATTAGTCTGAAAATCAGAATATATATACTGGTCTCTGTCATTATTTCACTGTGCAACAACAGGTGCAGATTCTTAAAGCAGGGATAGGGGAACTATGGCATTTCAGGTGTTGCTAAACTACAACTCCCATCGTTCCCAACCATTGGCCATGCTGATGGGAGTTGGGAGTCCCAACGACAATTGAAAAACCACAGTTTCTCCATCTCTGACTTAAAGAACCAAACCTCCACATGCAGAAGCAGTATATCTGATTACCAGATAATGGAGGGAAAAAAGAAACAAACAGGAATGGTTTATGCTATCAGCCCCAGCCAGCACGGCCAATGGTCAGGGATGATGGGAAGTTGTAGTTCTCAACATCCGGAGTGCATTGGGTTGGATAGCGATTTAAAGTTTTGAAGGGCACTGAATACAATTACCTGGTTTGAATATAGCGCTAAACCATAGTTTAGTGTTACAGGAACGAGCCTGCTGGAACCTTAAGGTTCAACAGGACGCACCCGTTTCCTAGTTTAAACTAGCCACAGTTTCTCAATATGTCCAAACTAGGAACTGCAGTTAGGTTAATTTTTTTGTACTAAATCATGTTTATGGTTTGCATTCAGAGGGGGATGGGGAGAAGATTGCTTGAAGTATGGAATGTTAAAGTAGTTGTGAGGGAGTGTAGAATAGCAGTTGGTGGGAATCTGAGCAGTCTGTCTTCCACCAGGCCGAAAAGGTCCCTGTCCCCTGCCTTAGACGTTACAAGAAAATAAACTTACATATTTTTTTGCCCAGCCTTACTTTTTCCTTCCACTCTTACCCCAGGGAGATAGAGTACTTCTTGGAGGACCTGGAAGTTTTTACTGGCAAGGTGAGACACAGCTGTTAAAAAGCTGACCATTCTATTTAATCTTCTGCTGTCCTCTTAAGGACACTAGCAAAATAAACCATATGCAACAAGTTTCCTTTCTGGCAAGGTTAATTGAAGAGGGGACGATTTTGAGTGGAGAAGTGGTGACTTTCACCGTCTGCTGTTTCTCTGCTTCAGACTGTCCCTCCCAGCTGCGTTTCCCATTGCAGGTTTCCTGACCCTCGCAAGACTTTACCTTTGCCAGGGGCAAAACTAGGCTTTATTTCACCCAGGTCAAAGACCCAATATGGCACCCCACACACAAGCATTTGCGTACACACAGAGAGAGGTCGGCAGCCTCAGTGACCCCCCTCTGGAGGCTTCACCTAGGGCAAAAAACCCAGCTTGCCCCCCGTAGCTACGGCACTGCCTTTGCAAGCATGTATTTGGAATCCTGTGAGGATGAAAAGCAGCTGTGGGGCGTTTGGAGTAATAGAAGGGGAAAAGGCCAAGCATCTCCCCTGACTGTGTTTCTGCTCAAATCCTAAAGTGGCTTTTTCTGGAATGGAGCAGGGTGGATTCCATTGGGGTTTAGTTATACATATTTGCATGTAATGTGTAGTGTAGTGTAATGTAATGTAATGTAATGTAATGTAATGTCTCAGTTCTTCATGTAGTTGATGAATTAAATGCCTGCCTATGAAAGCTTATGCTGCAATAAATAAATTGGGGTTTGATTGGACTAAGTTGTTACTTGTTAGAAATGAGTTCTGCTCACTCAGTGGGTCTCCCCTCCTCCTTACCCCACAACCCTGGAATCTGCTTCAGGGGATTGGGAGGAACCCCCAGAACAGGTTTAGGGGGAGCAGAAGAGGCAAACTCCCGTCATGTGAGTACACCTCATTCCCCGTGTGCATAACCCCCTTTGTGCTATGTTGAATTCCACCCTCCCTCTTCAAAGCACCACAAGATTCTTTGTATTTTTTAAATGCAACAGATTAACGTGCCTATCATTATAGAATCTTTCTCCTCAGTAACTCTCAATTTAATAAAGAAGTTGTTTCAAGTTGCTTATTTTTAATCCCAGCTCCTTGCTTCCATTTGTCTTTTTCTAATGTGAACTAGGAGACTGCAAGTATCGTCTAATAGCTCCGTCTGTGTTTTTATGTCCCCTCTTCTACTTGGTACCCAACAGGCCAGCTCATTTCTGATAAAGTGGCTGAGATTGTGTCAAAATACAACCCTAAAGTCTACACTACCAAGTATGACAGCCAGTTAGCAACGCGGTCGGCCAATGCTGCTTTCGATGACAGCTACTTGGGTAGGTTACTTGAGAGTAAAACACTGGTAAAAATTGTGTTCCTTGTAAGACTGAGTCTGAGGTTCTTCATTCCTCCCTCCCCATCCAGTGATATTAGTGAAAGCTAGTGCTAAGCAGGTGCCAAAATGCCCTTGTGAATGACCCATAATGCTAAGCAATTGTTTAAGCCATGGTTTGTAAAGCAAACCACGAGTTAATGATGAACTGTGCCACAGATGATCATCTAAACCATGGCTTGTTTCTCCAAAGTTTGTTTTGCTTTCTAGCTGCTCTTACCTCACATGTTGGTGGTTTGGTGAGTTTCTAGGGCAGAGCTTTCCAAACTTTTCATATTGGTGACACACTTTTTGACATGCATCATTTTGCAACACAGTTTTACTAGCAAACCAGAGGTTAAACTCACCCCTTTCCAGCCCCGGAAGGAGCGCGGGGAGTGTTCACACAACACACCTACACCCTGCAACCAACACATTGATGTGTCGCGACACACAGTTTGGAAAGCTTTGTTCTTTGTTTTCAACCTTTTTGAGTCCATGGCTCCCTAAACCAACTACATTCTTTCTGCAGCACCCCCAAAGGGCTCACCCCTCAGTTATGTCACCCCTTGCCTGCAAAGCTGGCAGCCTCTCTGTCCCTGGTCTCTGAACCGCCAACACCTCCTTCCGCCTCCCCATCAAGCAAAAGTAGGAGAATCAGATTAGCTAATTAGGATGGCTAAAACATAAGCAGCCAGATCGACAGACCTGAATAGATGCAGGGAAAACTGCCTCTTGATATTTATTTAAGTTGTAATAGGTCATGTGCATTGATAAGTCATGATTACCCCTTTCATGTTTGACAGGTTATTCAGTAGCTGTGGGAGATTTCAGCCATGATGGCATAGAAGGTATGGCTTATTAACTTTTGCTCCCTCTTTGATAAGATTTTGCTTGCCCCGGCTCCATTATTGTTTGCTAACATCTCACCTCTCATCCCTGTTTTGCGAGTCTTTGGTAAATTTTAAGCACTCTTTAGTAGGGACTGTGGGGCTTCTGCATAGCTCCTAGCTTACCACTGGACCTAGTTAAGGCTACAGTCTTGTAGCTCATTGCTAGAGGAAAAAGTCAAGAGTCCTTACCTATGTGCAACTATTGGCAGAATGGCGGCCTAAATGGAAAATGTTTCTGAAGGTCATTGACTACTATCCATATTGGTCATGTCATCTTTCTTATTTTCAGATTTTGTCTCTGGGGTCCCAAGAGCAGCAAGAACTTTGGGCATGGTAAGGAACTTACATAATATACTTTTCAGTGCTGGTATTATCCCAGCAACTTCTAAAATATTGTGCAGTGCAGATGTTAAGTTCTATCTTTTTCATGCAGGTGTCTGTTTATAATGGAGACACCATGGCGTCCATGTATAACTTTACTGGAGAGCAGGTATGGTTTTCTCTGCAATGTTTTGATTTATATTATCTATCATTCGTTAGTGGAATCTAGGTGTTATAAATTCACAAAGTAACCTCCAGCAAATCAGAGAATGTCGATTTGGGAGTTGTTTTAAGAACAGGGAAACATAACCACAAGCAATCTACCCCTGATCACATCAGTTCAAACTGGCAGCATATATGGTTGTGGACCAAGTGTGCCTGAAATCAACGAGATTATTTTGAAATAAAGAGCTGCTCTTTGGTTAGAGAAATCCTCTTTCTTGATTAATTTGGGGGGGGGGGCATCTTTTAACTTAAAGGAACCACATGGCAGTTGTGGGCGGAGCCAGAGGCAAAAGTGGGAGGAGTAATCCAAAGCCTTTAAAGAATGCATGGCAAGGGACCTTTTTTAAACATTTTTTTAAAAAACCTTTATTATAAGAACGAAATAATATTCTAAAATAACATATACAGTACAGCTAAGCACATCCCAGATGCAAGTGAGGACAAGCAAGGGAGCTTTTAGTGAGGGGGCAGTCACTAATTCTGAAATATCTTTACTGAAGTATTTACATAAAATGCAACATTTTCCTGTTTAATCTTATCTCCCAGATGGCTGCATATTTTGGATATTCTGTAGCTGCCACAGATATCAATGGGGATGAGTAAGTGATGCTTTTTTCATTCTTCCTGGAAAGAATTGCTTGCCTAAAAAAAAAAAAAATCTTATTTAGGATAAAAATAGAAGATTTGCAAAGAGTAATTGAAAGCCAGTGACGCACACAGAGTTTCTTCTGCTGGCTTGTTCTGCTGGGGTCCCTGCATGCATCTTATCTGGAGTGCTTGGTATATAAATCTCTAAACATTTCATGCATGGCTTAATTGTCCTGTGAAGACATTATACATAGTACAGCTAGGAATCCCTCGAGAGTGGCGTGCTTGTAATTCTAGAGGTTCCTAGACACAGATCTTGCCTCATCATCCCTTTCTCCCATGCAACTCCCTCAGTTCTTTATCTCACTTCTTCCTTTATTTTCCCTTTCCTCCCCTTTCATTCCTTGTGTTAGGTACATCTGACAGATGCCCTTTTGAGAATGAATGACACCGCTCGTTTTGTGGGATAGATTAGCTGATTTTCTTTTAAATCATACTGTGTGATGACACATTTAAATGTCTTCGGGCATTCTAATTGCTCTTGGTGTCTTTGGGCAGAAAATTTTGGGTTATATCCATGGTTACTCATACTCGGAGCAGATCCCCTGAAATTAATGGACATGGTTAACTTAGGCCCAGTAATTTAAACAAGTCTACTCTGAGGTGAAAGCTACACACATATAAAAAACACTTTGATTTTTTTAAAAAAAAATGTTTTGAAAAATATATTGAATTTGACATAGCTCACCATCACCACCTAGTGTCACATTTGTATAATGCACTTTACAACACACTTAGAATGTTTTGTTTGCAGCTGTATAGCTGAGTCCTAAGTAGAATTTAGTTGGCTACAACCCGTTAGCTACGCTGCATACATGGTGAAGCTTTTCTGCCTCCCCATCCTGCAGAAAAGTGAGCCCTCCAGAACGCCATTACAGAAAAACACTACAGGCTGTCACTGGAGGGAAACTGACAAAGCCCACACACCCCTTAACTGTGTGGGTGAATGGGTTCTGTGCATGCACACAGGACTGTTGGAATCTTCACTTTTATAAATTCTTAAGCCAAAGGAACAAAACTAAAAGCATACAGTGGGAATGATCCACTCAGCATTAGACACCTGCAATTTTCATAGTTTTCAAACCACCAAACCTTTGAACCTTAAAGGTACTTCACTTGGCTAGACTGCAGCTGTCGGTGAAGTGAAGAATGTTTCTAGACAGGTGTTTATTGTAGGACTGGGGTTCCTCATGCAGGCACATATGTTTCAGGATCCACATTACATTGTTGCTATCAAAATGCCAGCCCATATTTCTTTCCCTTTTAATCTGGATTTAAGAACATAAAAATAGTCTTCTAGATCAGGCCAATGGCCCATCTAGTTCAGCATCTGGTTCTCACAGTGGCCAACCAGGTGCTTGAACAGAACATGGGAAGAACATGAGCACAATGGCACTCGTGGGAGAAAATATAATAAGCTGAAGAAACCTTTTTGCCAGTGACCCTTTTTTTTTAAAAAAAAATAATTTTTATTAACAGACCAATCAAATCAAATCACATTAACTCCAAATTACAAAGCCAAATTTTAAATTTTTGTTGGGGGTACCCATATTTCAAGTTCCGAAAGGGATCCAATCATCTTGTTGCTGCTGCTTTGATGTCCACAAATCTGTCCAAATGATGTTCACAATTCTATCCAATCCTTTCTTGTTGTTTTCCACATCTCTTCTTGTTGTTTTCATATATTTTTCCTTTTTCTTTGTGACCTCTGATAGTCTCCACAAGCGAGTTGAAACCAATTGTAGTCCTGTGTGGGTTTTTCCATTCATCCGAGGGTCATATTTAGACGGCTGCCGCTTTGCCAGTGACCCATTTGTGATATCTCTCTGACCAGGTTGCAGTCATATGGAAGCACCTTAAACGTAGGGATTTTTGCCGTGACTGAAATACTTGATCTCTTCCCCTCTCTCTTTTTCTTCAGTTACACAGATCTACTCATAGGAGCCCCACTCTTTATGGATCGTGGTTCTGACGGCAAACTTCTTGAAGTGGGACAAGTTTCTGTTTATCTCCAACAAGCCTCTGGAGGCTTTCAGAGTCAGGCTATGAAGCTGAACGGCTTCGAGGTTTTTGCAAGGTTCAGCAGTTCAATTGCACCTTTGGGAGATCTTGATCAGGACGGCTTCAATGGTAAAGCGTTGGGTCACTGGGAGGAATTCAATATTACACTGTTTTGATCATTCTGTCAACACAAGCGTATCTAGGAGCCAGTGTGGTGTAGTGGTTAAGAGCGGTAGTCTCGTAATCTGGGGAACCGGGTTCGCTTCCTCACTCCTCCACATGCAGCTGCTGGGTGACCTTGGGCTAGTCACACTTCTCTGAAGTCTCTCAGCCCCACTCACCTCACAGAGTGTTTGTTGTGGGGGAGGAAGCGAAAGGAGAATGTTAGCCGCTTTGAAACTCCTTCGGGTAGTGATAAAGTGGGATATCAAATCCAAACTCTTCTTCTTCTTCTACTTGTCAGATAGAACAATTTTCCCTCTCCTCCCCCCTACAAATGTTTTCTGGTGGGTTCTCCTGACCCTACAGAGTGGATTTGGGGAAGGAGTGGGCAAGCCTATACAGAAACTTCCTCCCCACTCCAAGCCCTCTAACCTTTAATTTTCAGACCTACAGCAGAAAGCCTTTGCACTTCAAATACAATTTATTTTGGAGCATTATTGTGTTTCTGGGCAGAGATCCCTGCACGCTGAGCCTTTTGGGGAGGTTCAAACACTCATTGACTCAGAGGTATTTGCCTCATATTGCTGAGTCCATCTCAGTCAACCTCATGGTGCAAAACTGAATAGGCAGGGAAAAATCCACGGATCTGAACAGAATACAAAGCCTCCAACTCAGTGGAGGCTAGTCCATTAGGGACGCTGGTGGCACTGTGGTCTAAAACACTGAGCCTCTTGGGCTTGGTGATTGGAAGGTCAACGATTCAAATCCACATGATGGAGTGAGCTCCTGTTGCTCTGTCCCAGCTCCTGCCAACCTAGCAGTTCGAAAGCACACCAGTGCAAGTAGATAAATAGGTACCGTTGGGGCAGAAAGGTAAACGGCATTTCTGTGCACTCTGGTTTCCGTCACGGTATCCTGTTGTGCCAGAAGCGGTTTAGTCATGCTGGCCACATGACCCAGAAAGCTGTCTGTGGATAAATACCAGCTCCCTCGGCTTGAAAGCGAGATGAGTGCTGCAGCCCCATAGTCGCCTTTGGCTGGACTTAACCTTCCAGGGGTCCTTTACCAAGGGAACCTTTTAGTCCATTAGGACAAGTGGAGCACTGTTGCACTAACCTGAGTCTGACCTTATTCACCACGTTCCAGACTTCCTCCTTACAACCAGCTCAGGGATGGAACAGTCACCTTCCTCGTCCTTAGTCTCCGTGCTGCTTTTGTAGAACTCAACAGAGAGAGGGATGGGGGCGAAACTGGAATTAGTCGGCTCTGTGTGTTATTGGTTCAGGCTCCGCCTATCATTGGTGGCCCTGCCTTTTGCCAATGGGCATCAACCAGCAATACTCCCCCTGATTCATATGTGTTACTGCAGAATCATTGGGATTATATATTTTGATTCCTTTCTATTCGGGTATGCTAAAGATTCCTTGTTATGGCTTGTAGACATCGCAGTTGCTGCCCCTTATGGTGGAGAAGACAAGAAAGGGCTGGTTTACATCTACAATGGGAGAGCTACAGGTTTGAATGGGATGCCATCTCAGGTCCTTGAAGGACAATGGGCCTCTGAGACAATGCCACCAAGCTTTGGCTACTCACTGAAAGGAGCTACCGACGTGGACAAAAATGGCTACCCAGGTGATCTTTCATAATAGCAATGCCGGTTCCTGTATCTTGTAAACTAATCCAACATTTATTTCACAGGGAGGAGCCCAATTCAGAACCGTGTAAGAAAAAGAGATTTCATGAGGTTTTGATCTTTACTAGGGATCAATAGATTCTCTCAGTTCTACTCTGTTAGCATCCTGACATTGTGATATCCCTTGGATTCTACACCATTTGTATTCTGGAATGAATTTCAGATTTCAGAATATCTGCTATTTCAGAATATTGGCAAAATCCCCCACCATTTGTTCTCCTGTGGAAATATAGTGGAATTAAAAAAATAAAATAAAAAAACAACATCACTTTAAAAAAGTTTTATATATATAAACACCCTACAAACCTTAGCACTTCCACAATTGAACAAAGAAAAATAATAATTTCAGGAATATTTGGCGGAAGGAGGAAGAGTTTCTTTTCATTTTTCTATTTGCTTTTGATATATTTGTGACTGGATATAGGCAGGAAAAAGAGCAAAAATTCTCTGTTCAACCAGCTTGCAAAATTCGAAAGACATATCTTAGAAGAATAATGGATATCAACCTTTTGAGTTTGTGTAAACATGTCTGGCAAAGCAGCTCCTTAAAATCTAAGACAGAATTCAGCAGATTTAGGTTCCATAAGCATCCCCAATCTTTACCCTTTTGCATCCACGTTAAAATGTTTACCTACTTGCTCTTTCAGCAAAAGCACTTGTTCCTAATTCATGTACTGGAGACCTGTAATAATCAGGTCAGAGAATTGTGTAACATTCAAAAAAAAAGTCTCAAATCTAAAAACAATATTATTTTATTCTATTTCCAGACTTGATTGTAGGTGCTTTTGGTGCTGACAAAGTTGCCTTATACAGGTAAGTGCTCAAAATTAAGTCAGAGCAGAAAAACCCAATGATATTTGCATTTTGCTGAGGAGCAAAGTTTGCTTCACTGTTAGAGGCGTTGCCTTTTTCTAGCGTCATGGTCTCCACAGGAATATCAGAATGAGGAATGGTTCCCTCCTTGCTCAATGGCGTGCAAGCAAGGGGCACAATGTTCTGTTATCTGGGTGTTCTGTTATTTCCTCCATGTTGGACACAGCTACCTCCTTGCATGTTAACCTCTGGCCAGCAGCTGAGCTTAGCAGCAGCTACCATCCTGGGGTTTAGTCATAAGAACTAGGCTGCAATCACAAAGCTGGGTTTAAGCAGCAGCAGCGTGAATGGTTTGCAATCAGCCGGTTTGCAATCATAATCCCTGATCCATAGAACTGAGTGGACATTCTGCCTGTAGGTCTCCAGTGACCTTCACCAGTGGGGGAGCTCTCCCACCATGAAGGCCCCACTGCAGCATTGGAAAGCGCAGCAGCAGAGGAAACACCACCGCCAAGGGGGTTCAAACTGAGAGTAGCTACTATAAGGTCACTACTACAGTAGTGGGGCAGTGCAGTCTGACCAGTCTGTTCCCTGCAGAATGGCCCAGTTAGGACCCCAGGCTGATGCAAATGTAGCAGATAAAATCCACCAGCCCCAGTTAGGACAGGTCTACTCAGAGGTAGGCCCCACTGACCCTAAAGAAGAGGACAAGGTGGTTCTTTCATGCAGTAATCCTGTTTTGCTTACCACTTGGTTCTTTTCAAAGGGCACGGCCAGTCATTACAGTAAATGCTGGACTAGAAGTCACTCCAACCATTCTAAATCCGGAAGACAAATCCTGTGAACTGAATGAAAATGGCCAGAAAGTTTCATGGTAAGATGACTCGTTTGTATTTTGAAATGGAATCTCAAAATGGATTGGGAGCCTCTTCAGTCAATCAAAGGAGGCCATGAGAGACAAGGGGCAAAGGGAACGTGTTTCCCCACACTTCCTGGCCTTATGCAAGGGAGCAAAGGACACAATTTCCTCCTTGGTGAGGTCCATAGCCTGTGGATGCTCCAAAGAAGCAAGCATATATACAAATCCTTCCTTGCTGTTTAAAAAATGGTCAAAGGCTCTTTCCAGGTGGGAAACTTAAGTGGATTCATTGTGTAATGTTATACGGTCCCATCTGAAGCATGAACAGCTTTGCAAACGTGTCCTATTCTAAGCCCTTTCCAGAAGCAGGAAGAGCCTATCAACAGAACTAGCTAAATGGAAGGGTGGAAATCTGTTCACCCCATTGGGAGAATGTGCTCTAGCCGTCCCCGCCTCCATGGACAAGTCCTGTAAGGATGTGGAAAGGAAGTGAGTTGCTTGTGTCTTGCCAACTCTTTTGAATGGCCAACATAGTTCTTGCACTCCTCCAAGTGCAATTTTATGGGAGACTCCATTTTGCCTTTAAAAGAGTGAGGACCAACCTTACCATTAGGTGGGTGAGGCATACCAGTAATGGGCAGCAGCAATGAGGTGTTGAGGAACATAGCTGTGTGTGCTACACAGCCTGCCCTGCATACACACACATATACACACACACACCCAGGCTAGCCTGCTGCCTTCAGATGTGGTGCTGAAATATTAAACTGGCAATTCAGTTGGCCTAAGTACATAGAATTTGGGGAGTTTTTGCCTCAGGCAGCAAAAAGTCTTGGACCAGCCCTAATAAGAGCTCAGTTATAACAGTAAAATCTTACCAAAATAGATAAACTAAGCTCTTAAGAAAGTATATTTAATAACCGGGACCTGAAGGAAGCAGTGGAGGGAACTTTTTAAAGTTTCTTTAAACCCAACAACACTGACCAAGAAATCTGCACGTGCAACTAGATCTTATTAACAGTCATGAAAGGGTAGGTCTGGAAGCCACTACTGCACTTCTGCTGATCAATAGATGTAGCTTGATCTTCAGGTACAAAATGTGTTTTGTTTTTAAATGTTCTCTAATTTTCCCCAACAGTTTTAAAGTAAAGTTCTGCTTAAAAGCGGATGGCAAAGGAAGTCTTCCCAGGGACCTCAGTAAGTTCCTCAGTAGATTTACTTACCATACACTTCGGTTCTCCTCATATTGTCAACAGATGTTCAGTGGCAATAATTTAAATTGTCAAACTTCTTTGGCTGTTCAAAGCCCCACTGGTATCAGACATGTGCAAAACCCGTGCCCCTTTTAAATCTTCTGGCTCAGACTTCACACCATTGTTCTTCTCAATGTATGGGAGGCAACTTTGTGGTGGTCTGCTAGCTGGAAAAATCTCTTTCTCTGAGGAATCAGTCAGAGAACCCTGGAAAATGGGCCTATCTGGACTCAAATATGGGGTTCCCTGAGTGGTATCAGGGAGCACAGCTGTAAGTTACTGGCTGGCAAAGTTGTGAACATTGTGTTTCCAAAAAAACCCAAACCATAGTCCTTTCTGTTGAGGATAATTCAGACTGAAATTCCCAGGTGTCAAAAAATGTTATTTATGTATGCTACTACTGCGGCCCATGTTTTGTTAGCCCCAAAATGGAAAATGAGCGAGGTCCCAACCAAAGAAGAATGGCAACTTAAGTTGACAGAATATGCACAACCTGCAGACCTAACATATGGCATAAGAGAACAAGAAGAACATATGCTTAGAGAGGATTGGAAAACGTTTATTGAATATATGGGAAATAATTGAAAATGCTGGCAGCATTAAGATAAATTCAACAGTGTAAGAAAGTTTTGATGGCTGCAATAATGGAATACTGAATAGGGCTGCAATAATGGAATACTGAAGGGAAGTCATTGATATCTTAAGGATGTAAGATGAGTATTTTAAATTGTAAAACAGAAAATTTAATAAAAATTATATAAAAAACCAAACCGTTCCTCTGCAGAGGAAAAACTATTTGCATTTAGAAAAAGCTAGCATGTTGGGATAAGGCTAGGCTAGAATGTACCACCTCGTATGTGTGAGAACAAGGCCTAGCAGCAGCCACTAAGGAATTGTGACACTAATAGGAGACATGCTGGGAAGTTAAGAGACAGGAATGGAACATCCCCACTGAGCAACAGTTAATCTGGGAGACCTGAGGCAGCAGTGGAAACAGAGAGCAACGCGAGTCAGTGCCATGCAGGCAAATAGTTGCTGACTAGCTAGCAGAACTGGGTAGAGGTACGGGCGCTGATGTTAGCAGCCTGTCCTGGCAGTCTTAGTCAGCAGCCCCATTCCTGTATGGTCCTGATTCTCTCAGCCACTGCTCAGCCACAGCATCTCTTCCAGCTCAGCATCCTGCCTTACCAGCGGCTGCTGCAGTAAGGCACAGTAAGACGTGAGCATTGCTTGACTAAAATGCCTTTTCCTTTGGCGGCAGATTTCCATGTGGAGCTGCTGTTGGACAAGCTGAAGCAAAAAGGTGCCATCAGGAGGGCGCTGTTTCTCCACAACAGGCAACCGGTCCACTCAAAGAACATGACTGTCCCCAAAGGGGGTCGAATGAGCTGTGAAGAACTTCAGGCATTTTTAAGGGTAAGAGTCATACAAGGCCGCAACCTACCCTCCTCCTGCCTTCTTGCTATATGTAGGGTTAACGTTATTGATGTCCGGAATTGGGGAGAGCCCTGTCTGGAGTGCCAGGACTCGAACCTGGAACCTTCTGCGTGCAAAGCAGATGCTCTTCCTCATGGCTACAGCCCTTCTCTTTTCTCCAAAAGAATTTACAAATGGCTGCCTCTTATTTGTTTGGTTGTTTTTTTTTAATTCCATCCACTGTTGTTTCCATTAAAGCGGTAGGTAGCCACAAACCTTTGTAGTAAATGTTTGATTAAGTTCCATTCCAGTATAATCGTGCAGTTTTCGTTTTCTAAAAGCACCTCCATTTTTGTTCTCCCTTAGGACGACTCCGAATTTAGAGACAAGCTCACTCCAATCACCATATTCATGGAATATCAGCTAGATTACAAAACGGCTATGGACTCTACTGGCTTGCAGCCCATCCTCAACCAGTTCACTCCTGCAAACGTTAGCAGACAGGTACAGCACTGAGAGATTTAATGGCAAAACGTACTTTTGAATCGGCAAGTTCTCCTCAAGTTAATTCTCACAAGCACAAGTTACTTTGTTCCTCGGATGTGGCATTGCAGTGAAGTTTGAAATTCAATCTCCACAACACAGAAGAATGTGTTTTGTAACAGTTCCTCTCTGTCATTTGCCCTTTTCAGTGCCAGATAGCAGGTGTACGCTGTTCAAAAAGCAAGGAAGCTGCAAATTTGCCCTTTGCTATTCCCTCTTACTACATAGGGAAAGAGTTTCACATTAATAGTGCTAACTTTCCCACGTAGGGTAAAAGCATGGAGTATATAATGCATACATATTCTGATAGTCTGAACAATTCAAATATCATATACCTAATTATTACTATTATTATTTACATATTTAGGCTCATATTCTTCTGGACTGTGGTGAGGACAATGTCTGTCGTCCGGACTTGCAAGTGGCCGTGGACAGGTACGAGTCTAACTCTTCTGCAAAATGGACAATTAGTATAGTAAAGACATTTGACCCAGTTCAGACGATCTCACTAAGATATGTGCAAGCCTTTCTCCCACACGTGCAGCCCCATTACTCCTTCTTTTCTGGTACAAGCATTCAGGAATCTTCTGATTAACCATGGTTTCCTGTTCCACATGAACCAAGAAACTGTGGCTGCTAGTTTCAGGAAAAAGCTAAGACACTGAACCAACTTTAAACTGTGGCTCAATAGCATGGCTTGTTCTAAAGCCGGTAGCCATGGTTTCATGGTTTTGGCAAAATGAGAAACTTTGATTAATTAGAGGTTCCTTGGTTTGATTGCTTGTGCTGTGAATGGCAGAGCAAAGGGACTGTGCACATGGATGGGCTCTTCCATGTACATAAAGATGATGTAAAATTTGTTTCCCTTATCTCACATCTTCATGAGTTACTGCTAAATAAAGGGGTGGTTCTGTGTCATTTTATCCAGCAGATGGCAGTGCTGTTTCTATACTGTATGTTTCGTGAGGCCTAGCTCTTTATAATTAGTTTACATCTAGGCAGACCAGATACAATAGATTTTTGTACCTTTGCCAAGCTGCACGTACCCGCAGTCCCTCTTCCGCGCAGCAAAATACCCTCTTTATGCCCTGCTTTTGAGTTCTGAGAAGACTAGATGATCCTCAAGAATCTACAATTCTGTGATTCTCTGCTGTTTAGCTGGAAATAGCACAATACCAAGCCCTCTGCTATAGCTGGTGGTTCAATAGTTTTTGTACAGTTTTGCTAATGTGTTGCATGACCTTGGCAGTTTACAAATGAAATTGTTCCTGGGAGCACCTAGGAGAAGTATTGCCACAGGCTCTTTCAAACGTTTAATGTGCTGTAGTGGGTGGGGAGCCACAGCGGTGGGTGGGCAGGTTTCTGTAATACTCTGGTGTTGAAGAAATGTGCTTGAGTGGAAGAAACATTTTCTGAAGGATGGACCCCTTAGTTTGTGATTTTTGTGCTTGGGCATCACCTGTTTTTGAAAAGCACTCTGCTGATCTAATGAGTGCAATGTCAGAGTGATGCTAGTACCTCACTGGGCCTGAAGTCTCCAACATGGCACCCTCAGACAGACTGCTTAGTACCCACCCAGCCCCCTTACAACCCTATCTTTTAATTAGTGGGGTTTTTGTTTTGTTTTTTTGAAATTCTTTGGTCACAGGTGTCAGGTTTTTTTGTGGAAGGTGTGAGGCCTGTTTCGTTTTTGTTTTTTTTTAAATATTTTATTAAGGATTTTCTTGTTTTACAGAAGTGTAGTGCCTCGTATTTTTTTTTCATGTAACATTTTTACAAATCTGTTTCATTTGTTGAGGCATTAGGGGGAGAAGAAAAAAAGAAAGAAAAAAGAAAGGGGGGTGGAGAGAGGGAAGATGGATGGGGTGGGGTCGGGTGGCGGTGTTTCTATTATGTTTAATGTATGTAGAGTTTGGTGTCAGCGTTGCTTGTGTTGTTCACTTGTGTTCCTTTGGTGGTGAGAGAGGTTGGGGTTGGCCTAGGGTGTGATTGTTTGCTTGTGATTGGCTGTGGTGATCTTTGTTTTCGTGTGTGAGTGAGGTGGGTGGGTGTTTTGGGTCAGGTTAGCCATATTGATTTGTATGCTGTTGGTGGATTATTGTCATTGTCCTGTTGGGCTGTGTATGATGTCTATTATTGGTCCTAGGTCTCAGCTGGTGTGGAAGGCCGTGTTCAAGGACAGGCCATCCCCCCTGTTGTTTGCGATAGGGGGTGATCAGTGAGACAGTGTGAAGTGACTTTGTAACGTCGCTGTCAGTTATAAGGTTCATAAGCAATGTTGCCAATGTTATGAGCAACATTGTTGGTGTGTTGGGGTGGGGATGTGGGTGCTGGTACGCTCTGGTGCCACCATAGTGCTGGTTGGGTATCAGATTTTAGCCTGATTGTGGGTTGTGTTATTAAGGTTGGAGGAGTTGTTTTCCCTAGTATGGAGTATGGGGGTGTTGAAGGTGTGGGTGATGGGGAATGTGGTTGAGGTCGTCTGGACTGGTGTTGGGGTGGGGATTCCTGTGGGGGTGTGGGGCTGGGGGGGATGTTGATGGTGTTAACTAAATCTATGTTTTGGGGGGGGGAGAGGGGAGGGGGGGAAATCACCAGTCCTTCAGTTTGTGGTTTTGTCCTGGTTGCTTCATTCAGCTGGGGTTGTTGTTGTTGTAGGGTTGTCCATCTGCGATGAATTGGTTTGGTTAATCTTGGTCTGGTTTCTTGTGTCGTATGGCCGGCGGGACGGTTCTGAGCATGATGCTTGCCTGTATTGGTTTGCGTTGTTGTGCCGCTTCTGTTGTTTCTTTTTCTTCTGTACCGTTGTCCAGTTGTTTGCTGTTGTTTCCTCGTGGTTGGGGCTGTCACTTGGTGGGTTTGTCGGTTGCCATTCCGGTGGGAGGTCGAGTTCAAGGTTCTTTAGTATTTGCAGGGCCTCAGGTATGTTGGTAGCCATGTGTTGTGTTGTATTGGTTGTTACAATGAGGCGGAAGGGGAAGCCCCATCGGTATTTGATCCCTGCTTGTTGGAGACGCTGGGTGCATGGGCGCAGGCTTTTCCTCCGGTTTAGGGTATCCTGAGATAGGTCCTGTAAGGCCAGAATGGGGGTTTCTCCATATCGAAGGTTGGTTGAGTTTTGAGGTGGTTCCATACCTCTTCCTTCTTTTTGTAGCGTGTGAAGCATACAATGATGTCTCTTGGGGGGGCGCTGGGTTTTGGCATAGGTTTTAGGGCTCTGTGAGCCCTCTCCAAGTCATCTGCCTCAAGTTTCAGGCTTGGGATTGTGTTTTTCAGCCAGCGTATAATTAGGTCTGCTGGGCTTTTCTCCTCTGTTTTTTCAGGAAAGTTGCGGAAGCGGATGTTACAACGTCTATTGCGGTCTTCAAGGTCGGCTTGCTTAATTTTCATCTCTCTGTGTTCTGCTTCCATTTGGTTTACCAGTTCGTCCAGTTTCTTGTTCACACGTGCGTTCTCCTCCCGGTATTGCTCTATTATTCTTTCTTGCATTTGGTTCTTGTTCTCTAGAGCTTCCACTTTGGAGGTTAGATTGTTGATTAGTACCTGCATGGGAGCCATTGTGGCCTTCAGTGTTTCTTCTAATCGTGCTTCTAATCTTGCTTCCATTTCCCTCAGATCTCGTTTCGTTATTGGGTGGTCATCATCTTGAAGGGGAGTTACCATCTTAGCATTGTTTGCCATCTCCCTGGTTGGTGTCATCTCGGTCTCCCTGATGGTTTTGGTTTGAGGTTGGCTTGGCGTCCTCTTGGGGTAGGGCGTGTGGTGGTTAGGAGTTGTGGCAGTGGTGATTCCTGGGTATTGTTGGGTTGCTGAGCTGATCAGGCTTTGTTGGCTGGTGGCTTTTACAGAGCGTTTGGATTAGGTGGTCATTTGTGTCACTTCTAGCCTGTGTTTTAAGAACTTCTCTAGGGCTTTTGTAGATGCCTCAGCGGTGCCGCCGAGGCGGGGGGGGGCAGGTAAGCAGAGATGGGTAGACTAACGGACAGACAGTTCATATAAAGGGAGGGGGGTTAGCAGGTAGAGATGCAAGAGATTAGAGGGGTGGGGCCAGGGGAAATATGTGTTTAGGAGGGGGGTGTATATGCCCAAAAGGGGTATTGGGGTCCAGTTAAGGTGGAAGTTGGGGTTGGGAGTGCGCTCAGAAACAGAGACAGACAAATAGGCTATATGTAAAGGGTGGAGGGCGTCAAAAGGGAAGAAGAAGAAGCAAGAAAGAAGAAGGGGAGGCGGGGGAGAGGGGAGATTGGAGTAAAAGAGAAGAGAGTGAGAGAGACAACAAGAGAGTTGAAAGAGAGAGGAGAGATAGTACAGTAATATCAGCGGTATTAGAATGCAGCAGTAGTTTTAGCTATAGTATGAGGGGGGCAAATTATGATAGGGTGATATGAATGTGTGTATGTGTTTCCTTTCGGGGCCGGGGGGGTTGGAGAGAGGGAGGAGGGAGAGAAAAGGAGAGGAGGAGGGGGAAGGGTGGGAAAAGGAAGGAGAAGAAAAGAGAGGGGGAGGGAGGGTGAGCTGCTGCAATGGTATGGGGGAAAGTCTTATTTTAAAAGAGGGGTGGGGGAAAGGGCTCCCCTCTCAACAACAACCTGACGAACAGGCTAAACAGGGGGGGGTTGATTTTAAAAAATAAAAGGGATAGAAAACAAAATTGGGGATGGAAAATGAAAGGTGGGATAAAAGGAAAAAATGAGGAGGGGTGAAGAAAGAGGGGAGAGCAAAAAGGGAGAGAAAAATAAAAAAGGGGGGCAAGTTGAGGGGGAGAGTATCAATAGCAATAGCAGTGATATGGAGGAAATTTTTGTTTTAAAAGAGAGTGGTGGTCGTAGCTGGGGCGAAAGATTCCCCCTCAAGAACAAGCCAACAAATAGAAAAGAAAGGGCTTTAAAAAGAGAAAGGGGGGGGAATTGTATGGTTGTTTTTTTTTAAAAAAAAATATTTTCCCCTAATTATTGTTATTATTTTTTGTTTGTAAAAAAGTAATTAAAAATGTACGGGTAAAAGATAAAAATGAGAATTAAAGGTAAAAAAAAAGGGGGGTTGTCTTTAGATAGATAGATAGATAGATAGAGCTTTTTATTTTTATTTTTATTAAAAAATGAGTAAAGTATAGGTAAAAGAGGATAGGTAAAAGAGAGTGGAAAGTCTGGGGCGAAGTGGCAGTCCCAGGAAATGGCCTGTGATGGTTCAGGGCTGTTTTCTGGGTACTGCCATTTTAATTCTTAAGAGGGGAGTTTGAGGTGGAAATAAAATGAGGTTTAAATTGAGGGTGTGTGTGTGGAAAAGTGTGTCTTTAAATAGTGTGTAGAAAAGATAGAAATAAAAATAAAGATTCAAATAAAGGGTGGCTGCAGCAGCAGTGGCCCCTCTTTTAAAAAGAAAAGTGATAAAAGTAGGTATATGGGGGGGGATAAAAGATATTTTTTTTAAAAAAAAAAGGGGGCGGGAGGGGAGGGAGGGGTTAAAAAAAGGGGGTTAAAAAAAAAGAAAGGGGGGGAGGTAGTTTCTTCCTTTCTGTGATCTCCTTTGTTATGCGGCTTCTCTGTGTTTTCCTTGCCACTGGAGCTCCCGGTCGGGCTCAGCCACGTGTTTTTTTTCGGAGCCTTTTTTGCCTTCCCGTGCTCACCTACCTCTCCTCTGCTTTCCCGTCGGCAGAGATGGGGGCAGCAGCGGTCAATTTGGGGCTCCTTTTTCTTTCTTTCTTTTTCTTCCTCTCTCCCCCTTTCTTTCTCCCTCTTTGCGTTAGCTCCACTGTCCTCCTGGTTTTGGAGCTCCTCTCGGCTGTTGGGGGGGGTGGTCGGGTGCCTTTCCGGCTCAATCTCAGTCGTGGGGGGGGGGGGTGTTTTGGCTCCTTTGATAGACGCCCGGGCACCCCCGATTCCTCTCCGCTGGCGGTGCTGGCGGCAGCAGTCCTGGGAGCCCGGGAGTCGGCCAGACAGAGCCTTTTACTCTGGCTGGCTTCAGGAGCTCTTTTCTGCTGTTGCAGCCGCCATGCTGCCTCGCCGGAAGTCCACCTCACATGGCTGTCCTGCTTGGCCACTGGCGGGCTTCCTCGCTCCCCCTCTTGGACCCTCTTTTTCCAGGCCTGTTTCGTTTTGCTATGTTTTCGTTTTGAGCCATTTTGCTATGGGGGCAGGGTTTGTACATCACCAGTTTTCTTCTGTGGAATGGGCATTTTGTGGTGCCTATAGGTTTATTAGTTTCCCAAATATGCCCACAGACTCAAGAAGGTTTTTTGTGGTGAGGGGCTGTGCTAGGCTATGATTTTAACACAGCTATGGAAACACATTGATCTAGAGCAGTGGTTCCCAACCTTTTTGGGAGGTCAGCTCACAAGTCTAAATGTATTTGGCACAGTGACCCACTGATTATCACATGGATTTTGGACCTTAGACATTTGGCAGCTGTTGGTTTCGTTTATTTTAACTGCAAGTTTTTGTTTTTCTATAACCATTACTTGAGACATCCAAGCAAAAAATTACTTAATAGCATTTCTGTGGGATTTGTTGAAATTTTTATAGTACGTTCAAAGTTATTCATAGTTTTGTTTGTGGGAATGTAAGGACACCAATCATCTGATTGCAGGATATTCAATCACAAGCTATAAAAATGTATTGCAGAAACATACAGATACACAAGCTGTGTCAGATGTAAAAAAAAAGTATGAGTGGTTTTATTCACAACGAAGTCCATCTTGGCAAGTATCAGTGGGGTAGCTGAGCTTGCATTTTGCTGAAGAGTAGATCAATGTGGGGTTTGATGGTTGTCAGACATAGTCTCAGATCATTATTGATACATAGCTTGCTTCTGTATTTCGTCTTCACAGCAGTCATTGCTGAAAAGGCTGTCTCGCAAAGATATGTTCTATCAAATGGCAACAGCATGGAGATTGCTTCATCAGCAAGCTCAGGGTACTTAGCAACATGAAGCCAAAATTCAGCTAACCTCAATTTCCAAAAATTATCTTTGAGGGTCCCCACACACAACAGTTTGATGGGTTGTTATTTTGGAACAAAGGCAACTTCATGGCATCAGTTGCAAAGTGGTTTTGCACGTGTTCAGACTTCTGTTTCTAAGCAAACTTACCCTTTAACAAACCCTAGCAGCAGATTCAATCACTGTTCACCACAAGGTGCTCATACAGGAAGGGTTTGGGTTTTTTAAATGTGCTTGTGCATAAGATGCAAGCTGTAACAGTCATACCAAACAATTCCCGAGACCATATAACACCGGTCCTGAAAGATCTTCATTGGCTCCCAGTATGCTTCCGAGCACAACTCAAAGTGTTGGTGCTGACCTTTAAAGCCCTAAACGGCCTCAGTCCTGTATACCTGAAGGAGCGTCTCCACCCCCATCATCCAGCCCAGACACTGAGGTCCAGCTCCGAGGGCCTTCTCAGTAGTGGCACCTGCCCTGTGGAACGCCCTCCCAGCAGATGTCAAGGCAGTAAGCCAAAGTCAAGGCAGTTGTCTTTTGAATTTTACTTTCAAAAGACAACTGAAGGCGGCCCTGTTTAGGGAAGTTTTTAATGTTTGATGCTGTATTGTTTTTAATATTCGGTTGGAAGCTGCCCAGAGTGGCTGGGGAAACCCTGCCAGATGGGCGGGGTATAAATAATAAATTATTATTATTATTATTATTATTATTATTATTATTATTCCCTGTACAAGCACCTCACAGTGAGCTGTCACTGGATCTGCTGCCATCCTGCAGAGAGTGGCTCCCAAGTGTTAAAATGTTGAGCCTTTCAGACAAAACATTGTAAGAGATATTCATCAGGCCAGTTAAGGATTAAAAGCAAACATTATTTGGGGTTTATTATAAAGCCCACAAGCCACTTGCAGGTCACAACCCACAGGTTGAGAAACACTGATCCAGAGGCCTCACTTTTGTTCCATATTGGTCTTGTGCAGTGATCAGAAGCAGATCTATATTGGGGATGAGAATCCTTTAACCCTGGTCGTCAATGCCGAGAACCTAGGAGAGGGAGCCTATGAAGCTGAACTCTTTGTTACCGTCCCACCTCAAGCAGACTTCATTGGCATAGTTCGCAACAAGGAGGTAAGTCTAGTGAGTACGCTGTGAGCAGAGTTTATTGCAACTAGTTTGTGTTTATTTATTGCTGCCTTTATATCCCTTTCCTCCGGCTCCAGGTCGCATACATGAGTCTCCCTCTCCTCATTTTATTCTCACAACAACCCTGTGAGGTGGGTTAGCCTGGCCCAGGGTCACCCGGACAGCTTCAAGACTGAGCGGGGATTTGAACCCTAGTTTCCCAGGTCCTAGTCCAACACTCTAACCACTATACCAAACTGGCAGTGCAGTGGTGTAAAATTAGACCTGTGCTAAGTGTCAAACCACATACACAGTCTTCCTTTGTTTGTTGGAGTCTACTTGGGTTTTTGATATCACATATCTGGTTGCTGACAAAAGGATGCCGTGGAACCAACGTTCTGCAGCCTGCCACCCTCCTCAGTGTGTTTTGGATCACCACTGAGAGAGCTAATGGGAGCCCAGCAAAACCTGGAAGGTACCAGTTTGGGGGAGTTTGCTATGGAAGTTTACTGCTATGGGTTTGCGTTATGGTCTGCAGTCCTACCTACCAATCCTGTGGTGGCAAGTCTGGTGCAGGAGACAGATTGTTGTATTTTGAAATAATCTGCGTACACAGGTCAATTGTAGACCCACTATGTGGCTCACTATCTCTTGGTATCAATTGCTCATCTCAAAATAAAAAATGACCGTAAAATGAGATCTTAGTTCAGTTGTGCTCTTAGCACAAATGTGCATGTTGCTTTCTGTTTGGGGAGGGAGAAGTATGCAAGAAAATAACATCAGCTGCATTGGTTGCTGAAAATCCTTTCTACATGATGCTTAGCTCATGTGGTTGCATTTCAAACAATTGATGTGGGAAGCAGCAGTATGAGTGGGCTACTCACATGATCAGAAGATCTGTACATTACAAATGGGACATGGAATAAGACTACTAGGGAAACAGCTCTGGGCAACTACAGTGAGCTTTAGAGAAGACCATTCATTGAGCTTCAGGCTCCTAAGCATGGATTTGAACCTGGGTCTCCCACATCCCAAACCATAGTTCTGTCTACCATGTCACACACTCTCATCAAGTGCTAGTTCAGTGTAGCCCAAACTTTCACTTGGCGGGAGGTGGCTTTCTTGCCTCTGCATCCCAGTTCCTTCATGATAGGCCTCAGTAATTTCACATTATAAATATAATCATTTTCCTTCCTTCAAAATGTCTACTTAGCATTTAAAGTAAGGAAGCTGTTAGGCAAAGCTTAAACATGCCACCTTTTTGTGGCTATTTTGCTTCATCCCTTTTAGTTGATCATATGGTGCTGATGAACAGTGTGGACCTGCCAGCTGGAAGATAAAGCTGGATGATCCTCTCCTAAACCGGGAGAGAGGTGTCTTGTCTAGCAACAGGGAGCAGTCTGTGCAAAGCGAGCCAGGCTGCTAAGACAAAGCTATTTCTGTTGAGGCGCTTAGAGCCACACATTTTGGTAATTAAATTAATTCAGGCTCATGCTCTTACACCTTGGGAAATGAACAGGGCGATCCCAAGGGACTGGGATAAGTGCCTTAGCTGTTGCTGTTTTGTCCCTAACATGGCTGTACAACTCAATAAATGCACCAGAAAAATTCTGCCACGTCAAACGTCAAAATCCCCCCCCCCCATGATGCATTCAGGATTTACTTCAGAGTTGTTAGCAACTGACTGTATTGGTATCTTAAAGAAGATTTAGGAGCCAAAGTTCTAGGTGAAGTTTTAAAAAATTAATGTTTTGGTAATACAGTCATACCTTGGAAGTCAAACGGAATCCGTTCCGGAAGTCCACTCGACTTCTAAAACGTTCGAAAACCAAAGTGTGGCTTCTCATTGGCTGCAGGAAGCTCCTGGAGCCAATCGGAAGCCGTGGAAGCCCCATCGGATGTTCAAGTTCCAAAGAACGTTCGCAAACCGGAACACTCATTTCCAGGTTTGTGGCTTTCAGGAGCCAAAACGTTCAACTTGCAAGGCATTCAGGATCTAAGGTACAACTGTACTATTGCCTAAGTAATGGAGCTGGCCTGCTAGAGTACTGATGAAATGTCGCTGCCTTAAACAAAGCAGCATTGCCCATTTGGAAGCCATTTTGGTGTTGCAAACACAGTTCCGAACTTGGACCTGAGTTCTATTTCCTCTTTAGTCATATGCACAATGGAAAAAAATAATTCTTTCCCTCTCTTACATCTAGATGTGTGTGCTTAGAGATTACAGCCTGATAATGGATTATTTTCTCTGGACTTGAAAAACACTAGTGATCTTTGCACCACACTTGCCAGCGGAGAGACAGGTTCTGAACCCTAAAATGTCATGTTTGATAGACCGCTCATAACCATTGGAAGTGCTAAAGAATTCAGTGCAGACAATAAATATCATTATATGTCAGAAGGAGAACGTGCTTAGAGAATGATAAGTATTGTGCTCTTCTCTGAAAACAGTCACCTTTGTTTCACTGCAGGATTTGGCAAGGCTTTCATGCGCATTTAAAACTGAGAATAAAACCCGGCTAGTTGTCTGCGACCTTGGGAATCCAATGAAAGCAGGAACAAAAGTAAGAATTAACAAAAACTAAGGAGAACCCTATGCCTACAGCAGCAGGGTTTGCTGGTTTGGGAGGCAGCCTCATACTGACTGCCTTTTGGTTAATTGGATGAGCCACACAACGGGTTAAACCAACCTCTTTCCAACTGTCACATGTGTTAATCCTGTACATCTTCTTTTGTGTTCAAGCTTTCAGCCGGCCTCCATTTTAGTGTTCATCAGGAATCTGAGATGGACACCTTTGTGAAGTTTGATCTACAGATTCGTAGGTATGGGACACTTAGCACTGTGTACTCACCTAATAACTGGGGCTGCTATTGAAATGGGGGGGGGACAGGCAGAAACAGAATTAAATTATAAATAATAGTAATATTATTGTCTGTAAGAATATTAAATTGCAACAATGTAATTATATGGTCATATACACACACTCACACACACATTTCCTATTTAATACTACCGACTTCCCTTTTTAGCCATTTTCTTAATTTATTTAAAAGCATGTATGCGTATCTCACATGTTTCAGAAATCTCCAAGCACCATGCAGTCTAAAAAGAAACAATCTATCATTAAAACATTTTGCCCGTTAATGTAATAAATGAAATCTTGTTTGAGGATCTTCGTGTACCTGTGGCCTTTTGCATTTAAAAGGCCGCTGCCTCTCTTCCAGAATCTATTGTTTTAAAAACCTGCAATCTAACATCAGTCAGGACTGCATTGCCAATATATTACATTTAACCGCAAAGACTGAGATACTCAGCATATTAGTCAACATACGCTGTAAAAGGAATGTATTGATTTGTGCATCTCCAAAATGGGATGTACAGAGTGAATTGGAGAGAGAGAGAGAAAGAAAGAAAGAAAGAAAGTGTGTTTATATTGGATTGCATTCCTCTTTTAAATGGCTGTCTTAAGACCAATGAAATTTATGGCCAGAGAGAGCCTGACACATTTTGTTACCTGAGGCAAAAAATTCTAGAGGTTGGCTCCTAAATTGACAGTTTGCTGCCCTTGAAATACAGGGATAGGAAATCTTTGGCCCTCCTGATAGTGTTGTACTCCCATCAGCCCCAAACAGCATCACCAGTGATTGGAGAAGATCAAAGTCGTAGCCCATGGGTAGGCCAACTAAGGCCCGGGGGCCAGATCTGGCCCAATTGCCTTCTCAATCTGGCCCGCAGACAGTCCAGGAATCAGCATGTTTTTACATGAGTAGAATGTGTCCTTTTATTTAAAATGCATCTCTGGGTTATTTGTGGGGCCTGCCTGGTGTTTTTACATAAGCAGAATGTGTCCTTTTATTTAAAATGCATCTCTGGGTTATTTGTGGGGCATAGGAATTCGTTCTTTTTCCCCAAAAATACAGTCTGGCCCACCACAAGGTCTGAGGGACAGTGGACCGGCCCATGGCTGAAAAAGGTTGCTGACCCCTGTCGTAGCCCAGCAATGTCTGGAAGGCCACTAGCTTCCCACCTCTGATTTAAAGGATAAAGTTCTCAGAAAGCAGCCACTCTTCAGGCATTGCAGGAAAAGCAACTCACTTGAAGTGGGCTACTGAACTGAACCGTGTGCTTTCAGCGCATGCCGCTTGTAGGGTAGAACCTCCTTCCTTTTACCTTCAACAGCAGCACATGACTTGACTCACTGTGCCATTGCATTGTTTCACAGCTCTAACATGTACAACAACCTAAGCCCCGTGACATCTTATCAGGTGGACCTGGCCATCTTAGCAGTTGTCGAAATCAGAGGGTGAGTGATGGCCTTGGTGCCATTGTAGCTAGTGCCTCATTTCCTTCATTTCACAATTACGTGGCTTATGCTGCATGCTCATGGTGCCTGGTGGTTATTGTGCACTCCTTGTGTAATTTTAGGGTTTCTTCTCCGGATCATCTTTTTCTCCCAATTCCTAATTGGCAACCCAAGGAGAATCCAGAAACGGAGGATGACATCGGGCCTCTGGTTCAACACATCTATGAGGTAAATATGTGCTCAAGGCTGTAACCAGAAGGCCATGACTGCTGGAATCATGCCTTACCTCTTGCCAGAATGGTAAACTAATCAGATGGCCTTGTGGGCTGCAAACCTGCAGAGTGAGGTTCACCAGACATCTTAGTACTGTATACAGTGATGTCACACGTCATGGTGTGTTCATGCATTTATGGTACCAAGACCACCCTTCTACCCTCCTCTCCCCCCCAGAAACAGAACAGAAAGACTTAAGAGCATGCCTGAAAAATGTGTTACCTGCCAAGCCAAACACAACCCATGAGTCACTGTACTGTAGCCTGCCAGGTGCTTCACAACCTTTGGGTGGTATTTAACATAACAAATATGCATTACAAAAGTGTTAAACAAGGGCTTTTGGAGACCTGAGGAGTGGGGCAGGATTTTCCATTCTAACATCTGTAGTGGCAGGTGGCCCAGTTCTGAACCAATGTCACACAGCTTTGAGACAGGTAAGAGCATTTGCCGTGGTCAACCCAATGTTATTGAACTGCAGCTTCTATCATCCCCAGCCAGCATGAGCAGTGGTCAGGAATGAGGGGAGTTGTAGTCCAACAACATCTGGATGGCCTTTAAAATAGCATAGGACTGCCTGGCCAAGCCCACAGACAAGTTGTTGGGGCATATGCCACAATAGCCATAGGAGGGGATAGGATTGTACTGCAAGAGTGAAAATAGCATCGTTCTTCGTGGTCATTTGTTTCTCCTGCCTCTCACTAGCTCAGAAACAATGGCCCGAGTGCTGTCAGCAAAGTGATGCTCAATCTTCAGTGGCCTTACAAGTATAACAACAACACCCTGTTGTATATTATGGAATATGAAATTGAAGGCCCCATGAACTGCACTTCTGATATGGAGATTAACCCACTAAAAATTAAGGTAAGTCGAAAGCATCTTCAGATTTTCCGTGTACTGAGGAATCCATCTGTCTTGAATGTTTAAAGCAATACAAATCATTGTTAATGGTTATAATGCTAAAGAATATTCAACTTCATTGTCATCAAAAGGGGCAGTGGGGAATCCAGTGGTTGTTCGCCTGTATCTGCCCAAATGCTTGGGCAAAGAGGTTCTTCTGTGCAAATGTTGAGCCAATTCGTTAGAGAAGAGAGGTACAGGGAGAAATGAAGTGACCTTGGGAGGGTGATGATGCAAACATACTCTCATCTCGTCTGCTCAGCAGCATAGACCTTCCCCACTAATGATCTGGTTGAAGTCACCTCACTCCCTAACCAGCCCATCCCCTTGTGGGCTCACTTGACAACAGCAGTTCCCTGAATGTGGACAGGGCAAGTGACCATTTCAAAATGGCCGTGGGCTTTTTGGTATCTCGTTTATCGCTCTCGATTTCCAATGTATGCTGTTCACCCATCTACAAAGTGTTTAGGAATGTGTCACCAATCCGTACCGATAATCGAACCCTTCTTGATGCTGTAGATGTCAACGCCTCACCAAGATGAAAAGAATGAAACAACGAATGGAGGAGATAGCCGCAGTCACAATGTCAACCGGAGGGACCTAAGCGCAGCTGAGGGAGATGTACAAACTTTGGTAACGTCTGTTTATTGGTTTGTTTGAGAAAAGTTTGAGAATCTTAGGTATGCTTCATGTGTCCCAAGGGATTGCTCTGTAAAGCAAATTCTGATATAGATGCATAGCCCTGATTGACCATGATGGACAGATTGGTTAGGGAAACCCTGAGAAAAGAGGTGAGCAAGCTGGTGGGATGGTTGCCCAAACCTTTGGCAGCCTGCCTCTGTCTTTAGGTAAAGATGCTGAGGCCCTACTGCCTCACTCACAGGAGATCGAAACTGATCAGATGCTTTTTGATGAGTAGAGACCTGCTATATGGTACCTATGTAATGCAAGACATCCTGATTAACACGAAACATGCAACATGGTGTATTTGAACATCTCTCGGTGTAGGGGTTGGAGAGGCTGATTAAATTACTGTCCAAAATACTGGAGAACCCCTGCCAGTCAACACAGATGGACAACTGATCTGACTCAGTATAAGGCAGTTCCTATCACTGAATCAAGATTTGATTTGGACTAGGGGAAGACTGTTATGGGCATACATCATAACAGGGGAGTGTGTGAAAATGAGAGAGAAAATGTTACATAGCTCCCTTTGGATATTTAGCAATGCAAGTTCCCTTTACCAGAGATACCTGTGAACTACAGATAATTTTGCCTTGATGATGATGATGATACTTTTATTATTTATACCCCACCCATCTGGCTGGGTTTCAGCATATATTAAAACATCAGGTGTATGTTTCTAGGTGTGTAGTGATGCCTCTAGGTGTATAGTGGCAGGTGTGTTGGCTCAGCACTGTTTAAATCTGCAAATTACATGGGGTTTTTATCTAAATTCCCTTTCTGAAGGAGCCCAGTGAATTAAGCAGGGTTGCAGAATCCAAATCGCTGCAGACACCACTCTGCAACTTTGCACCTCTTCTTTTGCAGGCATTGTTTTTGGTTTGGTTGTAAATTGCACACCAGCTGCGGTTGCCACCAGGGGTTGCAATAAGTGGTCAGCCAAGACTGTACCAGCTCTAGGATTCAAAGCACTGTAAGGTTGGAAGGGAACCGACTCTGTGAAAGATTCCTGAGGGCCATTTTACAGTGACCTTAGCATATATTGCTTGCTAGGTTACGTTTCTCAAATTCAAAACCTCTTAGAGCCTGAGTATTGCAATTCTAGTTCCCTGGGATGTTCCACTAGCAATGCCTCTGAGAAAAATCCTTATACGGAATGATTTATAATCACTAGAACAACTGATTCAGACTGAGCATGCTAAGCTCATTTGGAGTTCTCAGAATAAGTGGGTGTAACTCATTTAAATGTATGTAAATACTTTGCATGGTATGAATAATCGTACACATGACTTAGATAACCCAGAGCCACAAAATCCTAACATGGGACACACACAAATGGTGCACATCTACATCCTTTGCCACTGGCATATTCCCCCATCCTCTCTGCATTTGGGTGACAGCAATGGCAATTTGAAATGCAACATGCATGCCTGCAGCTGCTGCTGCAATGTTTTCCCCTTGATCAGGAGGAAGAGGTTACAGCATTACATCAGCCACTGCAGGGTAGCAAATATTGGATTTTAATGGCCCTAGCGAGAGATGATTTAATGCTGCATGTTTATTGCACTTCAGATGCCTGTGATATACGAGGTGCAAACCTCTACAACTGATTTGCCAGCTTGACAAATAACTCATTGTTCCAAGCCTTTCCAGGAATGGTAAAGTCAAGGACAATGGGATTCTCAAAATCATGTGCTGATGACTTACCTTTGTACCTTGTGGTTTCACAGTTCAAGGGTGCTGCCTCCTGTGTCCAAAAGGAGCTTTATTATTGTAGGTATGATGAAAAGGAAAGCACACACAAAAAAGGCACCCTTGTTCTTCTCCACCTTAATTTTGCTTGGAGCTGTATGCGCATGAAATCACAGAGCAAAGGTGTATTCATGAAAAATGGGCACTTAAAAAAATTGCATTCTGAATTTCCATGGTGCCACTTGAAAAAAAATAATTCCATCCTATACTGATGGAACTATTTCTGTTTCTTCTCTCTGTCCACATCTCATCTCTCAAGTGCTCTCATTCATGGAACATTCATCTCCCCCCACCCACAGCAATAGATAAGACCTGGAAACATGGATAGAAGGAGGTGCAAGCAACACATGAGATTTCTTTTTTTTTTTTAATATAATTTTTATTAGATTTTGCACAAATTTTCCAACCTAACAACTCCAAAACAACATAACAAATATTTGGCTATCACAGCCTAAGACTTCCTTCAACCACTTCTAATGGTTCTCTAAATTCCTTTCTGATTTTGCATTTTGTTACTATGCTTATTGCTAAAAGTCCAATCTTACATCAGCGATCTTAGTCCTTTTCACAATAATTTATATAGTCCTCCTTACAAAACTTCTTGTAATCCTGCAAGCAATGTTGGGTAATTACAACTGTCTTTCAGATACAACATAAATTTCTTCCAGTCCTTTAGGAAAGTCTGGTCCTGCTGATTTCGAATTTTCCCTGTTAGTCTCTCCAGCTCAGCATAGTCCATCAATTTCGTTTGCCATTCTTCTTTTGTTGGCGTTTCGTCTTGCTTCCATTGTTGAGCTAATAATATTCTTGCTGGAAGAAATCTCATTGAATAGAATAAGAATAAGAACAAGAACACATGAGATTTCTTCTTGCTGTTTCTTTGAAGCATCCAGGGTAGCTTTGACAGTCTGTTCTCTAGCTGAAGAAACTGGAGCAGAAAAGGGAATGAGATAACAGGCAGAAATGTCGTTTCATGCCACTCTACTTACATGAAATAAACATCTTCAGGGGAAAACAAGTTGCTGTTAGTTCCCAGACATTTTGGTGAATGCTATAGTGGAAATGTATGTAGGTAAATTTAGCCAGGGAGATCTAGCTAAAAATGGTTCGGGAGCATATGCTTTTAATTCACACTTTACTCCCTTTACCCAAACTTCAACATTTGGTATGAATATCACACAAGTCACCAGCAGCGTAATTCAAAGTCTCGCTGCAGTGGTGTCCAAGCAGGGTTTAGTAGTTGTTACACCACCAAACATGTTGGGTCACCATTGTAGTAATAACAGCATAACAAGTAGCTCTCAGGAGGTGGATCCAACACATAGGAAATAAATCAAGAAGTAAATGGAAGCATGGATAGCTCTGTGGTACCAGTTTCCTTTGAACATAAGATCTGAAAACTCATGTACAGCTCTTCCTCTCCTATTGTTTTAACCTTAGGGCTGCGGAACTGCAGAATGTTTAAAGATATTCTGCCAAGTGGGTCGCCTAGAGAGGGAGAAGACGGCAATTCTGTATTTAAAATCTCGCCTTTGGACTCAGACTTTCATGAACGTAAGCATCCATTGCTGTTTCTACGACATCTGCCTGCCCCTGAATAATATGGGTTCTAATTTGACATTTTCTTTCTTATCATTCCCATCACAGAAAGAAAACCAGAACCACTCCTATTCTCTCAAATCATCCGCTTCCTTCAGTGTTATCGAGTTCCCTTACAAGAATCTTTCCTTTCCCGAAGATGTCCACAATTCTACAATAGTAAGCTATTTGATATTCAAAATTAGCGTGACCCAGGGCAACACAATTAAGCTGAAAAGAGTTGTCAAAATGAAACACGCATCTGATCTGCTTCCAATGTTTTTACTGTGCTATATTAAATTGTGGATTGTTGGGCTCATTCAGTTTTATCGCATGCTGCTGAAGCTTTTAATTAAATTTTAGCCTTCAATTAAAAGCTTTAGATGCGGCCTTCACACTGCTGCTCCAGAATGGGCTCATGTCTGGCGCTGGCATACAGAATAGCATTGGTGCAGAACTCGGAGCCAGCCCATTGCATTGCAATCGACTAATCACACAATTGCAGACCCAATCCTATGCATGTTTACCTAGGACATATATGTTCTATCGAGGCTTAATTCCATGTAAATGTGCACAAGATTGTAGCCCTGAACTTCAGCAGAGTTATCACCATCAAAGCCAGCAATATTAAGCTAGACAGCATGGAGGCTTCGGTGGTGTTTAATTGGCCCTAATAACCTTCCCCAAATGGAAGGACTACAATCGTACCTCGGTTTTCGAACAGCTTAGTTCTCGATCATTTTGGCTCCCGAACGCCACAAACCCGGAAGTGACATTTCCGGTTTGCGAACTGTTTTTGGAAGTCAAACATCCCACGGGGCTTTGTGGCTTCTGATTGGCTGCAGGATCTTCCTGCAGCCAATCAGAAGCCGTGCTTTGGTTTCCAAACGTTTTGGAAGTCGAACGGACTTCCGGAACAGATTCCGTTCGACTTCCAAGGTACAACTGTACTTCTGTTCATGGAAGGCTTTTGCTCCAGAAGCTGGGAGGCGATTCTGAGATTCCTCCACATCTCCACAGCAGATTTTCATAGGGTGCAAGTGGCTGCAGGGCAAAGGGAGGGTACTGATTAAGCTTGCCTCTCCCACTTCTGCCATCAAGTGTCCTGTGAGTGAATACCACTCAAGCATATTCCCATCAGTGGGAGCAAACTCAAAATCCAAGCCAGTGAAGCTATGCGATCATCTTCCGACCAGAAGCTACCTTTATCTTACGAGCAATTTGGCAAGCAGTGTCAGATTTTGCTCCTGCCAAATCACAGTATACACACAAACATAGGCCAGGAAAACCTTGCTCCATCTCTTTCGTTGAACAGTGTTTGTTTCTGCTCACTGGTGTGCCACATGCAAGTGAATCATGAAGAATTTCCAAAGCATATCCCTCCAATGATCTACATTGTTTCTCTATAAAATATGTTGTCATCTCCTCCTCTTTAGGTTACCACGAATATCCTGTGGGGTATTCAGCCAGCACCCATGACCGTGCAAGTCTGGGTAATCATACTAGCCGTCTTAGCAGGATTATTACTTCTGGCACTTCTAGTCTTTATAATGTACAGGGTAAGTGGTGTCTTTAATGAATCATAGAATGGTAGAGTTGGAAGGGACCCTGTGGATCATCTAGTCCAACCCCCTGCAATGCAGGAATATGCAGCTGTCCCATATGCGGATTGAACCTGCAACCTTGGCTTTATCAGCACCACGCTCTAACCTACTGAGCTATCCTAGCTCATTTTATTGTACTATGGTACTTTTCAGAGTGCACTCCTATGCTCGTCTGTGATTAGCTCCCATTGAACTTGGTGGAGCTTATTTCTGAGTAGGTTCAGCCTAGGGGGAAGAAGCCTCTAAATCAGTGGTTCTCAACCTTGGGTCCCCAGATGTTTTTGGCCTACAACTCCCATGATCCCTAGCTCACAGGACCAGTGGTCAGGGATGATGGGAGTTGTAGGCCAAAAACATCTGGGGACCCAAGGTTGAGAAAGGCTGCTCTAAATCATGGGTGGGGAACTGGATCCAGTCAGTGGGCCAGATCCTTACCTCTGCCACAAAGAAACTTTGAAAGATGGGTGGGACTGACCACCTGTCAATCCCCCAAGATGACCTCTCCAGAGGGGATCACTGGGCACAAATCCACTGATGGGCACTGGCAGTACACCCGCAAAGGAGATCAGCTGATGGGCACAAAGAATGTGCCCTTTTTGTTTGCAGACATGTTTCAATTAAAATGGACCTATTTCCTCTGCCAGCCTGTTGATTGGCTGTATTAGAAAGTTCTCAGTAGGGCACTTTGTAGTGCAGCACATCCCAGCAACATCGGTATATGCCCTACACTTGATGTCACGTTCAGGGCAAAAGGCTGTGGATTGGGGAAGCTGTCTAACTGGGACCTCTACCAAGCCTAAAGATGGCCAAAGGTTCCCCTGTTCCTCTAAACTGACTTACCTTTTGTGTTCCATATAAATATTTGGAAATCAAAGCCAGAAATCCAGTAGCCAAAGACAGAAATCAGATGAGTAATCTTTTGGGGCATTCAGCATGGTTGTAGAGGTACACGTGCCCAATCACATGAAAGCACAAAACAGGTAGAAGAACAGGGAGTTTGTCCATTTAGCTGCAGCTTCAGATAAACACAAGGAAAAGAACCGAAGGAAACATGTTGTACAGCCTTTGAGATTTAGGTAGCGGTCGGCTGTGAGAGCTTTGGTTCTAGTTGATTCAAATGGACCCTCCCCAGCCCTTTTACAGGTTTGCTTACTCAGAGTATTAGTTATACCAGTTTTCAGACCAACCTCACAGAACAGGAGCTTGCACGGGAAATATTTAAATGTTTTAAAATAGTAACAATGACTTGGCTGCTTAAGATCTGCGTCCAGATGTTTAAAGATCTGTTATTGCAGAAGGCCTGGCTGAGTTCTGCTGGTGGCAAGAGGTTCAGCAGTAAATAGATTTTTATAGCGCTGTTGATGTGCTGGGTCAACTAGGCTATGTATGTGGATGTTGTGCGTGTAACAACAGTAGCGTGGCATATGCACGTACAGTGGTACCTCAGGTGACATACGCTTCAGGTTACAGACTCCGCTAACCCAGAAATAGTGCTTCAGGTTAAGAACTTTGCTTCAGGATAAGAACAGAAATCGTGCTCCGGCGGCGCGGCGGCAGCAGGAGGCCCCATTAGCTAAAGTGGTGCTTCAGGTTAAGAACAGTTTCAGGTTAAAAACGGACCTCCAGAACAAATTAAGTATTTAACCTGAGGTACCACTGTATGCGGATTCTGTGCGCATGGTAAGATGTTTTTGAAATTGGGGGCTGCATTTGTCTACCTGTTGTGGGGATGCCTTAACTATTTTGATACCCCCATGAGTGAGGCCCAGGGGTGTTTATGGGCAGAGATAATTCCCGTGTCGCTCCCAGTGTGCATTGTATTTCCTTCCTTTCTCTCTACAACACAGGTGGGTTTCTTCAAGCGTGTGCGGCCACCTCAGGAAGAACAAGAAAGGGAACAGCTGCAGCCGCATGAAAATGGAGAAGGGACATCAGAGGCCTAAGCAGTGTTTTAGCTGTGTCATTTACCAAAAGGTTCAGAATGGTCAACACCTTCCTTTTTTAAAAAAATGTGTATTTTTTCTGCCTTGAGGGACAGACGGTCTAGAATTGCACTGCAGGTGTCTTCTGGCATTTACAGTAGTCAGAGGTTAACAATATGTTAGCCTCCCTCCTATTTAATCCTGTTCACATACATGACTAATACATGTGCACTGATGAGCATATTTTTAGTGCCACAGCCTTGCTTATCCGGCTCCGGAAGGCTAAAGACATAAAATGTATTGATTGGTGCAACTTGAACTGCTAGCAAGAGTTTGAAGACCTGCAACTACTACATCCGTTTAATGAACTGTGTGTACACTAATTGAAGACTGTCTGGGCGGGACCATTCCACGGTACTCACCAATCCTCAGAAGTACTTAACTTGCCACTACATTTTCAAACCAGAAACATCTAAATTGACAAAACGTACAATGTTCTGCTCCAGTTATATGATTTTCAGTGAGTTCGCCATAGAAGACAACTGTACGGTACCCATTTCAGGAATTGCTGTCCACTTCGTAGATGCAAAAGATTTATTTCGGTTTCCTAATATTTATGAGATATCATCAGCCTTTTTCTAGACACTAATATACCCATACTCTGGGAAATGATTGATTTGTGCACCAGACTTCTGATAACTTTTCTAGCCTTTTATAATTTTTCCGCACTTCAGAAAATTCAAAGCCTATACAAGGAAATGGAAATTCTTCAATCACAATATATTATAAAAATAATTAAGAGTACCTGCTTGACCTTACTATGCATAATTTTACTTCTGCTTTCAAAATGCAAGTTTTGAAACAAAACAGAATTATTTCCAGCAAAACTAGCCTGTTGGAGGATGAGCAAGAAGAGGAAATAGAGGGAGCGAAGCAAATGGTACTTAGATGAATTGGAATTGTAACCTCTTATAAGCCCACTAGAAGCCTTCAACAAATGTGTCTCACAATTTCCAGCTCTTACCTGCAGCCTAAGGTAGAAAACTGAAGAGTTCAGAAGGCCACATCCTGCTCTAGATCTTGGCTTTGCTCTGGGTCTTTACAGATCAAACCCTTAGACATGTAAAGAAGGAATCCTGTTTGTACAAGTAAGTTGACAGGCGGTGATAGCAGACATGCTGTGCTGAGCATGTCCCAGTGAAGATACTAAGTGGCAATGTCATGCTGTCTCAAGTGGGACCCCCCTCATAGTTGCATTTGCCAGGAAGTTAAAAAAAAAAAATCGTCATAGAGGAAAGCATTGAAGTAATGAAGGGAAAGCATTTTATTCTGAACAGCTCGCAGGATGCATGTTGTTAAGCAGGAAAGAGCCTTAAAGGGCAGTTCCAGTGAATGGGATTTCAGAGGATGTCGACTGTACCTTCACTCTTTCTGGGATCATTGCCAGGATTTGATCTATGGAAGGAAGCTGAAACCCCATTGGAGATAGTTAGCCAGGTATTAAAGAGCTCTCATGGAGAGCTTTCCTGGAGAAGAGTGACCACTGAGGCGATAATACAGAAGGAGGCAAATGTGAAGCTGAATTGTAAGGTTTGGTCTTAGGTGCTTCTACCTTTTCCTAAAATGGGGTATTGTAAGTACATTTAAAGGGAAGGATATGCCTAGTTGCAGAAATAAAAAATGCGGACTATGAGAGCAACTGTGTGCCATGTAGATGAACTACCAAAATTGGGAAATTTATTTTTAACATGTCTATTTTCTGTGAGAGGAAAAATACAAAGGGACTTAAGTTTTAGTGTTTATCTCAGGCCTAGTGCACCACGTGCATGCACATCATTTGATTTTGGGGGGGGATATTGATTACTGTACTCGATGACTGTTAGCTGAATGTGTGAACTTAGGAACAACTGGAAAAATAGAGCTCTATCTATGCCATGGTGCCAGATCTGATGGCCCTTTCATACAGGCAAGTTATCAAGTGATGAGCATGCAGGTGTGAACTAGGCTTAAGAAAATAAAGAGAAGACAATTGCTTCTATGGGGCTCAAAGTAGCACTTTCCATACAAATGCCATACTGAAAGAGGTGATTTTTTGATAAGCATGAACTGCAACTGCAAAACACAACAGATTGTATCAGTTTCCTCCGTTATTGGATAGTTTTGCTTTGCCACATACACAGTGTGTTCTTCCATAAGGGCCAATGACGCTGCAACACTTTGTAAATAGTACTCTAGTTTATCCAAATCTCTTTTTTCTTGGATATCCCCTCCTAGACCATTCAGATGAATGAATTTGTACTGTATGTAAATATTTTTAAAGGAACGAATGTCACAGAAGTAGGCAAAATGAAATATATTAAGCATTTTATACTTAATATTTTTTTCATGAAGAATATATATTTTGTACACAGCAAAAGCCTATGCATCAAAATGTACAAAAAATGCTACCCCCCCCAAACCAAAACCAAATGGTTATGTCCTGCCACTTCAGTCTGCTTAATTGGAAGCAAATATGGTTAAGATAAGAGATAAAAAAAAATTCTGGCCTTGTGGTTCTATTGGTCTGTATCTAGACATAGCTGTTACTGAAAGTATCCTTCTTAACAGTACAATCCTATGCATTCAGAAGTAAGTCCCATTCTGTTCAATGGGGCTTACTGTCGGGTAAGTGTGCACAGAATTGCAACCCAGAGTGAGTAATCAATCAAGTTCATTGTTGAATAGACACATCTTGGTGTCCTGTATTACAAAAAGCATAAATTTTCGAGTGGTATATCGTTTAGCAATCTGCCAATTTGTATTATTAACTAGAAATTTGAATTTCTTTTCTCTGCAGCTTAACATACTCAGTGAACAACTCAGTCCTATGCTCCCACAGCTAACAGCTGCAACCCAGTGGTGTTGGGAGTTTTGGCATCTTTAAATTTAAATATCTGAAAACAACAAGATTTAGGAAACTGACAAAATGCATTAATTAAAGACATAAAGGTAGCACTGGGTTTTTCAGTTCTGTGTGGTGTTAGGGGTGTGTGATAGAGGTTTCATAATTTGAGAGGCATTATGTTGCAACATCAGTGCTTTTTTGCCAAAGTATACCTCATATAGTAAAGGTAAAGGACTCCTGACAGTTAAGTCCGGTCGTGAACGACTCTGGGGTTGCAGTGCTCATCTCGCTTTACTGTCCGAGGGAGCTGACGTTTCTCCGCAGACAGTTTTTCTGGGTCATGTGGCCAGCATGACTAAGCCGCTTCTGGCAAACCAGAGCAGCGCACGAAAATGCCGTTTACCTTCCCGCCGGAGTGGTACCTATTTATCTTCTTGCACTTTGACGTGCTTTCGAACTGCTAGGTTGGCAGGAGCTGGGACCGAGCAATGGGAGCTCACCCCGTTGCAGGGATTCGAACCGCCAGCCTTCCGATCGGCAAGCCCTAGTTTCAGTGGTTTAGACCACAACGCCACCTGCGTCCCATCACTAATATAGGACTCCCTAATAATCAAATGAACTATGTATAGGCAACCGCTTTTTAAAAAAATACAAAGTGGTATTATATAGTATGATATTTCCTTCAAAGTTATTATACACAGCATTAGAACAAACCATAGAATCATAGAATTGTAGAGCTGGAAGGGACCACAAGTGCTATCTAGTCCAGCCTCCTGCAATGCAGGAATCTTTTGCCCAACATGGGGCTTGAACCCATGACCCAGAGATTATGAGTCTCATGCTCTTATCAACAGAGCTGTGTGATCTCTTCATAAAAATCCCTTCCAGAAACCAACCACCCATTCTTCATAAGACACTGTCATTCTATTGCAGATAGAGCTGCTATCTATCTGTCCATAATGCATTTATGCTTTAATATGGGTGCACCACTGCTTCATTTTCATGGCATATTCTGAGAGGTACTGAGTTGATTGAATTATTTAACGGAATGTAATGTTATTATAACTGAATTGACGGGCTGGGAATGGGGCCTGATGTTTTTCTGAGTTCGCTGCTCTTTTTTAAAAAAAAATCAAAATCAAATGCAATTCATCTTTTATAACCAGTTTTAATTAATTCCTTGCCAAATTATCAACATATACAGGCCTCACTAAGGAAAAACCAGATGCTGTAATTCTGTCGGGGCATTCTCTCCCTGTTGCGCATATCTCTACTCACTTAAAATTCATTCACATTTGCAGGTTTGTTACATAATGTCACAGGACACCCAATTTTATTTATTTATTTTAAAAGAGTTTAAGGTCATACAGAAACCTCTATCTGTCCTGCTTGACCTGTGATGGCTATTTCAAAGGCAGTATCAAGTGACTTTATGTTATGAATGTTGTGTGTGTGAAGTTGAAGTGGAATATCCATGTGCAAATATAATACACTCAACGAGCATGCGTGAACTTAACCCAGTATGTATGAACTGCTTCAGTTGAAAATATTTGCAGAGGTGTGGGGGGGGGGGAGCCAAAACACTTTCTGGGCAGAAAACTCCACTTTCCGTTTCATACACTATATCTCTTATAGTTATGCAAGTCATCACTGATGTTGAACATGCATTTATATACTCATTCCACTTAGGGTTTTTCTTTTACTTGCATAAAGAATTCCAGGGACCTAGAGAGGAAGTACTTGAGTGCATCTTATGGGCTCTCTGAAGACTTTATATTGGTGCAAACACTTCAGATTGAAAGTCAGGCTCTTCCATTTGTCTTTTCCCTGTGTCTCCTTGCTACAGAATTAGTACCAAAGCCAAGCCCAGGACAAGCATAAAATGTGGCACCTCACACACATGTTGGCCTGAGATGAATGTAGCATATATTGTCTCCCAGAGGTCAGCAGGGCAGAGAGCAAATATACTAAACTGACCTTGCAGGTTTAAGTAGGTTTACTCATAGCTAACCCCCATTGCTTTTAGTAGAACCTGTGCACTAATAATACTGCTTAGGTGTGCAACCACAGTGACTATGTAACTGCTCTAGATAGTATTATGATCACCCACAGGATTAATCAGAAGTAAGCTCCATTGCTTTCAGCAGAACGTATTCACTAGTAAAAATACTTAGGTTTGCAGCCTCCTTGTCTGTATAATTACTCTAGAAATGTGATTGCCCACATTGGGCGACACACCGCGTACGTTAGCAAAGTTTGCTAGTTGCAAACTTATTTAGTTTTTTATAACTTTGCAAGTAAAATAATGACTGTACTGTTACTGAGCTGATAGTACACTGCAACTATTGTGTCCGACATTTATTCCTCTAAATATACTGACCTTACAGTAATGTTCCATGTCAATTCAACATCAATTAACCCACCATTAAAAAAGTAACACACATTTTACTTAACACTAATAGTAACCAGTGAGAGACTATGGCCTGAACCCAAATATCCATTTATCTAAGGGTGCTTAATTTGTTTGTTTCTTTAGACAGTCCTTCATGCTGCACAGCTGAGTTTTCAAACTCGGGGATTAACTAGACATTATAAGAACAGCATTGCCAGAGCTTCCTTGCAATGTCTGAAGACACACATGGTATTATATTATTGTACTGTGCTCTGCTTTGCCCCAGCTGGCCAACATTGAATTAGGTGAGGCACAACACAGTGCAATTATGTCACATCACTGTACTGTGTTTCTATTTATACCACAGGTGGGACACCTATAGTGCTCCAGATGTTGTTGGACTACAGCTCCCATTGTCCATGACCATTAGCTATGCTGGAGCTATGTTGCTTGGAGACCCACAACATCTGGAGGGCCCTGGATTCTCCATCTTTGGCCTAGACATTACAGAGAACTGGGGATAGGAGACAGGGAGTTGTCTGTAACATCTGGCTAATATGACAAAGGAAAGGCAAAAGCAATTTATGATCTCTCATGGGGTGGAGGGTTGTTAGGCAAAAATAAAAGTAAAACATCCCAATGGGGTAAGCACAAGACTTTCAGCAGGTCTAAGATAAATCTTTGGATTCCAACCTAAGTTTGTGGTCTTGATGTTTAGTTTGTGTATTTTATTTCACCATTTCCTAATTTTTATATATATATGTAGTGATTTATTGTTTGTGAAACACGTGCGTCATTTTCTAAACAAACCAATGATTGGCAGTGTAACTACACATAACTGAGACCTTTTCTTGATTATATCATAAATGCACTTTGCTAATATGAATTTCTGGTTACGATGTGCCCTCTTGTCTCAGGACGCTGCAGTGCTATTCAGCCCATCAGTCTGTTTATCTAAACATCTCACACAAACATTTCTTTTCAGATGTCTCACAACCCACTATAATTTCCTGTGTGTGATTCCATAGGATATAGGCTGAAATAATATATGTTATGCCATATACCTGCACCTGTTACTCCAATTTCACTGTCATTCCTTCCCCCAAAGAAGCCTGGGAATTGTAGGTGCTGTTGTAGATGCATCCTAAAATATTTTCTGTGTATTTATTTGGTGGAAGTCTTCAATGCACTTTAGACTTTCTCTTAGAAATAAGAGTATATGTTTCCTTAAAAAAAATAACAACACATTGAAACATCAGATGTGTAACTGGGTTTGACTGTGCATGAACAGGATGGTGACACTGTTAATGCTCAGGAATTTTAAAAAAATGCATTTGGAAAAGCAATAAATAAAATTCACCAGCACTTACACTTTAAGCCTTATAAAAGTTCTGTGAATTAATAGCATTTTAAATGTTGAAAACAAATAAAACAAATCATTGTTGTCACTCACAGCAGCTGTAAAGATAGCCTATAGGAGATACATTAGCTGTATTACTTGACTTACTACATTGCCCATCCCTTAATCCACAAATCCACTGAAGTTAAAACACTTGGAAAAGAAAGTCAGATATATTTTTAAATTGTTTGCATAAATCAATCGAAGAAATCTTTAATGTAAATAGTAGGATAACTAATGTTTCTCTATTCATTGATCAATAAAATACTTATTTCACTCTGTCCTTTGGATTTATTTGCAAAACACAAATATCAGGATATGTACCACTTCACATTCGCAAAATTGCTTTGCATTTTTTCCTGATATAAAACTAGCTGGGACTGCCCAGGACTAATGCATTACATTAATGTAGCAAAAGCTAGTCAAACTGGTGCATGGGTGTTAGTTAAGTGGTTGGGGAAAAGAATGTTCATTGTGCTATTATGATGCAGGCCTATAGACACTGAACATTACAACAGACCAGCTCTAATAAGGCATGCAAAGAGAACATTATGTAAGAATATGAAGTTGGAGGGAATTGGATGAAGTAAGCTTACCAACACTTTGCTTGGTAGGATCCGTATCTGGGGGGGCAGTGGCAAACCAGGCAATGACCCCCAAGGCCCCACACTTTAGGGGTTGCAAGATCTTGTACAAAATCCTGGCTGACCTCTTTATAGTCAGTCTCAGTCTGCTTTGTTACTATCTTAGCAGCATTGCAGGCAAGTTAGTCCCTTCCTTCAAAAGCACAGCCCCCACCCCCACTGTAAACCAAGCCTATCTGCAACAGTTTTGTACTAGTTCCTTGGCGAGGAGCTGTCCTTGTGCCCTTTTTTTCTGCACATGCCCAGTTGCCCCAGTTTGCTCAGGACATTAGGAGTCAGCAGCCTTTTGATTTTAGTAAGAGGAAAGGAGACAAGATTCACAATTTCACAGGTGTTGTTTCACTATGAAATCCTTCAGCTTTTTCTGCTGGAAGGTAACTCAGTTGTTTAACCAAATATCTGCTAGGGCAAGGAAAAAGTTGGAGCTATTCTTTCTCAGTGAAAACTTCCTTGGCCAAAGAAGACTTAAAATCAGAATTGTAGAGTTGGAAGGGACCACAAGAGTAATCTAGTCCAACCCTGAGATTAAGCCTCATGCTCTGCTGACTGAGCCATCTTCCAATCCTATAGTGCGCACCCTTGCCTAAGACTGAATCCTACCGAATACAGTAGTGCTTACTGAGCATCACATCATTTCACCTATCTTCTGATTGGTTTATGGAGCAGTGCAGAAGGGATCGTGGTGGCAGGATTTCTCTCCTGCACTGGCTATATTTACTATTACAAATGCAGTAGCAAACTTTATTAGGTTGGGAAACAGGGTCAGCTTAGCTCACTGATTGTCTAGATAATGCCAATGTGCAAATCTCTAGGCTGTGCGCACACATTTTCATTTTCCCCCTCCAAATCCTATTGTCCTAAAACTGTTATATCTTCCTTTTCTGTCTGCTTCAGGCTTAAAATAACACTGCTTTCTTTGAGGGAGAATTTTGCTGCCTCCTTAAAGCTGCATTTTGAGAAGCTCTGAGAATTAGATTGGGTGGGGACACATTACTGTACTCAAAATACTTCAGCAAATGCCTGGGTGATAGGGCCATTAGTGGCTAAGAGCCAGATGGTTTAAAGGACTCGGCCTTATGCCCAGAGCATCCTAAACCTCTAAGTGTGAAACAAAAAGGATTGAACAACCTAAGTGCTTATGCCATCAGTCCATCCTTGTCAAGTAGATTCTGGTACAGACCTACTAAACACTCTGATATTGACCACTGTCTTGCTCGATTCGCGTTAGGTGTGTTGCTGTCCATTGTCACAGCTCCCTACAATACTAGTGATACTGAACTAACATTCCCTCAGAATTGTTTGGGATGATCATGCTTTTTAGCAGACAATTGCAGTGCTTCCAGTCTGTTGTATGGCAGGCCCATATTTGCTTGTTATTTGTGAATTTTATTACAGCTGCTATGTGCAGAGGTTGTTTGAAAAACATCTGAATTAAAACTCGCCTCCTCCTCCCCTGCTGTAAAACTGTATATTGTATTCCACTTGGAACAACAAACACAAGGGTGAAGGGGAAGGAACTGTGGGGCTAGGAATCAGGTTGGTGCTAGGTTTGCACGTGTCCCCATAGCCACAGGCATTTTTCAGTCAAGACACAGCTATCTCAGGCAACTTGCATGGTAAATAACTCCACATTGATGTTGCCATATGGAGGAGCACTTCTCACTCCTTCCACTGGATGACTGACCATTACACAGGAATCATGCCTGAATTTGAGCATCTGTAAACTGGACCGTGTGTAGCCGTCCCCTTTCCCCTCACCTCAGTGCTATATTTGAGAGCAAAAGAAGCCATTTAAATTCAGCTTTCACTACCGTTCATGGCTGCAACTGACACTTCAAAGAAGCCTCCGTCTCTGTAGCATTCCTCTCTATTGCTTCTGTCATTCACCAGTAGTCCGTGGATCAGTTTAAGAATTACTTAACAGGGTAAGATTATCTTTCTCAAGTTTCCTTGACATAAGCATTGGCAGTGTAATCCCAATGCTGGTGGGGAGTACGTGTGTGAATAGCACATCCCATAGTCAGGCCCGTCTGCATGGCTCTTCTCAATTTCCCCCCTACACTTTTCTATTGCAAAACAATAGTCGTCAAGTGGAACTCCCATCATCCCGAACTGGCAAAGCCAGCAGTCATGGACGATGGGCGTTGTAGTCCCCCCCCCCAAAAAAAAACCCACAACCACTCTGGAGACCCACGTTTGGGAAACACCAGGAGCACCTTTGAGGCGCAAGCCCTGCTGCTAGGGGGAAGAAGACGCCAACACCTTCCACCATCCAGTCACGGAGAGGCCACACCTCAGCGAGAGCAGGCTGCCTCTAGGGCAGGCACCCCCAAACTCGGCCCACCAGACGTTTTGGGACTACATCATCCCTAGCTAACAGGACCAGTGGTCAGGGATGATGGGAATTGTAGTCTCAAAACATCTGGAGGGCCGAGTTTGGGGACGCTTGCTCTAGGGAGAGCCCCAAGGCCCCTTGCAGCTGGGGAGGGAGGCAGGAACACGGCAGCAGAGCCCCCGGTTATGAAGAAGGCGGGCTCGGCGGTGCCCCTGTGGGGTGGGGCAAATAAGGGGAGCCGTGCTTGTGCGGACTGGGCGCCTGCTCTCCAAAGTGAAGCCCAGGAGAGGGAGCGGGGAGGCGGGCTGAGGCGCCTCGTCGACGGCCGCCTCGCCTTGCCTTCCTCCTCCTCGCCGTCACGTGGGCGTGAGGGGCGGGCGGGAGTGTGCGCGCGTGAGGGGGACTGGCGTAGAGCGGGAGACCCTGTGGCCGCGCGCGGCTCAGCTGCCGGCCCGGGCGTCCGCGCTCCTTCCCTTTCTGGCCGCCCTCCCTCGGCCCGCAATATGCCTCCGCTGCCCGCTGGCTGGTGGTCGCCATGCCGGGCATTCGCGGGAGCTCGCCGTCCCTCTCGCTCCGGGGGCTGGCTGCCGCGTCGGGGTTTCTGCTTCTGCTGCTGCTGCTGTTGCTGAAGGGGCGCCCGGGCTCCGCAGCCTCCACCGGCGCCGCCGACCTCGCCAGGCGCCCTCCGAAGCAGCAGCCGCAGCGAGCCGCCCTGGCGGAGGCATCTTCCTCCGCCGCTGCTTCAGGTACGTCTCCCCGCACTCTGACCGCGCAACATGCGAGTATTTGCACCCAGAGGCTCCCGCTTGAAAAAAACAACCTCCCCCACGTAACACCCACATTTTTCCCCGTATTGCGTCGCACCCCATTTCTTTCCCTCGCGTTGCACCTTTTCGTCCCCGTCCCCGGGTTGCAATGCATGCACACACTATCCCTTCTCTCCGCCCTTATGAGTGGACGGAAAGACCCATTCATTCCCTTTAACCTTCTGATCTGGATTGTTGTTATGATGATGATGAGTATTTAGCAGCGTGCTGCTCTGCTCTCGCCTTATGCCGTTCATCCGTATTAAGTAGCCCGCCTGGGGAACGTGCATTCGCCTCTTTAGCGTGGAGGGCTTGCGGTAGTAGATCTGCCCTCGCTAGCTTGCCACAGCATCACCCCTGTTTTAAGATCTGGGGAGGGAATGTCGCATCGGGTTGGGTTGGGTTGTTTTGTTTTATTTTGTATGGGGTTTGCCTGAACAGCGCGGTTTCTCTGGAGAGGCTGGCGAGTTGCTTGGAGAGGTTGCCCAATTTTATAGACGGCCTCCTCGCTTTCTCGCAGAGTTTACATGGCAAGCCCAGACCGGCTTCCTCTCATCCCCATCCATCCATCTCTCCCTCTCCCTCTCTCCCCGCCCCCCACCCGACGTTTTTCACTTTTGCCACTATACCCGTCTCTTTTCTTCCATGCAGATGGATGAGTGCGATCAGAATGGTAAAATGTATTTACATCAACTGGAAATGCGACATTCATTTTTTAAAAGGCTACATAGAAAGAACAGGACAGCATGTTCTCCCCAGAAACAAGAAGATGCAGTTTCAGTGGGATCAGGGATGAAACAAGGCTTTATTTCACCCAGGTCAAGGACCCAGTTTGGCACACACCCCTCCCCCAGGATGGGAGCGTCAATAGCTCCCCTTTGGAGGCTTCACCTGGGGCAAAACCCACGGCTCCCACCCCCTCCAATTACGGCACTGAGTGGGATGCATCTAATGCACAAGCCCTCTCCCCTCCCAATATTGCCTCATACCTCTCACCCCCACCCCCATAATGCAATCTATTTCTTTATTCACACCATTAATTTCATCATATTGCCTTGTTTGTATGTGCCCCGTCCATGGGTTGCATCATCTCCTCCCCTTTCCTCTCTAAAGCTGCACCTATACACTGACACCAAAGCTCCCCTCTGCTTTCCTCGCTTGGGTGGACTCCCTTATTTCTCTCTGGTCCTTTTGCCTCTGCTTCCCCTTTAAACCCCGCAGTCTCCCTTCCTCTTCCCAGAAGACTGGCTCTAGCCTGGACCATGCATGTGCTGCTTGTTATTTATGGATAGTGTTGCTGAGGAGGGGGTCTTGGCACTGTGTGTTTAATGAAGCAGCTTCCTTGCCTCTTGGGGATGTGAATTAGCCCTCCAGTTGCTGTTCCTTTCCCTCTATGGGGATTTAATAGCTGACCTGGAGCAGCTGCTGCTATGCTGTACTTTAAAGCTGATATTGAAAGCAGCTCCATTGGTGTATTGTGATGTGATATTCCTTCAACCATTCCCTTCTATCCGCAGAAAGGGAAATATTTTGTATTACTCATGGAAGAGTCCTTTTTAAAAGATGGAGAGATGTCGTTTAACTAGAAGGGAGATGAAAGTGTCTTGGGATTTCTTGCAGCTCAAAATGAGCTTTCTTACCTGAACATCGTATATTGAGGAAAATCAGTTGGAGTTTGAATTCACCATTTTATAATTTTTTTGTTTTAATGGATCTTGTGCTCTCACTTGGCATGAGTTCAAATATATGTGCAGAGTATGACACATCCAACAAGGAAGTTGCACATCTGGTGATTTGTGATACATCATTGGTGATCTAATTTGCAAAAATGAAACACTGGCTGCTGATGTTTCTGTCTGCATTTTCTAATGCCAAATAATGGTATTTTTTCTTTTTCTAATCAGAATTCTTCTTCTCTCCCTTTCCCCTTGTTGGCTTTCTCTCCCTTGTTTTTTACTCTTTGGATACAGCAGTGTTGTTGTTTTTAAGGGAAATAGGTCAAGACCCAAAAAGATGTGCTAGCTTAGTCTTTAGCTTCCAAGGTAATACTGTTTGTTAAGCTTAGCTCAGTCAATTTGTGCTGGTGCGAAATGGCTAGTGTATGTTAAAACGTCTTCAATGACTGGCAAAATCTATGAGCTCACTTGTTTTTCAGAATACTCTGCTGAGCAAGAAAATGTGTCATTTCCCTCCCCTCCTGGCAGTAGCGTATGCAGAAATGTGATGTTTCTGGCTTGTTTCTAGAATCAGCCTTGCATTGCAAATGCTCCTGTACCATAGCAATTGGTGATTAAAGCTTTGTTTGAGAATCCTTGTTTGTAACTAAGATGCCTGTAGATTTGTACTTCCTTCAGATCCTTGTTATTTAATCCTTAAGTAGAGCCATAACTCCTCAGAGCAGGGATGGCCAACTGAGGGCCCTCCATATTGTGTTGGACTCCAGCTCCCATCAGCCTTAGCCATCATTTCCAGTGGGCAGGGATGATGGGAGTTGTAGTCCAGGGACAACTGGAGGTCCATAGCTGCAGGTTCAACGAGATGCTTGTTACATAATGAAGCCATGGCACTTTCTTTAAGTGCTTAAGGAAGCTGATATTCCTGTGAAACATATAATCATATGACTAAACCATTACAGTTAAGATGCTTCAGCTCCAAAATGTTTCCCATTTTATTCCGTGGAGAATAAAAAGAGCAGTTTAAGTTACATTGAGCTCGAGCAAAATAATTGTGTTGTAAACCTCTTGAAAATGTGGCTAAAATAAGAGGCGGGGAGCAAACATGTTTACTCATGATAGTCACATTTGGATGCCAAATATACGACCATGGACAACAGACAGTGGTTTTTAAAAGGTCTTTGTACCGGTTGTGCTTTGTTTATACACCTCCTAAATGATATTATGACTTTTTTTCCCCGATTTACATATGTTGGTTCCAGGCTCAGGATGGACAAAATGATGCTCTTGAGATTATTTAAAATCACAGTAACAGAATCATATCATGGAATCACAGAATTGAGACCCTGAGGGTCATCTAGTCCAACCCTCTGCAGTGCAGGAATTTCAGCTAGAATGCCTAAATACAAGACTGAATGTTAGCCAAATGAAAAGAATAGGAAGGAGCACAAAACTTGACGGGGAGAACCAACACTAAGACCTATGGAATATGAGGAAGATACTGCTGAAAACATTAAGGTTGATAATTTATTTCAATGTACTGAAAATCAGACAAGCAGTTAGACCATTATGCAACAGATGGGTGAATGAATTAGGAAAATTGCAGGGAAACTGAATTAATTATTTGCATCTGTCTTCACTGTGGAAGATGTTAAATAGTTCTCAACCCAATTTTCTGAAGAAAGGCACAATAAAACAAAAGTGAAATAGAAATGACTAGATGAAATTCTGTTCATCAGTACATTAAAATTAGTAAATTATCAAGTGTAGATGGCAAACCCCTGAACTTTTTGAAAGGATTCAAATGTGAAACTGTTGGCTCTTCTAGCAAAAAATTAGACAACTTGTTCTTGAAACCAGCTTCCTTATCAGAGGAGTGAAAGATAACCAATATTATTACCAGCTTTTAATGAGGGATCTCAGGTGAATCCAAGAAATTACAGGTCTAGTAGCCTCACATCTGCCCCAAGTAAAATGGTGGAAAGATGTTTGAAGCTACAATGATTAAAAACATTGAAGAATAAGCCTTGCAGAGAATGAATGAACGTGGCTACTACAAAGGGAAGTTCTGCTCTGGCAGCCTTTGGGAGTTACCAGAAAGCTTTTGTTAAAGCTTCTCATGAATATACTTAGCATTGCAAAAAGAGGGCAACTCTTACAGATTGGTAACTGGTTGAATAACAGGAAACAGCTGATGGGCAGTTTGCAAAACAGGGGAAGGTAAGAAGTTGGATCCACTAAGGATCTGTATTGGTACTGGTATTATTAAATTTATTCATAAATGATATAGAGCAGGGGTCAGGAACCACTTTTTGTTCTGTGGCATGGATATCATGTCAGGTGGATCTGATCTACTGGAAGGCAGCAGGATTTACATTCTCTACTCAATTTAAACAGTATCAGAAATGGATGGTAAGGTCTGGATGCCATTTTTTGTGCTTGGCTCAAGGATTACTGAAATGTTTGTGCTTTGAAGCCTTTGAAACCTTGTTCAGCATAGACAATATGTTAAGGAGTTTAACAATAAAGAGTAGAGTGTTTTGAAAAGTGAAGTACCGTATTTTTCGCCCCATAGGACGCACTTTTTCCCCTCCAAAAATGAAGGGGAAATCTGGGTGCGTCCTATGGGGCAAATGCAGGCTTTCGCTGAAGCTTGGAGAGCGAGAGGGGGGGGTGCGCACCGACCCCTCTCGCTCTCCAAGCTTCAGGAAGACATCCGCAGCCTAGGCAGCCCTGCGGGAGTTCCCGTGGGGCTGTCTAGGCTGCGGATAGCAGCCTGCTTCCCGGAGCGCCGGGCGGGCTGAAGCAGAGCGCCCCTCGCGCCGGGCAGACATCCGCAGCGTGGGGAGCCCTGCGGGAGTTCCCAAAGGGCTCCCCACACTGCGGATAGCAGCCTGCCGCCCGGGCTCGCAGGGAGCCCTGAAGCAGAGAGCCCCTCGCGCCGGGCAGACATCGGCCAGCCCCACAAGCTCGGGGGACAGCGGGGAGGCGCAGCGCCGCCATCCCGCTGTTCCCCGACCTGGTTTTGGGGGAGAAATAAAGGAAAACATTTTTTCCTTTATTTCCCCCCAAAAAAACTAGGTGCGTCCTATGGGACGGAGCGTCCTATGGGATGAAAAATACGGTATATTTTATTGTAAACACTATATTAAACATGTTTTAACAATTTCTGTTAAAAATATGATATTAACAATGTGTCACTTATGTGAATCGCATATTGGTTTATGCTTATGAAAAGAATAAATAAAAAGTGGTGTGTGTCCCAGTGGCGACTAGACATTCTGTTTTGGCGCCCACAACCCAGGTCCCAGGAGCCATTTGGCTCCTAGCTTTTCCATCCCAGTTTCTAACACTGCCCCCAAAATATACAATTGATCTTCTTCTTCTTCGAAACAAACCAAACTAATTGCAGAAGCATGTAGACCTCGAGAGGGGAGGATGTGGCAAGGAGGTGGCCTCTGGATGTTTTGGACTCCAACTCCCATCAGCCCCACCCAGCATGGCTCATAGTCAGGGACTATAGCATCTTAGTCCAAAACATCTGGAGAGGGACCAGACTGGGGAAGGCTGATACGGCACATTTTGAGTGCTGCGCATGAGCCCTCCCTTTCCTTCTGTGTATTGCAGTGGGACATTATTAAATGACAGTATTTTCACAAGTTCAGCTGCCTTTGACAGATATAGCAGCAGTGTCATCAGCTGTGTCATCACTGCCAAGATGAACTGCTGTGACCCAGAAAACTAGCTGGTGCAGTGTTGTGTCCACATATTTCCAAACAGGGGTTGCTGCTGCCCATCTGCTTTTATGTGGGAAAGTAATTTCCAAGGAAAATGCTACCAGTAATTTTGAACCCTGTTTGGGGGCATTATACAGAAGATTGGAGAGTCTGTGGTCTGTCTCTAGATGCCTTGTTAACAACAAGATTTTACACTCGAGACATGAGGACCTTCCTACAATCACCCCAGTTCCCCTCATAAGTTGGGGTACACACAGAGTCGGCACACAACCCAACTGAACACATCTCTCTGGGGATTTCGGTTACTATTAATACTTTAATTGGACCTAAGGTTCTACGTCTACCTGTTGAACCATCGTATGGCACATTATTTTGGATTCTGAGCTGGCACCCTCTATTCACATTGTTGAAACCTTGACACTGTACTAAGGACTGGGGAAACCCAGCCAGATGGGTGGGGTATAATATTGTTGTTATTGTTATCATTTATTATCCTCACTCCCCAGAGACCCCCATTCAAGTACCTTGGGCATCTACAGGACTGCTACATTGTTGGCCAAGCAGGATTCACCTTTTGTGTAAACAATAGGCTTCTTGTGGGTGCTGCACAGTGTTTGTGACCCCTGGGATTAGCATGATTGTGGCAGACTGGGGGGGAAATGGGGTTGTGGTGATGCAAACGATGGCGACAGCATGCACAATCATGATATAAAAAAGCCAATATATACAAACAATGCCCCTGCATAGGCTTGGCCTGGCTGGGACATTTTATGTGTGCTGGAAAGTGTTCGTGGGAACTGTCTTCAAAGATATTTCAGATACTGTAGCTGGGAAGCAACAAGGCAGCCCTCCTCTAGACATGAATGTGGGTTTTCTGGGAAAATTTACCTTTGAAAATTTTCCGATTCAAATTAGGCTAATTTTCCTAGGGTAATTTGCACTATGAAATATTTAGTCTGCTTTTTTTAAAAAAAAAAAAAGATGCCCTAGCCTCGAGAGTGATCTGCTTTAACATGTTTATACTCAAATTAAGTGAACAGTGCTAAAACTTTGAAATTGCCAAGCTTGACTAATACTGTATTGAAGTTGGCATCCATTTATTTAACTAAGAATACACTTATACTGCCAGCATATAGGAGAGTAAATAAGTTAAAGCTGCAATCTTGTGCACACTTATGGCACATAAGTCTCACTGCAGTCAATGGAGTTTCCTTCTGATTAGACAAAATAGAATTGCATTGCCTATACCTCTTTAAAACATGCATTTCATGTTCTGCTAAATTTTCTTTCTAGATATTTCACATATTCTAATATCAAACCTTTCACACTACAGATCTGTTACCACTAGTATTAATGAAATACTATAAATTGCTTGCATCAGAAATGTGAAGTCATTTAAGGTAACAGAAAATGCTCTTCTGGGCTAAAGAAATTATTCCTACAGCAGAGCTTTATGTTTCTGAATTGATGTCCCAGTCTTGTCCTTTCATTTTTGTCCTTTGTTCTCAGGATTAATCTTGTGTCATAACCAAAACACCATTCATCTGTCCATGGAATGGTTGCACTTTAGAATTGTATCAAAAGTAGTTATGCCAATTAGGTTACTTGGGGAATAATTCCCCCTTGCCTAGAATTCCCACCTAGAATTTAACAAGATCGCGCACTCTTGTGTCTCCACCCTAATTTTATTATTTTGGGTTATGCATTATGCATTGCATGATTTTATAAACGAAACATCAGACCTATTTCTGCCAGCAAGGAGCTCACATTCTAAAATAAGACAGGTGGGTGGGAAGGGAGAGACAAAGGCAGGAAGAGCTGAACGTGAGCAAATGGTGTTATACATACCTAACTTTAGTTACAGCTGATTTGAAACCAAAGGTTTCAAAACAAGGTGTGTGTTGAGAAGTGAAGAGTGAAAGGTAGCACTGCATGAATATTCAAGCAGATACTTTTAGCACAGGAGGCAATGAGGGAGGATGGTTGAAGCCCTATTAGCAAGCAAGATACCTTTAGGCAGCTGAGGATGGAAATGGGGGAGTGGAAGTAAAAATTATTATTATTATTATTATTATTATTAAACAGGTATGTTAGAGGAATAAAAACCAAAACTAGAGTGGGTAAGTTCATGACAACCTTTAAAGGGAAGGGCATGGAGTCCATGCTGGAAGCCAAGCAACAGAATTTGAGGAAGGGATGTCTTGTGGAGTCAGTGTAGGAAAACGTTGTCAGGGGAGTTTCTGATAGATGTGAGAAGGCTGTGATGGGAAGATCAAGGTAGAAGGTTGCAGTAGTCGAGGTAGGAGATTACTAGAGTATGGACTGAGACTTTAGCCAAGGGCAGAGGAATGGGAAAATTCTGAATTGATGTACAGGGAGAAGCAACACGAATTTGCAACAGATTGCTCTTTGCATTTAAAATGTGTCTTGCAGCCTGGACTTGGGGCAGGGAATCTGTCTCCTGCAAAGTGAGAGCTCCTCTCCCCCCCCACGCCTTGTGAGTTCTGTGTTATGTGACTAATTCAGGAGTTTCTTGTCTTACGCTTGTCCACAAAGCTGTTACCAGGAAGAGAATCCTGGTTGCCAATAGCAATGGCATTTGTGAATTCCTGCCAAGAAGGTCCTCAGGGTTCTTTTAACCCATGTGGCAATGCAGCGCGTAGGATCAGAAAAAAAGTGCTGCAGGGGCAATGGCAGTGCTATATCTGTGAATAATATTAATCTTGCATTTGTGGGCAGCTGTTCTTTCAAGGAGTTTAGAACATATGCCCATTTTATTCTCTTAATCCTGAGAGAGAAGGTCCATTGCCGCACAACCCAGATCTCTGATCAAAAGTCTGACATTATCTACTACACTAGGGGTGGTTAACCTGTGGCTCTCCAGATGTTGTTGGGACTTGAATGTCCTATCACCCTTGATCATTGGCCATGCTGGCTGCTGCTGGTTGGAGTAGGAGTTCAAGCACAGCTGGAGGACCACAGGTTCCTCACCCTGTACCCCACCCCACACCCCTGTTCCTCCAGCCGTCCACAACTGAGGTGCTATGCTACGTTGATGGACCATGACCATGAATCTGCCAGAACAAATGAGCAGCCATTATGTCTTCATTGTGTGGAAAATAAATAATTGTTGGGAGAGAGCCCTTGGCTTCTTGATGATTTATCTGAAGTCTTGATCTTCTGTTAAGATTTTTTTTCTTAATCGCTTTGTTTTTGTCACGACAGTATGCAGACCTTCTTGGCATTTAAAGCAGCCTTGAAATATTGGGTTTATAATTCCTCTTGAATTATAGAGTCTGTTTCACGACGATTGTATGTAAGGAGTCGAGCCAACACATTATTATAGTTCTTTTGAGAAGCTCATTGGTTGCCTGCCCTCTTCTTTATTCGCGCCTCTCTATATTTGTCTCCATTGATTATTCTCCTATGAAAAATTTAGTGAACAATGTGGAGAGAAAACACTGTTTCCACAAATCAGCCTGCTTTCATGTAAATATCAACTTTGGCCTTTAAATATTTTATTGGACATATATTATTTATTATAGCGGATGTAGCTTTTAAGTTCCATGGGCAGTGCCTGAATTAATTTGACAGTGGGTGTCTCATACATAACATTTGTGAAACGGAAAAGGGGATGTTGGGAAATAGCGTATCTTTTTAGAGATGTCCAGCTTTGTGCATGCCGTCGCCTGATTTGACTAGCACAATGTAAGGTGATGTTTGCTGCATAATACTCACAATCAATAAATGTCCAAATGCGTTGGCAAAATCACACAAGCAGTTGTGATAGCAAGCTGGATCTGGAAGCTGGTCTGTACCCTTATTTGTCTGCTGCGGCTTGTTTCCATGCTTTGTCACTGAAAGGGAAAGGGGGGGGGGACTGGAAGAGCTTGTACTTAACCTCCAGGGATACTTGTGGACACCGTGCCCCATATGGTGCTTCTTGCCTTATGGCAGCTGTTAGTAGGTCCTGTCCATACATTTGTTTTAGTATTACTGCACTTCTCTAACATTGACAGATAGCCAGTTTGCCATGAAAAATGTGGTAAGGGGTGCTGCCTTTTACTTTCTGGTATGCTTAGATTAGTATTGGAATGATTTTTTAGCCAAAACCTAAAATTTAAGGCAGTAGCCTTGATGGGTTTTCTTTTTCTGGTGGTGGTGGGAGGAAGCAGTCTCCTCTATTTACTTGCTTGTAAATAGCCCATAGCCTTCACTGGAAAGTCTTATTGACAAAAATTATGTTTCTCTCCCTACTCCATCCCTCCAGCATTCATATATGAAGCTGTCTTAAACTGAGTCTGACCATTGGTCCCCTGTAGCTCAGTACTTCCAACTTTGACTGGCAGCACAGATCAGGCCTCCGTTGCTTAAATCTGTTTAGGGAAGCTTTTAATGTTTGATGTATTACAGTATTTTAATATTTTTTTGGAAGCTGACCAGTGTGGCTGGGAAAGCCCAGCCAGATGGGCGGAGTATAAATAAATAAATTATTATTATTATTATTATTATTATTATTATTATTATTATTATTATTATCTTTAAACTGGAAGTGCCAGGATTAAAGCTGAGACTCTTGTGCACTGCAAAACATGTGCTCTGCCACTGAGCTATGCCTTCCCCCTTCTAAGAACATATTCCTTCCACCATATTGCACACAGATGTGTGCAAGAAGGCCCCATCAGCTGCTTCTGCTAGAAAAGCATTAAGCATACACATGCACACACATACACACACACATACATACACATACAGTGCATTTTCTGTTTCCAAAGAAAACTGAGACACTGAGCTTTCCTTACACCGAGATGCATGTAATGCTTAGTTCTGCCAGCCTTGCATTTAAGCACTCGCCTGGTGGGCACAGGTGATAAGTATTTGCATGCAGCCAAGTGCATGGTGGAGGGGGGATGGCGTGCTCTGCCTGCCTTCTGTGCACACCAAAGAAACCTAGTGGGCTGCCAGGGAAAGTACCTGCCCCCACCCCCATCAGAGGAATGGAATAGGCGACTAGAAAAATGATGGAAACCCCAGCAGGTTGTTAATTTTCAGGGGACGGGATTTTGTGGTTTTATTTGCAAGGCTGATTTCTGCCCCAAAACGTAATAGGAATGCAAAGGTAGTTTTTTGTGATGGGCTCCTTTTATTTTGTTGATAATAAAGTCGTTAAGCACTGCTGCATTTTTCAGTTATGACAGTGATATTCATCTTGCATGCCTGGTGCAGGTTCCTCACCCCTGCAAAAGGTCAGCTGTGGTCCTTTGGGGGACTGCTGTCTAGTTTTTAATGTACCATTTCCTACTTGCTAGTTGCTGAGAATTTTGCAAAGGGTGCTGAAGTAGGTTGAACTGTGAGCTGATCCAGCAAAGTAATTCTTTTGTTCTCACCCAAGAATGCCAATGCAGGATCACTTAGCACAGGTTATTTATGCCTTTCCTATTACCAAATGAGTTCTTGAGTGTGCACATTTTCTTTGTAACTTACCTCACAGTAGGGGACCACGCAGTTCCAGAAACCTGTGCTTGTGTAGCACATTTTACTTATTGTTAAGGGTTGTTGCTTCTGGGTTGCGAAGGAATGTTTGTTTTATTTCTACTGTAGGCTTTTTCTTCTGTGCTCACCATTAAAGCTTGTGATAATGCTGTTTTAGAAAATAGAGAAACTCATTGGCTTTTTAGGTCATTAAAATGAAATCAGGAGATAAAAAGCTCCTTTATGTGGCCATGATTGAGTGCTGAATGTGTCCTGGGTATATATCAAGATGTTCAATACCATTTTTGTGTTAGTGCCGCATTCATGGTACGCACACATATATATTCAGGGTAATTCTTAAACTTTGGAAGGCTTCCAAGCTGTTTTATTTCTCCTGAATAAATTACTGCAGCGTATATTACAAAAACTCATTAGCTGTTGTAATGGTCAAGACAAAAACCCTTCAGAATTGCCAGTGGGTCAGTTTAACCCTTGTCTTATCACAGTCCTGGCAAAACAATACTTAACAACTAGAGTTGGGTTTGTTCCTTGGTTGTGTTCTCCCTCTACCCTTGCTATATAGTTGGGCAAAGCACAGATAGTTAGGCAAAGCAGGAATGGGGAACCTCTGGCCTTGCAGATGTTGATGGACTCCAGTTCCCATCAACCCCAGCCAACATGGCCAATGGTATTATGATTGGAGCTGTCATCCAACAGTATGTGGAGGGCCACTGGTTTCCCATGCAAATTTGGAAGTGGTGGTGCTACAAAATTTTGCCATTCATAACAGACTGCCATTCCTTATCTTTAAAAACCCCAAATGGTTTGGGACCAAGGTGCTCAAAGGATTAGCTCCTTCTGTGCGATCCTCCCCAACCAATAAGGCCTTTTTGTCTTGAGGTGCAGTTGACCATGATGAGTCAAAAGGGAGGAGTCTCCATGGCAGTTCCCAGGTTGTAGAACAGTTGCCCCTTGAGCGATTTCAGTAGAGCATGAGACTCTTAATCTCAGGGTTGTGGATTCAAGCCCTGCTTTGGGTGAAAGATTCCTGCATTGCAAGGGGTTGGACTAGATGATCCTCGTGGTCCCTTCCAACTCTACAGTTCTATGATTTGTTTGGTGACTTCACTTAATGTCCTATGAAAAACATTTTTATGCTAGCAGGCATTATTCTTAACTTTTGGTAACTTCCAGCTGCCTGCTATCAGAAATCTTTTTTACCTCCCCCCCCCCCGTTCATTTGTTAATATTTTAATTAACATTCATTCTTAATTCGTTATTGATTGGCCTCTATAATTAATGAATGTTAGCTGCCTTGTGTGCTTTTGCTAAAATGGAAAGGCTGGATAAAAGATCTTTCCATAAATAAATAAAGCATTTGCCTTGGAGATAAAGGACAATTGAAAATTATTCTCTCCTGTATATAGTATTAAAACAGTTTATGAGACACACAGGTTTTTATTATTATTATTATTCTACAGAATTTTAATAACAATCAGCTAAACCTCTTACGTGGTTTATGTAAAGCATTCATTTAAAAATATATATTCTTCTACCTTCTACCCTCTTTGACAAAAAAGAAATTACTTTTAAAAGGACACCATTTACTCTTTTTTTATTTACATCATACTGCTAGTATTGTATACTTTGCATATGCCTTCTGCTGGGGAGTGGAGGGGAAATCATTTTCTGTTTGCTTTGCAATAGAAGTTTACTCCAGCTGCTTCAGACAAAGGATTGGTTGAGTCTGTGATGCATGGAGATTCAGGTGTCCAGTACTACTTCAGAGAGAGGGAACCTGTGGCCCTGCAAATGAGGATGGATTCCCCTCAGCCCCAGGGATGATGAGAGTTGTAAGTCCAGCAACATCTGGAGGGCCTCAGGTTAGCCACCTCTGCCCTGCAAGCTACACAGGGACTGTGCTGATTCCTAGCATTCCATATGGCAGACTTCTGGTCCTAATTAGCATAATTAGCAGGAGAAGCAAAACAGCCCCAAACAGAGATAACTACACTGGACAATATTGTACTGGTCTGCAGATGTAACATTTGAACTTGCATTTCTAACGACATAACGAAAGCATTTTTCGAGTGGGATCAAACTGCCACCAAACTGGTGATAGCTTCACCGGTAAGCCCTCTCGGTAGGGACTTTGTGACACATTTGTATAACACCTAGCTTACATTCTGCTCAATAAGCACTGAACAGTAGCAGTAATTAAGTGAATATGTACCAGCTGTCTCCCATTGTTTGTTTTTTTCACTAATTGTGATGAGGCTTGACTCCCTCCCCCCCCCCCCCCGGTAGAATAAGAATATGAGAATGCCTGCTCTAAATGCTGAATTAAATAATTTGATGCAAGGGTATGCTAAATATAGCCTTTGGGGTGTATTTGACTGAAGAAAGCTCTCAAGATTTTTCCGATGTGTGGTGGCTTGTGACCTGCATTTTTCATGGGGAGGAACAAGTTTTGACAAACCTGTCTTCTCCTCTTGATTTAAAATAGCTTGTGTGCATTATAAAGTTCAAATCCAAGATTTGCAAATCACATTCAAATGAATGTATGACCGGTTCAGAACTTTCTTCTCCTGAAATGTATATTGTAACGATGTCATACAAAAAGGCTGTGTATCAAAGTAAAGCACACTTATATGCAATTGGCAATTTAACAAACAAAAGCAACCTTAACACATTGCCCTTCTACCAATTTATAGATAATTTTACCTTAGTCCTGTGACTTGTCAAGTAAACTCGTTTGTTCTATTGAGAGACAGAGGATCATAGAGTTGGAAGGGGCCCAGGGGGGTCGTCTAATTCAACCCCCTCCAAAGCAGGAATCTCAATTAAAGCATCCATGACAGATTTAAGCATCTAGCACTGCTTAAAGACCTCCAAGGGAGGAGAATCCACATCATAAAGTAACCACATCAGCTTGTACGCTACAAAATCTCATAATTAATAAACATCAGTATATTTGTTAAATATAGTAACTATATCAGCTGGGCCTTCTACCACTCCTCTATCCCACAGTTACTTACCAGGGTTATTGGCAAGTTAAAGGTAGAAAGGATATAAGTGATATTAAATGGTGGGAATGTGGTTTCAGGAAAACCACTGGCGTGGAAGCACCCCCCCAAAAAAAAAACCCCCACACATGTTGTGTGTTGACTCCGTATAAATTCCCTTCTTGTTGGCCCTACAATAACACTATGCATGCTGGGTTTACAGGGCCTGATTATCTTCAGAATAACTGATTTCTTCTTTATAGGTCAGTGCACCTTTTGTATCCCTAATAAGGCTGATCAGGAAATAGCATGTTCTACAAAAGCAAAAGTGAGACATGGAAAATGATGGTTGTTCAGTCAGCTAAGACCAAACAAATCACCCAGTGTGGGGGCTCACAGCTGCTTCGCTTGTGAGATGGAAATGCATGTTAGAGGCAGCCTTCGGGAAATAAATCGTAAGCGTATGTCTGGCATTTTCAAAATAGGGGAGATTTTTAAAAGGAAGAAAAGATCACCACACTGATTTTATGTCAAACCTTGCATGCAGAGAAGGAGGAGGTAAGATAAAAAGCCAAATCAAACATTACATACATTCTAGGGACAAGCAGTTTCAGGTATAGAGGTTTGGAGTGGAGAAGGGGTGAGAGGAGATGGAAAGCGGCAAATGGAGAAAGACTGATGCACCCCTCTTCACCTCTCTGCCCTCTATTTATCCCCCCCAAATTGCCCTTCCAGAAGCCATTTTTCTGTAGAAGAAGAAGCTGTTGGGTTAATAAATGCACTTGTGTGTAATGTATAACGTGGCACAAAATATATCCAGTAAAAATTAACAGGAAAATCATCCATTGTTGGTGTTGCTGCTTCAGTGTTCATCACTTTGCTAGCAGTGATTATAATGAATGCTTGTTAGACAGCACTGCATATACGGTTTACTTGATGAGTTAACATCCAAGGAAAAGGTACAGAGTGAGCCGTTTTACTCTGTTTCTAATTGAGTCACTCTGTCGAAGGATTATTGGCAGGCTGTAAACAAACAAACAAGCAAACAAAACAACTTTTAAACTGCTTTTAAAATTGCTTTACTCCATTGTTCTTCCCCCCACCCCCTTCCCTTTTCTGCTTTCGTAAACATGCACTTTGGTGATTAAAGCAGGTCTCGGAAGCAGAGACGGCACGCTCACAACAAATGTTTTCACTCCTACACAACTGGTTTATTCAACCAGTCATGAAGAAAAAGAAAACTCACTAATACCATCCCCTCTTGGAATATATTGGTACAAAAACTGTTTTCACTTCTCAGTAAGATAGTGTTTTAGATCTTGAACAAACAAACCATAAATTTCCAAAGACACAAGTGAAAAATGGGTCTAGGACAGGGAAACAGCTTTAAAAAATAAATAAAGACCGGGCTCAGGGCTGCTAACACTGAATATAAATACAGTAAAAACAAAAAACAAAACAAAAACAGTTGATTAAAATATAAGTTAAAATACAGTTTAAAATGCACCGAAACCAGAGCAGCACACGGAAACGCCGTTTACCTTCCCGCCAGAGCGGTACCTATTTATCTACTTTCACTGGTGTGCTTTCAAACTGTTAGGTTGGCAGGAGCTGGGATCGAGCAATGGGAGCTCATCCCGTGGTGGGGATTTGAACTGCCAAACTTCCGATTGGCAAGCCCTAGGCTCAGTGGTTTAGACCACAGCGCCACCCATGTCCCTAATATAAGCTACCTTATATAGCAATAAAAACTATTAGATCCAGAGACTATCAAACAATCACAGATTCTAGTATCTGGGAGATGCCATTCCGTATCTCACAGGATAATCCACAGAATGATATTGCACTCCTCTTTTTTGCCCTCTTATTACTAAAGCATGGTAGTTGCTTTAGTTTTCAAGTTATGAATATATAGTGGTACCTCGGGTTAAGTACTTAATTCGTTCCGGAGGTCCGTTCTTAACCTGAAACTGTTCTTAACCTGAAGCACCACTTTAGTTAATGGGGCCTCCTGCTGCCGCCACACCGCCAGAGCCCGATTTCTGTTCTCATCCTGAAGCAAAGTTCTTAACCTGAGGTACTATTTCTGGGTTAGCAGAGTCTGTAACCTGAAGCGTATGTAACCCGAGGTACCACTGTATGTGCAAAACCAGTGCATGACTTATTGGAGGTATGTGGTGAAATGCAAGTTTATTTGTAGGAATAAAGTCCACAACCCAGTAATGTATGAACTGTGCTTTCTTCTCGGTTTGATCCTGACCTGTTTTAAGCAGATGTGTGCAATTATTCCAAATCAAGTTACCATTGCGTGAACTACATTAGTGTATTTCCTCAAGAATTCAGATTTAAAGTCTCCAGCTCTTTTATCTTAGTTGGACCATTTTCTTCTGGAGTGAAAAAAAGCTTTCTTTTGAACTAGGAAAGCCCATCCCTAGCAAGCTTTCAAAGCATATATAACGTTGAGGATTGTCTTTCTCCTTTTGTCTTATTTAGGATCTATGTTTACACTGAAAGTGCAAGTCAACGACATCATCAGCCATCAATATTTAAGCCAAGCGATTGTGGAAGTATTTGTCAATTACACAAAAACAAATTCCACGCTGACTGGAAATAATGGAGCAGTATTGATACAAGTTCCCTATCAACTAGGTCTAAGTTTAACTATTGCATCTTATAAAGATGGTTATATGTTAACACCTTTGCCTTGGAAGACTGGAAGAATGCCAAGTGAGTAAGCCCCTTTTAAGATCCTATTAAGCTGAATGCACTTGAACTTTCTTCCTGCTTTTTGGTAATCCATCTAATTTTCATCAAATGAATGTGACTTAATGAAGTCACACGAAAGTATGTTGTGCTGAATGCAACTGCAAAGGTAAATGCCGCCGTCTTGAAAGAGATATAATATATATATATCAAATGCTTCCATGAAAATACTGTAATTAATGCATGTCTGCCCCAAATATTGAATACAATACTGAATTATTTTGAAGGAGGTTGAACAGTTTGTGAAACTGGAGCATATTGTCTCAAACGATAATCATGTGTTTTCCTGATGAGTTGGGAATGGCATAATTCTTACCCTGTGCTATAGGTCATAGAATTATAGAGTTGGACCCTAAATGTCATCTAGTCCAACCCCATGCAATGCAGAAATCTCAACTAAAGCATCCTTTTTTAATGCCTCTTCTGTTTTGTTATATTATTTTCCCTCCAAAATACCAAAGCAGAAAGGCTAAAACAAATTCCCAACATAAACTAATGCATAAAAATAACAGCTTGTGCGTAGGCATATAGTTTTGAAACTGATGACTTTAAACTAATCAGATTGCCTCATTATATTCTTAGTGGAGAAACTCTGCTTAGTTTAAACTCTAGTTTTGTTTAAAGTAAGGGTCATAAACCCAGTTTGCACATAGTAAGAAACTCTTGCAAATTTACAGCAGGAAACAAAGGCTTTTGATTTCCTGGTTTCCATGTGAAATACCAGTCGTCTTTTGTATCCATCCCTGTGGTGTCCTAAATTTTACCACTCTGCAGAACTGTAAGTCTTTTTTCTAGCTTTCTTTTCCAGTACATAAACCTTTGTAGTAATGTATTCCTATTATTTTGTCTTCCCACAGTATATTCATCAGTCACACTCTCACTGTTCCCCCAAAGCCAGGCAAATATATGGTTGTTTGATGATACAATTTTGATTACTGGGAAACTATCTGGTAAGTAACAGCAGTACTAAAGATTTATCTAAGTTTTTATGGAAAGGTAAAAAAACATGTTAAACTGAAAGTACAGCAAGTTGCAGGGACGCGGGTGGCGCTGTGGTTAAACCACAGAGCCTAGGACTTGCCGATCAGAAGGTCGGCAGTTCGAATCCCCGCGATGGGGTGAGCTCCCATTGTTCGGTCCCTGCTCCTGCCAACCTAGCAGTTAAAAAGTACGTCAAAGTGCAAGTAGATAAATAGGTACCGCTCCGGTGGGATGATAAACGGCGTTTCCATGCGCTGCTCTGCTTCTCCAGAAGCGGCTTAGTCATGCTGGCCACATGACCCGGAAGCTGTATACTGGCTCCCTCAGCTAATAAAGCGAGATGAGCGCCGCAATCCCAGAGTTGGCCACAACTGGACCTAATGATCAGGGGTCCCTTTACCTTTACCCTTACAGCAAGATGCAAAGGAAAGGGGAGGATTGGGACTGTCTGACTTGAAACTGTACTTTGCAGCCAGTTGCCTAGTTTGGATGAACAAGTGGGTGACCTTGAGAAATAAAATAAATTTGGAATTAGAAGGTCACAATTTAAGGTTTGGATGGCATGGGTATCTGTGGTATGACAAGGTTATAGTTAGGGAGTTTAAAAATCATTTGTTAGACATACTGTATTGAGAGTCTGGAATAGATAGAAGCCTAGGTTCTATACGAAGATACTCTTATGGGTCTCAACACCCAAATGTAGCATATTGCCTGAATGCTCATATAAGATGCACATTGATAAGAGGTGCAAGTGGTTCATGCTTGAACATTAATTTTTGAATGCCAGTTAAAAGTTTTGCCAATCAAAAGTGTTAACTCTTTGAAAGAAGCGCTGTGAAATTGCTGGCTTTGAATTTTTCCTCTTTTTCAGATGCCAAATCTCAACCAAGTGTTCAGTTTCCAAAATATTTAATAAAACTTCCTATGAACCACCATATCACAAATGTTACAGCTTACCTTACAGTGCCACAGCAGTTTCTGAAAGTGGACCATTTTCTTTATACAACTGGAATTCTTTTAAATAAGTCAGGTATGTCAGATTTTCCACTAGCTTTTGAAGATATACAGCAAGGATCTCAAGACTCCCTTTAAAACATTAGCGGCATAGGTTTTAGACCCACAGGTTAGGACTTGAAATGTAATACTGTAGCTGAATAACAATTTATCCACCTTGGAAGTGTAAAGAGTCTCTGATTTTTCTCAAAACACCTTGTTAATTGTGTGATCCAACTCGCGAGAACGTTCCCTGAATCACCTTTGATTCATCTTGTAATTTGGGGTATGCTCAGAGCCAGCACGCACCCCTACATTTGTTGCTGGCATAGATTTTGTCATCCCCAGCTTGTTGCAAGAGAGGAGGGAAGTTATTTGTCTGCACCTTCTTTGATTGGCCAATAACTATAGAAATTTTAAAATCTCCATTTATATTGGCAACAGTGCCATTGTACAAATTCTTACCAACTCAAGATCCCCACATCATTTACAGAAAGAAAAATGTCAGTGTAGAATACTGTATTCTAAACAACAACAACAATAAACTTTTATTTATATCCCGCCCTCCCCAGCCGAAGTTAGGGTCAGGGCGGCTAACATCAAATATATAACATTAGTCTAAAATCAAACAATAATTAAATTACCTCCTAAAAACAGGTCAAAATCAAATTAAAGTCTAATTAGATGGCTTTCCGCAGGGTTAGGGTTGGGAACACTAAATGCTCATCAGCCCAACTGTTTACGCTGATCTTATATGGCCTGTGAGAATGCTGGGAGACCTCTTTCATATTAGTTCTTATACAAAAAGAAAAGGGGAGTCAGGCTGAGCCCTGACCAAAGGCCTGACAGAACAGCTACATCTTGCAGGCCCTGCGGAAAGATGTCAGATCCCGCAGGGCCCTGATCTCTTGTGGCAGAGCGTTCCACCAGGCCGGGGTCAAAGCTGAAAAGGCCCTGGCCGAGGCCAGCCCGGGATCTCCAAGGTGTTATTATTTGTAGACCGTAAGGTCCTCCATAGGCTGTACCAGGAGAGGCGGTCCCGTAGGTACGAGGGTCCTAGTTTTATTCCTTGTACACTGGAGTGCTGTCACCAAAATTTCAATGTATTCTCCCTTCTTTTATTTTGAATTAAGTCTCTGTGCCAGTGTGTGGCTTGTATTCCGTCAGCCCGAGCTCTTTTCTTGCACAACAGAACCTTCAAGGCATCCCCTAAATCTGCTCTGGATGTTGCTTCCAACCCTTCAGAGCAGATATGGAGATACCTCTGGGGGCATGCCCCCCCTGTGGGGGGTTGGAATTCCCCTTGCACTAGTGGGAATCCTTCTCTTAGCCCAATGTACCCCCTCCCAAAAAAATGATTTCATTTTTGAGCTATATAATGAATGATAATCATTGATGTTTAAAATAAACAAACAATAAATGGCTGCCTAGTTTTTTTCATTTCTGCCACTGATCACTACTCTTTCAAAGGGTATTTGAACACACCGAGACACACAGGGATTAATAATGTATGCCTACACCTTTTGCAGCTGACGAATCAGCAAATAAAGCAGCTTTCATTTTTTCCCCTTGATCCTCCTGAAATCTCTCTGATGTGTTTCTTTTTAAATTATTTATGTGGTCCTGCAAAAAAAACCCAGCTTTTATCCTAGGGGCAGGTGGAAGTTAATTGATACATGATATTTGACAGTTTTCTTGCGACCCACATCTAACAGTGTGCACATTTTGAGAAGGATTCGGATACTTAATTCTGTTCTTGAGCCTTTCTTTCTCCCTCTGCAAGCTGTGCCAAGATGAGTCATTTGTGCACAGGTCTGTTAAGCTTGTAGAAATGGAGAGTGACAAATGTGACAATGTGTAATATTACACCATGCATCTGGAAGGTTTTCACAACATTTTGACTGGGCATAGAAATTAGAATTCTTATGGTTAAATGCAGAAGTATTGGACATATATATAGATATATTAAGCTAATGAATATTTTAGTTGATACAGTTAATATTTTAAGATGTCTTAAGTATTCAGATGCTGCAGGGAAACATGCATATTAATTAATTGCTGTTTTTCTTTCTTTCTTTTACATGATAGTGTTCTGATTCAATTTCCCCCTGCATGTTTATAAGTAGATCCCATGTTTATAAACTGAATGTCAGAAAGCTTAGATTAGAAAAAGGGTTGGTTAATGCTCAGCCTCTCAGATTAGTGTGTGTTTGTTCTGAGCTAACGGAGTTACATTGATTCATCCATTCCACAGTTGCTGTTGTTTGCCAAAGTGGAAAAGCACTTTACTATCCACACATCTTCGAAATTCATTTTGAACTGATCTTTTGTAGGTCCCTGAGTATCATGCTTAGTGGATTTACTTCTGAATTTTGTTTGCCCTGCTACCGATTGTACACTTACCCTACTCTATGTGCTCAGATACATAAACCATAGTACAGATACCATACTGCATTTTGTAGAGGGATGGTGACAATTCTGCCACCTGCAAAATAGATTTTTCGCCTTAGATCTTTGTTTGCAATCCTGAAGTGCAGCTGTTCATCAAAATTGTAGGAAACATTTGGCCCTCCAGATGTTGCGGAACTTCAACTCCCATCATGCCTGGCCACTGGCTATATTTACTGTACTGATGGGAGTGTAGTTCAGCAACATGAGCTAGATCAGGCTTCCTCAAACTCGGCTCTCCAGGTGTTTTGAGACTACAATTCCCATCATCCCTTACTACTGGTCCTGCTAGCTAGGGATCATGGGAGTTGTATGCCACAAACATCTGGAGGGCCAAGTTTGAGGAAGCCTGAGCTAGATGAACCAATAATCTGGCAGTTTCTTAATAAGTGCTGCTCCATACTATTTAAGTGCTGTCATACTATTAAATAATTAAGATTAAATATAGAAGCTTATTTTGATGCCTTTTATCACCATCTAGTGGTTTATTTCTGTACTGCCTCCACTACTAATGGCTATTGAAATTGAGCGTGTGTAGAGACATATTTTCCTAATTATTTTTTTATTACTGTGGTGGTGATGGGTCTAGGTCCATTATGTATCAGTTGCCAGATAATCAAAAAGTATAATGGAGACGAGGGAAATGTTTGCTTCCACAAACTAGTCTGGCTGCTGGGTGGAATACTGATTTGCTCCTTTTGGAAAGATTTTGAGATTTTGGAGATGCTGACTAGAATGTTCACTGAAATATTCTTCCCGATAAATTATTGTGAAATGATATTTTTTAGAGGACCAATATATGTTAATTTGGAAATGCATTCATATCCATCTTTCTCCATTTTAATAATAAAAAGCAGACAGTTTAAACAGCTGTACATATATGTAGAATAAGCCTTTGGTTTGCATATTGGAAATTCTAAAAATGTTATGACTATATAACTTTTGTGGTTCCAGATGACTAATTTGGAACACCCACCCACACACTGAAAATGAAATAAAATCATCTCCTTGTTTATATGTTTAGGTTTCAAAAGTATTGAATTAACTCCCCTTGCTGCAATATGTGTAAACCTGTTTTCGGCTGGGAAAGAACTGAACGTAGATGGTCCCATTCAGATAACATTGCCTCTCCTACCTACTAGTGCTGTCAAAGCAGGAGATCCTATCCCAGCATGGACCTTTGACATGAAAACTGGTGAGTGTGTTCTCTGTTCTGCATTAGCACAGGGCTGAAGCTGTGTAGCTTTAGGATTTTCACTTAGTCTAAGACAAAGAGCACCACATGGTCATTGGGCCTTGCCAGAAGCTAACAAGTAGGCTGCCATAACACCCCCTTCAACCTCAGGTGGGTGTCCTTTCCAGGGATCCAAATCCTTAAAAGCGGGAAGCAGAGTTAACAATTAGCTTACCTACCCCACCTGGAGACTAAAGTAGCTTGACTTTCTCCGTCAGGTCCCACTCATACATAGCAGGAACCTAATGACTAGGCACATGAGAGCTTGGATTAATCCTGACAGTTTTTTGTTTTGTTTTTTTAATTAAGTATGTCTTTAAGAGTACCTGGAAAATCCAAATTGGCATAACTCATAGTACATGCTGTTTCTCCACTCTGACATCTTGTTCGTTTACATGGAGATCTTTGATGTGTACTTGGAACTTTTGAACAGGAAAGGTCTTAGCTGTTTTAGTGTTTGAAGACAGCTCCCCATGAATGATAGGAGCTGGAGTCCGGCAATACAAGAGGGCCACAGATTCCCCATTCATGCAGCTGGAAACATCACGGGCACATCTGACCTCTAGAGTTTTAGACAGGGCTTATTGTGCTTTGATTTAAAGGCATCTTGCCCTTCTAAAAGAAAGCCTTTCTTTCTCCCAGGTGCCTGGGTGAATCGCGGGTTGGGCATGGTGAAGGATGCACAGGATCATCTTGTATGGACATACAGTGCTCCAAGTCTTGGTTACTGGATAGCAGCTCCACTGCCTGGAACCAGAGGTATCCCATGGAAATGTGAAATCATTGAATTGAACTTAGCTGTTGTAGTTTGCAGGAGAATAATTATGTGCAAGTTGGCGGTCAGAACATGGAATAGGGAAGAATGCCCCCCTCCCACTTTAATAGGAATCATAGGCTTTGTTCCCTGGTCTAGTGGAAATATAAGTACGATTCACAGGTTACTTGGTTGTAGGGCATCTCTCTGTAGTAATGATCAACTTTTTAGCCCTGCCCTCAAACCTTGCACCTTTGTCATCCAGTAACTGTGTGGTTGTGTGAGAAGAAAGGCCAGCATGCAAGCTCCTCCCTGCAAATGGGCCTCATGCAATAAAGTGCCTTAACCACACTGCATCCCCTACTTGGGAGCATGAGCTTGCCCACTGGGGTTTTCTTCTCACACAACCATGTGTACCGTGATTACTGAAAGAGATAGATTTAGAGGCAAGGCTAAAACAAGGCCTCATACTGAAGCCATACACACAAACTGTCGGAGCCTCTGCTACGACTGAGCTACTCCTCCGGTCTAGTCCTTTGGAATCGCCACCAATGATGATTAACGACCTGAGCCTCTGATAAGGCTCCAGGCATGTTCCCTCATTACGCAAAGTATCCAGCAGCAGGGAAGGAGCCGAGAAATATGAGCTACATTGCAAAGTTTTATTTCTAACTATGCAGACAGAAAAGAAATAAACATGCTCTCTCTGTGAGAGCAGAGAGACAACTGAAAAACAAAGGAACAGGAAACAGTAACATCACATCCATCTCCTGTCTTCCATGAGACTTCCAACAGCCTGGAATCTCTGGAATGCAAAACAGAGTCTTGTGACTCCCAAGCACTGCACAGTGGCAACACAAAGAAACCAACACGAACAATATGCAAACAGGGCTATATTATTTAAGGCATGAAAAATACTCATAAGAAAAAAGGCATCCCAGCCCAGCATTTCAGGTGTCTTGACTGAGGCAGGATTCCCATCAATATTGTTTGAATGTGTGTGTATATATGTATATATAGGCACTGCTTAATGCCAAAACATGGATCTAAACTGTGGACATCATCTCTGTCCATGTGAGCCACCCCTGTGTTCATGAGGACTGGAAAAATCAGCAGCACATCCAGTGACACAATGTTAAGGAAAAACAGAGTAAACAAATGATGGGAAGACACCATATATTGTTGGATCCAGTTTTGCCACACAAGAAATCACCTTCTTTTTCTCTCCCTTTTTAATGGTTATAAATTTAGACTCCATCATTGCCTCGGTCACTAAGGATATAACTGCATACCACACAGTGTTCCTTACAGCCATATTGGGAGGCACCATCGTCATTATCATTGGGTTCTTTGCAGTTCTCCTTTGCTACTGCAGGTAAGTAACAAGATTATAGTGATGTGCAGTTATGACACAGTGTATTCATGTGTTTCATCCTTTGTCGATTGGAGTCTTGGAATGATGGTTCAGTCTTGTTTTGAAAAGATATTTGAGGTATGGCCTCTGCAGTCCTCTGTTCAGCCACTCTGAGAACAGCCTGCTGGACTAGATAGGACATTGGCCTGATCCAGCTATTTTTATGTTCTTATGTTCATGCAGTCATATGTGTAGAAGATTCTAGCTCTAGGACTCTGTACTACTCTTCCCTGTTTTCTAAGCAACATTTATAAATAGAATAAAGGTATGCAGATAACCTATAAGGGTGTGTAATTCTTGTGTCATTTGACACAAAATGGATGTGTTACATATCTAGGCTACTCTCCTGAACAGGTAGCTTAAATCCCATTGATGTCAGTCAGGATTTCAGTTGGTGGGCAAGGTAGAGCTTTAACATTATTGGTTCCCCACTTTTTTTCTTAGGGATACATGTGGTCAGTCAAAAAAGAGGAGGAGAAATATGACAAAGCGGGACATCTCCAAAAAGGACCAGACAACATCAACAACTCACATAAATCACCTTGGCATTTCCAAGGGATCACTGAAGCCAGATGACAAGTCTCAGTTGTATTCAGCCACATTATCCTCTTATAGTCCCCAGAGAGGGGCTTCAGCTGAAGGGGAGGAGAGGAAAGGCTGTGACAGTTTCAAAATCTACACAGAAGGTATTTCATACCAGTTCTCCAGCAAAAATTCTCACTGTAGCTCACCCCAGTCCTTGGAACCTAGCATAGGAGTGAGGCATTTACAGCCAGCAAAACATATTGGTGGCAGCATTTCTCCTGCTAGAGACTTGCAAGAACGGAACCACTACCTCTCGATGAATGAGGAAATATATGGTCTCACGCCCCTCCCAGAGCAACTGGTGCATCTTTATAGCCAACCTATTGCCATCCTTCAAACATCTGACCTTTTCCATTCTCCAGAGCAGCTGCATGCTGCCAAGTCTGCCACTTTGCCAAGGAAAGGGCAATTAGTCTATAGCCCAATGATGGAGCCAATGAGTCGGGAAAGTTATACCCAGACATTACCCAAGATGCCCATGCACTCTCACCTCCAGGTGCCAACCTCCAGAGATGAATCAGCTGCATTAGATAGCCAACAAGGCTTATCCCCTCAAGCTGCAAATTGGGGGCGCTACACCAATAGCTTGCTGGAGTCAGTTTCTGTTCCAGGGACGCTAAATGAAGCCGTGGTCATGACACCATTTTCATCTGAACTTCAAGGCATTTCAGAGCAAACCTTGCTGGAGCTTTCAAAAGGAAAACAATCTCCGCATCCACGGGCATGGTTTGTTTCATTGGATGGCAAGCCAATAGCTCAGGTGAGGCATTCATTCATAGACCTCAAGAAGGGCAGGAAGACTGAGAGTAACGATACTAGCTTGGACTCTGGGGTGGACATGAACGAGCATAATCCCAGTCGGAAACTGGAGAGGGAGAAAACCTTCATCAAAAGCATGCAACATTCTAAGGTCCTTTACCTGGAAGACTTGGATCTCAGTAGTAGTGAAAGTGGAACCACAGTTTGTACCCCCGAAGATCAGACTGTGAAGCACATGCCAGATGGGGGGACTGAACCAGTCATAGAACAGCACACACAAGAGGTGCCTAAGAAGAAAGAAACGGAAGACCATGAGGCTAGCCCTCCTCCAGCTAAGAAACGGGGAAGGCCACCTCTAACTAAAAGAGACAGCAAGACCAATATCTGGAAGAAGAGAGAAGAGAGGCCACTTATTCCAATAAATTAAAATTAGTTATGTCTGCATTTTGGTCTGTCTGGTGTCCCCTTGGCTCTTTGCGTCTTATTTGTAAACTTAAATGTTCAGTTTATAAGAGACAGCCAGAATCTGGTAACATTCCATTTCTCAATTCGTAGAGAAGGTTACACCTTCCTAAGAGTGCAAACCAGCTCTTCTTGCTTTTCAGCAATTACTTGAACAAAGCTTCTGGTTTTTAAAATGTGCTGGGATACATCTGTTGGGGTGCGCACACATACTGCAGAAGAAGCCCAAATGCAACCTTCATTGTGTGCTCTGGAATCGGACATTTGACAAGGAAGAAGCACTGCTGGGTTGCATCGTCATAGGGAAGAGGCACACAGTGAGTGAACAACAAGATTTTATTTTTAACAAATCAGTGTCTGATATGGTTATTTTACCATACAATGTTTGATGTAGATGTCCTGCAAGGCAGTGAGATAAAAGCTGCCGTTTTTCATCTAAAATGCAAGATCAGAACCTTTTTTGATACCTTGTATAACATTCCACCGCATTGTTCTCTGTATATACTTGGGGCAAAAATAATAATTCAGGGACTTGTTATCCATATGGTATTTCAAGTATGCGGACTTCTGCTTTTCATGTGCTGCTCCAGTATGTATTGAGCCAAATTGTGCTCCATTTTTAGAATAACTAGGTTTGTACATTAGGGCAGAATGTGCCCCTCAGTGTCCAAGATAAATATTATTTCGAACTTAGCCAAAATGATGGCTTTGTAGAAGACATTTCTTCCAGAAACAACCCCATGCTACTGAATAGCCTTAAAAGAGATAGAGACAGAGTAGTACTTAAGCAATTTGATGATGTGCCTCCTTTTTTTGCTGTGGTCCCAGTCTTGCAAGTCCATTGTGCCACTTGAAAAGAGCCATTTGAAATCTCTTGGACTTCCTATCTGAATAAACTTATCCATATATTTAGCCAATGTCTTTCTTGCATGGGAAAATTGGCCCAGTCCAGAACAGTCTTTGTATTAAGCAAATTCTCCAGTCTGAAAGCAAGCCTTTCAAAATGACAAAGTGAAGGGGAAAGGACCATATGGTGCAGTGAGTTCTTAAAATTGGGTAATACTCCTTTCTAAAGTCCTGGAGGGCCAGGGCCAACCAGCATAGTCTGCAGTGAGTTCAATGGCCCAATGATCTGTCTCTGTTAGGCAGCTTCCTATGATTGAGAGTTCTCTTATTCCAGAAAACAGATCGGAAGAGAACCTGTATTGAACTTGTTTGGTTCTGCTGTTTCTGTGGAAAATAACAAACACTGCAGCCCTAAACACATTTATCTAGTAAATCCAGTTAATTTCTGCGGAAGGTACTTCCAAGTAGAAATGTCCAGGTTCAAGGCCTAAAGGTCTTAAGACTCATCCGAGATCAGGAGTGAAAGCAAGCATTCTCCCTGTATAGTGAGGCTAGCTTCCTTCCACTTATGCAGTGCAAACAATATGCCACTGTACTTACGTAGAAGCTAGTATGACTTTTATTCTCCCATATTTCAGATGGGCTGCGTTTCTTAAAACATAGCATGAAAGTTTCTTCTCTTGGTGTATTTTAAAATCATTGGGTTTTGTTATTTTTTAAAATGGTTCTGGGAAGCCAGAGCGGGTGATACCACAGGAACTAACTGGTCAGCATTCTCCTGAGCTCACTCCTAGCTCACCATTCACAGTATATTTGTCTGTATGCACCCTAAGTGTATCCTAACCTAATTTGTGTACTAGGAACACATTTCAGCACTACCTGTTGGTGTTTCTGAATATGAAGAAGGTAAGCTGTGGCTCTGGCCTATAGGACAACAGCCATCCTTGGAGTAGAATTTATTGTAAAGTTAGGGGGGGTACCAAAAGAAATGATTGCATGAAATGTAACTAAGAAAATATATACAGGAAAGAAGTACATAGAAAAAATGCATGTCAGAGAGGATAGGCTGAACATTTTCAGATTTCTTAAGTTTTCTTCGCACATGGAATACCCAAACATGTGACCACCACACAACCTGCACTCTGTTGGCACTGTTCAGAAAAAGCTACCACTTATATATCAATTAACTCTGTCACTGATTTTGGAGTATGCACAAAAAAATTAAGAGCAAGATAATGTCAACCTTATCCTAAGCACATTTTCTTAGAAAAATTATTCTAAGTAACTTAAATGGAATTTATATCCAAGTAATATTAGGATTACAGCCTTATAAAATATTAATGTTTTTCCTCAAATTCTATGACATTTACACTTGTGGGGTTTAGTTGTACTGAACTTTCTAAACATTTGGAATATTAAAATATTTTAAAACTTATTTTAACTTTTTCTTTTTTATCTTTTGAAAAACATTAAAAGCATTATTGCTGGTAAGCATCTGAAGCCATCCCACCCCTTTCAAATAAAGCATTTCATAATCAAGATTTCTGAAGCAATTCTGATAATTCTTAGCATTTTTGAAATTTTATATCAATTCGTTTTACCAACTGAAATTTAAAGTAACTTTGCAGATAATAAAAGACTTGTCAAATATTTGTACATTTTCCACTTGCTAATACACTGTTCTTCTACTTTAAAGCACAACAGTTTATTGTACTTCAACAAATGCGGTGTCTTTGTAAAAAATGAGTATTTTTACATATAAGCTGTTCTGTTGGAAAGTTTTTCTGTTCTTTGTATGCCAAGACTGCAGTCCTACACATGGTTCCTCAGTAGTAAGTCCTATTTAGTTCAAGAAAACTTACACTTGGGTAAGTGTACATAAGATGGTTTCCTAAGAGCATGAATTGAATCAGGAACCCAGTTCTGTGAGCTACAATTATTGGGAACAGAGTCTGAAACCAGACATGAGAGTTGTGTGGCTGCCACTGAAAGGAGTCCTTGATACAGGAGTACTGATCCTGCCTACTGTAGCCCCAGCTGTCCTTGCTTTTTCTGCCTCACCAATAAGAGCAAGTGCCCTTTTTCAGCTGATGCTCTTCAAAAGTAACTGCCTTGTATTGTTTCCTCCACTCTCAGCAACTGCATGAACTACCATTTAGTGGATGTAACATGGGAGGAAAGAAGGACTCAACATGCAGAGCTGTTTTCAGCATTGAGCCACACAGCATCTCAGAAGACTAGTTCCAGCCTGAGTGTTCCCAAGCCAATACTGGTCATCACTTATAAGCTGTAAATACTGAGAACAAGCAGTCCACTGCCACTTGTTAATTCTTTGAGACACAGTTAGAATGCTATTTAATTCTCATTTCAATTTCATGACCTTCTGTAGCTCAATCATTTTTTAAAAAAAAATCTCCATTTTTCTATTCTGTCAGGGGTGGCATATCATGTTTGTGTAACTGCTATGGTACTAATGATCTATTGCTACAGTGTATCTTAAAATTTATAAGATGTTAAAAGAGTTCATGCAATATAATAAAAATACTTTAAAAACTTGCAAATATAGCCTTTGTGATTCTTGGTCCTTTAAAAAACTATTCCTGGACTCGCATGATAATGCATCACTGTTATTTCACTAGCAATGCACTCTTCTCATGAAAAAGCTAATTGCTCATGTAAAGCTATCCCCCCTCCAAAAAAAAAACATGCTTATGCAGAAGTAAGTAACATGCTTATACAGAAGTCAGTGGCGCTTGCTCTGAAGTAGCTGTACACAGAACTGGAACCTTATGGTATATATATATTTTTTTAATGAAAACCAAAAGATGCATTGAGACATGTTAGTTAATAATTTTTTTCTTGATGTTACAAAATAAAGCTGGGTGTTCTTTCATTGTGGAAGATAATATTTTAATTCATTTTTCCACTTCTGTGACCAATGAAAATTCATGTTTTTAATCAACTGATTTTAAGGATGCACATTAGGTTCTGTGTATACTTGCTTGAAATAAGCATTACCCAATAAATGAGCTGTATTAATAAAAACAGATATAAATTAATAAAGCAGCAGATATGCTAAGCTTGGCTTCCATTCCTAGGAATGTTATCCAGCAGCTACTCACAAATTTTGCAAAACAATCTCACCTGACAAACCAAGGCAAGGGGATCAAAATTAAGGAATTCTTCATTAATACCTATTTTCTTGCAATTTCAGGCTCCTTATGATATGCGCTGAACCTTTGCTTGAAACTTCCTGGTTCTACATGGTGTAGTTCTGAGTTCATTCATCCACTATACATGTTTCTGAGTACTTACGTAAAACGAAGTGCTGTAGAAGTAGTGGCTCCAATTCAACACAGCGCATATGTAAACTTTTTAAAAGTAAAAACCTGAGGTAGGGAAAAACCTCAACCCTTTGTTTTGCCCACATGAGCAGCCGCTATATGATGTTTCAAAACTTTTTAAAATGGCACATACCTGCAGTTCCAGCTGCTAAATCAGGAGGGAAAACATGCACAGCAGTCATTTGTGCACATGACTTCCTCTCTAATTTTTGATATGCAGGATCAAATGAAAATATTGTGTATTAATGTCAAAATTTAAATGGCAAATTTATGTCTTACTGCTTTATACACTAACAGATTTTTTTCTCATCATGTTTAACGAAAACAATATGTATGTATATGACTTGTGCAGGCGTAATGTTGCCAGACATAATTTGCTGTAAGATTAAGTACTGAGTTAAGCCAAGTTGGCTATTTCGCACAGATTCCTCCTAATATGAGATAGGAGCGAAAAAGAATATAATAAATTCAAATAGTTCTTTTGAAATATATTAAACTTGCATCCTGATTCTATAAACATTTACTCAGAAGTAAGTCCTACTGAGTTCAATGGGGCTTACTCCCAAGTAAATGTGCACAGAATGGAAATTTAAAAGGCATTTCGAGTTACAGATAAACCTCTCAAGGCAGTGCCAATTGCCTCCTGTGTAAACACATCAGCATGAGGATTTGGAATAAGAGACAAACCCTTAGCATATCTAGAAAACTTCAAATTTCTGATTGTCTGAGTACTGTGCTGGCTAGAAGCAGAGCTTCTTGTACAAGTATAGTTGACGCCATTCCGTGTTAGACTCTCTTCACATTCTGAATTATTTTTCTTCTTACAACGCACTTGAATATGACTTTGAGACTTCTCAAGAATGTGGCCAGGTTTCATTTGCTTGACAAGCAATCCTGTCCCTGGTATAAAAAGCTCCTGCTCATCCTGCTTTGTAAACTTATTCTTTGCTTGAGACATAATTGGGGTTACTTCGCCTTTGCTTCGTACATTCTCCCAGGTTAATGGATTATACACAATGTGTCCGTCAATAGGGCAGGCATTTTCTTTGTGCAACCAATTGTCAATGCATTTCCTATGGAACTAAAAAAACAAACACATAATATATTATATATCAGTAATTATCCACCAAAATACTCTTCATTGACAAAAGGGTATTTAGCATCAACAAATTATTTGCAAAGAGGTCAGATTCTCCTTCCATTTTAGAGAAAATCGGAAGCAACTTAAAAGGTTTCATTACAATAATACTGATCCAAACCTACTTATCTTGGGAGCATCAGGCCAAGCACACTAATATACTGTGGGAAATGCATTTGCTCAAATGGTATAAACTGTTGTAAATCAATAAAATAGCCATGGTGCGCTTCACTGAGACAAATTCCATGACTGAACCAATGCTCTCTGAAATCCATTGCTAACATCTCTTCAGTTACAGGCTAGTGCTCTCCAGTTACTCTATTTTCCATTCTTTCAAGAAATCTATAGAGCATATTTATTATAAACATAGCAATGGATGGTTTCGAACTAAGTCACGCTAGCACAATGACTTTCAGCTGCATAATATAGCTTCCCCACCCTCTCCTATCCCCACATACCCCCATGTACCCTGCAAAATCTGCTATGGCGGTTTCTCCGATCCACTAGAGCAAATTCAGAAGGTGTACAGGTAGAGGACAGAGTAGGGAAGTTACACTGTGCAGGGAGGTCATTGCACTAGCAGAACTGTTTAGTTGAATGCTGCCCAGTGCAACTGTTTATTGAAGCGGGTCATATAAATTGGTATAAAATATAATACAAATAAAAGATTTGGTTAAAAACTGGACAGCAATAAGCTACACTAGTTTAAAAATTGGACATCTCAAGCTGACTTATACTGAGTCTGAAGACTGATTCATTTACTCAGCATTGCATACTCTGGCAGCAGGTCACCAAAGCCTCAGCCACTGATCTATCCCAGCCTCAATACCTGAGATCCTTTAAGTGGAGATGCCAGTGAAGAACCCATAAACATATTTGCATGTCATGCATGTGCTGTAGTGCTGAGTTGTGTGTGAGAGAACTAGAACCATATTATGTGCTGAAACAAGTTTCTATTACTGCATCATGTTTCTAATCTTAAAAAACACAACAAATAGTAGAACAATAATGTAGCCTGCTCTAACACTCCAATTAGCAAATTATATACCAATGGGGAAAGCTTGGTTCCTAAAAACAGGAGAAATGGCTATGGTATGACAGCTGCTGGTCTTTAGTTCTATTTGAGAAAACCTTTTTAGCATGAGAGCCACAGCCCCTCATAAGCAACTTTCCAGGAACTGCATGCCAGTGTGGGCAGGGCCAGCAGGAAAAGTGGGTGGAGCAAGTGAAATGATTCTTCCCTTTGTGCAGCAGGCTATATTCCAGCCATGCAAACGTCAGACGTATCTGCACATACACACATACTCCATTCCAACAAGCAGGAGACATTATCACAGTTCAAGGACAGGAGGTGGAAGGGAGGTGGAACGCAGGAATAGTGAGGAACATTGGCTAAGGAATGTGTCAAGGACTGGACAGAAGGACTGAATTTGGCACCCAAACATGAAGTATCCACCAAGTCTTTAGCTTGTTTCACAACCTTAGTAAACACTTCTTGACTCACACCTAGAATTGTAGAGTTGGAAGGGACCCTGAGGGTCATCTAATTCAACCTCCTGCATTACAGGTAGGTGTGTGTGAATGCCTGAATGTGTGAATGGTCTCTGCTTAAAAGCATTGTATCTGAAGTAACATTGGGTGGCATATGACAATAAGAGGGGGTTTTTTTGGGGGGGAGCTGGGCAGTTGTATCTTTTATTTACCTTGTGATTACATGGCAAGAATCTTGTCATTTGGCCAAGGTGAAAGATCTTCAAGCAGAGTCTACATTGCAAGCCGGGATCAAGTAAACTGCTGCATTTTCCAACCAGCACAGTAGGTAATGAGTTTATTATACCCTCTGGTATGCAGCTGTACCAAAAAACAACAACACCCAAGCATTTATCTTTAATTACACTAAGTCTTAGAAATTAAGCGAAACAAAATCAATATTGTAACTTGAAGAGTGCACATACACAGAACTGCATAAAGCCAAAACTCGCCAGGACCGCCACTTTCCAGTCTAGCCAGGGCCCTAAAAAGCTGTCCAAGCTTTTCCACTTTGGCAGCTCATGTTCTTTACTGCAGGAGGGCACAGCCTTTTGCCTGTAGAGTAACTACCGCCACTGTCACCACATCCTGCCAGTACTGGCTGAGCCCTCTCCCAACAGACAGACACCTTCTAAGCAGTAACAGCTTAGATTGGCCATGGTCCTTGCCAGCTGCTTAAGTTTCATTTATTTTAATTTAAAATGATTAAAATGAGTTACATCTTACTTATCCCTGTGTTTTTCCTCTTTAGAGTTCTCTGGATTAAAACTCTGCAGATTTTCTGAAGTTGATAGTTGTGTTACTGGTTCAACTGACCTCCATCTCTGATTCCTTTTCTAGAGAATGGGTAAAGAGCTAATGAAAGCTAAGTAGTAATTCATTACTTCAAAGTCACTGACAGCAGAAAAATGGCACACATACATCTTCAGTCTTAAGGACTATGGAAGCACAGTTTTTTCCAACAGATATCCTACAAGAAATTCATTGAAATTAGATTGTGCATCACAGCAGCACATAGTCAAAGACTTTATTCAAAGGAAAAATATAGTAGGCTTGGTGAACCTGTGGCCCTCCAGATGTTGTTGGACTGTAACTCACACCCAGCATGGTCAATGATCAGAGATGATGGGAGCTGTAGTCCAACAATAGCTGAAGGGTTAGATTCCCCCAGCAATATTGGATAGGATAGAAAAGCAATTGAGAGTCAAATCACACTTGCACAATTCCATATGCATGCAAGTAAATCCTGCTATGCTCAATGAGGTGAAGTATATGGACACATTAGCGGCTTGAAATGCAGCAAGGTCCTTTGTTAGGGTATGTTCGGATTACTGCTTATTCTACATCCAGTTTTCTAATCAGACTGAACCTTTTTTATTGAACCAGCTTCAAACAGCAGTATTTGTCAAGAAACTACGTGCTCAGTATAGACTGTAGCGAGCATAATGTGAATGTGGCTTCAAAAATTAGTAGCGGGAGCACACCGGGTGCAGAGTTAGCAGTACTTTAAACATATCCTTATTCCCTTAATCTTAGTAAATGTTTTAGGATTACATCCTTACTCTTTATTTTGATCCTTGGGTCAAAATTTCTTGGGTCAAAAGACTTTCATAAATGCTCATTTTTGTTCCACAGAGATGATTTATATACAAACAGTTACCAGTTCCCTGTAAAATGTTTGCTGATTCAATTCCTGAATTAAGATAATTTTGAAAGAGGTTGTACTGTACCTCACGAAAAGCAAAGCTATGTGAAGGATGACAAAATCTTCTAAAACATCCATGGCATAGGTGATATTCACTACACTCAGTGCACCTTGAAGCAATAAGGCAAACAAAATTGTCAGCAGCTTCCTTATTTCACAAATAAGCATATCTTAAAATAAAACTGATTGATGTTGAATTTATCAGCGCTTTTGTATGGAACACTCTGCTAACACCCAAGCTGTATGCTACATACAAGCCCGTATTACATTTACTTTTGTAGGTGAAAAAGTAAAATAATTTAAGCTAGCTGGAAGTATTTTGATGGTTCTGAATCATCTATAAAATGTGAGAACACATGTCTTTTTGAAAACCAAAGAACCCTTGCTTTTTATTTTAGTGTTCAAAACTAACCTTTCAAAGCACGTATGTCAGGCTTCATTTGATAAAAACTGCCTATCCCTAAAGAGTTGAGCAGGTCAGGTGAAGAAATACTGGCCTATACTGTACCACAATGCCTGGAAATGTCAGAATTAAAACCTCTAAAAAGACTCCTATTTCAAAATATAGCGGTCTAAGGTAGCACATTAGGCCACCTTAGCAACAGAAACATTTGGAAGAAAGTGAAGCTTGTCTTTATTTACATACGCAGCAAATCAGGGTATCATTCTCCTCAATGGACACTAGGGGGACAACAGTCTTCTTTTCTTCATAATATTTTTTAAATGCGATGTTTCCTACTATTGATTTATTGGAGAAAACCTTTCTTGAATATGGCTATTACCTTTTTTTATTTGAATACTTGTATATAAATGTTTTTAATTATGTATTCAAGTCAGTTTCCACTATATAAGAGACTGGAGGGAAAGCAGCTGCAATCAAACAGAAATCTCTCATGTAAGAATAGTTACCAATGTGAGTAAGGTTTTATTGCATTGAAATATAACCCAAGATACATACAAGTAACTATGAACTATGATACAAACAGATTTTTTTCCTCTGTTAACAGCACTATCCTATGCATGTTTACTGGAAAATAAGTCTTACTTGCCATGTATGCACATAACACTAAACTATGGCTTGTTTTAACCATGGTTTGTTGAATAAGCCATGATCAGTCTTACACACAAGCAAAGAAACCATGGCTTATTTTGCCATGGAAACTTTTGAACTGTCAAGTAGAAAAGGACATTATTGTTTTGCTACTTTAAGTAGGTAGAAAATCATGGTAACCAGCTAAAATTTAAGTTGTTTTTTTTTCACAGAGTCCTGCATAGCTGTTAGTAAAGTAGCAATGCATTCTTTAAATTTACATCTTCTGTAAAGCTAGGTTTACTTGTTTGAAATTGATAGCTAGATGCTAGGGCAGGGAAAGGAATCTGTTGCTCAGCAGAATGAGGAGAGGGTTATTCTGGAAAGGTGCCAGAAGTTGCTTAGCCTAGTGCGTGGGCCTTTTTTACAGTCGCTTTTGCTTCACACTTCTTAGTGGGTAGGGCACCATTACAAACAAGAATAAGCCAGGATCCTGAGTTCACATGTAACAATACACCATGCTTAAAACAAGCCAAGATTCAAAAGCAAAACATGGTTTCAAATCATGGTTTGTTGCCCCACCCCCAACCAAGGTGGGCTCAAATATTCAAACAAGCGACAATTAGGATAAACAAACCATGACTTAGCAGTATGTATAAATGTGTCTGCTTTGGAATATATACCTTAGTGTGTTTAGACTACTAACAAAAAATATTTTCTATGTGATCTGAAGGAAGGAAAAAGCGAGGGAGCCCAAGCCAGGGAGCTTTACCATCAGCTCCCCGCTGGCCTGAGTGGCCTCTATCTTTTTAGATTTTATATAATGCACTTATTTTAGTATTTTAACTTTGTAAACTGCCTTGGATGCCTTGGCAAAAATGGTAGTATATAAATTCAGAAAATAACAAATACATTTAGTAGAGCAGAAACACCTACTGACATAATTTAGTAGAAAATCAAAGGGTTAGTAATCATAAAAATAACAGCTATATCCCTACAAAATATTAATCGCAAAGGGTGTGCCTGTTTGTATAAATTTTCTTTCATTTCTGACTGAGGAAGCGTTACAAGTACCACAAGCTCACAAATAAGGATGTAGGACTGTACTAGAATACTGTACTAGAAAATGCTTACTTGTAGCAATTGCCTTCAACGGGACATACCCTGCAATTATTGCACGGGATTCCAAGATGTCTGTCAAGATGCTGCTTCTCTGCTACAGTGATGAGTCTTTTGCTGTTTCTGAATTCTTCCAATATAAGTTTCAACGGTGCAAAATCTTCCCTACACAGGGGACACTTCACCAAAGAATCTTTCTCTAACTCTATCTGATGATCAGCCCAGATCTTCATACATACTATGTGTATGTTGTTGCCACAACCAAACCTATAGAAAATTAATTATATTATGTATCCTCCTCAAGAAAAGTCACATACAAAAATTTCTATGAAACTATGAAAGCTGTTACAAATATACAGTAGTCTAGATTCATAAGCATATTAACAAGGAAATGTTACCCTGCTGTCTCTGACAAAATTGTGTAACATGTTCTAACTTATCTATGATCATCATAAAAGCTTTAAAGTGGTTTATTTTAAACCCAGTTTATCTTACATGGAAGGGAAGAAATGACATAGGACAATCACAAAGATTGAGAGGAATCTGGTTCATTTATTGACAGATGAGTTTACAATATTAAAAATGTTCTTAGTGCAGCTAAATTAAAAAAGAGCTAAATGTTTGAAATCCAAGTACAAAGATGGAAATTTACAAATCGATTGCTGATTAAAAAATGAGTCACTTCTACTGTTTGTTTTAATGTTAAATAATTATGTCTGCTTCCTGCAGGGGGTGATCTTGTTGGTTGTCACAACCCTTGTTTCCCTTCCCTTCCTCTCCACCTGCCTGGCTGTGTTTTGAAGCTGATATGTTTAACTAAACAGAGCTTCTTTAAAACCACAAACTCTACTGTATATGAAGCAATAAGCCAAGATACTGTGACATAATTATTTAGCCTTCTTAAATAGCAGGGGTGACTCACCTGCAGTAAGTGACAGGAAGCATTCTCTTCAGCAGCTTGTCCTGGCAAATAGGGCACACATCCTCATCATCAATTTGTTTTTGTTTAATGTACCCATCATCAGCTGTTTGCAGCTCCTTGGTGGAATTAGCAGATACCTTTGGTTGGGGAGCAACTTGTAGACCCTGAAGCACTTGGTTAATTTCTCTTTCCACAAGACCCAACTGTAGAGCATCTGTAGAAAAGTTCAACAATGAAAATGTCTGATAAAATATAATTCTGGTTGTTTTCCAAGTGAATCAGAAGTAGTCAATGATGTAGTAACTCACTCTTTTATATAAAATGAATGGTCTCTCATTAAAAGTCAGATTCCCACACACTAAGAACATGAAAAAAATTGGTATGGGGTTGAATGAAGGAATGAAGTTATTTTGGAAATATTGCTTGTGATGCATATGGTGAGTCAATCAGAAGATCAGGCTTCATGCTGTGATTTCTGCCATAAACTGACCACCAAAAAAGTGAACTAATGTAATGAAAAATGTAATATTAGCACTTTATGTACTGATCTACAACAGGGGAATAAAAATATGGAGTTAGTTAGTACTTACATTCATGGTCTCTGGGAAGTTTGAATTTTTTCAACAATAACCTAAAAATAAAAAAGCAAAAAAGGACACAGCTATTCAGTAACTTGACACTGTAACAAAAGCTGCCTAATCAAATTTTAATTTAAAAGTGTATAATCCTTAAGATGCAGCCCATCTTTACCAAATTTGACTATGACAGTAGCCTGGTTTACACATCGCAGTAAGGCAGGAATGCCAGCTTGGCTCCACAACCGTGGGTGCCCAGGGCCGTGGGTGCTATGCAGCGTGCATGGCTCTGACACTTAAATTTGTGGGTGCCTGGTCCCTTCATGGAAAATTTTGTGGCTCCTTGAACACCCAGGGCCCCAGGGAGTTCTTTACTCCTGCAACGCATGAGTGTGTCATCTGAACCTAGGCTCACGGTTAGCAGTCCCCAGTAAGCCATAATTTGGCTTACCATGATGTGCAAACCAGGCCTCTGTACAATTGTGGTTTGCTATCATTTACTCTTCTTTTTCTACCTCTTAATTAATAATTCTCAAATATTAATATGTTTACTAAATAATTACATCAACATAGGCAAGAACATGGAACTTTTGGCTATCCAGATACTGTTCTACTCACTCCCATCATCCCTGACCATTGACCATACTGGCTGGGACTGATAGGAGCTGGAATCTGGAGGGCCAAAGCTTCCCCATTCCTGGTATAGAGCTTTCACATATTTAAAGTACTTCACATTGTCTTATAATTCTCACAGAAATACAGAAGTTCTTTTATATATCATTTAATACTTCAAAAAATATTATAAGACAATGGAGTATTATCCCTTTATTGCAGATGCAGGGATGGTGGAGGTGAGGCTGAATGTGAGTGTCTTGCCTAAGGTTTTCATGAGTTTATGATAGAGAAAAAATTCAAACTCTTGACTTATAGTCACTGCAGCATTGTATCTTATAGTCACTGCAGCACTGGTCTTTGACTGATGGATTGCAACCCATGGTGGGTCACAACCTGACCTAACAGCAACACTGCCATATATATGTATGTTTTGGGTTCCCATAAGCATGTCTTGGCTAAATTTCAGAACATTTTGAAGACTTACACAACAGGTCTTTTACTCAACATTAATTCTCTGATTTCAATGCAATAAATCTATTTAGGTGAACTTGGAATAGTAGACCTATGATTTTTCACACTCCCTTTCCCTCTCCAACTTCTCATCCCTCTGTATTACTTCCTCTTCGTTAACATTTTGGTCCTTGCTACATCTCATAACCCTCTTTCCCTCCTTTTTTGAGGCCTTTCTGCTTTCACCCAGTCTCGTTCTGTCAGAATAGCTACCTGATTTTTTAAAAACCAAATAATTGTCCTTGTGCAATTGTGTAAAACAAATCTATCATAACATCATTTGTATAAGGTAACTTCGTTTTACAAATCAATTTACCAGCAGATATGTTTACAAAGATCCTTTTCTTTCACAAATATTGAGCAGCTGCACGAGTGAGGATTCCCCAGAAAAACCTTACAGCAAAGCAACAAAGAACACATTTAGAAATTGTAATACAAAAATGATACAATGAAGATAAAGGCAAAGGTGGGGGCGGTGCTATAGCTGAGTATTTAGTAAAATCTTGCCATTCTTCCTGTACTTTATTTACACATCTTTAAAAGCAGCCCTTAGTTTACAAACTAACTAGTTGTGTTGATGGCTCTCTGAATGTGAACCTTCAGGATATGTAGTTTGTGTTGTCGGCACCAATCACACGCTGAAACAGGAGTAAGAAAATTGGAAATGGATTCTTTCAGCAATTAAAGCATTGGAATGGATGCTAAAATTATACTGGGGGGTGCTTTAAAAAGCATAACTTAAAACATTTTTGATCCTGGACACATAGGTTTTACTGCTTTTGTACAAGTGAAGCATATCCAGAAATGTTTTCTGTATGTGGTTTCTCACATTTTTAGATTGGGGCAAGTTTATGCTGGTCTTTGCTCTGTCAGCACTGAAGAGGTAGCTGTGAAATCACGTCTCATTTCTTGCTAGCATTACATCTTGTAATTCTGTAATTATGGGATTTATTTGGTGCTTTGTAGCTAAGCTTTTATCTAATTCTTGAAAAGCTTCAAAAAGGGGAGCTTGAGCTTACTCAAGTGCTAGGAAACCAGAATATGATTAATTGGGAAAATGCAAATGCTATTTTTATTTTATGAGCTCTTTAAGTCACTCATATGTCTGCACTTGAGAAATCTGATTCAAGACTAGAGTTCACAATACAAGATTTGTGCCTTTGCCCTACTGTGGGTATGGAGAGACTGATATTGTGCCTGAACAGTGTGTCTAGCTCCTGAAGTGGAAAATGGGCTTGCAGAGCAGAAATAGCCTTGAGACAGGATAATAACATGATCTTTTAAGAGTTATGTTCAGAACCCTGGGTGCTGTAGATGGTAACAGTTTCACAGAATCATAGAATTGCATAGTTGGAAGGGAAACTGAGGATCGTCTAGTCCAACTCCCTGTAATACAGGAATATGCATTTGGCTCATATGGAGACCAAAATTGCAACCTTAGCATTATCAGAACCATGCTCTAACCAGCTGAGCTGAGCTATCAGACCCTCCAAGTGCCCCCATTTTCCAGGGACAGTCCCAGATTTACAGAAGCCGTAATGGTTTCTGATTTCATCCTAGAATGTCCCGCTTTTCCTTAGGACGTCACTATTTTCATCAGAAAAATAATGGAGGTTACGGAGTTACGTGACCCGCGAGCCAAGGAAATAAGTAACTCTACAACCTTTAGAAGAAATCCAAAGGCAGCCCTGTATAGGGAAGTTTTTTAAATGTCATGTTTTTGTCTATGTTGGAAGCCTCCCAGAGTGGCTGGGGCAACTCAGTAAGATGGGAGGGGTATAAATAATAAAATTATTACTATGGAATAACAGGGCACCCCTTATTTTCACTGCAGAAATGTTGGAAGGTATGAGATATGTTGTTTGGCGTTATAGCTGCGTGAGGGGCAAACAGTTTGTTTATTTAATTTATATACCGCTCTATACCCCGGGGGTCTCAGGGCGGTTCACAGAATAAAATGAAGATATACAATCACAAAATACATAATAAAGATAAAAACAACAACCTAATAGAGCACCCCCTTCAGAATTCCCATGATTCCCGGGGGGGGCGGGGAAAAATAAGTCGGGACTGTTATAAGCAGTAAAAATGTGCTTTACATCGATGCTGTGGGCGGGAGAGATTATGGGATGGAGAAGGGGGCGGGGGGGGAGTAGCACAGGCGACCTGGTCTAGCCAGAGATCTTCACAAAAGAGGCTTCTGCTCTCCCATTTCCCTCGCTACTCCCGAGTCCTTAGGTGGGGGAGAAACGGCTTCCCTCTTCCTCAGCCTCTCAGCCGCCCTACCCGGTGCTCCGCCGCCCGCTGCTCTTCCTCCTGCAGGACGAAAGCGGTGGGTCCCAGCTCCCTCACCAGGCGCATGGTGCCGCTCAGCGCCTGGTCCTGCCGCCGGCTAAGCCCCGGGGGGACCGAGAGACGCCTCCGCGACATGAGAGGCGTCGAGCCCAACCGCCTCTCTTTAAAAAGAAACCGTCAACTGTCGGCCGCCTCAGGCTGGTTCCCATGGAGACGGGAAGGAGCAGCGCGCGCCTCGCGCCTGCGCCGTCTACGCGTCTGCTGGCGGAGCGGTGTGTGAAGTGATAGGAAACCAGGTGTTCCTCCGCCTCCTCCCTTCGACCTTTCTTTGGCGGGCCGCGTTGCGCCCGCGAACCGAGAGAGGAAAAGGAGTCCTCATTTGGGAGCAAGGAGGCACGCGGATGGTTCCCACGGAGGAGGATGGGAAGGAAAGCTTTGGTGGCCCAGCCCTGTCCTCCCAAGGGATGCTGCTGCGCCGGGGCCGGCCCACCCACAAGGCAAGGTGAGGCGAGTGCCCGAGGCGGTGGAATCCGAAGGGGTAGCAGACCCCAATGGTACCGCTTTATTCCTCCCTTGTTCCCAATGTAGATCTTCACTCACTCCCTTCTCCCTATATTTTATATAATACATATATAACGTGTGTATGTGTGTATATATATAAAATAAAATACACAAATATATACAACACACAAACACACACACACACACACACACACACACACACACAGAGAGACATATAAAACATAGTAGATTTCAGATATGTGTGGTTTTCCTTTACGAAAGCACATTACAGATTTCCATCATGCTGCTGTCCAGAAGCCCAGGCAGTGCAAACAAAAACAGTCTAGTTGCTCCTTTAGTTCAGTGCATGTATTGCATTCTAATCCTCGTGTTTAAGGAGATTCAGTACTTCAGAAATATAAACGCAGCAAATAAAACCAAGGGGGCTAAAGTGAAAATCAAAGGGTTCTTTGGGAAAGTTTGCTAAAACTGTATTAGTATTTGTATGCCTGACGAAGCTAAAAATGGAGCACCCCCAATCAAACTCAAATCCCTCACGTAGTGTCTTATTTCAGATATGTGGTCTTGCTATTTAATTATATTTACCAGTTTTGTATCAGTGTGTCCTGGTATCAAATATGTTCTAAGACTGTGAAGGTGTGTTTTCCTAATAACATCATCATGCGCTAATTAAAGGGACTTGGGGTGAGTTTCCATTTTTACCCAACACAAACTTTCACGCTTTCTTGACTTAAAATTAATAAATATTACTTTTACAAACTGTAACTGGAAGCTTGTTACTGACTATGTAACGCTAGTTTTCTTTCAAAACAATTTGTATAATTGAGCAGTCACTTCACAAATAAACATGCGTCTCAAAAGGCTTCCAATACAAAAACCTTTGTTTTTAAAATTTCATTCAGCTACATATGCAAATAACCATCTCAACAACACACTGTATTGAGCTTTGTGTAGAATTATAGAGTACATTGACTTACACAAGTACACCTGCTATTGTAGCACTAATTTCTGAACTCTACTGACCTTACTCCTTACATTCTTGGTTCTCCTTGGGTTATGTTTGAGATATGCTCAGAAGTAAGTAGCATTGAGCTCAATGAAACTCCCAGGTAACTAAGATTACAGCCTAAAGTGGGGGGACATGACAGATTTTTGAAAGTGTGTATGATGTAGAAAAAAACGTTTTCTGCCACTCTCATATTATTCCAAATAGAAATCATTCATAAAATAGAGTAGCTGTAAATTGAGGAAAGTACTTCAGCACACAAAGAATAACTGATTTATGCAAATCACTCCCCAAAGATCTGGCAATGACCACTGGATTAGGCAGCTTTAAAATAGGATTAGACAAATTAATGGACGATGGGTCTATCAATGAATGGCTATTAGGCATGACAGGCAGGATCTGCAGTTGTAGTGTGGACTGCTCCTGTTCAGGATACAGTGGTACCTCGGGTTACAGATGCCTCAGGTTACAGACTCCGCTAACCCAGAAATAGTACCTCGGGTTAAGAACTTTGCTTCAGGATGAGAACAGAAATTATGTGACGGCAGCAGGAGGCCCCATTAGTTAAAGTGGTACCTCAGGTTAAGAAGTTTCAGTTAAGAACAGACCTCCAGAACGAATTAAGTTCTTAACTCGAGGTACCACTGTACTTCATTCCATTCCCCTTTTGCCCTCCCCAAGAGTCAGGCAGCATTTTGTACTCAGTGAGCATGCTTGGTCCTCTTTGGCCATTTCAGAGGTTCCTCCCTTTACGTCCATATAATTTTTTAAAAGTTCTTTGTACTTGTAGAAACATGGTTCCCGCCTGCTGATACCACCCCCATGTGTTCAGGTGTTGCCATTTTCATAAGAATGGCGCTTGTAACATTTGATTGCTAATACAGTGGTACCTCGGGTTATGTACTGTAATTCATTCTGGAGGTCCTTAACCGGAAACAGTTCTTAACCTGAGGTACCACTTTAGCTAATGGGGCCTCCCGCTGCCGCCACACAATTTCTGTTCTCATCCTGGGGCAAAGTTCTTAACTAGCAGAGTTTGTAACCCAAGGTGTTTGTAACCCGAGGTACCACTGTATATAACACTTACTTGGGGTGTCCCCCAGCTTCCTCTGCTCGCCAACCTGCCCGCCATTCTCCCTCACATTACCCCCTAGAGCTTCCCCTTGCCACCTCATGCAACTACCTCACGCAACTCTTTCCTGACCCAATTCTGAAGCCACTTCTTGCTTCTATTCTGCAGCCCCACTCTCCACCTGTGTTCCCATGTCTATACCTCCTTCCCTCTCCCTTAGAGCTGTTACTTTGCACACAAACCACCAAGTGTCATCCCATATGTTCTACTGCATTTTATTGTCACTTTCCTTATGGCAAAAGTGTGATCTTTCAGAGAAGTGTGTTGTGCAAGAGCTCCAAATCCACTTTAATTGTACAACCTGAATTTGATAGTTGTTTTAAATTGTTTTAAGTGCACTGCTCAGAGATTCTTTGATTAAAGAGTTTATAACTACTTCTCAGGAAGGAAGTAAAACTTTCTACAATCTTTGGTATTTTTTTGAGCTCTGATAGCTATATGATTCTTAACACATTTATGTTTCTGCCAGCTAATCCAATATAGCACAGTCAGGAGGCACCCAGAATATCAATCTTATGCATGCCTACAATAAGTTCCAATGAGTTCACTTGGACCTGTTCCCAGGTAAATGGTTATTGTATTACAGCTGCATTTTGCAAGGCATCAGATGCTGTCTGAGAAAACCACACTTGAGAACAAGGAATCAGAAGCACAGAAATGCCAACTCTTTTACAGAGTGGATGGACAGTAATGCACATCAAACCTGGAGAGGACAGTTGAACTGTACATGCTCTCGAGTCCTGTACTTACTGTGGTTAACATTCTTGAAGGCAAGGCCAGATCCACATATTATGTGCCACATTACATATAAAAGCTCACTGCCTGGCCAAATATGTGATTCTAGCTTTGTCTTCAAGAATATTAAAGACAATAAGTAATGTAATATGACAACAGTGAAACAGTCATTTAATAAAATATGAAAACAGCATTTAGCTTCTCAAAATACTTTTAATATACAAGTTGCATGTTCCATACCAAGCACTCACATTTCCATGTGTCCTTCCTAGGTGAGAATTACAAACTACAAAAATTTCCAAAACAATGAGTTTCCAACGCTCAGTTCAGGCAACACAGAGCTATTTTGTTACCCCCCAAATCCATCTGTTTCAACACATCAGTGACTATGTAACCCTATGAAGGTTAACAGTTCTCACAACGTTGACCAGGTACTCCAGTTCAGGATACTGTTCATTAGTCTATGCCAACCTGGAGCCCTCCAGTTATTTTGGACTTGCAACTCCCACCGACCCCAAGCAGCACCGTCACACTGGTGGAGCTGATGGGAGCTGTAGTCCAAAACATGTGGAAGACACAAGAGTTGGTAAAGGCTGCTGTAAGTTAATCATATTTTTAAAAATACATTTAAGAGAACATACCAAAATGAACATAAATTTCCTTTTCTATACAACTTTACAGAGGTATATGCAAAAGGGGCTATATATACTAACTGAAAACCATTCCAAGTTCTGCTACAAACATGCTCTGAATGTTGCAAAATTTTAAACCGAGCAATTCTTTTCTCAACTATTGCAATATATTAGTGCAAAGGTTTAGGACAGCATGTTTTATGTATCTTTAGAATGCTGATGAACACAAACATTTTATACTGTGAGATACAGACACACATAGACATGGCATATCTGAAGAGCCAATGCTGCAACCAACCACTGGTTCTAGTGGCCATCTCTCTGTTTTTGGAGTGTAAATAAACAGACTGGAGAAGATAGAGCAACCTGATTCATGTCATCAGGCTGCTTGCCTTCCAATGGAATAATCTTAACATACAATTTGACACTATTTGCTTGAGCTGGAGGTAGGAGTTATTTTATGAGATATAGCCGAGGGGCTTACCTTTCTTCACTGGCTTAATTAATTATATGCAAAAAAAAAAATCCACCTCCAAATCAGATTCTCATTGGTTTGGATACACATATCAGTTTATTAATCCAAGATTATGAGCTTTGTGCCAACACATTCCATCTGTGTGCTACCCTTTCCTCCATTCTATGTGTGCTGTGACCAAAAATTCCCTGTTAATTAACCATGTGCTTCCCATTCTCTGATGGGGTGAAAGACAGGTTGCTTGCCTGGAACTGTGGTTCTTTGAATGGTCATCTGTGCAGTTACACATACGGGTTCTGCCAACTCCACAGAGCAACATTCAGAACATTTTAGAGTTAGGTTTTGCTGGGAAGCCTATTCCCAACCCTCAGTATGCAAAAAGGGACATGGTTCCCACTTTTCTGCTCAGTTCGACAGAATAACCAAAGTGGCTATACTGTATAGGGAAGCACCAGAGCAAGAGCAGGCCAACAACAGCACCTGCAGCAAGGAAGAAGACTGCAGAGGGCAACTCAAAGAAAAACAGTACAGGTAAACAATCTCTGTGGTTTCTGTGTAGTCCCACGTACAAGAGAATACCAAACTGACTTACCTGGGTAGCATGCTTTCCAATACTGACACAAGCACACATAGGACTCAGTTCAGGACAGGTTATAGTAAAATCCTACATGGATGTAAGCCTCAGATTTAGTGGGATTTACTCCCAGAATTACAGCCTTAGTCAGTTAGGTTCAGTGGAAATCAGTATGCTTTCATCACCAACATTTCACATTGATCAGCTTTCTTTGGATTGAGGCCATGGCAATTCACAAATTAAAGACTAAATTATCACATCATGTGATATTCCAGTATCCCTGGATAGAGATTAAGTCCATATATACAAGAGGAGGATCAGGATTACAATGTCCCACCCATGCTCCCACCTGATCTTTGCACATTGCACACAGAGGCCAATGTACAGAGCTGATCTTTGTGACCCTGGCACCTTTATTTTGAGGTGTGCAGATCACATGGATTGTCTTATATGCACTGAGTTTAGGAATGTGGGTTGCTATGCAAACATTCAACATGCAATTGTCAGGAAGAGATAGGACAGGTATCCCAAAGGGGCTAGGTCCCACCAGTGTAATCCCAGTTCCTCCTCATGGATCCAGATTTAATATTTGCACAGGACTAGTGAATACATTTAAATATCCACATCTAAAATGACTTTGGGAATTACAAAAAAAGTTTGCTTCTTTTACTAGTTTAGTTTCCTGAAAAACAGATCAATCAAATTTGATGCATGCAAAACAAAAAACAAAAACACAGAACGAATCTCCCTCTTGAAACATCATACTCTTCAAAAAATATACAAAGCATAGGACAATCTAGAAAGGTAATAGTACAGTATAAGATTTCTGTTGTACATCCTAAAGATTTTACTGTATTATTAACAGGTATAGTTTTTCATTACGACTTATAATGGAGCTGTAGTAACACATACTATTTCTCTTCCTGTATTAAATACTTTAAGGAAGAGTGATTCAAATATACTTTAATTTCAAGAACTAAAGAACACTAAAGAAGGGTATATTGCAGGTTCAGGGCTCTTTACAAAATGACATAGTATCAGATCCCTAAAAGATCAAAGTTGTGGGTTTGTACTTTAATGAAGCAGTTCACAGAATTAGGGTTTCACAACAGTGGAGACAGGAACTCAAGATAACCATTTGCTATCAGTGCACCAACACACTTTTTTCAGGCTCAGTGTAGAACAACTAAAACAGTTAATGAGGCTACAATATACTAAAGGGAATGTCAGGACTTTCCTAAGTGGGACACAACCATGTGGCTGTTACCATCTGCCGTGTTCTTTAACCCACAACAGCGTATCGCACGCTTAGCAAAATAGTAGCTGCAGATGAGCATCAAGATCAATCTTGGGCAATTACAGAAAAGAGGCATACAGCAAAATGGACATGTTTGTTCTGTAAGTATGAATGTTTGGAATCGCCAAATAACCACTTTTCTAGATGTGAAATTAGGTTTAATAACATGGGCAAAACGGTAAATGCAAAGTATTACTACTTGAGTTATCATAATTTTCAGAAGGGCAGCTATGTTGGTCTGTTGCAGTAAAAAACAATGAAGAATGTTGTGATACCTTAACTTACTAATTATTGTGTATGTTTTTGTGGACCACAGTCCATAGTCAATTCATTATGTGTAAAAGTGTAACCCTTAATTGGCACACACATTGAAGATTACATTTTACACACCCTATGGTCTGTGACATAGTAGCAATTTCTTAACCAATTAACAAATATGTTCATATTTAAGGTGCTTTTGATTTATCGTAATTTCATCATAATGTGGAATAATATGGACCAAGACACATGGCAGAAGTATTCTTGGCATACATCATGTACTTTGGATGCTAATTACCTTTTAATGTGTGTCAGCTTTCTATTTCTGTGACTAAAAGTCAGGTTTTCACACTGCCATTGAGGTCACCAAATATGCCCAACCCCAAAAATGCCACCAAGATCAGGTTTAACTGATTCACATCAATCCTGGTATTAGGGGAAACAAATTTAGCAAGTGAAAAAAATTTCTGTCATCAAAATTAACTGAAGTTTGTTGACATAGCAGACAAAAAGCAATTCTGTATGCATCCATGCTTTATAGCCTGAAGTTTTTAATTTCTTAAAGAACACAGTAAACTATAATACATTCCTCTTCCATTTTACTTAAGCAACAATTGAAAGTATTTTACCCTAAAGACAAGTTTTCCCATGTATCCAGGGGGAACTTCTGAAACTTACATAGTCTAATAGCTTGCATGGTGTTTAAACTTAAAATAACTGAAGTGATTGCCCAGTATAGATGTACTGCGAATAAATGACGAACAAAATTTAATCCCTTACACTCAAAACTTCATTACATTGGATGTGCATTTGTTTTTTGCTTGTTTTTAATGGTGGTGTTATGCATGTGTGCTGTGTATGTATTCCCATGTGCCCTTCATTTCTCAAGTAGATGACAAGCTGATGGTCCTACCCCAAATCTGAGTGGAGACCCAGTCTTAAATCTTTTATGAATCATTGTAGACCTAGGTTTCTCTGACAGATGACTGAATCTGATTACTGCATCCCTTGCTACCTTCAGCCCCTTCTTCTCTACTCTTTGCTGCACTTTTCAACATCTGCTAGAAAAATGGAAGCAGAAACAGCAGTTGCAGCACAAGCTATAGAAAAAGGACAGCTTCCCCTTCGTCATTTTCATTTCTTCAGGCAGAAGAAAAGTTAAGACATACGGTGCACGTTTTAAACTTACACATCCAAGCTACTGAGGATGCACTCTACACAACGTCCAGAACAAATGCTGGGTCCCAACAAACTATCATTAACAGGACAAAATGGCTACTGGAGAGTTAGAAAACTGGGAATCCTACTTATAAATACAGTTGCACTCTGACTTCCTATCTAGAAGAATGTTTTCCCCTTTAGACAAAGCATGCAGAAATCAATTTTCTACAAGAGACATAATACAGTAACACAGGATACAAAATGCACTGCTACAGGGAAGCCTGAATCAAAAATAAAATGGAGGTTACCCAGAAGCATATAAAGATTACCCATTTCTGAAAGAACTGCTTCTGCTGAAAATATTTCATCCATAATAAATGGTTGTTCCAAAGACCAAAGGGATTTATGGTTTGTTTGTTTTTCCTTAATGGCAACAGCAGTATAGCATTTTGGGCAAACTGATACCTTCATTTCAAATTGCAGAATATCCTTCCTCCTTCTACATCTCTATTATACACTAGCTGTCTCCTTATTGTAGTCCTGTAATGTTAACATATTATTATTTATTAACATGAACGTAACAGCAATTCTCTGAGACATGAGTAGGCAGATTTCTACTGGTTAAAATAAATTTAATTTATTTTCAGCCCAACCAGTTTCTTTGTAGTGAGTCATCTAAATTAAAATGTAAATGCAATACAATGTTTCCTTCTGATAACACAGAAGCAGGATACATAAACTCTGAAATATTAAAACACAGCACACCATATTACACATAAAACTTGTTTTTCCATTTCAAGTTTATTAAAACTTTAGCAGTACAAATGATCCAGGCTGTGGATTATCAAAAGACCAAACAGAAGTCCACATTAAAAAAAAAAAATGTTCCCCAACATGTCTCTAGAACCTGGAGGCAGAATGGAAACATCAAGTTCATCAAATTATCCATGTCTGTCTTCATCAGTCCCAGCACTCGATTCATGATCAGATTTTTTATCTTTACCACGGGCACGATCTCGCTCCTGATTCTTAGATTTTTGGTTGACCTCTTTTTCTTTTGAGGACCGGGACCTGTCTTTTTCCTTTTCCTTACTCCTGCGTGAAGATGATCTTTTCGATTCTCTGTCCTTGCTGCTTCGTCTTTTCTTTGAATCAGGACTTCTATCCTGATCTCTACTGGATTTTTTGCTCTTATTGGTCTCTGAGCTACTACTGTCACGGCTTTTAGAACGCCTTCTTTTTTCAGCATCATCTTTTTTGTGAGAACTTCTATGCTCTTGATTCCTATGCCGATCCTTACTTCGACTTTTCTCCCTCTCAGAGCTCTGTGACTCCTTCCTCCTTTTGTTTTCTTTGCCTTTAGATCTTTCTGGTGTGCCTTTTCTGTCTCTACTTCTTGATCTTCCCCTTCTTTTTACTTCTCTATCTTTGTGTTTTGAATAATCTTTACTTCTGCTGCGGTCTCGTTCTTTACTTCGGGACCTGGCTCTTTTCCCTCTGTCTCTACTTTTGCTTCGCTCTCTGGTCTTACTATTTGAGCTGTGTTTGCTTTTAGATGGTTCACGTTCTCTGCTCTTTGACTCTGTATGCTTTTCCGTATCTTTACTTTTAGTATGATTCTGACCATTAGTTTTAGACCCTCCCCTTTTATTTTTCTCTTTACTTCTGCTCCTTTCTCTTCCTCGAAAATCATTGGATTTCTCTTTGTCTTTCTCTTTCTCATAGTCCCTCTCTTTGCTTCCTGATCTCACTTTCTTTTCTTCATGTTTGCTAAGTTTTGAGTCCCTCTCCTTACTTTTTGACACCTCTTTGCTTTTGCTCTGACTTTTGGATCGAGCCCTTTTTTTGGCTTTGCTTTTGTTATGCTTGTCTTTGTCCTCCTCAGAATTCCTCCTTGTCTCTCTGTCTTTACTACTAGATTTGTGGTCTTTTGATTTCTTTTCTTTTCCTTCCCTCCTATTTGGGCTCTCAGAAATTTGCCTGTGGTCAGATGCTTTCCTTTCTTTTCCTCTTCCTGGGCTTTTTTGATTTGCAGCATCCTTCTTGTTCTCGTTAACTTCACCCCTGGGGAAAACATACCATATATATATATATTTCTGCATTTTGTTATGAAAAGGTGAGAACTAGAAAGGTCAAAAGAGGAAATGCCATATCAGTGACTGAAGCTGAATCTGCATTACAATCACAATTATTCTTTATAGTTGTTTCACATATCTCTGCTGGCTACAAACTGAAGGAAATTCAAGGTGAAAAAGTAACTTATTGTAATTTGTGCATGTTCAAGTCATGCACGTCTGCTGACATGCATACCGTTTTCAGCAACAAAAGAGGGTGGGGCGGAATGGGCGGGCTTATACATGTCCCACTCACATGCCTTGGAACACAACCCCTGAATATATAAGGAGTTGCTTGTACTTAGTATATGCTCTATTGTATACACACTGAAACTGGAAAAGATGTATGTAAGAGTCAAAAAGTAATGCAAATTATATGACTACATCTTACTTATCTCCCTTTATCCATCTTTCTCCACTTGATATTCTCATTCTTTGAGCTCTTTGCATTTCTTGTCTCCAGTGTGGTGGAGTCTCACTGCGCCTAAAACGATCTCGTGACCTGGATCTTGAAGGTGTTCGGTAGCGCTTTGAAAACAGAAAAAGTTAGATAAAAAATGTGTACCAGTATGCTAAAAACACATTACTTTACCAAAAGGAAAAGAAAAGTTTAAGTTTAAAAGCAAAACAGTCACTCTGATAATTGCATAATTTTGGCTACATCAGGCTCCTATCATTCAATCCCAACAAGAGTTATGAGATTTTAAATGTTCTTAAGCCAGGCCAGGAGCAAATTTAGGCCTGTGCTTACAAGAATAGCTTATGCTATTCAGTGGAACAGATCTCCTGTTAGCCACATAGGTGCAAATAACCTCAGAAAATGAATACTGCATAGAGAGGAGCAAAGGAATGCAAGAGTAATTCATTCAGATAAAAGAAAGCAGAGAAACCCCTAAGTAATATATTTAAGTCAAAACTGACAAAAGACACTGTGCTCTATGTGTCTAAGACCTGCTCGTCTTAAAATGCTGTTGAGCTGGTGGGCAGCTTACTGGAATTCAAAACAAAAGCTTGCAAAAACTCGCTCTTTCATTAAATAACTAGTAGCAGCATTCAGGGTTGGTGGACTCTTGTGTCTGTGGGAGACATAGTGATAGATACACTACACAGCTCTGCCATTCATCCCCAAAATGCTTCTCTCCAAAACCTCTTCAGTGTATCCATAAAAAAGGAACAATTACTCTTAAATGTTGTTATGGAACAAGATCACTGTATTACAGGGTAAAAACTGTCAAAATGCACAGAATAAATCACAAGAAAGGACATACCCGTGGTCCTCTTCCTTTAATTTTTCGTCCAGATCTAGTCACTAACAACCTTCTCTGATATGTTGATTGACAGTTTGATGGGTTACTAGAAAGGAGGAAAAAGACATCACTGTAGTTCCGGGATGGTTCTAAAGATGACTCTAGTGCATGCTCTAGTTATCTCCTGCTTGGACTACTGCAATGCGCTCTACGTGAGGTTACCTTTGAAGGTGACTCGGAAACTGCAATTAATCCAGAATGTGGCAGCTAGACTGATGAGTGGGAATGGCTGCCGAGACCATTTAACACCAGTCCTGAAATATCTTCACTGGCTCCCAGTATGTTTCTGAGCCCAATTCAAAGTGTTGGTGTTAACCTTTAAAGCCCTAAACGGCCTTGGTCCTGTATACCTGAAGGAGCGTCTCCACCCCCATCATCTAGCCCGGACACTGAGGTCCAGCACCGAGGGCCTTCTGGCGGTTCCCTCACTGCGAGAAGTGAGGTTACAGGGAACCAGGCAGAGGGCCTTCTCGGTAGTGGCGCCTGCCCTGTGGAATGCCCTCCCAGCAGATGTCAAGGCAATAAAAAACTATTTTACTTTTAAAAGACAACTAAAGGCAGCCCTGTTTAGGGAAGTATTGTTTTTAATATTCGATTGGAAGCCACCCAAAGTGGCTGGGGAAACCCAGCCAGATGGGCGGGGCATAAATAAATAAATAAATAATTCATTTCTTCTATTATTATGTATTTCTGAAGCTCTATCAAACTGTACGTTTCCACAAACAGTCTGCTAAATATTCACTTCATGGCAAAAGATTCAAAAGCACAACTGTGAGGATTAAAAAGACAGTGGGTAAAAGCCAACTGTGATCATCTACCAATTGAAGAGACACGATGTAACAGATTACTCTTCCTGCACCACCCAAATTTTCTTTAGAGGGTTGGGGTGGGGAGAGGAACAGGAAGTCTGCTTGCATGATATAGGACAACCTTACCAAAAATTGATTTCAAAACACCTCCATCCTAAGGAAATCTCACTGAAATCATTGGCGGTAGGCCTGAGAAGATTACTGTCTTTTTTTCTTGCAAAATTCATTTAATAGATCCCATTGCAGTTAAGCATGTGTAAAAGTGCCAGCACATAGTAAATAACCAAAGTCAACATCAAGGTAATTCACATGGACCACAGCTTGGGGCTTACTCATAAGTCTGCAGTTATGATCAAGTACAACTTTACCTCTCCCTTTCCTTCTCTCTGCTCTTGGTCTCTTTTTCCTTTTCATCCACTTTAGGAGGACTTTTTCTCATAAGGAATCTGTTTTCTGGTACAGGAGGAATCTCTTCAGGACGGACTGTGGAAAGTGGCTGTGATTCAGGATTTTCTGTTTCACTTTCACTGGCTGAGCTTCATTGATAAGAGAACAAAAGTTATATGCATCTGTTTTAAATGTTACATATGTTTCTTTTGCAATTCGCATATGCCAAAACAGGAACTTCAAATGCACTATTTTTAAGAAACTATTGTTGAAGATGAAACAAAGGTATTTAATATTTTAATATGTGTTCTGCCAAAATAAAATAAAGTTGAGACTTCAAAGGCAAAAATCTATTTGCACTGGGTTTATATTCAAAATATATCCCTTCTTTAAGCTAAATCCTTTCCCCAAATACCTGTAGTAAAAAAAAGAAAAGGAAATGTCACTGTCATGAGGCTGACTCTGTGGCAGCACCTCACCCATCTAGCTTAGGTTGAACCTAAGCTAGTAACTACAGTAGGGGGAGGGAACCTCTGGCCTGCAGGCCAAGCCTGGCCCCCCAGGAGGTTGGCCCATAAAGCTAGCTTCCCCAAACTATGTCCACCTATCCATCAGCTGACATGAATAGATTCTGTCAGGTGATGGGTAGGATTCAATCCTGCAGGGATCTGCTTTGCAAACATGTTCTCTGTGCTCCCAGAGCATACCCCTGCAGCCAGCAAGACTGTACTCTCTGTTCATCAGTCGTTCCCTACAAGCCCTTTTGTAAACAGTCCTGTCCTGCTTTAAATCTCAAAAAATCGGAGGTATAAATAGCAGTGTGGGGTTGTTTGCAAAAGGGCTTTCAAACAGCCTCATGCTGCTCTTTGAATCAGGGCTTCATAGCACAACACCATCTATACTGAAAGAAGCAGACTAAAGGCTTGTTTTATTGTATTTTTAATATTTTATTGGAAGCCACCCAGAGTGGCTGGGGAAACCCAGCCAGATGGGCGGGGTATAAATAATAAATTATTATTATTAAAAATGTGGTGTAGAGATAAGAATCTGGCATGCCAGATAGAAAAAATACCCCACCACCAAAGGAAAAAAACTGCTTACAGAGGGAAAAGATTATTGTTGCCTGGAAATACTTAATTCTGTAGCAATGATAAAACTAAGGGAACATGGATATTAGTGCCTGGATTAGAGAGCACATGAACTGTAGGCAAGATAGGCTCTGAGCTTTCTAAAGGAAGTGCTGGATAAAAGTGTAAGTATTTCTGACAGGACTATATAAACAATAAAAAGTTAAGTCCTTCACAAGAGTAAACGAACAAAATAAAACATCCTGGTTGCCTGTTGTTTGAGATCCAATGTTGTGTCAACAAACATAGTATGGGGTGAGCTAATGTTGGGCAGATTTGTTCCACTGTAAAAAAAATAAAAAACCCATTAAAACTAAATATTTCAGATTTCATTCTAAACTCCACCTGTACAGACATGCAAGAATTTTTATTTTGATGGAGAGCATGTTGGAGATTAACGAAAAACTATATTATTTTTGTAAGACATGAAAATGACATGGAAGAATGCACTACTGATTCTTCTGAGCCATTTTCATCTAACTGTAGCACAGGAAGGTAGGTGTTGTTTTTTCAAGTTTCAAAAATAAATCTCTCCCCGCAGCCTGCCTGCATGTACCTCTTCTTGCTCTTCTTTTTCTTCTTCTTCTCTTTCTTATGTTTCTTGGAATTTTTTGTGTGCTTCTTTTTCTTTTTCTTTGTTTTCCCCCCAGAAGCACTTTCAGAATCTGATGATGAATCAGAAGATGATTTTGAATCACTTGAACTTTCAGAATCGCTGGATGAGGATGATGACTTGCGTCTTTTCTTCTCTTCTTTCTTGGCTTTAAATTAAAACAATTAGACAAGCAGTTACCAAACAAAACCTTCAAAAGCTTAGGAGAACAGGTATGTTTTCACTGTGGGTTAGAATTCCATTTATGTTGTGGCCACCCACACATCCAGTAGGAAGGAATGCTGCAGCTGGGGTACCATTATCAAGAAGGGACAATCCCATGTTGTTACAGAATGAGCTACACTCGCCAGTGGCACAGTGAGAAGACTCTCCCCAACTTTATTCAGGAAACATTTTTTGGTCTTTGTTCTTGGTCTTCCCTGGGGTCACCAAGCAAGAGGCCCGCTAAAGCATGGAAGCTGGGTTAGGAGCAGGAACTCACTCAGCTCACAATGAAACAATTATCACAGCAGAAAAAGAGGGAGGTATCTGAATGCTTGGAGGAACGCCTCTAATTCTGCTGAGTAAACAAACCAGCCAAATGAGGGCTAAGCATACTCAGGAGCCATGGTTGGAAAAGCAGGGGAAAGAGAATAGAAGTGGCTGGATATATTGAAAGAAGCAGGCTGAAGGCTTCAAAATGTCGTCTATCAGCCTGAAAGCGTCAGAAGTGACTTGCTAAGAGTGGGAAAGGAGCACCGTAGGGGAAGGGGGAGGATAGAGGAATTGAAGCAAGAGACGACTGAGGAAGAACACATATATAAGGAAGGCACAAATAACCATTCCATTGTTTGGATAGGTGATTTCAAGGCTCATATTTCCTGATACACATAAATCTCTGCAGGCAGGGATGGAAGAGAGTTGGCCATAGAAAACCAAACTTCTAATCTGTAATGGAGCTAGGCAAGAGAACAAGTGGTGAAAAGCCAATGATGGAGAAGTGAGAGCCAAGTGAGAGGCATGGAGGAAGGAAGAAGACAACAAGGAAGATCTCCTAAGAAAACCCTCTAATTCTCAAGAGGAAATCAGAGCTATAATCCCCTGGGAAGGCATTTTTTCCTTCATGGTGGGACAAATTTTGTTGCAGGTGCCATTTGCTCCCTCCAACAGCAAAATAGGTACCTATCAGTTTTGAAGCAAACCAGAGCTGCACACAGATGTTAGTGGCTTCTACATACAGAAGGGGCTCTGTAGGTGTTCAGAAATATATAGTTAGCAAATTGAAATAAAAAGCAAAGAAAAAAGCTCCCAAGATGTTCAGTGATCTCCAGGAGTTGCAGAATTCCAAATGCTTGGGAAAGGGGGGGGGGTGTTTCACCTCCTTTAGTTTTTACAACCTAAGCATTGTGAAAGAGGGCATAACTTGTTATATGCAGCTCTGATGAAGAACACACATCTTTGGGCATGGAGGCCGACTGCAACATTTTGCTTCAAGCTCCACTTGTTATTTATTTAATATACTCTTTGTTACTGCTACTGCAATGACAACAATTTACAGAACCAAGATTCCCAGTTACCAATCTTCTGAGTTAGATCTGACATACCTCTTACAAAACTAGAAAAGAGACAACCTTTAAAAACATTTTAAATAAAAGAGACAACCTTTAAAAACATTTCACTCTTACCTTTGGATTTTTGGATTAGTTCGCCACAACTTAGTATTCGTACTTCAGCATAAGGTTTACTAGATGCATCTGTTTTCTGGTTTTCTATTTCTCTTACAACATCTTGACCCGAGATTACTTGTCCAAACACAACATGAAGCCTAAATGATTAAAGCTTAATTTTAAAAGCTGACTAATATCTATGTCACACTGAAATTTTTAAGTAGCTATCCAATTAACTTTTCCAAATGCAAGTAAGATACAAGGGCACTTACCCATCAAGATGAGGGGTAGGTTTGGTTGTTCTTTTGATTACATCAAGGGAAAGAATGACAAAATATAGTATTAGTATTACGGAGATAAACTTGTTGTATTAAGCCATAAATGAGAAGATATAAGCAGATTCAGGAGGCATTAAACTGTAGTTCAAATATCAATGCATTACGAAGTTGCAAACTTTAATAGTATCTTAAATTTGAAGAATTGTTACAAATGTATGCGGGTTACAGTATTTAATCCCCCTCACCTCATGTTTCGGCCAATTCTCACTACAGTGGTACCTTGGTTTACAAACAGCCTAGTATATGAGCATTTTGGATTACGACCAATTACAACCTGGAAATGAGTACTCCGGGTTGCGGGGTTTTTTTGGTTTTTTTTGTTATACAACGGGCCCTGGCTGCAGGAGGCCTTCGTATGTGCCACCTGCGCTGCCCGGATTGGGCCCCCTGCCTCCCTAAGCGGTGCCACACTGCTGGGCTAGGCCTCGCCACCGCTGCCTGGATTGGGCCTCCGCCTTTTTTCCTTCCGCATCTTTCCTTTCGCCATTCATCTGAGCCCCCCCGATTGCAATTTAAGCCTTTCCCCTCCTGCTTCTGTCCTTGCGCCTCTCATCTGAGTCCCCCCCATCATAATTAAGTCCTTTTTCTTCCTGCGTCTGTCCTTTCGCCGTTTATCTGAGTTCCCCCATCATAATTAGGCCTTTTCCCTGCCCCCTTCTGCCCTTGCGCCGCTCATCTGAGCCCCCCCCCCCCCCCCCGTAATTAAAGCCTTCCGTTTCTGATTGCAGTTTTCTGAGGTGATATTTGGTGCTTTTGTTTTTGCTATTTTTTGTGTTTTTGTTTGTGTGGCTTTTTCATTTATGTTTCTGTGGACTGTTTTTCGCTTATGATTGAGTGCAGAAAGCCTCCCATCCAAACAATGACTATCATTAGTGCAGGTAAGAAAAAAAGTAATTTTCATTTTTATCATCTACAATACTGTTTTATTTATTTCCTAGTACAGTACATTGATTATTGCTTTCATTTTATGGATCAATAGTCTCGATAGATAGTAAAATTCATGCGAAATTTCTGTTTTAGGGGTTGCTTGTCATCGTTGGATCAATCCATTTTCCATTACTTTCTATGGGAAAGCACGCCTTGGTTTAAGTCCGCTTTGGTTTAAGACCAGACTTCCAGAATGGATTAAGGTTGTAAACCAAGGTACCACTGTAGTATGATACCAGAGATGGGAACACTGAGGTTTTATTACAAACGAGCAGTATATAAATGTTGTGAAATAAAAAAAAAAATGTTTTATGCAGATGCTCCTGCATAAAAACAAATGCCCTCACATACAAAATTATTTGTCAGGAAAATAGCTAACTAGAACCCTTTTGTCTATCATCTAGTTTTCTTTTTGAAGGGAATATTTTGCAAGGAGAAACATCCAGTGATGTGAGCCCTCACTTGTAGTCAGAAGTGATAGTTTACACACAAGATCATCACCTTGCTGAAAATTTAGCCTCCTCCCACCAAAAAAAAACAACAAAAAAAACCCGAGAAGACATGCTGCCAACCTTCAGAAGTATGATCCTCCTGGTGCGTTGTTGAAATTATACCCCTAATACATAAATTTTATTTATGATCAAGCAAATGAATGTTTTGAGTATACATTTATTTCAGAAAAGGTAACTTAGTTTATAAGAACTATACTAATAAGTCAACGTTTATAACTATTCCTCTAAAAGCAAGTAACTGACCAACTAAGGTGGCACAGAAAAAGGGTGACAAGGCAAAAAGGAAAAACAAGGAACTGCAGGCAGGCAGAGGAGGGCAGAGAAAGATAACATTTCTGAAGGTACAGTCCCCAATATGTTACCCTACCTACAACTCCATTTAACTGAATCTGGTAAACCCAAGGTTGACTCTGATTGAAGTTTATTGAAGAAAAAAATATTTAATATTTTCATTGCAAAGACTTGTCTCTTTCTGCTGTCTGAGCAATTCTGTGCAGAAACTATTTCACTCCTGGAATGAGGAGCGTGTAGGGCTCAAGTCTGCACCCTTCCTTCCTCCACACTAAGGGCATACACTGATGAGTAAACCAGGGATATGCTACCTACTATCCACACATAGACGCAGAGAATAGAACATACAAATCACAAGCCTGTTTCTTATTTAACCACATACAGCACCTTGGTGTTAAGAGTAGCATCTGAACTGGCCCTTTATATTACTCTTCAGTAAGGCTTGGTGTAACTAAAACATAGCTTGCTCTGACAGATTTTTAAATCTCATGCTAAACGAACACTACCACTTACAGCCTACTTATATTCTGCAATGGTCACTGGCTACATACAGAAGTCTTGACTATAAACTCATGTTCAGCTTTTCATCAAGAAAACACACAGCAGAGTACATTCCGACTGCCAATAGTCTACCATCCAGGCAATGATTAGGCCCATACCTCATAGCTTCTATACTGGTAAAGTACCAGGTGTTCCCATATGTTAGGAGATAGTGATAACTACTCCCAAGTTAATCCAAGTTAAACACAGCAGGGTTAAATAGTCAAACTTATCCCATATAATCTTTTATTTGCTATCTCCAATAAACATGTAAGAGCAAGTTAAGTTTGATATCTTTTAAAAGTAGTCATGCTTTCTAAATGGAAAAGGAGTTAGCTGTTTCACCTGTTCCAAGCTCTAAAATGTAAACTGTAAGGACCACCATCCCAATGCTGAAGAAACACAGTGGAGCTGCATGATACTTACATAAAAAACTGTGAACCATTTGTATCTTTCCCTCTGTTGGCCATTGAAAGGAGAAATTCTTTGTTGTGCTTTACAGCAAAGCTTTCATCTAGAGAAAGCGTTCCAATTACTTCAAAATTCCAAGTATGACCTTGCATTGGCATTTCTTTAGAATTTCAAATTAGGATTGTCAAACTGCACAAATGTATCATTGTAGTGCCAAACAGCATTCAAATAGATAAAAATAAAGACAGAGGTATACAGTATAATTCTCAGTCTAATGCACAAAAATGTAAATACTATTTACATATAGACTCAACTATATGTCAAGTCAAGACCATTATATAAGATATAAATGTATAAGTGAAACTGTCTCTTGATATTCAGTACAGCTGCTTAGTAAGACCAGTGCATTTTAAATTCATTCCAGTTAGCACAAGCACACCAGTGTGTTTTTGTGCAAAGGAGCTCACTGCATGTCATTTATAAAAGTGTAGAAAGTGACAGAAATAATGTGGGGAAAGAAAGCTTGTAATAAACAGACAAAAACAAACTTAAAAGCACCTATGTACAAGGTGGGCAATTTTGAAATTTAAAACTAAACGTAACAGAAATTCTATTTATTTGTGCAAATGCAGTCTTGTGCAATAGACTTGCTTGTAACAGCTCTGAACCATAATAGCTTGATCGTCATGAAAACTTGAAATAAAAGTATTTTAATTGTCATCACACAATTCAAGTTTTCTAAATCATAAACTGAACTGGTTGGCCAGTAAGCATCAACAAACAGCTACCTCGCAAAGGCAAAGTGTAAGACCCCATTCACTAGCCTACTTGGGCCAACTGCTACTTAGCGTTAATCTCTCAGCCAGACTGTCCAGTCATCTTAAAGATCAGACTGATGACTGGGATGATGTTCTATTTTCTCTCAGGATAATGAAGTGTAAGTAAGATTGAATGGAGGGTTGTTTTGGTTGGTCACCATCAATGAGATGGTGAAGGGTGGGTAAAGGGGAAGAGAAGTTAGATGAATATGAGATACAGAGTTATCAAGCTTCTTAATAAGAGAACTACCACCTCAATAGAAAAAAGAGGAGATCCATTGGGTAGAAGAGGAGATGTAAGACAGGGAATTGTAATAATTATAATTCCTGAAAATTTTACAACAGCACTCTGAATCCCTAGGATAGGGCACTCTATGACCTGTAATAAATAAATTTGCCAGCAGTTTTGGGGCCAAAAAATGCAGTTTGCCTAATATACATATTCTTAAACCAATGACTGTGACTGGGAGTTGCAGGCTAACCTGATAAAAGACTATGCTTACCTTCAAAAAAGCCACCATAAATTGATTCTCCTCCTCTCCCATTTCCTTGTATTAAAAGAAAAATGTTATTACAAATGAGAATGGGACAATGGGATCTTACCATTAGGGATTCTTTACTGATGAGTGATTGGAGCCAGTCAAAGAGGGTTACATCATATCCTACTAGCTGAGACAGGAAAACTCTATTGCATATCTGCATGCTATCTCCTCCCATTTCAAGAGTGCCTCGAGTTTCCTTTAAATTTAATAACAACAACATCAACTACCTGACCTACAAGAACCATCAGGTTCCAGGGTGGGTTATAACCATGTAAAATTCAGAATTAAGAACAGTTGAAACAGATTCATCACAGGTATAGGGTAGGTCTGTGACTGGCTCCAGAGCCCATCAGAAAAATAACAATTGTGTATCATATAAATTCAAAGTTAAAGCTATCACAGAAAAAAATCTTACTAAAGGGAACCTAAATTTTGATGGAGCTACACAAATCTTAAGACAGACTTTCATGAAGCAGAATGAGGCTATTCCACATTTTCTTTATATTTCTGTTAGTAAATCTAATTGTTTCTAAGAAAATGAATGGGCATTATTATTTTAGTCATGTTCATTATAAAAGCGCTTGGCTTCAAGAAATTACGAAAATGCATTCTTGAAACACATTTCCATTTAATAGTCCTGTCAGATGCCTCATGTGCATCTCACCGAGAGCCACAGCTGATCTTAAAACCATGACTTATTCGTGAATGTGGCCCTCTTGTGGCTTCTTCCTCCCCACACCCAACCTCTGTATGACATCCACATAAATCAAACGAGTCATGCTAAGTATTGCTGTGTCATCTGAATATAGACTGTGGTTTGTCTGAAAGACACAAACCACAGCCTGGACAAAACATTGGGGGGGGGCATGTAAGAGGCCATGTGCCAGCAGGGGAGATGGGACACGTTTACCATTAAATCATGGCTGAATACAAGCTAAGTGACATGCAAACCAGAGTATTCTATCCTGACAGAGAAGCTGCAATATCAAGTGAGGAGGAGCAAGAGAGCATGACCATTCAAATAATAACTTCACACACATTTGTATACTCGGCAAACTACTATTTGATATCATTTAGCCAATGTCATACCTTCACTGAAGTCACCTCCTTGGATCATAAAATCTTTTACAACTCTGTGAAACAAACAACTCTTGTAATGTAATGGCTTCTGAGTTGATTTTCCTGTACCTTTTTCACCTGCAAGGGGGGGAGGAGGAAAGTTAACCCATTAGCTTTTAATGGAGAACCCCTCAGGTACAACAGAAGTACAACTGGAAATCAGCTCTTGATCTATCTGACTTGGACATTCTACTTGTTGAAGCCTATAAAAGAAAAAAAAAGTTGCAATATAGTACCAACAGAAAGGAACCCCCTTATTTACTACATTTAACTCAAATCATAAGAACACTGAAAATAAATACTATGGGTTGCATCCAAAGTAGCACTATGTCATGGTCCTGTCAGCATAAGGATGTCTGCTTTTGCAACAGGACTTCCACCTGCTCCTCACAAGCTTTAATGACTGTGCAATGAGGGGAATTGCAGTAGGTACTTTTTTGCATCCTTGCATTAACCACACCTGACAAAATCCCCTCTTCTATGCAATTGCTGAAGCTATAGGAGCCCTGTCCATTCTGTATCTGGTGGTACCGGTGGTACCTTGAGTATGATCCACTTGTGTGTCCAATGCAGCAGTTCAAACCCCCAAAGGCAGAAAACAGTCTTCAATTCCAACTTCACCATCCTCATCAATGTACTATGTCAAGCTGTGTTACTTTACACTCAAGTTCGTGTATGTCAAGAGTCAATAAATCATCAAGTGAAGAGTGACACATATAAGCCCTGCCCTTCTTTAGGCTTGGAAGAATGCAGCAATTCTCCCTATCCTGGCACTAAGCTTGAGAAGCACTTAGAAAGCAATGGGAAGTTTCACTCGTTTTTCAGTGCCTCCAAAGCTTACTGCATGATTAAGGAAGAGCCAAGTCGGTAGCGATCATAAATTTGGGCTGCCAAAATTTGTAGAACTATGATGGATTAATTAATTCTGCATATATGAATTTATACCAAAATATAGAAAATTGTGTATGAAAATGTATCTTCATTTTCAGTACACAAAGAGACGAACATCAAAGTCATTCATTTCATTACCAGGATTTTCTTGGTATACCATTTGGAGGAACCAGGAACAATTCAATTTGGACTACATAACAAATTATTCAAGTGAGGAAATATACAAACCTGTACAAAGGCAGCGAAAGTTCTCACATGTCTTTGGGCAAACATCTGAAAACAGCTCAAAGACAACTCTGCCAGCTAAAAGAAAAAGAATGAATCAATGAATGAATAAATAAGTCATCAATAAAGTAATGTCATTGTGCTTAAGACACACTTGTTTCAACTGGACATAGCTGTGTGTTATAGGGTTTAGGCCAGAAGCCTCTCTCTTACCAGGTGTGTTGTTGATGGCTATGTCAAAAAAGCAACGAGGTCTCTGGCTTTTCACTCCCATGGCTTCAAATTTTGAAAACTGTTAACAAAGAAGCAAGTTCTATTAAATTTGAAGACTTTTAAAATGAAAACTTCAAATATGAAACTCTAACGAACAATAAAAAATAGGGAAGAAAGTAGTCGCCCCCCCCCCTTTTCCATGTAGAGATAAAGCTATGCAAACAATGACAGTGATGAACACAAGTATATGGACTGTGATTGCTCTCAAGGACTTTGGAATGGTAGGCTACTGAGTATGGCAGACATGACAACACAGGGCAAGCTGAAACCAAGTGGCTCTCAACTCCAAAGTTCATACCATGTTGGGGATAAATTACAAGTAGAAGGATGAAGGAAAAGGGTAGGGATGGGGCAGCAAATAAACACTTGGTGCCTCCTTGTCTCCTCCAAGTCATTCTTAGCTACTTATTCCAGAAATGTATCCCTCTCCACCCAGCCAGCACCAATGAGATCAGAAACACTGCATGGCAGATATTCTAATAGATGGAGACAAGATGAGAGAGAGTAGCCTTACGTTTCTAGCAATTTGTTTTTCCGTTAAATTTTTCCAATAACCTGAACTGACTGGGATCTGAGTTACTATGTTTGTATGTTTATTTAGTAAACAGAAAGTATGTTTATTTAGTAAACAGAAAGTAAACCATCTTAAGTTTTACATGCTGTATAAATATCCCAATGTTTTCTGGTTTATTGGAAATGTTAAAGTGCTTTATTATATGTATCAACATCTGAAAAATTGCAATATTGAAAATGCCCAATTTGGCTGTCCTTTATCATATGCCGTATTTTTCGCTCTATAAGACGCAGCAGACCACAAGACGCACCTAGTTTTTGGAGGAGAAAAAAAATATTCTGAATCTCAGAAGCCAGAACAGCAAGAGGGATCACTGCGCAGTGAAAGTAGCAATCCCTCTTGCTGTTCTGGCTTCTGGGATAGCTGCACAGCCTGCATTCGCTCCATGAGACGCACACACATTTCCCCTTACTTTTTAGGAGGGAAAAAGTGAGTATTATAGAGCAAAAAATACGGTAATTACTGTTATGAAACAATGCACTTTTATAAATAGGGGATAGTTTTTAAATGAATATAACATCTGACACTTCTACCCCACATCATTATCAGTACAACCCGAGTCTACACCCAATGTGAACAGCTGCACCTTCAAAGCACTGGAGCAACTACGAAGTTTTAACTATAATTATTAAACTAGTGATAGATGCTAATAAATGCAGTGGCCAGGCCAGCCTCATAGCCCGTGATCTCCCCTAATTTGGTCTTCCCTCCTTTCTCTTGCCTGCGTTCATAGCTCTCAAGAGTTGACACAATTATGCAAAGCAAAGGAGGTGCAGGAGGAAGAAGGCATTAGGATCTAGGATTCAGAATCCAGCCACGAAGACTGAGACCCTACCAAACTTCCTAGCTTGCCTATGCTATTTGGAAGGGTCCATCCCTGCAAAGGTGGGTCTAGCATAGGCTTCATACTGCAGACTCACAGTAATGTTCAGAAAGTTATTTACTACTTAAGTATAATGCAAAAGGGAAACTGATAATGGAACATAAAACAATATAACATATTATGATGGTGTCAGCCATCTTATTAAAAAGTATTAAGCATGAAGACCTTACTTAAATTAAGGTCTATAAAACTATGGGCTGGTTCAGATGTCAATGGTTCTAGTCCTACAAATTATACGTTTTTCTGGAACAGGAACAAGCAACAGGCTTGAGTGCTCCTTTCCCCTCATTTAACTGATGTTAGAGAGCACATCCTGATTTACAAACCCAGTTTCTCAGGACACTTAAATATGAAAAGACCAAAGATTACCTGCCCAATATAGGTGTCATGCCCCTCCTTTAACTTTTTTTATGTCACAATATGGCATGACAAGCTCTATTTGGCATGGTATTATTTGCCAAAATATCTGAGGGCAGCAGAACACAGAAGCTAAGGAATTTCCAGCGTGGACAGGTAACTTGATACTGGCTGAACATTGATGCTTATATGTCCTTTGGAAAATGCAAAACAGGAAAATTTAGGTTTTTAAAAGCAGATTACGGGAATTCGAAATACAAACTAGCTACAGACCACAAACACAAATTTACCCTTCTTACATTTTATTTTTTCATTAGTCCGATCATCAATTCACACTTCCTGAGATTTTTACTCTTTCAAGTTATAATGCAAGGAAACCAGAAATTAGGAGAAAATTTGGTCTTGACACCTTGTTAGAAGCATCTAAGAGTATACCAGCCACTTTCCACTACTAAAATGCACGACAGAGATGGTCCTGAGGGTGGCAACACAAGCATGGGCCTTTTCTGCAGTGGCTCCCCATTTCTGGAATGCTCTCCCCAGGAACATTCAGCTGACACCTTCATTATACACCTATAGGCATCAGGCAAAAACATTCCTCTTTAACCAGGCCTTTGGCTGACTGATCTCCAATGCCCTTTTAAATGTGTTGTCGAAGGGGGGATTATTGGTTTGTTTCTGTTCTTATTTTTATTATGTATTTTGTGTTTCTTATATTGTAATTTTATGTTGTGAACTGCCAAGAACTACGCTTATAGGGCAGTATACAAATTTAATACACAGGACAAATAATACAAGGGTTGCCAGAATAAGGAATGTGGCAGTCTCCTAAGAATTACAGTGGTACCTCGGGTTACAGACACCTCAGGTTACAGACTCCGCTAACCCAGAAATAGTACCTCAGGTTAAGAACTTTGCTTCAGGAGAAGAACAGAAATCGTGCGACAGCAGCGGGAGGCCTCATTAGCTAAAATGGTGCTTCAGGTTATGAACAGTTTCAGGTAAGAACGGACCTCCAGAACGAATTAAGTTCTTAATCCGAGGTACCACTGTATATTACTGCCAGAGTGCAGTGGTTCATGCCATCTACATGCCTTGTTCCTCTTTCTCTCACTTCCTAGGCCTGATCACATGGCAGTTGCACAATGCCAACTTTGCAGGCTCTCCACTTTATCTCAGAATTACAACCACTTTTTCTGCTTTGGTGTGTATACAACTAGCATTAGAAAAATCACCGCTCACACTGCCTTACTAAGCCCTAGTAGCATAGTACCCTCCAAGTTCCTCCAAGACATAGGGAAAACTGTGATCATTCTTTAACAATAATTTCTAGACAATTACAGTTAACTACATGATCTCTTCGGGATGCGGGTGGCGCTGTGGGTTAAACCACAGAGCCTAGGACTTGCCGATCAGAAGGTCGGCGGTTCGAATCCCCGCAACGGGGTGAGCTCCCGTTGCTCAGACCCTGCTCCTGCCAACCTAGCAGTTCGAAAGCATGTCAAAGTGCAAGTAGATAAATAGGCATTTCCGTGCGCTGCTCTGGTTCGCCATAAGCGGCTGTCATGCTGGCCACATGACCCGGAAGCTGTACGCCGGCTCCCTCGGACAATAAATTGAGATGAGCGCCGCAACCCCAGAGTCGGCCACGACTGGACCGAATGGTCAGGGGTCCCTTTACCTTACATGATCTCTTGCAGATAATAAACAGCAAACCCTTAAGATACAAGCATTCTCTGAAAACACTACTCACATGTTGTTGCTTTTTAAAGGATTCATGTTCAAATTTAGATTTCTCTAAAACCCTTGAACCTAGGAGCCCTCTCCATGAAATACACAAATATTGTATTAAGGAAATCCAAGGTCTAGAATAAATTTTGCAACTGACATTTTCAGACAATTTACCTGATATACACAACTGAATCCAACTGCCATATTGAAATTTCTATTTTGTAAATTGTGGTACTGAGCAGACAAGGGGCAGTATAAGGTAATGAGGGGAGGACAGAGAAGTGTGTAGAACACTCATCTTTCTTGCTCTCTGATTACCAAAGGATTGATTAGAGTCAAATGATTAGATACATTTTCAAAATTTATCCCTTAGCCAGGAGTGCTAGAAAGTTTGCTCCTTTGAAACTGAAAGCCATGGACTGCCTTTCATACAGTGAGTTATTGTTTTATGAGACTATTATATGGAAGATGTTATGACTTTGCTATTAGGGATTGTTGTCTCAATGTTTCATGGTAGATAAGGAAACAAATACGAACCAATGCCCCTTGGTAGTTGATTGTTCACTGTGGGAAACCAAACGCACCAATCTCATAATAGCTGTAATTTATTATTCATGTTTGCATATTCATGTTTGAATAAATGGATCCAACATGCTGAGAAGTCAGATTCTGCAAGGGATTCCAGATGTTCTCAATGTTCTTCACAATAAAGAAAAGCAGTCATGACTATGAGTTCCCCATACTAACCTAAGCATTGCTAGCAACTTTGCAAAGAGTGACAGATGGAAGGAACTTAGACGAAAGGCTAAGAACCATTTGAAAGCACAAGGCAGATGTTCCTTCAACAAACTGTTTTGTCTTTCGAACTCTAAGAGGCCTGTAGGATGATCAGCAGCAAGGAGTTGCAGCATGTGACACTCCGCCCTTTCCCTAGAGGTGAAATGCAAAACTGTATCAAGGCAGAGTTGTAGATAGAACAATCCAAGCCCCTCTGTGCTGAGTGGTGGTGGTGGGGAGGTTTGGACTGGGCAGAGGTGCCCCTCTGTCAGCCTCCTGCTGGCCACCAGAGGCATGGAGCTCCCCCTTTGTCCACCAAGTGTGCAGTGCCACTGACAGCAGGTGGAAAGCCCTGAAACAGCAACTAGAGGAAAGTCCCACACTGAGACCAATCACTGCACCAGCTCTAATCTGGCCCAGAAATCCCACAACCCACCTTGTGCCCTGGTCATTGTAGTTGTCGGGCTGTACATTTAGCACAGAGCTTTCCAAAGTGTGTGTCACAACATGTTAGCGTGTTGGCTGCAGTGTGTCGCGTGAACGAACCCTGTGCTCCTCCAGGGGCTAGAAAGGGGTTTGTTTAACCTCTGGTTTGCTAGTAAAATTGAATTACTGTCGCAAAATTATGCATGCCTAAAAAGTGTGTCACCAACATGGAAAGCTCTGATTTAGCAGAAGCCTCACCACTCCATAAATCCTGTTGGGCTGGGGAGAGGAGTTTGGATTATAAGTCGCACCATCTCACAGCATGGACTTCAGTTGTGCCACACCTGCCAATAAGCTCATAGAAAAGAGTATGGGGAAAGGAAAGTATTCATTCAAAATCTACATCACAGAAGGATCTGGTCTGTTTAGCAGACTACTGTGTTTACAGAAGTGTGGCCTGCACTCTATGTGGAAGATTCTTTCCCTAGCAAACATGGCTTGGATAGGTAAGTTTGTAAACAATGGATTCCCCACAGGTCAGTCACCATTTTTTATATATATATATATATATATATATGTGTGTGTGTGTGTGTGTGTGTGTGTGTGTGTGTATCAATGTAACACAATAAACAAATAGTTGCTCAAACACAAGAGCAGGAAATCACAGATAAGTTACAGTATAATTGTTTAAAAACAAAAATATCATGATAACCAAATCTCTTTTTGTACCTCTGAGTTGGAGGTATAGTTGGAGGTATAGGATATAAACTCCCAACATGCTGCATTTTTTTCTCAATTTTCTGCATTTTTAAAGACACAAATTTTGTGTTATGGCCAAGTTCCATAAGTTCTTTTATCATTAGGTTAACTGGAGATTTTTTAGTCTTCTACTGTTGAGCTATGGCGATCTCAGCGGCTAGCTATCATTTTTCAATATTTAAGAAGTGCTCTGTTGGATCAGACTGAGAGCCCATCTAGATTTTAACAGTGGTCAGCTAGATGCCTCTGGAAAGCCAAGAAATAAGGCATAAAAAGGGAGAAGAGTATCTTTAGCACATAATATTCAAAGCTGTACAAGCAGACATGTGGGTTTCCTAGAAAATTTTGAATTGGACAATGTTCCTAGAAATTTCCTGAAGTTTTCCATTGCCATAAATTGAGAGAAACTTAATTTAACATGGTTAGTTGACAATTAAACAAAATTGTAAAAGTGTGTCATGATAACTTTACATGTGATATAACTTTACATGTGATATAAAGGTTTTTCTAATAGCTAAAAATAGTTGAACTGAAATATTTACTTGGGGGGTGATAAATAACATGCATTTAGTGAGGCTTATATTTTCTATTCAAACAAAATTATTAATTGAAAATAATTTCAATTAAAATACTTCCAAATATTTTAAGGCATGAAACTGACACATAATCACAGTTCCTTAGTTCCTTAAAAACAAAGTCCAAATACACCTTTCCTCACTGGAATATGCTCTGACCCTTGATGGTTTTAATGGCTCTTTTTTTATCTGTTCCAGTGCTATTGTATCCTTTTTGAGACAGGGCAATCAGAACTTCATATGGTATGCCAGTTATGGCTGGAATATGCACTATGGCAGGGGCTGGCAAGGTTTACCTTGCCCGGGCCAGTTCACTCCAGTGGAAATCCCTTCATGGGCCGGACTGCCTGCGTGCCCGCGTTTTCCGGCGTCTGTGCAGACGTGATTTTCGGCACTGTGGAAGCGAGTCCCCGTGCCACGCTGGTTTAGTGCAGCATGCCAGGACTCACCGAGTGGGCAGCTCGGTTCGGGGGCGGCTCATGGGCAGGTTAAATGACCCCTGTGGGCCTTAGGTTTCCAACCCCTGCTCTATGGCAACAGAATTTTATTTTTTAGTCCCTTTCCTAATAACGTCCAACAGCCTACCTTTTTTCACTGCTTCCTCTGTTACAGTGAGCCGTCCACCACTACCCCAAGATCTCTTATAGCAGTCAGTCACAACCAATTAAGATCCCATCCACCAACTTTTATCTCAGGTAAGTCCTTTTCTTTCTTTCTTTTGCCTTGGTGTGCATGATTTTACACTTACAGTGGTACCTCGGGTTAAGTACTTAATTCATTCCGGAGATCCATACTTAACCTGAAACTGTTCTTAACCTGAAGCACTTTAGCTAATGGGGCCTCCTGCTGCTGCCGCGCTGCCGGAGCACGATTTCTGTTCTCAACCTGAAGCAAAGTTCTTAACCTGAAGCACTATTTCTGGGTTAGCGGAATATGTAACCTGAAGTGTATGTAACCTGAGGTACCACTGTACATTGAAACTCATTTAATAATAATAATAATAAATTTTTATTTATATCCCGCCCTCCCCAGCCGAAGCTGGGCTCAGGGCGGCTTTGCCATTTTGCTGCCCCTTCACCACATGGAGAGTCTACTGTGGCCTTCACCATCCTAAATAATTTGGGAGTCACCTGCAAACTTGGCTGTGATCATTTTGAATGACTTGAGATGCATCAGTCCCAACACAGATGTGGGGGGGGGCACTTCTTCCTTCCATTGATAAAGGAACTTGGTGAGAAAGCAAGCCTTACAGATGTTTCTGGAAAGGCCCATTCCCCTTACATTTCAGACTGCAGTTTCAGAAAGCAAAGCACATTAATCTGCTCCTTTATTTTACCATTCCATAGACGTCAAGCTGCACATAACTTCTTTCCAAACAGAGCCGAGCAAAGTGATCCAGTTCTCGAATAAAAGACCCCTACCTTGTCAAATAGCCTGTGGTGTTTTTTCTGTTTTGGTTTTTAAACTTTGTGCTGTCTACTATCAACCTGCATACAGCATTTTGGGGCGGGGGCGGGGAGGAATTAGTACAGGTACAACAATATCACGTAGCTTTTTATCACACTTCGGAGTGTGCAAAATGTTTCCTTTGGGCCATGAGCTTACTCCCCTATCCCTCCCCGCTCCTGTGCACGTTTATCCCGCGACTTCTTGCCCCTAGTTAAGGTATTATTTTTAAGCCAACTGCCAGGCCACCTTCCTTTCCGCCCCCCCCCCTTAATTACAGGGACGTGAGCGCCCGCTTTCATTCATAACTATTTGCAACGGTTCTCGAAACCGCCTCCCGCGCGGCCTCCCAAGTTTGCCCACCCGAACCCAGTCCGCGTCTCCCGGAGATTGAATCGCGGGAAGACCCTCCACATTCAAGGCCTCGCGCTTCTCTCTCAAGTCATTCGCCGCCGAGAAACTACCTCTCGTCTTCCCCCCGCCTTCCCCAACGGCCCACCCGGGGACTTGTTGAGGGGGCGACACTCGGGCCGGCCGAGCCCTCTGCGGAGTCGGCCGTGAGGGAGCCCGCCCGCCCCTCGCGAGGCAGATTCAAACGGAGAGAGAGGACCGAGCCCTCTCGCCTCCCGCGCCATTGCTCCCCTTTTCCCCCTCACCACGAGGCCCTTAAATATTCGCCGGCGGCGACGCCGCGGCCCCTCGGGCGGAGGAGAGCCCGGCTCAAGCCACTCACTCACCCGCCCGCCCGCCGCCGCGCTTGCCCGCTCGGCCCGGAGTCTCCTTCCGCCGCCGCCGCGCTCTTCACCACCTCGCCGCCGCCATGTTAGGATCTGGTGCAGCACGGACTGCGTCAGTGGAGGAGGGGAGGGAAGCGGGGAAGCCTTGGAGCGGCGAGGGCGGGACGGGGCGCGAGCGAGCGAGGATGTCTGCCGAGGAGAGCGGGCTGGAGGGGAGCCCTCGGGCGCCAGGGCCCTCTCTCGACCTCTCCAGAAAGGGGGGGGGGGGACACGAAGATGGGAGGAAGATCAGATCTGTCCGACTCGCCGCCCCTTTTGGCGCGCACGCCCAAATCCTCTCCACCCTCCAGGCCGGAGCTCCAGCGCCTGCCCCTCTTCTCTGGGGATATAGAGAAGGAAGGGAAGGCAACCAAACGGAGAGTGGCGGGGGGTGGCCAGCCGCCTCACCTCAACCCAAACGATGCCCTCAGTTTTTAGGTTTGCCGTAGGCTTTCCTCCAAACGCCCTGGGATTCAAGTTTCCAGTCCTCTTGACGGCTCTCGCGCTGGCTCATTTTACTTCGGCTGCACCGCTTTGCTATCCAGGGAGCGCTTAGGGGTGGTAGACAAACGCATGCCGCACACATTGTTAGGGGCACGTTGTATTTGACATACAAACATATTGGCATTTATTATTATTTATTAAATGTTCTTTTTTATAAAAAGTAAACTTGCAGGAAGGTCAGGCCGACCCACGTCGGGAGAGGGGAGCATCATCTTCCCACACCGCAAACTGAAGGAGGGGAAATGGTCCTAAATGTTGTCGAGGGGTTCAGGCTGCAAGGCTACACTTTCTAGGAGAGAGTCTACTTTTGTGTTAAACGTGCAATTTTGCTGCGTTTAACCTTTCTTAGGGTTTCCTACTGTCCAAAAACAGAGAGAAAAAATCACTAGTGGCATATATTTTCCCAGGAATAGCTATTGCCTGGAAGTGTCTTAATTTTCTCCAACATAGCGCAGACTTTAATTTGTACTGTGTTAGAAAATGAAACAAAAGGGTCTGGTTGCATCCCTTCCCGATCCTGGATCTCCAGATGGCGGGTGGCTCGGGATGATGGGGGTAGTAGTCAACATCTGGGCCCCCCATGTTGGGATTTCTCAACCTTGGGTCACCAGATGTTTTTGGAATACAACTCCCATGATCCCTAGCTCACAGGACCAGTGGTCAGGGATGATGGGAGTTGTAGGTCAAAAACATCTGGGGACCCAAGGTTGAGAAAGGCTGGTTGCGATCTTGCATGTATTATCAATAACCCTTGGCCAAAAATAAATTCGCAGATCCCTAGGGAGAGGCAAAGTCTAATAAATCAGCTTAAGGCTGGCAGGAGTCGTCCTGGGAGTGCGCTTTTTAAAGCACTCACACTTGCCATCACACTTCTTCACCCCACGAAATAGTTGTAGCCTAGATTCGCCGCAAGCAATGTTGCACAATGGAAAGACTACAACTCCCGACAGGCAAGGAGGCTGTCGGTGGAGCATGCTGGGAAATGTAGTAGCAGATTCTTCAACCAAGACTCAGACCCGATTGTTTTATATAGGACAGAAGCTGCGGAGCGGCTGGTAAGTGTGTATTTTTTGCGGCCGGTGTGGACGGAATTATAGACATTTATTTCATTGTTAGCCAGTTGTCTCTATGCGGGGATATTTGCTGCTGGAGCAGAGGTGGTGATCTCCCGCCATGTGGATTCTAGGAGGAGCCTGCTTTGCAATAGGCAGCATGGTCGTGTGATCTGTAGGAAGTCTCCCTTTTCCTGCGTGCGACATGCTTCTGTTGAAAGAGATGGGCTTATACTTCCTAAGCAGCGCAAGGGACACAAGGATCCAGGCGGTTCACGGGGGTTCAAACTGTTACCTTCACAGCTGGAGAAAGGTGATAATGTCGATACGTTAGAGGTTATACTAGGTTTATGTGTACAGGGCTGGGCTTACTCTCACGTGGCTTCTACAGAGGGGGTTTTGTGTTGGGGTTTTAAAAAAATAATAATTGAGAAGGAGCTTCACTATTCTGTATGAAAATGAGTGGATGTAAAGACACATTGTTTTTAAAAATAAAAAATAGACAATCTAGTGAGTTTGGATTTGTTGGAAAGGTTTTGGGTCAGATCCATCTTGAAATCAGGAAGGAAGTACAATATCATTATCACCTTAGAACACCAGTGAGAATACATATTCCTATGATCCTAGAGTTGGGTGGAACCTTAAATGTGATCTAGTTCAGCCCTCTGCTGATTCAGGAAATCCACTTATCCTGGGGGAGGCAGAACCAAGTTATCTGCGAGGTAATTGGTCAGTTAGTTAAGTATTTCTATTTATTTACTTGATGGGGGGGCAACTGCAGTGGATTGATTCACGCATATTGCTATATTACAGCTTAGTGCTATATGGACAGATTTCTCAAGTATGGTTTGTTGAAACAAGCTAACTTCATAAAACCTGTGCTTTGAAGTTGACAAGTTTCAACAAACCATTGTTAAGATGATCTACACTTTGAGTTCACTTTTCCCGGTGAGCAGCAAAATAAAAAATGGAAGCTGAATCGAAAATGGAAGTGAGAGCTTCCAAATTCCTCTACAGCCACACCAGAGGAGGGGAGGAATATTGAACCTGAAGCTCACTGCAACTCATCATGTAACACTAAACCATGATTTTGAGTGAAGTTTGATTGCCAAATATTGTTTGTTTGGACTATTGATAGGCTACAATATTGATACAGGCATGCACAGGCAGACAGAACAATCAAATTTTGTGGTTTAATTACTTATTTGCAAGACTAATTATTTTAAACTGCTGCTTTTGCAGGTTCTTCAGAATTATTTCTGCTTCTTCAACAATAACTACAAAGAATAAGGGAAAAGCAATATTATATATCTAAATGCTTCACCTTGCTACTAGCTTGTGGTTTGCATCTGATTGGAAGTGAAGAAGAGTAGCCTCATTCTGGACATGTTTCAAAAAACATAAAAATCACAAATATGCTGTCTGTAAGACGTTTTTATTTATTTGCACTGAGATGTCGCCAGTGTCAGACTTGGAGTAGTGATCCCTTGTTAAGCCAGCTAAATAACTGCATAAATGAAGATCAAGTGTTTGACGTTGTTGGAAAGAACAAAACCAAACTTTCTGAAAAACACGTGGGAAGGGCAATTAATATACTTTGGGGGTTTCAAAAGAAGAAGCCTGAGCCTCTGAGGCTTACTGATTATGTAAAAAATCACTCCCAGTTTCTTATACTTCGCATTTTAGCAGAAAACAAGATTGAACAAATGGATAATGAAGCATTAGTGGATATTCTGTATAATTTACTCAGGTAAGCCATATAGTATGATGCTGAAATGTAATGGGGTAAGTTTATTAACCTGGGTTTAAAAAAGTAATTGTGTTTTTTTTAAAATATATGCTTAAACTGAAGCATCCTGGTTGCTGCAAAAGCACAGCTCACTCGTACAATGCCTGTTTAAAATTTGCTCATATTTCTCTATCTAAACAGTGTATGATCTAATGAGTCATCCTTCCCTGTGTCTGACCTCCATAAAAATGTATGAGATTACTCTCACGTAGCAGATGTTAGGTGTACAAGGCGGTGTAGGGGCTGACAATTACAGGCACAATCAAACCAAAGCAAAGGTAGCTTGGCTGCCAGTATTTTCTCCCATTGATGTCCTGATGTTAGGCAGTTCAGAGGGAAACTAGACAATCATTGCGGAGATGACAACAACTTCCAGAGGGTTCTCACTATTGGTTACTGCAGGGATGGGGAATCTGTGGCCTTCCAGTTGTTGTTGGACCACAGCTTTCATCACCCGTGGTCATTGGCCAATGCAGGCTGGGGCTGATAGGAGTTAGAGTCCAAAAAGTTTGAAAAGCAAAATACAAAGTTCCAGCTGTGGCTGACTTTCTGTCCCAAGCAGGTAGAGCAATGGAGAAGAAGGAGAGCCAAGTGTTAAGGGCTGAATGTGAGCAAATGCAGTTATGCATATTTACGGTTGTTTACAGCGGAGATGAGAGGAAATTCAGCCTCTCAGTAAAATATTCCATCGGCGCAAGCCTTTTTGCCTGCCTGGCGTAACAACCTCTCCTCTTCTACCACTTGCATGCTGTTTGTGAGTTCTCCCAATCCCCACAGTGCCGATTTGGGGGTGCAATGGGAGGCGAGGGGGGGACCCCATTGCGCCAGCAGGAGCCCTTGAACTGGCTCCTACTAGTGGAACTAGGAAGCTGAACCTGGCCCAGGGATTTAAGTGGTTAAGTAAAAGGCCTTGAAGAAAATGTGGGGTTTAAAGGGTTCCAAGCACTGATCTGTTCATAGTTGTAAGAGGCTTTCTAGAACGCACAGGGAAAGTGTTCGGTAAGTACAAAACTCTAGCAACCAGCTATCTGTAATACATTTAAAACTGCACAGGTTCTCCCCCCCCCCAATCTCTGTTAAAATATCTATGCAGAGCATTTGACTTGTCTTTTGGTCCTTGTGAAGGTTTGGAATTGAGGCCCATGATTCGCTGGTTGAAGAGCTCGTCATGGAATGCTGGAGAAGATTAAATGGGCAAGTACACATTAAAATTAAAATCCTAGAAATTGAAAGCTTGAGAGCTCATGCTTATAAAAACTATAACAAGGTTAGTACTGACAAGCTTAATTATTAAAAGTATGGTAGGCCCCTTTCTCTCTTCAAAGCTGAAGTAGTGCACTGAGGACCATTGTACCAATAAAGGCAGCTACAGATTTAAGAATGTAACACTCCTGGATAGATTTTGAAAGGTGAGTTTAGGCTTAAATTTGATAGCTATGTAACTGGCAGTAAGGCTAACTAACCTCAGTGGGATTTATTTCAGTATAAGATTTCACTGTTAAGATTCCTAAATGAAAGCAGTGGAAGACTTGGTTTTAAACCAGTTTATAGAAGAATCTATAAAGATTTATGGGAGAAAATAACCTCTGCTCCAGTCCGCCCTTCCCTGAGGAAGTTAAAGTGTACCAGAACAATAAACTCAAGAATCTGGGCTAATATCTAAGCTTTATGAGCGATATACATAAAACTAGTTTTTAAAAAATAAATAAATCACAAAATCAGCAAAATTTAAAAAGAAGATATATACTGTATGTTAAATTATGTGACTCAGTGGGCTTGGTGACATGAAGATTTCAGCAGGGATTTAAAGTAGTACAGTGAGGGTGCCTTATGTAGATAGGCAGGGATTTGGAAAACTTTAATGTTCAGGGCTGTGGTCAGTCACAAGCTCACTTTGGGATACATGTTGCTCTTGTGTCTGATCTGCACCCTAGAGCCCTCCCTGTCCTCTCCCCCGCCTCCAGTTCTGATGCACATTTAAGTAAAACTTTAAAGGGAAAGAAGGACAAGGCAAGGACCCTCTGCTAAGTTGTACCTGACCTAAGGTGGTCACAACAGCAGTACTACCACTGTACTTCAAATATATGCTAAATAAAAATAAGAAGCTGCTCCCCAAATGCATGTTGGGTTAAAGATGACCCCCATTCTGAAATGGTTGGAGGCTACTAGTCTAGAAATAATATTTACCACTTGCCAGAGGGGGCTGAGGCTGGTTATTTACATGTTTCTGTATGGTCCAATGAAAGTCAGTCTAAATGTCGTGTGGAGCCTTAATGGACAGCTCTTGAGTTAAAATTCTCAGTATGCCAATTTTGATTGGTGGGTACAGATTCAGAATTTTCAGTTAGATGGTGTGATTGGCTGGGGCTAGACTGGAGGGGCCAGAAGAAGTGTATATAATACTACTGGGTGCTGGTAAGCAGTACTTAGTTGAGTTAGGTAGGACACATCCACACTTCTGCTTGTCTAGAAAGCATGGGTCCAAGAGGTTTTTTTGCTTGACCCGCTGCTGGGAAACCTGCTGTTTACCACTGAAGATGAACAAACATCAATCCACAGAGAAACCAATTGGCATTTGTTCCAGTTCAGGTTTTCCCAGGGGAAAGCAATGGGAGAAGTGGAACTGTAAACAAGCCCTTGGTCAGAGTTGTGGTTGGTTGCCAGTTCCACCAGAAGACAATGCCAGGATCAGGGAAGAAGCTAGATCTGAGAATGGCCAAAGACTTGCTGGGGGATAGCTGAATCATGTGGCTTAGGCCGAAAATACCGGGGGAGTTGTTTTGGGATGACTGGTAGGAGTACCAGAAATATTATTTCCATGGTAGTACAGTGAGACAAACCTTTGCTTCAATAGATCAGTGAAAGTTTGGAAAAAACAAACACTTCCAGCAGAGTCCTCAGCTAATGTACAATGGTACCTCAGGTTAAGTACTTAATTCGTTCCGGAGGTCCGTTCTTAACCTGAAACTGTTCTTAACCTGAAGCATCACTTTAGCTAATGGGGCCTCCCACTGCTGCCGTGCCGCCGGAGTACGATTTCTGTTCTCATCCTGAAGCAAAGTTCTTAACCTGAAGCACTATTTCTGGGTTCGCGGAGTCTGTAACCTGAAGCGTATGTAACCCGAGGTACCACTGTACTGAGGAGGTTTAACGAGGGTGGAGAAAATAAAAGGTCAATTTGGCTATAGCATGTTAATTGGGTAACCGATTGCAGTGTAAGGTAGAGGTGCCATATGTCTGTCGAAAATGGCGTCCTGGCTGAATTTTTGAAAATTGTTTATAATTCTTCGGGAAAACCCAGGAGTATGTCAGCCCATTGCAAATTTCCTAAAAATAGCTTTAAAACTTTGCCCCCCTCCCTTCTAGTATCATGAGTGGACTTTGGTACCGTAATATGGTGCCCTCAACAAGGGAAAAAAATTGCCTCCACCCCATTCTTATTTTCACAATAATTACTTTTGGTATAATTGCTTTTATATGCATCTTTTCAGTAGGTACCTATATAAATATAGGGATGATGATAATGATGATAGTGATGCACATACTTGGCTTGGCAGGGGAACTGTCCTAAATCTAGCGCTGGTGGCCTGGTTTTAGCAGAACCATTGGAGTGGAAGTTGGGTTTTGTTATTATAGAGTACCGTATTTTTCGCTCTATAAGACGCACCAGACCACAAGACGCACCTAGTTTTTGGAGGAGGAAAACAAGAAAAAAAAATATTCTGAATCCCAGAAGCCAGAACAGCAAGAGGGATTGCTGTGCAGCGAAAGCAGAGATCCCTCTTGCTGTTCTGGCTTCTGGGATAGCTGCGCAGCCTGCATTTGCTCCATAACTCGCACACCCATTCTCCATTACTTTTAGAAGGGAAAAAGTGAGTCTTATAGAGCAAAAAATACGGTAAATAAGTAAATACCCCCCTTCCCTTCACAAAGGGCATCAGCCGTCTCAAGGCAGCTTACAAGGTAAAATAACATACAACAAACCACACTTAATAAAACCAGCAGTAAACAGTAAAAAGAAAACCAGTCCAGAAATGTTAAAATCTGTTTTACAAGGTACTTGAAAGTAGTAATGTAGGATGACCGATAACTGCAGGATGTAAAGCTATTATAATTTGTTACCAAGGGACAGTAGCAGGTTTGCTTGTTATTTTTAAATCAATAATGTAAGTAAGCAGTGAACTGCTCTTCAAGAATCTCTTAAATTTTGTATATAGGTAAATGTTTTTTTTAAAAAAATTAAGAGATGTATATAGGTAAATGTTTTAAATAGGGACGCGGGTGGCGCTGTGGGTAAAACCTCAGCGCCTAGGACTTGCCGATTGAAAGGTCGGCAGTTCGAATCCCCACAGCAGGGTGCGCTCCCGTTGTTCGGTCCCAGCGCCTGCCAACCTAGCAGTTCGAAAGCACCCCTGGGTGCAAGTAGATAAATAGGGACCGCTTACCAGCGGGAAGGTAAACGGCGTTCCGTGTGCTGCGCTGGCTCGCCAGATGCAGCTTGTCACGCTGACCATGTGACCCGGAAGTGTCTGCGGACAGCGCTGGCTCCTGGCCTTTAGAGTGAGATGAGCGCACAACCCTAGAGTCTGGCAAGACTGGCCCGTATGAGCAGGGGTACCTTTACCTTTACCTAAATGTTTTAAAGCTTTTGTAAAGCAGGCTTTTCCTTTTATATCCTCACAGACTCAGCATGCCTCTGCTATCTAAATTTGCAATGTGCCTACATGACCAACAAATGTACTTTAGTCCTCTCACTGGTGAGATAGCTGATATTGTGAATAGGAACTTGGATTCCATACAAGATGGGAGGTAATCTTAATTTAATAAATGTCTCAGAATAATTGAGAGTATTTTTGTTACCGTTCTCATGCATATACAGCACTACTGTAGCATACTTGTTTAGGCCTCTCTTGTTGTTGTAAGTTAGCTGAACACAATTCTAATGAAGGGGCACCTGACAGGACACCCCGTATGTGCGTAGGTTCCTTGTGGATATCATTTTTACTGTGTTTTGTCCCTGTGGATTTAAATCCTCTTCCGCTGCAATCCTACAGTCCCTAGGAGGGCATTGCAGGGACCCTAGGATATTGCAGATCTCTCTTCATCGGCAGAGAAAGATCTGCCCTTCTGATATGGAAATATTTCCGCTATTTTGCTTGAAAACACTCCAGTCTGCATAGCATTAAGAAAAGACTCAAGAACAGCTTTGCCTTGAAGGCAAAATGCTTTTTCCTTTAATTTTTGCCTCTTTCAAATAGAGTTTCAAAAAAAAGATACCCAGTTTCATACTGCCTCAAAACCTTACCTCCCCTCCTCTAGTCCTTTCCATTTTTAATGTAATGTCCTTTTAAATATTGTTGGGTTCGTTCAATCACTGCATACTTTTTTTGGAATGTTTTTAGGGTCTTGTCAATTTTGATGGTCAGCATATCTGGTGTTATCTCGCAGCATTTTAGAGATCGGTTAATACAGAAGGCAGAGTTTCTTCTGGAAACCTCGGAATCTGCCCCCTTGAATAACGCCAGACGATTTGTACAGTTTCTCCGGAATGTCAAACTACCACATCGACCATTGCTGGACAAGTGTAACAAAGTTTTTCTTCAGAATGCGAACCAGCTAGGTGTTGATCGTGTAGTTATCATCCTTGGACTTTACCAGGCTTTACAATTCAGCAACATTGAGTTAAAATTAGTTGCTAAACAGAAACTGATGGAAGCAATGGATGACTACAATAATTCTTCAAGCTTCCCTCGACTGTTTGTTACCCTTGCACCCATGGCAGGACCAGAGGTCAGAGAGCGGTAAGTTTCACTTCTGGCTTACTTGGTGTGCATGTGAATACATTTTTCCTTAGAAAAGGAAGTGAATTTTTCCATGCTTTATCTGAAGACCATTGCTATCTGAGGCAGAATAGGCTGCAGTTCAACAAAGGGAAACTACAAATGCAATGGAGTTGTGCTCGGCTTATGCTATTAATGCTGAAACACCCTCCTGTCGACTTGCTTTGTTACTATTGTTGACCCAAATTGACAAAATAGATTTCAGGTTGCATATATGCACACACACACCTTGCCATTGTGTTCTTTTTCACTCCATCTGTGACAAATTCTCTTGTGCTGAGGAAAGGCAACACAACAACGGCCTTGTTGAGCACACTTAACTCCTTCCTCAGAAGTAATGGAGACTGCAGAATTAGTCACAGGCTCAAATCCAAAGAGATGTGCACAGAGTTTCTGTTACCCTGAAAATGTCTTCAGAAATTTGAAGTTCCATGGGTACCATCAATAGCATAGAACTAGAACAGAGCACTCTCTATTCTCTTGGTCCATTTGAACAGTTTTGGTATTTTGTTGCAATATTTAGACTGCTCTTTCATCTCAATATGCATTTGTTGATACCAACAGCCAACAATAATTGCTTGTTCCAAAAGTATTTCTGTACAGAATCATGTGGTTTGTGTTGCCGTTTTTCTTTGCTCACAATGGCACAAGAGATGAGGGGGCTGAGGTCACTGTTCCCTACAGAAAGAACAGAAGCTAAGGTTCCAAATTTCACCCTTCACCAGTCCAGAACCAAAAGTGTTATTATTTATTTGCCTTGGATCAGCTGCATGCTTTTCCTGCATTGTCTCATATGCTGCCCTTGTGATGGTGGAAGAGCACATTACCGAATCTGGGACTTAGGAAACATGCTGTATTTGTAGCTGTATGTTGTTGTTTAGTCGTTTAGTCGTGTCCGACTCTTCGTGACCCCATGGACCAGAGCACACCAGGCACTTCTGTCTTCCACTGCCTCCCGCAGTTTGGTCAAACTCATGCTGGTAGCTTCGAGAACACTGTCCAACCATCTCATCCTCTGTCGTCCCCTTCTCCTTGTGCCCTCCATCTTTCCCAACATCAGGGTCTTTTCCAGGGAGTCTTCTCTTCTCATGAGGTGGCCAAAGTATTGGAGCCTCAGCTTCAGGATCTGTCCTTCCGGTGAGCACTCAGGGCTGATTTCCTTAAGAATGGATAGGTTTGATCTTCTTGCAGTCCATGGGACTCTCAAGAGTCTCCTCCAGCACCATAATTCAAAAGCATCAATTCTTTGGCGATCAGCCTTCTTTATGGTCCAGCTCTCACTTCCATACATCACTATTGTAGCTGTATAGTTATCAGTAAAGGAACCACACAATTCTCCTGCTCTTGAAGATATTACTCATTCAGTGTGACCCTAAGTTAAAATGCTCCCTGATGGGGAACCTCTAATCCTAAATGTTTACTGGAGCTGTGTGTGTTTTAAGGTTATCTTTCATTCTTTCAAGATACATTAAAAGCTTCACTTTGTGGAGTCTGTTTCCATTTCCCCAAGCACGCTTCTTTCCCTTTTTGAAATAAGAGTGATATACACAACTCTGTGACCTCTTAAACTGCTGGAAATCTGTAATATTTTGTATGTTTATTTTTAGGTTAACTGAAACTGCTCTACTAGTGGCAGATGAATTTGACCATCAGCAAACATTGGCAGTGGCGGACACTATGCAAGAAACAGAAATCAGACATCCACAACTGATTCAAAAGTAAAACTTCAGTACAAAATGGCGACTCAAAATGTTCTCAATTTCTGTAACTTCCCTTTTCTGACTGTTCAGAATGCAGCAAGTGAAAAATCTGTAACTTCTGTTTAGTTTAAGAATGACTGATACAGAACGCTGAATATGCTTGCACTATATGATATGCCATTGACTTACCTTACACCACAGTCCTAAACACATCTATTGGAAGCAAGTCCCATTGATTTTAGCAGAACTTGCATCCAGGTAAGCGTGCCTAGGATTATGGTGTAACTCATCACTGTTTGGTTGACATTAAGCTCATTTGACTTAATGTTTTTTTTGTGGAAATGTATGCTGGAATGTGCACAAGATATGTCCTGACACAACAGGTGTTAGTAAACCCCAGTGAAGCTGGTGAACAAAAACAGCAAAGTTATTTTGTCCCACTTTGTGCCTGAGGCCAAACTAGGCAAAACATTAAATGCATCTTTACGCTTAATGTACCTGCTTTTAAAACGGAAAATCTATCCCATGAAGCTGTTTTTGCATGGCCACAAAGAATCCCATAGTGCCAACAGGAGGTTTTCTTACAATTCAAATAAGCAGCTTTAGAGAAGAGGTTTTCATCAGAATGGCAGCAGGAGAGAAAAGGCTTAAATCCCACCCACCTGTTCCATTCCTAATTTCTGATCCCTCTCACAGCAGCTATTTACAATTTTAAGCATGCATATTAAATATAGGAAGGTATTTAACATCCCATCTAGTTTCCCTGTTATGGTGGCTTGGGGTAAAAATTAAAGAGCAGAGAGAAAATAATTTTCCTGCATCTACTTGGTGTTTTCCCTTTCTCTGTATGGTGCCCTGAAATTGCTGCAAATACAGTGACCAGGATCAAGACCAGCATGAACTTTTAGTCTCCCTAAAAGTATGAGGGCCTCCAACTGAATGACATTTTTCTTCCTCCTGCCATATATGAGTAGAGGTGCTTTTCACTCATATGTTGTTTGTGTCTGTTGGATACGGTCCACTGTCATGGAAAGCGGATAACACTTTCTTCCTTTCCTCTGTGAAAAAGTTAATTTAGTTTATAGTATTCTATGGTATACCCAGCTTGACTCCTTCCATTTACAGAAGGCTCTGGGATTCAGCTGGCACTTAGGTAAATGACAGGGGTGTTTGACTTGTTTTGGTCAAATCCTCTGCCTCCAGAGCAGACATTTCAGGTTGCAAGGGGCTGCAGGAGAAAGGGGGATAAATACAAATTGCTTTCCCATTTCCGTTAATATTAGCCTCTACCATATCAAAGAAACATCCACAAACAGAAGGACACCGTTGGATCCATTCATCCTTTTATTAACTATGTTCTTTAATTAAGGACAGGAGTCCAGATTGCTGCCAGTGAAGGCAAGGCCAATATGGACCTGATTTTCAGATTACACCATTTTTATCGCTGGAATAAAACAATATATCTATTTGCAGCAGTGTATGGGTATCCCAACTTTGTTCAAGTTTCTGGATATAACCCAGTGATCGCCAGCCTTTCAGGGCAAAGGGATGGTCACTTCTGGAATCTGAGGGAGTGCCACAGGGTACCAGCTGAAAAATAGCTGCCATGGAGGATATGGCATAATACAAAATGTACAATTCTGGGATCTAGTGAAATGTGGGCGTGTGTTTAAGGGCGTGAGCTCATTGTAAAAGAAGCTGAGCCACTGCAAACAGCAGCAGAGCAGGAAGAGTAAACATTCTATCATGCATTGTGGATTTTTGAAGGGACATTTACCATGTCTTTCCATGGGCACTGCAAAGAGGTATTGACAGGCACAGTGGCACCCACCGACATCATGGTGGTGACCCCTGGCATAACAACACATGAAATGCAGGACATCATTATCAGAAAGCATTGACAGATCCCAAGCAGCCTGCTTTTGCTGTTGTGCCGATGTTACAGATAACTCCATTCAAAATAGATTTATGATCCGTCTTGTAATTTAATGTGTGTGCATCTCAGGGCCAGGGCAGTTTGTAAAATACATCTTCACTATTATTTGAAAGGCTTTTAATTTCACCCTGATATTTAGCCTCATCTGCTTTTGGTTTTCAGGATTGTGTCTCTGCTTTACAAACATATGGATCTCTACAAACCAGTAGAATTGGCCAAATTGACCTACGCCCTCCTCCTATTTCATTGCTCCAATCCTGAGATTTATTCCAAATTACAGAGATTGCTCACCAGGTAAGAAAGCACATTTTATCAGCAAATATATTCTGATGATCGCTTTCTTTATTAATTTGTTACATTTGAATCCTTCCCTTCTTCCTTATCAGAATTCAAGGAAGTGTTGTTGTTGTTCAGTCGTTTAGTCGTGTCCGACTCTTCGTGACCTCATGGACCAGGAAGTACAGTGGTACCTCGGGTTAAGAACTTAATTCATTCCGGAGGTCTGCTCTTAACCTGAAACTGTTCTTAACCTGAAGCACCACATTAGTTAATGGGGCCTCCCGCTGCTGCCGCGCCACTGGAGCACGATTTCTGTTCTCATCCTGAAGCAAAGTTCTTAACCCAAGGTACTATTTCTGGGTTAGCGGAGTCTTTAACCTGGAGCGTATGTAACCTGAAGCGTATGTAACCCGAGGTACCACTGTACTTATCAAAATTGCAGTTTGCAGTGATCATCTTAAGAAGGCATTCTTCCTCTTGCACATGGGAAGAATATCTCGCTTCTAAATGAAGCACACTACTGGCTTTAGAAATAACATTTCTGTGCAAATGTCCATTTAATTGATAAATTAATCAATTGAAAATGTCTTTGATCAGGGTACTTCCCTAATTTTCATACCCTTTTAAAATTTGATACAGTGGATACAATTTCTTGCTAAGGAATTATAAGTGAATTGCATTGGGGAATAAGCTCAGTCTGACCCAGTTTGCTGTATTTTTTCCTGTTTTCACATTTTCAGTGTGTGGGACTAGGGATTTAAGTAGCTTGCAATGATATCTGTGGCAAGAGCAGCTGGTGTGGGTGGGTGGGTTGTTCGCCTCCCAGCATTGGTGTCACTGTAGCTTACCAGGGTTGGGGATGAGGTGGCAGGGAGTTTGGTGCTGGCCACACCAGCAGGAGCTGGCCACACTGCTCCACATCTTCCTTCTGGTAAGCCACAATGATGCCACTGCCTCCCGTACCCGCTGTTCGCTCCTGATTGGTCGGATTTCTTTTCAAGCAAATATGCAATTGACCTGGATGTAAAATGCACCAAAAAATATTTGTGGCCTGCCGATTTTCACTCTTCATCACTGACAGATGTATATCTCTCTGTTTTGCATTCCAGCTGTTTACACACTAATGTCGTACCGACGGATATTTCCATGCTCATCCGTGTTCTTTCCTTGCTTCCTAACTCCTACATGGATGAAGTCATAGTCACTCGAATGGAGGCTGTAATGCCTCAGTGCAGCCTGAGCGATTTGAGTTCCTTCGCCACAGCTGTTACGAAATGGATTCGACGTGATCAGCCCTATCAGCAAAGCCCCACGGTGCAGTACGGAAAACTTTTGCAAAAAGTCAATAATTGTGCACTTGAGAGACTTCAGAAAGCCAACGATCTGGATCTTCTGTTAGACGAGTTGAAATACATATCTGGAGACTGGTTTGAAGAAATGCTCCTTGAGGAAACCATGGTTGCTCTTCAGCGCTTGGCAGGCCAGATTACATGGACAAATGTGACAGAGTTGTCATCTTTTTTTGCCAGAACTTCCTATCTCTGCGTTCCATTACTTGATAGAATAGCTGCCGTTACCGTTCAGCATATAGATAAGGTACTAACGACACATGATCATTTCATCTCCCTTGAAAGTGATAGCACAAACAGCATGCAGTGTTACGTTTCATGTGTATTCTTATTTGGACATAGTTTATCAGAGCTGTGTCCCCCCCTCCCCCCGGTGTATTGGGTCTGCATTGCACACTACGCTGAGTGATTTGATTGCTACTCCGGGAACATGTATAACTTGCTCACATTAGGGAGAGACTGAAGACGAGGATCCATTTTATAGAAAGCATATCCCCATTTACACGGGTCTTATATTCCAAATCCCCGTGTGCATCAGTGAAGTTGCATACAATGGGGGAATCGGCTGTCGGCTCAACAAAGCCCCACTGATGTGTGGGGAAGGAACTCAATGATGTTTGCAGACCACTTCCTTAACTTTTGTTGCTTTTTGAATAATAATAATACCCCGCCTATCTGGCTGGATTTCTCTGGGCAGTTCCCAACAGAATATTAAAAACACGATAAAACATCAAACATTAAAAACTTTCCTAAACAGGGCTGCCTTCAGATGTCTCCTAAAAGTCAGATAGTGGTTTATTTCCTTGACATCTGATGGGAGGGCGTTCCACAGGGTGGGTGCCACTACTGAGAAGGCCCTCTGCCTGGTTCCCTGTAGCCTCACTTCTCGCAATGAGGGAACCACCAGAAGGCCCTCAGAGTTGGCCCTCAGTGTCCGGGCTGAACGATGGGGGTGGAGATGCTCCTTCAGGTATACTGGAGGAATTATTAAAATCTGGCAGACATACGTGGTAAATGCTGACTGTCCTTTTCTCCCCCACCCCCTTGCTTTCTTCTCTAGGTTTACAGTTCTGAGATTTACTCTGTTCTCCGTCCCTTTGCTACTCTAAATTATGATCCTCCCCAGAGTGAAGAGTTTTTTGAGGCTTGCCTTCAGCACTTGAGCTCTTGCTTGGGTAAGTTCATCAGAGAGGAATGGTAGCCGGGTGACATTCCCCCCAAGGTGCCAATTGGCAGTGTGATGAGTGCACAAGGCCAAATAAAATCTCTTTTTGAATCAAAGAAAACTGATACAATTCAGAACCTTCTGTTGTTGTTTTTTGGGAGGCCGCGGGGGGACGGGGGACGACGACGTTGTGCTAACTATTCTAAACATTGGTAGGTAGAATGAATTTAAACTGGTGAGCAGTGAAGTGGCAGCTCTTCCTTTCCCCATCTTTCAAAATGAGCACAGTGCTAAGCAGGAGCACATTTTAAACTATTTGTGCTTGCTGATACAAAAATACCCCCACAGATTTTAAGACAAGGATTCATTTGGTTATTTCCTGTAAAGGGCGCTTATGAAGCTGCTGCTGCAAACGTGCCGCTCGCAATGTGGGAAGACCCAGTTGCACAGCCTTAGGCACGGCAATGTATGGAGAAGGGGCTGGCAGGCAAGGACTGGGTGAATACAAGTGTGGGAGTACTAGCAGTGATTTTCTTACATAAACCATGCTGGAGAGGATGTGGGCGAGGGATCTATTATTGTGTCCAAATTAACGTCAAGGCCAACAGCATGAAAATAAGCTCTATCAGTGTACAGTTAATTGGGTCGTTTTTAGGACTGTGACGTTTGCCATCACATTCTTCCTTCTGTGATGGTTCCCCACTGTTTTCCACCCGTCCTGTTCCCAGTCTCTATATCCCTGTTCCTTCTGTTCCTCCGGACCATTACAAAATCTGAACGTCAGTTTCCAGAAGCAGAATAAATAAGCAAATGTATGTAAAAACACTCAACATTTTAGACTTGTTCATGTGTCACTTGTGTGTGGGGTGTAGCTGTTGAGAAAGGAACAGGGATGCACTTTTATCCCCACCCTTGATAAGTTCCTGTGGCGAGGAAGGGGCTCTGTGTGATTGTATGGGTGTGGAGAGTTCTAGTTTCCTATCTGTTTCTCCACTTCTTCAGAGATACTGTCAGTTAAAGGATACACTAATATATTTGTTTTATACAGGTAGTTTTGAACCGCATCTCCTTGTGCTGCTTGGTTTTGCTTTGGCTGTTGCTGAGTATTTTCCAGAGAATGTGATAAAGGCTATATTTAACATCGAATTTTTGGCCAAACTAGATGCCCAGCTTGAAAGTAAGAAATAATTACAAATTTTAACAAGACTCTTGCATTTTGTAAGAGATTGTGTGTATGTGTTTTCTTTTGCTCAGAACAGGAATAGCCAACTGTATTTTTTGATACTACCGTCTTCTTGGTTTCAAATAATCTACCTTGGAATAATATTCCTATGTTTGAGTTAGGTTATTTTCAACAAACCACGGTTTGCCAGTTCAGAAACAACAAACCATGGTTGAGCCTGAAGCTTGCCTAGAATACTGTTTCATGGGATATGCAGGTGTGACCATATCCTCCACATGTAAAAATTGGCAAAGCACAATGATTCTTTTCTTCAGATACATACTCTGCCTTGTTGCATAGCGAGTGTGCAACATGCAATTCAGATATTATCTACCTAGGAGAAATATCAACCTACTTAGTATTTCTTCCTCTTGCATACTACTCCCCAACACCATCATGGGAAGGAAGTAAAATCTGATTCAGGCTAAACTGTGTTTTAAATGTCTTCTCTTTCCACCCAGCTTGAAGGAATAAGGATTTTCAGTTTTGATTATAAATGAGGTTACTTGTTTAGAGAATCATACAGCAGCCTTGAGTCAGGTAGTTCTTCCCATAAATGCTCCCCCAAGCTAGGTCAGGAGTGAAACATTACTTTCATTTTGTTTTTAAAATGAAGGTACAGTTAAAACTAGCATTTTAATTTAGTCTGTTCAACTATAAATTTTCATCCGATTGAGACTTCATTTATTCATTTGGGCATTTCTGTACTAATCAATCCACTACATGTCATCTGGCAGTTTCCATTTTTACTCAGATGTAAGTCCCACTTTTCTTGGTGAAGCTTTGTTCACTGTGCGTAGAATAATACCTTTATTACTTGCTTACTTTCATCCCCCCTGTGCCCTCTCTAAATGGGGGAAGGAGGAGAAGGCATGGTGGACCCCCCGAGTTGTGGCTATGTTTGTGAGGAAGTTGTCCTCTGCATCAGCAGCACCAAGACAGAACAGTGATTTTCCTTTTCCCTCCCAGAGGGGAAAAGAGGAACGAAGATCTCCTCACCTTCTCTATCGTCTCTTTGAAATGCTTGTAGAATAGGAGCCCTCAAAATTCCAAACAGCCAGAATATTTTAAAAGCCAAAAAGGGTAACAATGCTTCTCGGCTTCATAAAGAAACCCAGAGTGAATTTTGACTTCTGGTTGTTGTTTTTTTGCTGAAGCCCTATACCAATTGAGTATGAATTAAACGGGGCTCTATGTAAGGTTGTGATGATCAATGTCTTTTCCCTTCTGCACGGATTCATTTTTTAGAAAGCGCTACTAGTTCTCAGAAACTGCTGCTTCTGCAGAGTTGCAAGGCTACCTCCACAGCCTGGCTATTCACAAGAGTAGTGTTGGAAGGCGGTGTTGGCGAGGTATATCAGACCCCATACCTGTACCAGCTTCGTATTAGACCTGCTGCCAGCTGGCTGTGAGGGCAGCTTGGGAATCTGTGGATCCCAGGCCATCTTAGCCCTCAGAAGGCCCCATTTTGTGGGCTATCCATTGGGCTCTGCCAACAGGGGTAGGGTGAGTGGAAGGCAGGAGGTCTGTAACAGTGGAGGTGTCAGGCAGAGGAGGAATGGTGGAGACCACTTCCCCATCCTGACCCAGGGAGGAAGGAGAGGAAGACAGTATAGATTTACAACAGGGGTTTGAGGGAGGAAGCAGCTCGGAGGCAGATGAGGGGGAAAGTTGGGAAATCATGGGAGAGCCAGAGCAGCTGGCTGACATGTTGTCATTAGAAAGCATTTCAGACCCTCTATCTATCTGCCAGAACTCGGTGAGCCTTAAAAGTAGGAGAGCAAAGAGCTCAAAGACAGAGGGCACTTAGTGGCACCTGTAGAAGTGACAAATAAGGAAGTGGGAGAGACAGGGGTGTGTGTGGAGATTCACTTGGGACAATGCTATTATCCAAGAGGCTGGGTCCTATAGCCTCTCTCTGTAAAGATTGAAATAAAAAAGGACTGTGAGAACCTTTTCCTTGTCTTTATAATCTCCTGGGCAACCAGCCGGGAGCCGCTGACAGCATCCTGACAGGAGGCTGGCTGAGCCAGCAGAAGCAAGCAGAGGGATGCCTCTGTTCAGTTCAGTGCCCCCACAGCCCAGTGTACAGTGGTGGGGGGGTTGGATTGCAGCTTAAGAGACTTCTGATTTGCTTCTGCGGCCGTGTCCTTTGTCTGAAGAGCTGCTTGCTTTTGTACTTACAGAAGTGCTGTCAGGCGTACAGTGGTGTAAATAGTGTTCGTTTTTCCCCTCCATTTTTTAAAAAAACCAGCACTACCGGGTTCCTTAAACCGGAGGGTCCGCTTACGGCTGATGGAACTGAACCGAGCGGTCTGTTTGGAGTGCCCGGAGCTCCAAATTCCATGGTTTCATGAGCGCTACTGTCAGCAACTACAGCGAAAAGGTGAATATTTAACCTTTTAAATGACAGTTGCATTATGGGTGCCTCAGTCCATTAAAAAAAACACCTTTACAGAGTCACATTTATTAAAACTCATAACATTTCAGAAATGGCTTAAACTTCAGTTATGTCCTTGTCAGCCTGCTATGAAGTGCTATATGAAGTTATTTTTTAAAAAAACAAACAAACAGAAAAGATGCTGACAAGCTCAGGGTAATATCCATTTGGTACCCTTGCATAACGTATCTGCTAATGGAAGAATGCAAGAGGTGATCCCCCCCCCCCATTTCCTCTCCCCACTGAAGCCCATAGCACCCTCTGAAAATCTGCTCTGGAGGGTTGGGGAATCTCCAGGATGGGTTGGGAGTTGGCATGGGGCGGGGGGACAAATTGGCAAAGATCGCCTCCCTTCTTCCTTTAGCAGATGCCTCTACTGGAACAAAAGCTCAAGGAGCATCGCCTGGATTCCACCTTCTGATAATGTAACATGCGTCGTTCTTGTAGAGTGATTCGTGATATTTTGTTCTGTCTTCCCTTTGCTTCTGATCTGGTTTTTATGCTTTGTTTTTGTTTTCACCCCCAGGCAGTGGTAGTCTTAGCGCGTTGCAACAGCAGATTCACGGACTGCTGGGAGAAATTTTGGGAGGAAGCCACTTTGCCAAGGTGTCTGTTCTCACTCCATACTACTACGGAATCGGTGGGTGTTTAATTCATGGGAAATCCTCTGTGGTTCAGTGTTTCATGGGAAACTCTCTCAAAACATTTCTCAAATGTACAGAAGCAAGTCCTGGCTACCCCAGAGGCTTTCCAGACAATCTGTTTATAGTTATCTGAATGCAGTGTTGTTTATTTTTCCTTATTGAAGGCCTGTCCTGATTCACAGGCCCAAAGGAGGGCCCGTGCGAGTGGTTTGATGCAGGGATACCAAAGAAGGATGCCTCCAACACTGTCAGGGCCAGTTCTTGTGCTGGGGCAACCCAGCCAGATGAGCGGGGTATAAATGATAAAATTATTATTACAGTGGTACCTCGGGTTACATACGCTTCAGGTTACAGAGTCCGCTAACCCAGAAATAGTATCTTGGGTTAAGAACTTTGCTTCAGGATGAGAACAGAAATTGCGCAGTGGCGGCAGCGGGAGGCCCCATTAGCTAAATTGGTGCTTTAGGTTAAGAACAGTTTCAGGTTAAGAACAGACCTCCGTAATGAATTAAGTATGTAACCAGGGGTACCACTGTAGTAGTAGTAGTACTTATATACTTTTATTTATAAGCTATTCAAAAAACAAAACAGCAGTTTACAACAATTCTACTTAAAACCACACAATACAGCTATATAGAGCGCATTGCATTAATCCAGCCTCTGGGTTACCAATGTACGGGATACAGTGGCCAGGCTCTTGCAGTTGCTGGATGCAATGAGGTAGTATGAGAGTCTTGACAACTGTGCTCCCCACCCACTTTTGTAGCATTTCATGTTGTTTTAAAGTTTAAATTGTATTTTAACTCAGCCTTTTGAGTGCAGCCGTGAAAATTCCTCCCCTGATTCCTCGCCCCCAAGCAGAATTCCTCACAACTAGGCTACTCCCTAACTTTCCCTATAAAATAGCTACTGCATTTGCATGAAACTTGTGGAAACTGTTGGGCCATGGATAGAAATGCGGTTGGGTGATGCTTTGCATCTTTTGGATAATAAGCCCCAGTGAGGAGCATATTTAATTGAAATCAGTAGCACGTCCTTCCAAGTAATTGTGCTCAGGATCTTGGTGTGAAAAGTTGTACTAGTGAAATCAGTGGGACTGGAGTGACATAAGCAGTAAATAGACAGCCTGTGTGTAACAGAGAAGTTTTGCTTATAGGTTTTCTTTTCTTGTAAGTGGTGGCCTGTGTAACTATTATCCTAACCTTAAATAGTGAGTGAGTGCTCTGGGAGCTAAAGTATTGTTGAAGCAAAGTATGAGCCTGGTGAGTACCTGGATTGTAGATCACTGGAGCCCCACGTAAGCTGTTTCATGCTTTACTTAAGAGTCTGCTCTTAAGTATACAGCTCTTAAGTATATACGTGTGTCTGAATATACAGTAGTAGTGCTTGAGTAACATTGTGGTTTGTAATATTGCACTGGTGGAGGAGTCATGCCCCACTGTAAACATTAACTTCCTATTGTGACAAGTCCTGAGATGATAATTTTTATTTCAGACTTTGAGTGTATTCTTGATAAAAACAAGAAGCCTCTTCCACATACCGAACAGATTGTTGTCATGGCTGACTTGAAGGGAATGCACTGGGAGCAAGATGGCCTGTTGTTGGGAAGGAAAGGGCTGCCGCCCGGAGCTCAGAGGTGGTTACATATTTTCTGTGTGCTTCTATGGTCAATAGTCCATCTTCTTTCGTACTGTTTTATGCCAAGTACAAATTCAGGGAAGGCTGATCTGTCCCATTGTACGTATCTGACTCCACTTGCTCCTAAAGAGTAAGTGAGAGGCAAATTGCACTTACAACTTTAGTCGCTAACAACAACATTTAAAATAACAGCATTAAAAGTCGGTTGCTCCTTACTTTGGCCTGAACCTGAGTGCAAACTTCTGTTGCTATTTAAACTGGGAAGCATATCTTCGCATCTGCGTGTGCTCTTCAGCCGTTAATATTTTTGACTTTGAATAAAATGCTACATTGTGAAATGCACTAAGCTTTATTACAAGGCCCTTAGGGTTCTTGGACCAAGGCAAGCTGAGTTGAAATAAAAAAGGGCGTTTAGAAGGATATTTCATTTCCTCCCTTAATTTACTGCAATTTATTCTGGATAGACACCTTCATTGAGTCTACACCATTCCTAATGTAGAAACTCCCTTATTGATAGGGCAACCTATATTTGCTTTAGTTACTTGCTCAATGGAAAGTTAATTTCTAGCTGGCTGTGTTGTTAAAGAGCGTCCGTTTTAGTATTCCTTGAACTTCATTTGCTCTGAAGAAATCTTGTTAGATTTTATTGTTGTTCTGGACATATGCCACATATTTGCAGAGACTGATGCACATTGAGATGTGACAGATCTCTCTTGTTCAGGGTTAACCTTTCCATTTCAGTGGAGTGAGGTATTATTTAAGTGTGCAAAGGAATAAACATAGGTTGTCTCCCTCTACTGAAAAGAACTGTGAAAGTTCTCCTTGGCAGGGAAACTGGAGGCATCAGCCTTCAGAGGCCCCTTGCTCAGAAGAGACTGATGCATTTGCAGTTTACATTGCAATACATGTTTTAATATGATAAAACTCTGCACTTTCCCTTGCCTCTTTTTACTTCTGAGGTGAGACATACATACAGTTTCAGGAGTTTTTTGCCCCTATTATCTAAAGGGCTCACTTTAGATTCTGAGTAGATTCTGTTTTCAGATTGTTGAACCTATAATCATGCACATATGATTGTATTGTATTCAGAATTGCAGTGGATTTTCTGGATTCAAAAGCCTTTTGTAAGAACTTGAATCACCTGAAAGGAGAAGCTGCTATGAAAAAGCGACATTTGGAGATTCTAGGATACCACGTTGTTCAGGTATGTTGTCCTCTGGATTTTGTATCAGTATTGCACATACCGTATTTTTCACACTATAGGGTGCACCGGCCCATAGGGCGCACTTATTTTTTGAGGGGGGAAATAAAGAAAAAAAAATTTATTTCCCCCCCGAGCCCCAAAGAGCAAAGAAGACATGACAGCGAGCGGGATGGATTTTAGCCTCGGTGCTGGGGGTCCGGGAGCGAAGGCGAGGTTGCGCTCAACCTCGCCATTGCTCCCAGAGCTTGTGGGGCTGGGGGCGGGGGAAGCCTGAGCTTCCCCCGACCCCAGCCCCCAGAACAGGCTGTTGCCCGCAAGCCTTGGGAGTTCCCGCCGGGCTCGCAAGGCTTGCGTACATTTGCGCGAAGCACGGGGCGCACTCCGGAGTGCGCCCCGTGCTTCGGGCTGCAGGTTGCTGCCCGCAAGACTTGCGAGCCCGGCAGGAGCTCCCGCCAGGCTCCCAAGGCTTGCGGATAGCTTCCTGAAGCCTCTCGCTCTCCAGGCTTCAGCGAAAGCCTGCATTTGCCCCATAGGACGCACACACATTTCCCCTTCATTTTTGGAGGGGAAAAAGTGCGTCCTATAGGGCGAAAAATACGGTAATTTCAGAGTTATCTAACAATATGTCAATATTCTTTATTTGAAAGTTTTTTATCATAAATATTGAGGGCTGTGTTCTGCTTCTACTCAGGGTAGACCCATTGAAAGTTCCTTCTTCCAAAGGTTGCTTTCTCTTCTTCTCAAGTTGAATATTATTATTGTTACCACCACCACCCCTTCCCATATGGTCTTGCAATCTAAAAACAGACCAGGGGTGGAGGTGGGGAGACAGCAAAGGGGGAAAGATGGAAACAGAGGCAGGAATAAAAAGGAAGAAGATGCCATTTTCCCCCCAGTTGCTCATGTTTGGATTTAGAGTGGGACTTAGAGCTTGAAAGTTATTCCAGAGGCTTCAGCAAAAAGATGGGCTTTGGTTTGAGGAAAGTAAGAGAGGTTATTTAAACTTATACAACTGAATAAAAAGTAGAGAAGTTACATTGAGTTTTAAAAAACATTGAAAAGAATTACACAGTTGGAAGATGTGTTATCAAGTTCATCTCACAACCTGTGGACCTCCATACGTTGTTTTACAACAATTCATATTATCCTTGCTCTTTGGCTAAGCTGCCTAGGGGAGGGGTCAGCAAACTTTTTCAGCAGGGAGCCGGTCCAATGTCCCTCAGACCTTGTGGGGGGCCGGACTATATATTTGGGGGGGTGAACAAATTCCTTTGCCCCACAAATAACCCAGAGATTTTAAATAAAAGGACACATTCTACTCATGTAAAAACACGCTGATTCCCAGACCGTACGTGAGCCGGATTTTGAAGGTGATTGGGTCGCATCCGGCCCCCGGGCCTTAGTTTGCCTACCCATGGCCTAGGGCTTCCAACATCTGGGGACCAGGGCTGCTATAGTGAATACTATTGGGTCATACTTGCTGAAACTTTCGAAGTATTCTTTTCATTCTGTTTTTGCTACCTAATATGAATAATCTTTCCTTACAATAAGTGGACGAATGAGAGCATCTGCCTGGCAGCTACCTACTTTGTTTTCGTATCTTACCACATTTACCAATATTCTTCATAGTACTGTATGGTATTTGCAGCCTATTATAGCTAAAAAGGAAGGGAGACACCTTTTTTCAGATGAGTTCCCTATCACAAGCACTTCTGTTTGCGCAATAGGGCTCCCCCCCTGCCTTTAAGGATATGTAAAACCATGGGCAGACATTTAAGGAACTTCCTGCTCTGTATGAATTCAATTGAGGTCTGGAGAGATGGGTATCTTCCGAGCAACACCTTAGTATTGATATAGTTAGCTATGACCAAGGCTGCAGCGCTGTGTCAACTTACTCAATGAGTACCGTATTTTTCGCCCTATAGGACGCACTTTTTCCCCTCCAAAAATGAAGGGGAAATGTGTGTGCGTCCTATGGGGCGAATGCAGGCTTTCGCTGAAGCCTAGAGAGCGAGAGGGGTCGGTGCGCACCTACCCCTCTCGCTCTCCAGGCTTCAGGAAGCACTCTGCAAGCTGTGGGAGGGCTGCGCAAAGTCGCGCAGCTCTCCCACGGCTTGTGGAGAGCTGCCTGTTCTGGGGGCTGGGGTCAGGGGAAGCTCGGGCTTCCCCCCGCCCCAGCCCCGCGCCTGGGGGGGAAATAATTTTTTTTTCCTTTATTCCCCCCCAAAAAAAACTAGGTGCGCCCTATGGGCCGAAAAATACGGTAAGTAGAACTTACTTTTGAGTGAATATGCATCTTTCCATTGAAAGCAGTCAGCTTATTGGGATGATCCTGTTCTTTAGCCTCAGTGCATATGGAATACTGTTCAGTTTCCTAAACTTAGGTGACCAAGTGCTCTGTAACAGGAAACTTGACTAGTGTTATGTCTGAACATGTTTTCACTTATCATGTTCCCCTCCAAATCAGTTTACAACCAGATCTAGAAGCAGCCATGTAACTATGCCGATACAACAGAGATTCTTGTTAAAAACAAGTATCTTGATAGGTTTCCCTTGCTATATTTCTACAGTAAACTTTATTTTATTTCAGATCCCTCATTTTGAATGGAACTCCATGGAGCTGTCATCAAAGGAGGCATGGATGGAGTATCTAAAGAATAAAATATATGAAAAGGTTTGATACGATCACGTGAAGAAGACACACAATCATGAAGTTATTTTATATGGACTATGGAACATTAAATATTTTTAGCCTGATGTGGCTTTACTGAAATCCCTTTTTAAAAATGAAATCATCACAACGCACACTAGGCTCTAGTTCCATAAGGGTGACCCACATGCGGAAGCAGGTTCACACATCTGCTGCCTATGCAGATGTGCCTCTGGATTTACATTTGGACCTGGATTTTGATGCTCCACTAGATCTCTTTGAAATGGCTGGATAATTCTTCCAATGCAGATGAGAATGCGTTTCCCCATCTGTAACCCTCCTTTCTGAACTTCCAGAGCTGCTCCCCTTGAGGCACAAAGAGCTGCCTCTTCCACCCATAGGAAAATATCAATCATACATACACTGACCTCTCAGAATCTTAGCTCAGACACATTTGTGTTTCTCATATGCATACAAATGGGCAATAAAAGACAATGGAACAAAAAGCCTAATGGAAGTCGTTAGGATGGAATGTGTCTCTGCACCTTGAAATTTCGCTTTAGGTCAAAGTAAGTGAAAGTAAACCACACTTGCCTGTTCCTCTCAGTTTATGATACCTTTATACCGGCTTCTTCCTCCTACAGAGCTACTACTAGCCTGGTGAACAAGAAAGCTACCACACTCTGATTTTTGAATTGGTTCCAGCTAGTAAATGTGTCATGTTGCTATTTAAAAACTATCTTCCTCTGCTAAGAGCTGGTGAATTGCAGTAATGTTTCCTTCCCAGTATGAATCTCCCCTCGGGTCTGCTGCTGCCACAGCCGTTGAAAGAACAGGAGACATGCAACAATAGCACAAGGGCTTGAGTCTGCCAGGCATTGTGAGTGACAACCACAGGTTGCTTGTCCGTTGCAGAGAGGCAAACCGCTCCTCCAAATAGTTGGCATTTATTTCATGGTGTCCCCCTCCTATTTCAGGGCTGGCCCATGCTTTAAACCCACAGAACTCCACAACTCAGCAAATATCACCCCCATATTTTAAGGGGAAGCCAAGCTGATCTTTAAAAAATGGAGGCGGCTTCCATAACCTAATTCTCAGAATGCAAGCACAGGAATTGACTATACAGTTAAATGAATACCAGGCAGAGGGAATTTCTGCTTATGCAGGAGAGGGGAGTTCCCTGATATATTTTTTTAGAAATTGTCCCTTCCTATTGCAACTGCCTGATCCATATGCTGTCGTGTGCCAGAGGATCTTCCAATCCTCAGCAGAGGAAGGCGAGTTATGGTAAAGTCCTCTGCTGTGATTGGTGCAGAAGCTCCAAGCCCATTTTATGTGAAAATAGTTTTGAAATGTATAACAGTCCAAGACAGCCTGGAAGATTGGGGCGATAAGCGTATTTTGTATATGAGGCTACAGCAAAAATTGCACGGGTAGGAACCATTTCTAGGTGAAATCTCCCAGACTCCTTTTTAGTCAAATTCAATTTTATTCAGTGTTACAGCAGAATTTACTTCAAATTCAAACTGTTAGTAAAAACTGAGGGCGGGGGGCATTGGGCACCTACAGAAGTTAATACGTATAAGACAGATACATGAACAGTTTAATGAATCAAGGTAGTTCTCAATCTCTGTACAGGGTAAGCTTGCACAACAAAACCAGAGGGGGACAATAAAAAATAAAAAATCATCATTAGTCAATCTTCCTTTCACTTTACAGCTTTGAAAGCTTAAAGAGATTCAGGCCAACAGAAAGACAAGAGGCACCAGAAGCATAGCGAATTTCTTTCAGCATCCCACACCACTCCTTCTTCTCGTCGTCATACCTGCATGGACAAAAGTTACTATAAGTAGGCACCTGAGATCACAGAGCAACGAATCCCTTTCTATGTTTACAAATACCAACCATGCATTAGGATCCCAACATAAAATGCCAGTTATGACGATAAGGCTTTATTCTCCATAGTACATCATTGATTTAGTGACTCATTTCACAGCTCTGGAACTGTTTGTTATTTCCCAACGTTCTTTTTCCTTGTGGTCCTCCAGCTGTTATTGGGCAACTCCCATTATCCGTGACCGTTGGCCACGCTGAAAGGGGGCGATGGGAGGGAGTAGGAATCCAGTGACCCAGGGCGGCCGGTGGTTCCTGATCCCTGCTTTAAAATTTCACAACTCAAGTAATAGTGTCAACTCTTAACTGAATCAGCTATCTGCATCAGTTTATATGGTTTATTTCTATTTTGAACATGTTAGGCCAAAAAACTTAGGGGTGCTTTCAACACCGCACTATGTAGATAATTTTGGAATGATCTCCCCTTCTCTGCCCATGCGGTCCCTAAATCTGTTCTTTCGCCACAGAGCAGATTCAGGGACAGTGTGGGGCCAGCACAAAACTGTAGCCAAACACTGCCTTTGAAAGGCAATCTAGCATAAACCCTTGCATAAAAGATAGACGAATCCATCCACCACTCCTTGGTACAGACCTGTCTCTGCAAACACCTACACAGTACTCAAGCAAAGAGTCTGGCCTGTTTGTGGGAAAAGAGGTTACTGCTGCGATCTGTAAAGCATTTTGACAATTTTTTGATTAACCTGAAGTTAAGATTATTTAGTCCTCTGTAGTGAGTAATATTTCATAGCAAAAAAAAGATGGAATTAACAGGCTTCAGATGAGATGATAATATACTATGACAAAAGATTGTCAATAAAAAATAAGCTGACATTAGAACGTTTACAAAAGCAGGAGTTTTTCACTGGATTCTGGAGGTGACCTCGTGCAGTGTGAATATGAAATATTTTAGTCTCTCATACAGTATCCTATACATGTCTACTCAGAAGCACATCCCATTAAGTTCAGCAGGAGTGCTGGCCAACATGTATGCAGTTACCGTCTTTGATTAGCAAAAAGAGTAATATTCAAACAACTTACTTCCAGATGTCGTTCACCTCATTAGGTGCAAATTCCTTCGTTTCAAGCTGAATCATAGCAAAGCCTCCAATAGCATACAAGGAGCCAGACAGATCAACTAAAGAAATGGAGCTTCTCTCTTGTGGAAACTCTGGCATAACCTCCCATCTGTAATTTAACAAATATTAGATAATGCTCACTTTTAAAGCATAACTTTAGTATAAAACCAGAGCAGGAAATATATATATATATTGTTTCCACTTCATTCATGCAAGGACTCCTTCTGTGAGCAGAACTCCTTCAAGGAATGAAGTGAAAATGTTGGATACAACCCACACTTTCTCAGATATGCTGGAAAACTTCTGGCCAAGCTCCAACATATGGTGAGGTGATGGTGCCAAAACGGGGGGAGTTCTGGGGTGGCAGCAGGGTTCGAAATTATCAGGGCGCCAGGCGCATTTTGCACCTAAAGATTCTCCACTTGGGAGCACCTCAAAAAATCTGGGTGCCATTTTTTTGCACCTGGCTGACACTTGAGGATTTCTGAAATGTATGTGCTTTGAAGCTTTGAAGTATACGCTAACAACAGACAATGAGGAGTTCAACAACGAAGAGTAGAACGTTTTGAAAACTGAAGTACGGTACCAATATTTTAATTGCAAACACCAAATTAAACATGTATTAACAATTTCTGCTAACAATTTCTATTAACAACGTGTCACTTATGTGAATTGCGTATTAGTTAATGCTTATTTAAATAATAAAAAGTGTTGCCGACCCACCCACCCTGGTGGCGACAAGACATTCTATTCTGGCACCCACAACCCAGTTCCCAGAAGCCATTTGGCTCCTTGCTTTGCTATCCCAGTTTCTAACACGGGGTGACGGTCACCTTGCAGGTGTACACCCATCTATAGGACCATTGCTGCTAAGAGCTCCAGAGCTCCACCAGCCCTGCCATGTCACCTCATCCCATCTCAATGAGCGCAATGCCACCGCTAAGACACCACCACTCCTTCAACTGCCTACCCCCAAATCACTGCTGCATTGGCTGCCTCTGCTTATGGAAGAAGGGAGGCAATATGGTACTGTCATTCTAAACACAATCACTCCTTTCCAAGACAGATTGTGTGAATTTGGTAGTGGGTTTCTGCATATCTGTAGTGGGGAAAGCTCCAGCATAGGTGTGGCCAATGAGAATGAGACTGGATATCACACTCACTTGTTAGTGGTGAGATCAAATGCTTCAACGGAAGCTGAGAGGCCCTCTTCAGTAACGCCCCCTGCAATCACAATTTTGCCTTTATGGACAGCGATGCCAAACATAGAGCGAGCCACTTTCATAGGGGGAAGATCACGCCAGTCTCCCCTCTTGGAATTGTATGCAAACACTCTGTTAGTGCATTTTCTGTGGAGAGAAAGAAACAACGTGAATTGTTCTCAGAAATCACAACTCGGCGGTCACAACGAAAAGGTGTGAACATCTTGCAAGACATTTCCACTTCGAGGATAACAGGCATTCGGATTTGGAAAATAGTTTCAAATCCAATCCAAGCATAACACGCTAGGACCAATAAAGAACTTCTAGATAGATATGCCAAACACCTTAACATCCCATGACTTTAAATGGGAAGATAATGCATTAATTTGTATCCTGAGTTCTTTCTGTTATTTATATTGCAGATGTCAACTTCCTAATATTTTTTCTCTATCCTTTCTTAGAATGGCTGCCTTGGCTTCTGTGGTCTGGATCAAAAGTCCTCAGAGAAAACACCTCACAGCATCTTGAGATGGAAGACCTGCTCCCAGCCTTGCAGTCCTTTTCCCACCTGGCATGGGAGGGCAGGGCCCGGACTGACTCCAGCTACAAAGGTTGAGGCTGCTGAACAGTCTCTTGGGTTGGGTACTATTTAGGAGTTTTCTTTGCTGTTGTTGATACTAATTTTTTGTATCTTTACATTTAGAACTTATGATTTATGTGAAAACCGTTCAGTTTGGTCATGTACATTTTGGCATCCTTTTTATTTATTCTTTTTGACTACATTTATGCAAATCTTTTTATGCTGTAAGCTGCCTTGAGCATGGTTTTAACTATGGAAAGGTGGCATACAAAGAGGATGATGTTCCGCTCCCATGATATTTAACAAATGGAATACCCATTCTTCTTTTCAGCAGTGGCTTATTTCATTAACTTGCCATGGTCTCTTCTGTATATGTTACAAGTTTTCCATTAATTCTGCCATCCTCAGCCAATTTGTTGCTACAGTATAGTTCAAGAGCAAATCAACATATTCTCCCAGAATGTTGCATAATATACACACAGCCAAAAACCAATGCTGGATATTTCTAAAACTATAGGCTGAGGTTTCACCCCTCCAGTATGGTGACACTGGACACATGCAATGGGACATGCAATTGTGAACCTCCCTGAGACCTGTGGGTATAGGGTGGTATATATTTTCAATCAATCAATCAATACTAATTCATACGATCATGGGTTCCAGCCCTTTTCCTCCCTGCAGCAGAATTTCCCCACTGCCTTTAACTTCAGTTATGGTTACATGGGCACCAACTTTAATCAAGGTTAATCAGGGGTTGAAACAGGGCACAAGTAGAAACGTTTTACCATGCCCCCCCCCACCATTGGGACACTTTTGAAGTACTCACTTATCATCAGTCTTTCCTCCAAGACAATATACAACTCCATTGTGTGAAGTAGTAGCATGGCCATAGACTTTGAGGGGGAGCTTTTTGACCTCATTCCATTTGAGGGATCTGGAATGGAAGAGGACCCAGTAAGGCAACAGAAAATTCAACGAGAAGCTCCAGTAAACACAACAATATGAAGGCACCTACGTGGGATCATAGCATAGCACTGAATCCAGAGACTCCTCAGTCTGGAGGTCTTTGCCTGCAATTACATAGATTTTGTTCTCCAGTTCACCTAGTCCAAACAGGCACCTGGCTGATGGCAGCGGAGGAAGACCAACCCATTCAGAAGTGATGGTATCCAACTATATGTTTTTCCAAAATTCAAAATAAGAAGTATTAGCAAAGACATACAAAAGAGTACATAGGCCTGAAAGATGGTAAAACAAGAGTGCTCAAAGAGGTAATAGTAAACTGTGCAAAGGAAGGAAGGAAGACTGAAAAGGGGGTGGGAACATTGTAAGATAAAAGGTAGAATAAGCAGGTGAAGAAAAGAAACAGTACAGAATCCATTCGTCCCATCCTGACTTTTAACCACACACAGTGAAGACTCTGAATGTACTTCTGGAAAGAGAACTCAGAAGGCGAGAGCTACACCCTTTGGATGTGTGCACATGATTTGGGGGAGGGCTAACCTACCAAACTCTAGCCTACCTTTAAATGTTTCCCATATGGGACTCTGCTAGCAGAGATATCATCTGTAGGCTTGTATAGAGATTACAAATAAGTAGATCTGATCCATGACAACATTCCCCTCCTCCCCGTTTTAAAAACCTTTATGCATTGTGTGTCTTCTTTAGTCCCATCCCACAAGCTTCCCCAACTTGTATCCCCACCCCACCAGACCTCTGTACCAAACTTGCGAGTCCCAATGCACCTTTTGAAAATGACTAAACTATGACCTGCCCTAATAATGCTTGCTATGTTTTCCTGGCTATACATTTTCCTTCCTTTTTTATGACTGTTTCACATTCAAACTTTCCAAGAGCTATTTTATCTCCCCCGTCTACCCACCAATTCCTCTACTTACCTGGACATGTTTTTCACAGAGGTGTGGAATTTATCTCTGGATTGTAGCGCCTCACCCTGGGCTGAGCTGAATAGGGGGCTCTCATTTTTTGCAAAATGTTTTGCCAATTGCAAAAAGGAGGTCCATTATTATGGCTATCGTTTGTGGTGAACATGAACTGGGATGAAAATGTATACTCCCTTTAAAGCAGCCAGAACTGAATTATTTGGATGTTGGGTGAGAGCAGGAGAGAAAGAAATCTGAACAAGATAGGTGAAGTGAGTGGATGAATATTTAAATTTAAATACAGCTTGTGTAAAGATGGGCCAAGACAGAGCCTTGGCTGAGTGAGCAGCTACAATATGCCCCAGTCACTTGGAGGCTATACCGAGGGTAGGGTGGGAGATTGAAAAAAGAAAAAGTAGAAGGAATAAAGAGTAAATAGAGAAATAGAAGAAAAGCAGCTAGCTGGACTAATAAAGACCAACAACCCAGGTCATCAGGGAAACCCTTTTGATGGCATCACGTCCTGTGGATTATTGTAGGACAGTGGCTCGAAACATACAAACTACCTTCTAATATGTTGCAGGGCAAATAGGATCCTCCATTTATCAGTTGTTTGTTATGCCTGGACTTGTGGAAACACTTGTTATTTTAAACTATGGCCTGTTCCAACAGGCTTACAATTTTGGCTTGTTAGAAAATACAGGTTAACAATTGCTTAAACTAATCAAACTGTTCCGATGCAACAAGGAACTCTGATTGGTTTAAAAGTGAACACAGGTGCCTCTAATCTCTTCCTTGCAGCTGTGCCAGAAGAGATGGGAAGGGAAAGGATGGGGGGGGGTCTACCTGCTGCTTGTGCAGGTAACGCAAAACTATAGTACTGCAGACAAAATGAACCATCTTGCTTCACTCCATCAATGGCTTAAGATATTTGGGCTCAGTTATTGACAGGGGAAAGTTTACATTGTGATGAGCTTAAAAAAGAACAGGAACAAAGTGAGCAATGTAGCACATTTTGACCTAGAAGTCTACATGTACCCAGAATGCACACAGCCTGCAAAAGCAATGTCCATAAATATGAACTGCTGCTGCTGAAATGAATGGGGAGACCCTTGGAATTGTTCTCTCTCTCTCTCTCTCTCTGTGTGTGTGTGTGTGTGTGTGTGTGTAGCAGGTGTTATGTCCATTAGAACTCATAGAACTCACTGTATTAGAATGTCTAACTATGGACAGATCCCCCAAACAATCTTGGGGGCTGTGGTTTGTTAAGGATGCTGGGAATTGTAGCTTTGTGCGGGAGAAAATAACAGTTCCCAGGATTCTTTGGGAGAAGCCATGTGCTTTAAATAGAATTTAAATGTATGGTGTGGATCTGGCATGTATATGATGTAAAACAGGAAAGAAACAAAAGCAAACTGGAAAACATATAAATATGGACAGGACGCTAAGGCCCACATTAAAAACCCACTTTACACGTGTTCAGATGTTCATCTGAGCAGACATTCAAGGGGAGTGGGATTGCACTTGTTCCTGCTGGCTCTGCCCCCACTCTGCTCACATTTATGCAAGTATGAACTGCATGTGAGTAGGTTCTTTCAGACATTTCACCAGGTAGAGTTGTGATTTTAAGTCAGAGCACACATGATGCCACAGCTTCTGTTATACAGTACAATTTCAGTTTCACGTCAATAACATTTTGTAGACCAATACAGTTGGTGCTGTTGACAAATGTTTTTTTTTTTTTTAAAGCTTTTAGAGGAGAATCTTCTAATATTATAGAGAAAATCAGACAGTTTAGAAAGCAAAAAATGGATCAAGGGTAATCTGGAAGGAGTGGTGAAATTATTGGATCAATGGTAAAATTACAGGATAAAATTATTATGCACCTTTGGATTTCTAAACTCTTAAGACCTTGAACTAGAAAGACAATACAGGATGTACAGCTCCTACAGAAAAGTTGCACACCAAAGGATCCACACAAAAGCTATGTTTTTAGCATGTGGAGTTCAATTATTTCTTCCCTTACCAAACAAACCAGAGATTTATACCTGGAAAAAGTATGACTGGAAAGGCTGCTCCTTGTTCTCTTCATCCACATACAGTCCTCCCACTACATAAACCTGCTTCTGTTTAGTGACTATGCTGGAATGATTTCTGGGAATCTGTTCCGACAGCGCTGCCAGGTAACATTCATTCTCTGTGGGGTCATAAGCCACAGAAGCTGTATCGTTTATGAGAAGAATAAGGTCTTTAGTAAACATTCCATGCCTTGGAATATCATTTAGGTAACCAGGAAGCAAATCTTCGTCCCCCACGTCACCATTAACCTCTCCTTTGCCCGATTTCCCTGCGCCTTTGGTTGGCTCAGGCAGTTTCCCAGCAAAGGCATCTTTAATAACCTTAATCTTTTTTGAAAGATCTGGGTTGCTTTTGATGATTTCATCCTTCTCAACATGCTCCTTGAAATATTTCTCGTCCATCAGGCGAAAGCGGATGCAGTCAAACACTTCTCCGAGGTTCTTCGCTCGATTCTCTTTATCCGCTTGCACCCATCTCATCACAGCCTCAAAAACCACTTCCTCCTTTTCGATGTTCAAGCTGTCTGGCGAAATCACGGAGATCAATTCGTGAGGGGCGAGCTGCCTGAAGTCCTCTTCTTTGCAAATCTTCACAAAGTGGTCTGACACAAAATCACGGGCGGACAGGGCAAGTCTCGGGCAGTCGAGGAGGAGACCTAATCTCAGGATGGCCAGGCAATTGCCAACAGCGAGTCTCTTCTGGAGGTAAGAAACACAGACAGTGAAAACGGAAGGGATTTGAAAGCGGCTTGCCAAAGCAAAAATATCTTGCACGTTAGAATCGTTGAGGTCAATGCTTGCAGAATAAAGGTACTTAAGAATCATATCTAGGATGACAGGATCAACATTGTCCAGCACCACCTCTTTCTTCTTCTCCTCGCTTTGCTCCGATAAGAAGTACTCACGGAAATAAGGACTACAGGCTGACAGAATCAGTCTGTGGCAAGGGAGACTTTTATCCCCAGCTTTTAGGGAACAATCAACAAACTTTTTTTCTTCCAAAAGTTCCCTAAGGCCATCTTGAAGAAGAGTGGATTGATAAAGCCGAAGCTCTTCCGCAAGTTCTCTTCGGGAATCCATTTTGTGGAACGACTGGGCAAGGAGGTAGGAGTGAGAGCCCTCTTGCTGGTACCTAGGTCTGCCTGAAAAAGGCAGATCAATGTGCTCTGCCCGGCCTGAAGCTTCTGTAATTTAATCTTGCCAGCTAAATATAGGTACAGACTTTCACAAGCTGGAATTTAGGGTGGATGGTGTGGAAAGAAGAGTGGAGCTTGCAGCTGTCATGGGTTGAAAGAAGCAACTGTTGCTTTTAGTCACTAGGGAACCACTTTTACTTGGTTACACACACTGAATCACCAAGATTACTTGCAGAATATAGTTAGCACCAGCAGTCAGCCAAGGTGCAGAATTAGAACCAAGGCAGTTACTATGAAGTAGGTCTTTAAAATGCTAATATTACTCAAGCAAGATGGGAAAAAGTAGAAGCCAGCAGGTGGAACTATGATAGCCATTCATAACTGAGTCATTGCATTCATTTAAAAGATTGTTTCAGAAAAATCAGGCCAGTGCTTATGCCTATGAAAACAAATTCCTATGAAATATCTGCTAGATACAAATATAAAGTTAAAGGTAAAAAGGTAAAGGTACCCCTGCCCGTACGGGCCAGTCGTGTCCTACTCTAGGGTTGTGCGCCCATCTCACTTAAGAGGCCGGGGGCCAGCGCTGTCCGCAGACACTTCCGGGTCACGTGGCCAGCGTGACGAAGCTGCTCTGGCGAGCCAGCACCAGCGCAGCAAACGGAACGCCATTTAATATAAAGTTACTTTCATTTAATAACATATTCACCCTTTAAGCAATGGGAAAATGTCCACTGATTTAAAATAAAAGCAGGATTGCGTCCCAAAATGTCAGTGATCTAGTATGTGTGCTTAGCCAGACTGGGTGTATTTTTCATATCATTCAAGAATGATAAAGGAGCTACTGCTGGAGTCAAAGCAAGAATGTAAATGAATCAACAGGTACAATTCTTCTACTACTGACGTATAATTTCTAATTTTAAATGGATAAACCCTGCAATTTTATACAATTTACTGAAATTCACCTTTATACTTTCAATATAACTTTCATCAGAAGAAATGGGTTGGATGTAGGACTAAGTTAGTCACACTTATGCTCCATTGAAAAGGAAGTGAAAAATTTAGTCATGAGTAACTGAAGTTTCAATGATTCCAGTGGGACCTAAAGTGTAACTTAGGCTGCATTCCTGACTCCACCTACCTGACAGTAAACCTCAGAATTCGACAGAACTTACTTCTGAGTAGACATAGGATTACACTCTTAAATCTGGAGCTAGCCCTACATACTTATTTAGCAAAGATTAACTGGTTTTTTCCTCAATGTATACTCAACAGATCAGCTGCTAAAATAACAGCTGGATGAACAAGTCATTTGACATTTTTCCATTTACAGAAATTGTGTGCATGGTATGGTCTCGTGAAAACTTAGCAGCTGCCTCTCTCAAACAATAACTGACATTTAATTTTGCATGCAGCATACTGTTGGTTCACTGCATGGAAAAATTATGTTGTGATATTCCTACAGGTAAACAAATTTGACAAAAACAAAGCTGGAATGAAATTTTTGATGAATTATAGTATTATGCAATTTTACATGTGCGCGGACACACACACACATACACATGTCATTCTGTTTGGGACTCGCTTGAAGACAATGGGTGGAATTTACCACTGTGAAGCTTTATTTAGTGGAATTCCCAGGTGGAATTCAGTGGAATCCCCAGGTGTGGTGTGCACCAAATCAATAGTTGGTAATAGTTAGTAAGTAAAATGGAAATAAATATTGAACAGATAAAAAGGTACAATGACAAGACAAATTCAACATTTGTCACAGCAACCAGTAGAATTCATGAAAGTAAACTTCATTTCTTAGCATACGTCCAGGGTAATGGAATGTGTGGTATATTGGTGGAATGAAGTAAGAGTAAGATTTAATGACTGGGTCATAGTTGGAAATTCAGAAATACCACATATTATCTCATGTTATTTCCTTAAAAATATTTTTATTTACACTCATATGAGACCAACACATATTCTAAATAATCAAATATTTTTAAATAATTTTAAATGTAACCACTGAAAGCACTGTATACTTTTACAAAACTGTACATTCCATGAATATATAATCAAATATATTTTATTATAACATGACAACTATACACTGTACATCATTATCTCTTCCTTCTTGTAATAGTTTTCTTGTAAATATAATCGCTATAAAACAGGGAGCTGTAGCTTTTTCAATACATGACTTTTAGAGACTAAACAGATTAATTAAATGTTGCTTTAAAATAATGTCAACCCATTACTTCCCAGAGTCCTTGCAGTGTGAAGCCATCTTTTAGTTTTTCTATGGCAAGCCCCAACTCTTCAGAAAAAACAGGCTCACGGTCCTGTTGCTTTTTTTCAGGAAATAAGGAAGAGAGGAAATGCAAGAAAACAAAGGTTAATACTGTATAATCAATTAGGCCATTAGGAACTAACACACTATTAAGTTTTCACTAAAAATAAAATAAAACCTTACCTTATTTCCATCAGCAAAATAAGCCTACAACAGAAAAGTAGAAAAAAATTAAAAACCTTAAAAAGTAATTGTCTAAGGGTGCTATGTAATGTTAGTCATACTCAAAGGAGACCCACTGAAATCCGTGGGCCTACAATTAACATTATATATCATCTTAAATATTTTAATTATAAACAGCACAACCTTGTGTATGCCTGCTGAGAAGCCCCACTGAGTTCTATGGGGCTTATTCCCAGGTAACTGGATAGTACTGCAGCCTAAGAATTGAATATTTGTTAATTCAAACACAAAGTAACTCAGTTCAATTAAATACTTTTGGATCTAATTATCTAATTATATCTGAAGTGGTTATTAAAACCATGTACTGCCATTTTGTTTCATTTCCCCCTTATTCAGTATGAGTAACTCCATTTTACACTCTATCAAATAAATCTCTTCGCCTTGACAGATTTATAAAATATAGCATTAAACAAAGTAATTTTTTCTGCCAGCTTTCAACTGCCAGTTTTCTGCCAGCTTGTTTAAACACAAAGGAAATGCTTCGATCATACCTAACCTATAGCAATTGTGAGCAGCAATTAAAACAGCTTTCTTCACTTTGATACACCACACTGATACAGAGGTCAGGACTCTTGATTATTTCAACAGCATTAACACTCTTAAGAAATGTGTTCTAGTGTCATGTCTTTGGTGACTGTCAAACAAAGAGTGAAATATTCACATGAGAAAGTTATTCACATTTCTTTCCTTAATGAAGTAAGGAACCCAAAGGTGCTCAGCAACTCACCAGATATTTGAAGGCATACTGAAGAGGTAGAAGATATGTGATAGCATTTTGATCTTTGAAAAATCCAGTGTGATTGCAATAGATGTATTGTCACAGGTGCTCACTATACTGTGCAAGGGACTTCTGCCTGTGCTACAGGATTTCCCCTTCCTGCTCCCAAGGGTCTCTGGAATTTAGGTGACTTTTAAAGGACCTCAGGGCAAAAAAAAATAATGTGTATTCTTATCACTTCATGCAGCTGGACCACAAGAACAGCATAGCTTCAAGGTGATTGCTAGCTGAAATGGAGCCACTCTGTTTAATCACAAACTCAAATGAGTATGAAACACGCAGGTGAGCAAGATATAACCTACTGCAAGTAGTCTCCCATTCTTCACGACCAAGAATTTTGTTGTGAAATATAGGGTTGGACCCAGAAATGAATAGAACTCCATGCAGCGGGGCTTTCCTGGCCAAAACCACCTGCTCCCAAGTGTCAAGGGACCCTCTGAAAGAAGAAGAGGAGGAGTTTGGATTTGATATCCCGCTTTATCACTACCCGAAGGAGTCTCAAAGTGGCTAACATTCTCCTTTCCCTTCCTCCAATGTGGGAAACAATGTGGGATTGGGTACAGGGGCTTTGGAAGCTCAGGGACCAATTTGGTGGGGCTGCCTTTCACAAGCAGAAGTCCCTCTGCGCTTGCACTAGGCATATTTGGATCCATTCCACAAAGTTTTGTAATCTTCCCATAGGATCAGAAACATTAAATGATGCACACCCTGACCCTGTAGGTCAGAAGGAAGCTATGCTGGGCCAGTCACAGTAAGCTATAATTCACGGCTTATCATAAATGCTGTCCAATCACTTCCACTTCTCTCTCCCATAATGCAAATGGGAGAATCAAGCCACAAGGTTTACCGTGATATCTGAAATGGGGATCATGGTTTTTTCTTGGCTTGTCAATTATGGTTTGTCAGGGAGAGAAGCCAAGCTTTGCCGCTTGATCATCCCACACACACTAGAGCAGGAGTGAAGTGGAAGTGATCAGGCATTATTTACAGTAAGCCATTAACTGTGATTTACGGTGATGTGTGAATTGCGTCACAGAGTTCGGGGGGGGGGTCAAAGTATGCACAGGACTACATAATTCAAGGTAAATCAACAGAGGATTATTATTTTTCTGTAGAACCTTACCACAAAAGCATCTGTCTGCTCATCTGCCTCAATCTCTACATCATCCTGTATTTGTTCCACAGTCAGATCTTCTAGCTGCTGAGGCTGAAAATTAATAAATGAAAGAAAACACTTTTAAATCTAATCTTTAAATCTTGTTAAGTAAACAGTAGCTAGTTTAATTTCTATAAATCGTATTTTTAAAATAGGAATACCTTTTCTTCCATTTCGTAATCTACGCCAAATATAGGATTAACTGAAAAGACTTGATGCAATGATTTTATTTCTTTTGCTGTTCCCTCTAGTTTTTCCACTGGGTCAATCTTAAATCCAAGCACATAACCACCAGTCTATAAGAGAGTATATGTTGAAAGAAAACATATCCAATTGTTATCCCACAGTATGATGACCCAAATTCAGTAAAACCATTTTGGCTGAAACTGTGCTACAAAATGTTATACTGTATCAACGATAAGCCACAGTTTTATTAGGAAGATGAGGCAAAGCATTATCAATTTGAATCATGCTCAAGTATTTAAAACATTCAGATATATAGAAACAATACAACATCTATATTAAATAAATATAGCAATGGGGCTTTGCAGTGCGTTACATGTTCATTATTAGTCACCATATTTTTATGAATGGCTATAATTGTAAATATAGTGTTACAAAAACAACGGAACAATTCCAGGTTGAAAGCTATTTTTAAGTACTAATCTCAACTGTGCCATGTGGAAAGTAATCAGCAATGACACATTCATAATTGCGTTTCTGAATCTATTTATTCACAAACAGTTCTACTCCCAAGAACTACTAAGGAGCAAATCATTTCAAGACTCTAAACTTTTACAGGGGCACAGCACTCAAAAATAGCAAGTGACCAAGCTGATATGCTGGTGTCTCATTCAGAGATTTGATTAGTCACCTGGTGCTCATTTATCATAGTCATTATTCTGTGAACTCATAACTAAGCTCTTCAGATTGAAAAGATCATACTACCATGACATCCTAATCAAAGCAGCAACTTCCTCAGGAATAAATACCACCAAGTATAGGTGCTTGAATGAAGATGTTTTAGAAATGTCTTAATGGAGTTTTGTATGGAATGATTAAAAAACTGAAGGAAGTACAATATACTGAGTTCTTACCGCCTGAGAACTCTCAATGACAAGTGCCAAGCCAAATTTTGAGTCTCTGATCTTTACTGAACGCTGGTTGAAAAGAAAAAACAAACAAATAATTGTTTGTTAAAAAGAATGACTGAAATATGACTCCTTAATAGAATTAACTGAAATTACTGACACTGACTCCATTAATTACTCTCTTTCCAGTCACTTGTAATTATAAACGCACATGAATTTTTAGTGGAGAAGAACACTGAGAACATTGAAAAGTTGGAAAATATCTTATCTGGAAACTTTGATAAGAATTCTGTTCATATGCCTCTGACAAAAAACAACTATAATGCTCAGCTAGCAGCACAGGTGAAATACCATGGAAACCACATAAACTGACCAATGTTTTTTAAAAAACTAGTGTACCATAGTGGTAAAGAGTGTGAGCTATGAGCTGAATTCCTCAGCACAGAGGAAATGCTATTGGCCTGATGCAAAAATGTATGTGAATCTGACTGCAGATTTTGGAGGTGGAATATCCTCCATGTTCTCTCTACGAGCCTAAAAGCTGACCAAACACAAAGTTTTGTCCATCAGTGTACTTCTGCATAAGCACTGCCTGATAAGGAAATATTAGATAATGCATGTCACAGCAAACTTATCCAGGACAAGTCTCTAACACCAAAGACACTGTACGCCTTCACCATCATCCAGCTAAAAGACTATTCATTTCAACCACCAGAGGAAATACATACTGTAAACCCACAACTTATGCACATTTAACTTGTGCACATTCTGCTCTATGTGCTTTGCAAATTTAAAAATTAAAACTAAAGAGGGGGTGGGCATCTGGGAAAAAGAGACTTTGGCAATCCCACCCGCCATTGAACCCTATGTGTTTTGACCATACACAATTTTGGCTTCAGGCGCAATCCCTGAAATGTAACCCCCCCATGCAAGTTGCAGGCTGACTCTATGTACTTCTAAGATTTGTCAGCTTTATCAAGTTTATATTAATATCCATTGACACTTGCCAAAAATTCCATAGTATTTCTTTGGAAATTATATATACAACAATTAAAATAAGGTAACCCATATTAATATTTAGGCAAAAATATTGTGCTGTTATTGTACTTACAATTTGTAGATATGGGATACTGACATTAAAGCTGTCATTCATATTAGCATGCCAAACTACTCTTACATTTGTAACAAAAAAGGTACCCAGATTTCCCTAGGAAAGAGAGAAATTATAATTAGTTGGTACTAGTCTTCTATAACACTATATTAGGTCCCTCTGCATTTAAAATGTAAAGAGAATAGGATTTTTTATTTACTAAAACTCACATTTAAATACAAAATCCATTGGTGAAACCCTTACTGCAGCAAACCAGGGTTGAACCATAGTACAGTATAAGAAGCTTTCCATTGCATCTACAGGACTCAAAATAATATACCGTTCGAGTTCAATGGCATGCAAGAAACATATGCCAAAGTTAAAATAGCAGTATACAAAAATAACTTTTTGCTCTGCAATATTGCTTTTGTGTCTATTTTCACACACTAAAATAGTCACCACACTCTGTTTCATATGCCAAATGAATATGGGTTGCATCTTGAGAAATGCAAGACAAAGGAAACTTGTGGAAGTGACCTTCCCACCTTCTGCAGTGGCCTTTTAAATGTTTCCCCTCAGGAACAGGGACCCTCTGAAATGGGGTGGGGTGGGATACAGAGAACTCTGGAAGATGGGTGGACTGATTGAAACTGGGCAGAACCAACTTGTGCCAGGATAGCTCTTCTTTCCTAACATGGTTCTGACCAATTTTGGTTAATTTCCCTCTCCTCCAGCAGCTCCTTGTGACCCACAATGGAGGGTCCCCTGAACCTCAGGAGTGTCTTTTGGGGATTGGAGGACAGGACAGTAGAGTGGGCAGGGAAGTCTCCTCACTTCCACTCACGGTTCTCGGGAAACAGCCTTATGAAATTCAAGTAATATGACAGAACTTGCACATAAATATTAAAGAGCTAAGAATATTCTGCTGAACCTCAGTGCCATGTATTTTTCAAGTAGTCGGTTTCACAAGGTGGTTACAGAACTTCTTTGACAGATTTTGCAGGAAAGGCTTTAAAAAAATCACATTCTTAATTTCAGTTTATGAATATATTCCACTGTACCTGATCACTAGATAAATTCCAGACACCATTTATTTTGTCATATACTTGTTCTTTGGGTAACAATCTCAACTGCTTGTTTTGAATTAATGCACATCTCAGCTTAAGCTCACGGTACATTTTTGAAGTTTCATAAGCTCTAGGAATAATAAAACATGGTTTCAAACAATGATAAAAATGGGGGGGTGGGAATATTTATACTCCTCACCTAACCAATTTGCCTCTTCTAACTTGAGCAACATGGAAGTAATTATGCCAGAGATTCTTGAGTTTAGCTTGAAGGGAAACCTCCACAATGGGATGCCTTTCCTCAATAAGATCATTTATCCTAAAAAGCCATTTATCTGCCCATCCTGAGAATATTCTTATTTTGAAATATAAGGGTTGCTTTGTGTATTTGCATACATATGAATGCCAATCCCAAATTATTACCATTTCCTCACGGAACAAAATATATGCAAACCTTTCATTCTAAAATTTATTGATTATATGGCATATGCAACTAAAACAACTAACTTCATTAGGATTGTACTTCAGCAAGCATTTCCTGCTTCTGTGCAAGACTAACACTTTTTAAAATAAAAAAAGCTCAAGTACCTGTGTACAGCAATAACAGAGGCAAAAAGTCTGGGGCTTCCAGGAACCACATTTGTAAATATGAATTCAAAACGTGTATTGTTACATTTGGTTAATATATAAAGTGCTTCTGTCTGGCCTCTTAATTTCTGTAAGAGAAAAGATTTATAAGATTTAGTATATTAGTACTGCAGTTTCCAAAAGAAATTAACAATCTTAATATTTATGTATTCTCAGTATAATTGGAAACCAGTAACAATTTCCAGGGTGGTAGCCATGTTAGTCTGTTGCAGCAAAAGTGTATTCTCACACTTTAAAAACTAATCAATTGCTACAAGCTTTTGAATAATAGGGTCCACTTTATTAGATTCAGGAATTTATTACCCTAATCGAGATAAAAGGGTTTTTATACCACTACTAGTATTAATTAAGTAATTAATTAATTGGGGTTTGTTTGGAACTGTTTGTCTTTTACCACTACAAGTATTAATTAACTTACCAGTGCCAGGATATCTGTGTTACACTCAACACTACTTTGTGAATGTTCACTTTCCTTATTCTGCATATACTTATTTTGTAGACATAGTTGTATCCATCTAAGTCAAATTCAGAGGATACCCACTGAAATCAACTGGTCACTCTGAATATGACTTAGCTGAATACAACCCCTAAGCTTTAAATGTTGTAATCTGTATTTTTCTGCATTTCATTTCTCTCTGACTTTACTGCTTCCACATTTTTTCTCTCTACACACATTCTGCCAACTTAGGTAGTGCTGATGGAGCTAATGAAGTGGACTTTTGTCTAAAAGTTTATACCATAATATAGTCATTAGCCCTTAAGGTGTCACAAGGCTTTTTGTTGCTTTTGAAATTCATAGGACTTGCTGACAATTAAATGTTTTTTAGAAGAACTGGAAAATCATGTCATTTGACGAGAGCACGTTATATATTTCCAAATACTCTCTAATTCAAAATTTGTTTCGTAAACTCACCGAGTTAGCAGTTCTTGTTGTTGTGCTTACAAAACAATTGTAGCCAACAGCTAAGGAATCAGGGAAAACAAAAACAGTATTGTTAAAGATGTCATTGAATATCTCCAGATATCTGTCTGGTATGTATTGTTGTCTGGAATAGAAAATTGCCCAAATTAAACTTAACCCGGTGTGCTAGTTGATTCCAACACAAGGGTTCCCGCTAGCACAACAGGTCTTCCTCCCTCTCCACCCCACCTCCCCCAAATCTGCTCTGGAGGATCAGAAGAAATCCCAGAACAGCACGAAAGGGAAGGAGAGGGGGGTATTTCCATCTGGCAAGCAGAAATGCTTGCTCTGAAGGAATGATCAGAAGAGCCCACCATTAAATTGAATTCCTCCCAATGAAATCACTGTGTGACAGCTATGTACTAACTGTAGTTGCAGGAACACATGCTGCTACTATAATAGTAAATCGATTCACAGGTAAACCCAACTAAATTAAACTAAACCTACTCCCAGGTAATTGTTTATACCACTGCAGTCTAATGAGACTTGCTTCCAATAACCAGAGGCTGCCATTTTTCCAGTGCTTATTTTTCCATGGAACATTTTCTGTTTCATAGTAACAATGAACAGATGCCAAAACAGTTTTAGCCAAGTTTGGCACCTTCAGTATTTTTTGTTTTTGTTTACTAAATACAAGTAAAAAAAGCAGGCTAATCACTGTCTAGGGCAGGGTGGTCCAACACGTGGCCCAAGGGGCACATGTGGCCCTCAATGCCTTTTTGGTGGCCCTCAGCAACATTCGATGGCCCCCCCCAGTGCTTGTGCTGCCTTCCCAAAGCCAGGGGACATAAAATTTTGGCCTCACTCCTACTCCCCTGGGTGCAACAAGGCAGTGTGGAGCCTGCAGATTCTATGTCAAAGTACTCTTGGGACCCACTTGGAAAGAAAAGTTGGGTCACCCTGCTGTAGGGCATGAGAAATTTTCCAGGAACCCCACAGCACTGCTTGCTTTTGAGAAGACACGTGCATAGTTGTTTATCTCCAAAACTTTTATTTTACTTTTCAATTGAAAAACCTTACAACACACACACAAACACACACACAAAGACAGTTCCTTCCCTCAGGGTAACAATCCAAAAAGACATGACACAAAAGGAAAATGGATCGGGAAGGAGGAAAAAATAAGCAATCTCAGGTGCAAGAGCTTAGTTTCAAGTCCTTTCAATGACCAGTCAGCAGTGGAAAAGTTCAAGAAGAAGAAGTGCCAAAGTATCTGAGCACACTGTTAAGAGTGGCCTTCTTGAAGCTTGATGTAGTGGCTGCTGCCAGAGGATAGTTAATCCTGGTGTCAGAGTTTTCTTATATAAGAGATGTATGGTGCAGACCTACCCCCCCCCCAAGCTAAGTCTATCCATGGTCTCAGGTCCCAACCCACATTTGTCCACAATTAACTACATGTTTACAAAAAGCTAAGCTACCACAAATGCTATTTATATGAACAGAATTAACATCACTTTGAAGAATACTATTTGTTAACAGGTAACTGTATCTTACTAGACTAGATATACTGTAGAAAAACAGCTTAAGAGCTAAGCTGACATGCCCTTGATAAAGAGCATGAGCAAATAAGAACAGCCTGAAAAATTTCTGCCCACCTAGTTTTATAACCCAGTAAAGGGCAAACCAAGTTTCTGGTTGCCAGCACACTGGACCTGAAAGGAGGCTGGCCACAGTACGTCATCCTTATTTATAATTTTTTAATATTGTATCAGTCTGAAAGTTGTCCAACATTTAAAGTTAGTAGTGTGATGAGTCATATGCTGAATCAGAACGCTTTTTATATGAAGTGACCTTAGGAAGTATGAAACACTGCGTGCTCCCCACAAAGAAAATAGACAATTGCAGTGTGAGTTGGTAAGGGACAATGCAAAGTCTGCAAGGCTTTCTTATTTTCAAGAATGCCAGATATACCTAAGGAGAGTTAGAATTTTCAGTATTTTCCAGAATGTTTTGAGAACATTTACCAATGCATTGTTTACACGGGAATAATTATGTCAATTCTAACTACTAATACAAAGACGTAACGTTAATAGAGTGATGAAGGTTACAGTAAAACCAGAGGCTTCCACTCGGATCCTAATGGTGTTTCACAGCTCTGAAACTATTGGGACTTACTTTCAAGCATATGCACTTAACACTGGGATGTAAATGTCTCTCTTTGAAACAGCAGCAGTACCAGGTAAAGGAGAAAAGCTTTTGATTGACCAGTTATTTTTTTTAATGGTATAGAAACAAAGGAAGGGATACTTACAGAGGTTGACCCTAGGCAATACAATGGAGTGCCAAATAATTCTCAAGTTTGTTACCAAAAGTCTGCCTGGAAATTTAAAAAAAAGGGGGGGGGGAATCACCAGATAATTTATCGCAAAATTATTCTAATACTAGACAGCCAGAAAACTCAAAGGCTACCCTACTCAATACTATGTACTCGGGTCAGGATCTTCTACACCCAGTATCCCCCATCCATTTATTAATGTCATATATATATAACAAACAAGTGGGATGTGCAACAAAATGTGGAGCACTCCTGTCCTGGGTTTCAGCCAGCCACGACCTTCTTTAATATACTCCATTCCAATACTGCGCCAAGAGCAGCCCTCCAACTGCAGAAGGAGCCTCGTAAGAGGCTCCGGAGCGTGGAGGGGGGCTGCGGCGCTGTGAGCCGTTTCACAGTCAGCGGAGTGAAGCCGCGCTGCTGCTGCCGGTGAGCGCTGATCCCTTTTCCTGTCAAAATTCGGATCTGGAAGAAAACAACTTACTCGTGAGTAAAGACTGAATCACTTGGAATTACAAATTTTAAATGAGAAGGTTTAAATTGACTTGAATTTGGCTGAAAGCGGAGAGACGTGGAAACAGGAAGTCCGTCTTCCGCTGCCATTGAACTTGGAAAAAAAAGCAACTAAAGTGGAGGAGTGGAGGCTGAAAGAAAGAGATTTTAAACTCTACACAGCCAAGCATCTATGGAACTTACAATTTAAAGTAAAATTAGCAAGTTAAAGATTTGGACCTTTTATTTGCACTTGACTTTCCCCTTTTATTGGATTACAAATTGGAAGGTGCAACCCAGAGTCAGGATTGCTTGAGCACTGTAACAGTGGGCTGTCAGTGTTTGACTTGGATACTGTATATCAGAAGTTGCAACAATCTGAGGGTATTGAGACCTTTTAAATTTGAAACATTCTTTTTGGAGACAAATAAGCACTGTCTGCAACAAAGTGATTACTTTTAAACTCTGCTTAATACTTATATTGGAAGGTTCTGGGACATTAAATCAGACTCTGAAAAGACACTTTAAGCTCCCTCTAGAGGATTGGATTAAAACAGTGACTTTATAAAAACATTTACTTTCGATTCTCTTGTTGTCTGCATGCTCTGGGCCTCTCTATTCCTGTGGGAAAAACTCAGTGTGACCTTGACTGATAGATAACATTGGAATGAGTGGTACAAGAAGAAGAGGAAGAGTTAGACAAACAACTCTAACAAATCTAACCTCAGCCTCGCAGACACGTAGATCATCTGTGCCTACTTTGCCCTCAGAAGTACAACTTGAAGAAGCTGCCTTGCTACAGGCAAAAGAGGGAGAGGGTGAAGTAGAGCAGTTACAATTGGAAGATATGGCCTCAGGAGCATCTGTTTCTGTGCTAGAAAAATCTTTGAAAAATTGGAAGCTTTGGACAAGAAAGTAGATGCGCAATCAGCAAAGATTGATAAAAATACAGATTGTCTAAACAAATTAACTACACAGGTGGGACAGAATACACAAGCAATTGGACAGTTGACGGAGGCCTCAGTAGAAAACCGAAAACTGGCTGAGGATACCAGACAAAAATTGGAAAATTTAGAGCAAGAGGTAAGACCACTCACTAAACAAGTTGGGGAACATCAGACTTATCTTTCTATGATAGAACTGCGAAATCGTGAGAATAATTTGAGGATTAGATCATTACAAGAGGCAGAAGAAGGAAATTTAACTGAGTTTTTGACCAAAGAACTTTCCAAGTTCTGGAATTTGGAAGAAAAGGACTTTAAAATTGTGTCAGCTTTCAGACTTGGAAGATTTATAAAGAAGGAGAGGCCCAGGGATTGTTTGATTACATTGAGATCGAAGGAGGAAAGGGATAAGATTTTGGGCCTACATTACGAAAAGTCACTGGAAGTTTTGGATAGAAGAATTGAGATATATAAAGATATCCCAAGACAACTGTTGGACCTTAGAGCTGCCTATTCCGAACTTGCTAAACTATTAAGGAGCAACGCAATTCCATTCAGGTGGGATTTTCCCCAAGGATTATCTTTTACCTTTAGAGCGAGAAAGGTTAAAATTAGAACATTGGAAGAGAGAGATAAATTTTTGGCTACACACGGAGAGGACCTACATAAAGGAATTGAACTACCTTCCGGGCCTGAGGCAAAGCCAGCATCAATACCTCCACCTCGGGAACTTGAAGATCAAGAGAAGACACCACCCCAGGAGAAATAACCAGATAGATCCAGGATGTCTCTGCAACTGTTGAGCTGGAATATTAATGGTTGCAATATTCCGGAGAAAAGGAAGAAAATATTTCATATATTAAAAAAGAACAATTGGACATTATTTGCTTACAAGAAACACATGTGACGAGGCTCCACAGAAAAGTGTTAATAAATAAAAGATTGGGCCAGGAATTTATTTCGTCGGATAAAGTGAAGAAGAGAGGAGTGGTGATATATGCAAAAGAGAGCCTGTCACCTAAATTTCTATTTAAAGATGAGCATGGAAGGATTTTGGCTATTGAGATACAATATCAAGGAGAGAAACTGTTGATATTAGGAATCTATGCGCCTAATGAAGGGAAATCGGAATTTTACAAGAAGTTGCAGGGGACAATGCTGGATCATCTGGATTACAACAACATCATAATGATGGGAGACATGAACGGGGTCGTGTCAACTAACATGGACAAGTCGCAAAGTCAAAACATCACAAAAGATGGCAGACTACCTAAAACCCTTTTTGAAATGACTGACAATATGGACTTGATCGACATTTGGAGAACAAAGAACCCACTAGGTAGAGAAGGAACATTCTTTTCTGAAGCCCAACTGACCTGGACAAGAATCGACCAAATATGGATCTCTAGAGGCCTGGCACCTAGGGTTAGAAAAGTGGAAATCTGCCCAAAGACCTGTTCTGACCACAACGCAGTAAAGATGGACATGACACTACTACCAACTGGATCCTTTAGATGGAAGATGAATGACAATTTGTTTAGAGATCAGGAAATTACCAAGAAGGCCCAAAAAGTTTTGAAAGATTATTTTGAGATAAATATGAACAATTCGGTGGAAAAAGAATCGTCTGGGACGCAAGCAAAGCTGTTATGAGGGGATTCCTGATACAACAGAATGTAGTAAAGAAAAAAACACAAAATGAGAAAAAAGACAAGATTTTGGATAAAATAAAAGAATTAGAGAAGAAATTAAGAGTGAATCCAAAGTCACAGCCAACTCTGAGAGAAATTAAACTGTACCAAACACAGTATTCTAAATTGATAAATCAGGAAATTGAATGGAAGATCAAATTAATGAAACAAAAAACGTTTGAGTCGGCGAATAAATGTGGAAAACTGCTATCCTGGCAGTTGAAGAGAAGACAAAGATTAAACACGGTTACAAATTTAGAGGTTGATGGAAGAAACATTCAGAATCCAGTGGACATTAGAAAGTGTTTCCAGAGATATTTTAAAAATTATACACCCAAGGGCCGCAAGACGAAGTTGAGATTAAACAATTTTTGCCAAAAATGGATTATCTAAACTGTCACAAGAAAATAGGACAATCCTGAACTCTAAAATAACACGACAGGAGATTGAACAAGCTATTCAGAACATGCAACTTGGCAAATCTCCAGGGCCAGACGGGCTGACCTCCAAGTATTATAAGATACTAAAAGACTATTTGATACAACCTTTGATGGAGGTTAGCAATGAAATTATGGAGGGGAAGAGGGCACCGGATTCGTGGAAGGAAGCGTTTATCACATTGATACCAAAGTCAGAAACTGAAAAGACACAACTGAAGAACTACCGTCCCATCTCCCTTTTAAATGTGGATTACAAAATATTTGCAGATATTTTGGCAAGTAGATTTAAAAAGTTTTAAATGAAGTAATTCATAAGGACCAGGCCGGTTTTCTCCCAGGTAGACATTTGTTTGCTAACACAAGGAACATTATTGATATTTTGGAACTTCTCCAAACTGACATAAATACAAAAGCTGTTTTAATTTTTATAGATGCGGAGAAGGCCTTTGATAACATTTCTTGGAAATTTATGACGGGAAACTTAAAAGAGATGGGAGTGGGACGGGGTTTTGAGAATGGGATCGAGGCGATATATTCAGAACAGAAAGCAAAACTGATAGTTAATAATGTGGTTACAGAAGAGTTCAAAATTGAAAAAGGGACACGACAAGGTTGCCCTATTTCCCCTTTGTTATTTATTTCGGTCCTGGAAGTGCTATTGAACATGATTAGAGGGGACCAGCTGGTGGAAGGAATTCAGGTTGGTCAGAAACAATATAAATTAAAAGCTTTTGCAGATGACCTGGTTTTGACCTTGCAGAAGCCAGAGCCTAGTACGAAAAGAGTATTACAATTGATTAATGATTTTGGTCGGGTGGCGGGATTTAAATTAAACAAACAGAAAACTAAGGTTTTGGGGAAAAATCTGACTGAGACAGAGTCAGAACGGTTTCAGAATGAGACGGAACTTAATGTGGTTAAAAAGTAAAATACCTAGGGGTAAACATAACAGCAAAAAATCTAAGTCTATTTAAGGATAATTATGAAAAATGTTGGACAGAAATTAAGAGAGACTTAGACAGTTGGTCAAAATTGAAACTTTCTTTGTTAGGCCGAATTGCTGCGATTAAGATGAATGTATTGCCAAGAATGTTGTTTTTATTTCAAACACTGCAGGTATTGGACAAAATGGAGTGCTTTCAGAAGTGGCAGAGAGACATTTCGAAGTTTGTCTGGCAGGGCAAAAGCCCAGAATTAAGTTTAAGATACTAACCGATGCTAAACAAAGAGGGGGCTTTGCCCTGCCGGACTTAAAGTTGTACTATGAAGCCGCAGCGTTTTGCTGGCTAAAAGACTGGCTACTTCTTGAAGACACTGATGTGTTAGATTTGGAGGGGTTTAACAATGTTTTTGGATGGCATGCATATTTATGGTATGACAAAGTTAAAGCAAATAAGGCCTTTAAGAACCATATTGTTAGAAAATCACTGTTTAATGTCTGGACAAAATATAAAGACTTGCTGGAAAATAAAACACCAAGGTGGCTTTCACCTTTGGAAGCTAAGGCCCGAAAAAGACCCAATATGGAGGCCAAATGGCCAAAATATTGGGAAATATTAGAAAACGATGGAGACACTTGGAAATTGCAGAGCTTGGAGAAAATGAAAGACAAAGTGCGAGATTGGTTACACTATGCTCAGATTAAAGAAGTTTTTAAAAGTGATAAGAAACTAGGGTTCCAGGTGGAGAAATCGAAATTAGAAACAGAATTGTTAGAACCAAAGACTAAGATACTTTCAAGGATGTATAACTTGCTGTTGGAATGGAACACACAGGATGAAATGGTTAAATCGGCTATGATAAGGTGGGCACAGGATATCGGGTATAATATTATGTTTGAGGACTGGGAAAGGCTGTGGAGTAATGGATTGAAATTTACTGCATGTAATGCTTTGAAAGAAAATGTAATGAAAATGATTTATAGATGGTATATGACCCCAGTCAAACTTGCAAAAATTTACCACCTGTCTGACAATAAGTGCTGGAAATGCAAAGAGTGTGAAGGAACGTTCTTTCACCTCTGGTGGACATGCCCTAAAGTGAAGGCGTTCTGGGAAATGATTTATAATGAATTGAAAAAGGTATTTAAATATACTTTCACTAAGAAACCAGAGGCTTTCCTTTTGGGTATTGTCAGCCAAGGGGTGGCAAAGAAGGACCAGACATTTTTATGTATGCAACAACAGCAGCAAGGATACTACTCGCAAAACATTGGAAAACCCAAGATCTACCCACACTGGAAGAATGGCAGATGCAACTGATAGACTATATGCAACTGGCTGAAATGACTGGCAGAATCCGTGACCTGGGAGAAGAGAGAATCGAGGAGGATTGGAAGAAATTTAAGAACTACCTACAAAAACATTGTGATTTGATTGAATGCTGAATAAGATGCTGGACTAAATAACTGAGCACCACTTAACTTAGAAATTTTTAAGGAAACAAGAAAAATTGTGAAAGTTTAACTCTTTATGAGAACTTTAAGATTATGAAATATCGAAGAGATATAAGAATTTAAATAAGATGATAAATTGCTGACAAAATGTTATAATGATGAAGGTGGGAGCGGGAGATGTGAGGAAGTCCAAAGATAATGTGAAATTATGTTAAGACGAATGCTATATTGTTTATTACATTTATTCTTATTGTAAAATCCAATAAATTGCTTTAAAAAAAAAAAAAAAATATATATACTCCATTCCAGCCCCACCACATTTTTGGTTTTTTCTCCCAAAGAGCCAGCTTTTGATTCTGTGGTCACTTGGCTTGCTCAGTTTGTGACGCTTTTGTACTACTGCAAATCTAACAATCTCCACAAGCCTACTGATACCTCTTGTGCATGGATGGTGATATTTTGACTACATAAAGATTCCCACTCAGAGAATGAGTTTACTATTTGGGGTAGGGTCATTGCTCAGTGGTAGAACATCTCCTTTGCATCTGGAAGGTCCCAAGTTCAACTCCCAGCAACTCCAGGTAGCACTGGGAGAGAACCCTGACTGAAACGTTAGAGAGCCAGTTACCGTAAACAGCAATAGGCCAATGCTCAATAGGCCAATGGTCTGAGTCAGTATAAGGCAGATTCCTATTTTCCTATGCAGAATTCCAAGAATAATAACCCATTAAAATCTGCTGTACAAGAAAATAAGCAGAAATGAGTGAACTGCAACTATATTAGAAAAAGAGATTGGGCAAGCAAACTACCGCAACCAAGTGAAAATCTTTCAGGACCTACTTACTATCTAAGATCTGCAGGAGGGGACAAAAGGGAGCTGATACTACATAAATCACAAGGAAGGGATATAAAGGCAAGTTATAAATATTTATAATTAATAAATAAATACACATGGCGATCTTGGACATCTGCACTGACACATCATCGTAATCTCTAATAATAGCAAACTCAGGTGGCCCAGTGCCAATCACTTGGGAAGCAAAATGCTGCAATCCAAAAATAAGGTCATGGCTTCTACATATATTGGGAATCCCCCAGGCATGCAGAAGAACACACATTTGTGAAACAATAAAATAAAGCTGGGCGGAAGGTGGGAAATAACCCTCCGAAAACTGCCTGACAAGAACCTGCAAACTTTTAGCTTGGAACAGAGTGTTGATAGCACTTGAGGAAGAGGGAGAAAGGGTCAATAGAAACCAGAAGTTGTACCTTTCTCTCCATTGTTTCCTTTGGTATCTTCAATAGGATCCAAACAGTCAATGAGAACTTCTCCTGGTCTCATTTTCATTTGCCTATAACAAAATTGCATGTTAAGTTGCTGCTTCAGCCCTTGGTTTTAGGTAAACCAGTAATATCCCAATGAAACATTTTGGGACAATAATGCTCATCATGCACACACACAAATCCAAGATCTATAATGATCTATAATGACTTTGGAATAAACTTGTCTTCTCCCTAACCAAAGAGAGTCATCTTTCCAAATGAAACACTAATTGAAATGGCAGAGTTGTGCAATGACATTCACCTGCTTTTTGCATTACTTCTCATGAGTACTGAAAATGTTAATCAAATGTTTTAACTGTAGGTTCCAATCAAAGTAGTTCCCTGCATGGAGGAATGTGTGATGTCTTGGTAAGCTTGTTTCCATTCTGAAAGAAACAAGTTTATCTTTTTATTTTTTTAAAGTGCTATTAATCCAGCTTGTTATTTAAATAATCCATTGCTAGCCACCAGTGACAAGGAATCACACACAGGTGTGTGCACAGAATACCATGAAGGTGAATGAGCAGCCCAAGTGCTCAGTCCCTTCTCTAGGCACAGGCCAGAAACCAAGCAAGCTGGCAGAGGATTGAAAAACCCCTCCTTCATGCCCATCACAGATACACAGAGGGGCTGCTGGAGGAGGGTAGGGCTCTCTATCCTTCCTCAGTCAATCTCCTTGCCCCCAGCAAGCTAGCAATTTTTTCTGGACTTATTTACGAAGTTGCAATTGGTCACATTGGGCTAGTAGCAATGGTCAGTTCCTAGCCAGCATGACCAGCATAGCCACTCTTTTATCCTCTATGAATTTGTCCCAACACTTGTAGTCATCACTACATCTCATGGCAGCGAATTCACGCCATCTTGCATCAACAGGCACATGGTACATATTTACAGACCTGGTGAAACAGTTTGTATAAAGTATAACCTGTATACTGTATAGATAGAAATCCTCATTTATTCCGGAATATAGTCCACAGGCAAACTGAAAATTGTGGAGCGAGAATTTGATGTGTGTATAAGGAAAGGGGTAACTACGGGTTATAGTTTTGCTGGCCCTGTTAGGTTCTTGGAGGCTGCTAGCTCTTGGGAAAGTCCTATAAAGAGCCCTCATACAGGAATTCATAACATTTCCTGGCAAACATAGTACCATATAGCTTTCTAGATTCCCAGGGGTGAAACTACATATTACCAGGAAACCACAGGGTTCTTAACATCATGTTTCTACCATGAGTTAAATGAGGCCCTTTTGAATTGGCAAATCACTCCTCCCCATTGTTTCCTGGTTATTTATTGCCCCGGCTGAGCTCCTAAATTAAAAGCGAACGTGGCAGGGGGCAGGGTAAAATCAGCCTCAGTATGGGGAAGTTTCTATTCACAATATAAGATACAACATTTATTTTTGTTTTGTTAATGTTTTACAATCTACAAAGCATGCACGATTGTTTCAGATGTGAAGGGTGTTATCCAATGGTATGGTTTCTGTGAGTAGAACGGAAAAGGAAGCAGCTTTCAGAAATCTCCCCTCCCCCCCTTGTTGGCCCCACAAACTGCCTAAATCAGCTCTAAATCCAACCATCTGAAGCAGATTTAAAGGCTGTTTTCCTTCTGTGATGATACAATCCAAACGTATGTGTGGCCTCAGTATGTGTCTTAACATTGCACCTGCATGTAAGCTCTGTTTTGGAAATAGAAGATAGGCTGCTCCATTGATTTCAGTAGGACTACAGAGGAATAAGTGGTTTGAGGATACCGGTCATCTTTCCTCTTGTTAATCAAGTACAAAATACAAAAGGATCTTAATACATTTGCACAAAATCTCCCCTGTCTTGGCTAACAATCTTTTCTGTTGAATTCTGCTTGGTGAGCGTCTCTGTTAATATCCTTCAGCCATCTGTAAAACAGGACAAGTTATATAATTTGTACTGATAAATATGAATTTCTCTGTTAAAGCAAAATTAAATCCGAGTGTGGTGTCCAGAACTTGTTTCACAATTTCCAGCTGTACTGTTTCCCCAGTGTAACCAAGTTGCTTATCAGAGCATCATTTGCATTAGATTTGAAAATATTCTGTGTACACATCATACATCTAAAGCACATCCTCTCCAAGAATCCTGAGATCTGTAGTTTGTTAACAGTGCCAGGAACTGTAGCCAGGATTTGTTCCCAGGATTCTTTGGTGGGGCTGTGCTTTAAATGTATGGTGGGTACACAGCAGACTGTGGTTCTCTTCTTTGCTAGAGGGTAAGGAGTTCGGACTTCTCCCTCGCTTGGAGAATCTGGTAAATAGGAAAGTGAAAGAGCTATTTATCCAGGCAGATGTGTGGGACAAGATTGGAAGAAGTAAACAACACAGCTTCAGGATGCTCAAGGCATTGATCTATTCTAAGAGGACGTGGCAGAATAGCTTCTTCCTCTAGCAGACTGTTGGAACTCATAGAGGGAGGGAAAAAAGAGAAGACCGCCTGAGACACAGTGATCCCCAGCTGCTGCTTGTCTTCTGGCTAGGTCGAACAGTCACAACCTTCCTCCACCCTCTTACAAATACTTTGCAGCTGATTTTTTTTTGGGGGGGGGGTGGGTCCCGCCATGCAGTTTGAGAAAAATCAGGTTTAAGCCCACAAACCAGTGGGACTACTAACAGTATGGTATTGACAGTGTGTGGCACAGGTCACACAACCTGTATTATGTTGAGAATTACTTTTTCATGTGCAACCTTGATTTTTCATATTTTATTTCTGAAGCTCTGATCTTGGGTGAGAGTGAAAGGACACACAAGTGTAACATGAACCTCTTCACGATCATGAAGCCCTTGAAAGTGTGATCCTAGACAAGTCTATTCATAAGTAAATTCCAGTTTGTTCACTGAGGCTTACTCGCTCATAAGCATGCATAGGAAAGCAGCAGTCAGCACAGGCTCTTCCCAGAACTACAAGAGTCTGTAGAAAAGCCTCGGTTCCTACCTCAAGAGGAAAATACGCAGGTCTTTTTACAGTCTTCCTCGATATCAAAGCGGTTAGCATTTCCATCGCAGCCACCGTACCAAAACTGAGCACAAGAATTGGCTTGCTTATCATAATACCATTTTATAATATACACACGGCATGGTCCTTGATCTAATCTTAATTTACATTGTGGAGGGCTCAAGAGATTTTCTTTAAAACAAAAACAAAAAAATATAATTATTCTCATTATAGTGCTTTACAAAAGTAATTGTGGCAATAAAGTTCAAATTTAATCAAACGTTTACCATGTTAGAAGTTAAATTTATGAAGGTAGTGCCAATATACACTACCCCCCCCCAACATGATGGATGGATAAATGGATAGAGTTTCTTCTTCTCTCCAGTATTTCTCCAATCTTGCTTTACTCACATCTCTACTATTGTTTAAAACTTTTCCTCTCAATTTTTCTCTACCCTTATTTAAACACACCCACCTACCCCTTTTCTGTGTCAATCCCTTCCTATATTCAAACCTGTTCCTGCTCATTTTCTCAGCTGCCTCATGTGATAGAGATAAAAGATGTGGAGCCCTCAAATATTCCACAAGACAGGCGTCTCCCCCACTTATGTGAAGGTGGCGTTCCTGGGTACCACGTGTATATGTGAAATCACATTAAAAAATCCTGTAATCACCCTCTAAACCTCTGGAAATCCACAAAAATCCACTGAACTCCACAATTGCTCCCTCCAAGCCTCTCTCCAAACCCCAACTCTCCACAGGCTTCAAAGATCTGTGCAAAGACTCATGGGATTGCAGTTACAAAGGCGCATGGGATGGCCATTTCCCCCTTTTTCGCACAATTTTTGCTGTTTTCCCTCTCTTTTTGCCCCCTTCATGCCCTTTTACAGTATAAACGGGTTATTTACTTTCAGGTGTCGCGCATATGCACAGTTGCGCATAAGTCGAATGCGCGTAAGCGGGGAGAGCCATAACCCAATTTTCCTTGCAGTTCCCTCACCCCTTGCTTTACTCAAACATCTGCCTTCATTTTCCACACCCACTGCCGCTTCATGCAAATCCCGGATTGCAAGGAGGCACTGCAAAATCCTCCGATGAGGGTTGCACAACGATATCATTACATTATATATAGGGAGAAATGGAAGAGCGTTAAAACTTTGATACATGTAACGACCTGGTTTGGGTGTAGGTGGCATGGAGGAAGCTGATGAATGAGAAGGTGGGAGCGTTTTCTCTGCTGTTAGCGATGCCAACGGCGGTGATGACGATGGTGATGATGGCAATGATGGCAGTGCTGACGTAACTGCTGCAGAATATAATGTTATACACACAGAGAGAAAAAACCATTCAAGAGATGGGATGACATGTAGCTGATGAAGTAGATTTTAATCCCTGAAGGTTTATGCCATAACAATACCTGCAGCGGCACAATATTGTTTGTTATTTTTGCTGCAGCAGACTAACATGGCTACCACTCTAGGAATTTAAGGAAAGGGTGGTGAGGTTTGTTTGTTTGTTTTTGTTTTGCCTATGAGACATATCCTGTTAAGAACTAGATTGCAGAAAGAATTACCTTTAACAGGAGACAAAGATGTGAGATCATCAGGTTCCACATTGTAGTTCTTAGGAGATGACCTGTGCAATTCTTTGGTCTGAAACAAATTCAGTTTTGTTAATTTTAAAATTTAGCGGGGGCCTTATCACCAGTGAACTTACATTTACTGCCCTCAATAACTTAGGCCCCAAATATCTGAAAGGCCAACTTCTTCCCTACAGACCCTCTTGGCTGAGAAACCTCTTGGTAGTTCCACCGCCCTCAAAAATTCAGGGAGTGGTGGCCCCAGAGAGGACATTCTCTGTGCCCTAAGCTAAAGAATTCCCTCCCCACAAAGCTGCATCTGTCTCTTGCATTGTTCAGTTTTGTCATATGCTGAAGATGCACCTCTCGTCTTTTGATATCTGATATATATATTTTTAGAACTCCACCTATTCTTCTGATCGTAAATTGTTTTAACTGATTTTAATATTGTATTTTTACATTGTTGTAACCCACCATGTCACTTTATAGGGAACAGCAGCTTAGATAGATAGACAGATAGATAAACAAACAAATAAATATTTGCTCTGTGATACAGAGAAGCCGAATAGAGACCTGCTTCATTTTACTTCTGTCCACAAAGAACCACTCGTGTTGGTTCTTTGTACATGAAAGTCATATATGCTTCAAGTTCAAGACTAAAATGTAGGTTCCAGAGCTTTCAAATAGTGTTTGCCTGATTTACAGAAACATGAAGCATCAACCAGGTGATTGCAGGCTTTAGATAAAATTACCTTTAAATTAAAAGCACTGGAATTAGATCCTTCATTGAAATAACTTAATGGCTAACTAAGCTACTTATTGAAAATAAGTATTCAGGTTCAAAATACTGAGCTGCAAAGTCAGTTCTTTACAACTAATTTTTAAAGAAAACCTTATCATTTTGTATTTTTCAGCTGCGAAATGTCCTGGGATTCAGATGAAGGGTGATATACAAATTTAATAAGTAATAATAATCACTACAAGTAAAAAGAGAGAATCCAGAAAATATCCAGTAGCCAATGAGTACCGGGATTAATGGTTGAGAAGGCTGGCCAAGATTTATAGAATCCTCTTTCACTGTTGTTTCAAATTCATTTGATAAAACTGACTGTCCATTATTACTGTTTGTGTGCAATATGTATTGTGAAGAACGAGAAGATACTGAGTGGATAGATGGTCCATTTATGCTTCCTCCAGCTCCAATCCGATTATATATTAAGGCCCCATGTTCATCTTCACAAAACTGGTTAACAAGTTTGGACTCCAAAGCTTGAAACAAAAGAAAATAAAAACCCATTTAAAAATCCCAAATGTTGAAAAAAATGCATTTTGTTCAAGAAATAATATTACTCATGCAATTTTCACTATGTTGAAACTTTTTTTTTAAAAAAAGTAATTGTTTCTTAAGTCTTGGGATAGCTGTTGGAACATTTTTTTCTTCACATATGGCAAGCCCCAAAGCATAGCTGTTTATGTCAAAGTAAATGGGTTGTGTCCAGCTAAGTTTTACTCAGCAAACCCCTTGAAATTTGGGGAATTCGGTTAATAAAGCCCATAAATTTCAGTGAGTGTGCTCTGAGTGTAAGCCTTTTCCTCTGATGGGACTCAAGGCAGTTACAGATAATAATAGCCATTAAAAACAGAAAAAACAAAACACCCCCCCCATAAAAACCATACAAACACTGGGGGAGGAACGGGGCGGGGGGCGGGGAGAATGCACCGCCCCCAGCACCATTGAGGAGGGGGTCGTACCATTGCGGCCGCCCCCGATATGTGTCGCACAATCCACCACCGTGCTGGGCGCCACGCCCCCCAGGATGCACGTCACACCCCTGCGGCGGCACACTACACCCCCGAGACGCATGCCACATAGGTGATGTGCCACACCCCCAGGGCACGCGCCAGCCACGCCCCCACCTGCTCTCCGCCCCCAGTGCCGGAGCATGCAGCTTTGCCACTGCATACGAATAATCACAATAAAAACAGCATGGCAGCCACCCCTCTGCAAAGCAAGAATTTGCACATCATATTTTATGTTTTTGTGCTTGCACAAAAGTTGGTATATTTTGCCCTAAGCATTTATTAACTGGTGCAGCAAACTATTAAGATAGGTCCACAATATGAAATTCTTATTTGTGTAATTTTAGGAAAATGCATAAGAAAGTCTTGCTTTAATTCCTACCCCCTTGCCCTGAGTGGAGAACAATAGAGGTCTTAGCAGAGTTCTCCCTTTCAGAATCTCAGCTTCTCATTCCTGTTTGCTTGTGTCCTGGGTCACAAAGGGACAAAAGAAGGACTGGATGATCCATTCTATTTCTGGTCCATGTCAGTGTTGTCTATATTCATTCTTAAGTCTTTTCTGTTCTGTTTCCTTATTAATGTGGTGTGGTGTTTTTTTTTAAAAAAAACCATATATTACTCTTCAACTATGCATGCTTTTACACTTCATCCATGGCCACTTTGACATGCATACCTCAGAGCATTGAATGTGGGTCAATGCAGCCCTTGGCCTGAGAAAAGTTAGCTTTGGGATATAAAATCTATGGATGAACATAACATTCCTACATGGCATGCTCTACATCCACTATGTTGTTCCAAGACCTTTAGTGAGGGATATAGAGGGTAATTTTGACTGGAGGCACCCAAAAGCTTGAAGAAGATCTGTGGGGACCAGTAATTCTTTTAAGAGCCATGATTACCTGGAAGAGTATTAAAGTCGTCAATGAGGTACATATGTTCTCTGTCAGGGTCTGATGCAATGAGATTCAGCTCCCGCAAGAATTCAACTTGTGTTGGGTCTGAAGTGTTCACAATTCCAATGGCATACATTTCGATGTTAGCTGCATGAGCCTCTCGGACAGCAATATCCAACTTGACGGCTTCTCTCTTATCCGCTTGGCCATCTGTGAGGACTATGGCAACTTTCCTCACGCCAGTTCGAGCCCCAAAAAATCCTTCCTGTGTTGCTTTACGGATGGCTGTGCCTGTGTAAGTGCCTTCTCCCATATATAACATCTTCCTGATTGCTTGTTTCACATCCTGTTGAGTTGTGTACCTATTAAGTCCAAATTCAAGCCGAACCTCCAGGCTGTAGAGGACAAGGCCAATTCTGGTGGCATTTCTCCCTACAGTTACTCTGTCTACCAAAGCAGTGACAAAATCTTTGATTATTTCAAAATTCTCTGGGCCCACACTTTCGGAGCTGTCAATCACAAACACAAGCTCCATAGGTATCTCCTTGCATTTGATACCGCAGCCTGCAAAAAAGAAAAACAAACCAAATACATTCAGATAGACCATATGGCTTGCTTTAATTATATACTATATTCCCGATGTGTGATGTATATGAGGATAAGTGCATTTTTTAATTTAAAAAGGGCAAACAATTGCAGCCTGCTATGAATCGAATTAACAGCTACACTCTTCTTAGGATAGAAGTAAGATTGCAGATGAAACAGAACCCATTTAAATTACTTGATGGCTTTAATGGAGACCTTAGTATGACCGAGACTTTCAAATTATCTATTGCTAATGTGAGATTCACAGTGCTCACAATGATAGATGGAATCACAGGAAGAACTTCCTGACAGTAAGAGCTGTTCGACAGTGGAATTTGCTGCCAAGGAGTGTGGTGGAGTCTCCTTCTTTGGAGGTCTTTAAGCAGAGGCTTGACAACCATATGTCAGGAGTGCTCTGATGGTGTTTCCTGCTTGGCAGTTGGTTGGACTCAATGGCCCTTGTGGTCTCTTCCAACTCTATGATTCTATGATTCTACAAGAACCTTCCCACAGTGACAAATTCCCTGATAGGTCAGAATCTGGCCACTCCCCATTAGGTCAGAATCTAAGATTAGCCACAATCAGGCTGTGGACCGAGCACTGCTAATATTTGGGGACTGACAGAACACTTTTTCCTTTTGACTTAGCTATGTAGGCTAAATTTAAAAGTGCCTGCCAAAGGCAGACATCTGTTAGTGTTCTAATTCTCACGGCTCTTTTTGGGTGATAAACTATTTAAATGTGATTTTTTAAAATATTAAATTGACATATCAAATGATTGGGCGACCTTTTCATTTCCCCTTGGAGTTGCAGATGTTTCGATAATCATTTTCTGGGAGGAGGAAATGATCAGAACAAACAGGCATAGGATTGGAATGAGAAGGCTTGTTGAAAACTTACCACATATCTCTTTAATCAATTTAATTATATCTTCTCTCTAGGTTAGAAAAGACAAAGAGTTCACGTATACATTATCTGACGTCTGCTTTATTCCCAGCAATTTATAGCACGGCCTCTGCTAGCATGCCTCAGATTTCAGGCATTTTTCATCATCAGAGTTGTTGCCAATATTGTTCATGCAATGAAGCTTAAGCACTTAAGTACTGGACCATTCAGTCAATGCTTAAATGCTGCAATGCATCATGGCTTAAGGAGCTTTAAGAGTACAGTGGTACCTCGCAAGACGAATGCCTCGCAAGACGAAAAACGCGCAAGACGAAAGAGTTTTCCGTTTTTTGAGTCGTTCCGCAAGACAAATTTCCCTATGGGCTTGCTTCGCAAGACGAAACGTCTTGCGAGTTCTCGTGAGTTTGTTTCCTTTTTCTTAAAGCCGCTAAGCCGTTAATAGCCGCTAAGCCGCTAATAGCCGCTAAGCTGCTAATAGCCGCTAAGCCATTAATAGCTGCTAAGCCGCTAATAGCCGCTAAGCCACTAATAGCCGTGCTTCGCAAGACGAAAAAACCGCAAGACGAAGAGACTCGCGGATCGGATTAATTTCGTCTTGCGAGGCACCACTGTAGATGCGAATACCCCTGGAAGTTCATAGGCTGCCTTTTGTGTGTGCAGGGGAATATTATAATCCCAATCAGATGCTGCAGCACATTTTTTAAAATATAGAATTTATTTATCCTAATGGAGACATTTTAGTAAGGCAACTTTTCCACCACCTGCATTTCACCAAAGATTATTTTACCGTAGCCAATTCTGTATTGGCTTTTGTATGCATCAAATCATTTTGCCTGAGTTGCCCAAGGATGTAAGATAGGATGTCTTTGGTGTCCCACTTAGCACAGCAGTGTTGGTATGTGTGTGTTTGTGTGTGCGGAGTGCAGCGGAGCACTCCTGGTGGCAGTGTTGTTGCTTGCAAGGACAGAGATGGGGGTGAATTCAAGGGAGCTTCAGGTGTGTGTGCATTTGTGGGGTTGCCACTGCATTTGCTATCACTTTACCTCACCTCATCCCCATCTCAGTAAGCACAGCATCTCCACTGACTTAGCACAAAGGTGAGCCAAGGTGGATGAGCAGGTGAAAGTCCACCAGTGCAGTTTTTCAGCAGGAGGACCAGACATCCAGCCGTGGGTATTGAAGACAGAGCAGCCCAAGCAAGAAGTATATTTAAATCTGAAAGTGAAGATCCATCTACTCTCTGGATGGAGCTCCAGAAACAACAACATCAGCACACCTGGAACTGAGATCTGCACCTCCTTCAGCCCAGGTCAGTTCCCTCTACAGCACCACTTTGAAAAATACACATTTAATAGTTGGTCGGCTTCCTGCAAAAACACTCCTTTATTTTTGTGACTTCTTCTTCTAGTGTTGTATGGCTACCATGGTTTCTGACCTACTTTTAAAAAAATATGTGATGTCTACAATGTCATTTTTATTTCATTTGGCCTCTTTTATCCTCCTTTTCCCATTAGCCAGGAAATTATAAAGAAATACTCTGAACAACATATTTTGGTATTCAGTGAGCTTTCTCTATATATGCCTTCTTCAAATAAAGCATTAAAAAAATCTTTTACAGCTGCTCAGTGACACATACAGAGATTGAGATAATATTGCATAAATGAATTTTCTTTCCAAAATATTAATTGCTTACTGTTAGACCTTGCTCGCCCTTTGCTCCGGTTCTGCCCTAAAAAGACAACCATTCATTAAATAACAATAACATTTTATTATTTATGCCCCACCCATCTGGCTAGGTTTCCCCAGCCACTCTGGGCTGCTGACATCATATCTAAAAACATAAAACATAAAGCGTTAAAAACCTCCCGATACAGGGCTGCCTTCAGATGTCTTCTGAAAGTTGTGTAATTCCTTGACATCTGAAGGGAGGGCATTCCCCAGGGAGGGTGCCACTACCAAGAAGGCCCTCTGACTAGTTCCCTGTAACCTAGCTTCTCACAGTGAGGGAACCAGCAGAATACCCTTGGAGGAGGACCTCAGGCAGAACGATGGGAGTGGAGACGCTTCTTCAGGTACACAGGACCAAGGCCATTTAGGGCTTTAAAGGTCAGCACCAACACTTTGAATTGCGCTCGGAAACGTACTAGGAGCCAGTGAAGATCCTTTAGGACTGGTGTTATATGGTCCCAGCAGCCACTCCCAATCACCAATCTCTTAGAACAATCTGTGGGATGATTTCCTTGCTACTGTTTTAAGGTTGAAAATGTTTTATGTATTTTATTTTGCTGTGTTAAGTAAGTTACAGCATGATTATGAACCATTCTGAGATTTTTAAAATTAAGAGCAGTATTTAAATGTTTTTAATTTATAACTAACAAACAGCATAAGGAGGGTTGTTGTTGTTTTTAAAAAAGAAAACAATCAACAACAAATACTTGTGTGGGGAAAGGAATTTGGAGAGGAGAAGTCTCCTGGGAGAAAGGAGTATTTAATGCTTTCCCTGCTCTAAATTGTTCCCCTTCATGCCACTCCTCCCACTCCCATGGGGTTCAAATGTGTGTCATTTGTAGTTAGATGATTTTTTAAGTGAAAAAGCATTAATGATTTCTTATGCATATTATTACATACAGGTTCTCCAGCTGAACCAGGGTCACCCATGTTTCCCTTCTCTCCTTTTCTTCCTCTTTCTCCAGCAGCTCCACGATCACCCTTGGAATTAATTACACAACATTCGTAAGGCATCACATTAACCACCTCTGTTTGAAACAACATGCACTGATGGGAAAGACCAGATAGTATTATGTGGAAGTTCCCTACATTTTGCAGCAGAAATGGACTCTACCATATGAATTCCAAATGCATACATTAAAAAAAAAACAATGCATGACTTGACAGGCTTGATCCATCCTAATTTCTTGACCACTTAGCACATCAAGACATAATTAAAGCCCCCAAACTGGCCGATCCACCGAACCAACTCCCCACTCCACCCTCAGCAGACTGGGGTGTAGAAGGATGAGAACTCTGGCACTTAGAGCATGATATTGTAGTCAGTGGCCGTGTAACTGATGTGATTTTCTGGAATAATCACAACCATTCTAAGTGGTCAAGGTATGAAGAAACTCCTTTTGAGTGAATCAATAGGTGGAACCCATCAAGCAGGCTAAAAGGCAGCAGATGGTAGGGAGCATAGATCTCTTTTGCTTGTGATCACCAGCAACAGGGGTTCAGAGACATACTGCCCCTGATATTAGAGCGGGTGGCGCTGTGGTCTAAACCACTGAGCCTCTTGGGCTTGTTGATCGGAAGGTTGGGGTGAGCTCCCGTTGCTCTGTCCCTGCTTCTGCCAACTTAGCAGTTCGAAAGCACACCAGTGCAAGTAGATAATTAGATACCGCTGCAGCAGGAAGGTAAACAGTGTTTCCATGCACTCTGGCTTCCATCACGGTGTTTCGTTGCGCCAGAAGCAGTTTATTCATGCTGGCCATATGACCTAGAAAGCTGTCTGTGGACAAACGCCAGCTCCCTCAGCCTGAAGCAAGATGGGCGCCACAACCCCATAGTTGCCTTTGACTGGACTTAACCATCCAGGGGTCCTTTACCCTTTTACCTTAGAGGTAGTAAATAATCATCATGACCCATAGCCATTAATGAGTATATTTAATCCCCTTAATTTAAAATTGTCTAATCTTCCCATACTATATATTTCAAAATGCCCATAACATTAATTCCACTGCTTTTTTTGTTTTAAATAGATTACAAGTAACTTCAAACAGCTAAACTGGGTAACAGGTAGAAACCTGTTTTTAGATTTTGATACCATACCTTGGGTCCAAGAAGCCCTTCTCCAGGAGCCCCACGGGGTCCTGGCATTCCTTGAATTCCTTGCTCACCCTGAAGGCAAGGCAGAATCATTGACATTTATTGTCTACCCTAAATCAACCTTCATTGGTTACACAAATTTGATTAAAAGTAAAAAATAAATAAATAAGGGAAAGGTTTTTTATTTGAGCTGTCTGTTCATAACTAAGCTTACACTGATAGACATTCCAGCAAATGTAGCACTTCACGCAGACTGAATTCTGCATATGTTCTCCTTGGTGCCACATATTAATATTTTCATCACTATGTATGCTTTTGTGCAGATGTTGTGACCCACTTTGGATCATGACTTAGTAGTCAGCAGCAACCCACCAGCCGAAAACCAATGGAGTAGGTAGTGGCAAAGGGCTACAGCACCTTGTGGCCTTCAATATGTTGTTGGATACCCAGGACCCATCAGCTCCATCTTCCATGACCAAAGATCAGAGATGATGAAGGTCCACAGGTTCCTCACCATTAAATTACAGGTTCCTCACCCCTAAATCTCAGGAAGCTGAATGTCACTTGTCTGTGTAAGATTCTGGATGCTGACCGCTCAGGGGTCTGCATAACTACCGGTATTTGGCATGATAGAGTCTTCTCATTCATTATCAGAATTAACCAGACAAATCGCTCTACCACCATGCACCCCAGTCCCACAGAACAGAGAAAGAGATATCAATCTTTCAAACATTTTCTGTATCTGAGCTGCGCCAAATTGGGTCAAAGTAAGCCACAAGCTCCACTGCTGGTGGTCCCCTTCCACAAATTCCTTTTAGTTTCAGCTTTGCAATCATACTCCCCCTGAAAACCAAAGGCTGCCCAGTGGGTGATGGGAATGATGCCACCATCACTTGTGGTTGGAACTACAGTATGATGGTATCTGATTGTCTTCAAACCTCTGATTTTCAGACTTGATTAATGACAACCTTCTTGGCAAATGCTTTTGGTCTGGTTTGTCTTTCCAATCTATATCAACCCGTAACAAAGTTTTTAACATCTCTAAATTGCCAAAAACTGAGCCCAACCCAAATTGCATGTAAAACTGAATGCAAGAAATGTTAATACCTTTGGTCCTTGGATACCTTCACCTGGAGGTCCCAAGGCTCCAGGTGGTCCTTGTCGTCCAACATTGCCCTGAATAGAGAAACAGCATAGCATCCTTATATGCCTGCAAAATGTGATAATCATTGCCACATTTCATGTCACTTCTACTTAATATGTTTATGAGATACAAGTGGGTTCTTGAGAGTCCATGGCTGGCAGCCAATGTATGTTACAGCTCAGTCCTAACCACATATCTGCTAAGAAGCATCACTTGATTTTGTTGTTGTTTAGTCGTTTAGTCGTGTCCGACTCTTCGTGACCCCATGGACATTCCTGTCTTCCACTGCCTCCCGCAGTTTGGTCAAACTCATGCTGGTAGCTTCGAGAACACTGTCCAACCATCTCGTCCTCTGTCGTCCCTTCCCCTTGTGTCCTCCATCTTTCCCAACATCAGGGTCTTTTCCAGGGAGTCTTCTCTTCTCATGAGGTGGCCAAAGTACTGGAGCCTCAGCTTCAGGATCTGTCCTTCCAGTGAGCACTCAGGGCTGATTTCCTTCAGAACGGATAGGTTTGATCTTCCTGCAGTCCATGGGACTCTCAAGAGTCTCCTCCAACACCATAATTCAAAAGCATCAATTCTTCGGCGATCAGCCTTCTTTATGGTCCAGCTCTCACTTCCATACATCACTACTGGGAAAACCATAGCTGTAACTATACGGACCTTTGTTGGCAAGATGATGTCTCTGCAAAGTGATGTCACTTGATTTTAGTGGTACTTATTTCCAAATAAATATGTTTTATCGTTGTCTTAAATGACAATCCATACATCACATATCCCAAGTTACTCTAAATGGTCAATGGATGATGTGGTTTGTGAACTATTGACTTTGACCTGTGATGATGATAATGATGATGATTTAAATCAGCAAATTAATTTAATTAGGACTTTGGATTAACTTTTTGTCTCTGTCAATGCCTGTTATTTATTATTATTTATTCCTAAATTAATGCAAAGATTATCACAGCTGCAGAGATATAGGGAAAGGAGACAGTAATAATTATTCCTGAAAAGATACATTTCAATTTGAGAAGTAATTATAACTTACTTTAGGCCCTGGTAGGCCTTCTCCTGCTGGGCCTGGGAGACCAGCTGGTCCTCTGATACCGGGATCACCCTAAATATATATATATATTATAAATTTTCCCAATGTCCAGTTTTACTTTTTCATCCTTATTATTACTTCTATCATGCTAAGCAATCAATGTGGGAAGGAATCATTAAGGAGAACAAATTAAGCAGAATAAAAAATTCAAGGTTTAAGAGGCACCACAGAGGGAAAGGTAGATAGATAGATGATAGATAGAGATAGAGATATACGGAAATGTGAAGTTTATATATCAGGGCAGTAATATTTAGCTAAGAACTGTAATATACATTTTCCAACAGTATTAGATAAAAACACTACAATCATTTTTAATAGAATAAACCAAACTCCTGTTAAGAAGCCTTACAGGCTAATCAGGAAACAATAATTTTATAATTTTACTTTAAATTACCAGATTTTACCTTTGGTCCAGGTAACCCAATCCCTTCAGGGCCTTGATCTCCTGGAGCTCCTGGAAGACCCGGAAGACCCTGAAATCAGAAAGTAAATTGGTTAACTATTAACTGCTTTGCAATGACAAATGTCCCATATTCCCCAATATGGCAGCACACATTATTGAAAAATGTCCACAGGTAGTTTGTCAAAATTGCATTTGCTTACAGGTGGGCCAGGGTACCCATCTCCCTTTGGTCCAAATGGTCCCGGTGGTCCTGGATGTCCACGATCGCCCTGTTTGCAAAAAAAGAAGAACATGTTCACATTTTCCAACAGTTATTAGTTGCTAGATGTTTATTTTCTATTTTTTAATTTGTTTTTAAAATTTAAATGAGTATACCGATTTGGTTATTACCTTAGCCCCAGGAATCCCTATTCCCTGTTCTCCAACTGGGCCAGGAGGTCCTGGTAATCCAAGATCACCCTTCAATTAAAAAAACCCACATATATAACCAAAAATATACATATGCAACTAGAGAAGTGAATTTTGAATATTATGTACTACCCTTTAAAAAAACGAATCTGCCTTTATTTAAGGGCTGCTACAAATGTCACAAAATTCCCATATGAAATGGATTACAACTCATGCACAGGTGATGCTCGTGAACAGACATTAATTCTATGATGTGGAGATGGTCTTTCTTTTGGCCAGCTCTGATTGGCTTTTTTTCAGTGCATACACAGACATGTGCATGTTCACGCATGATGATCCACATTCAGATTTTGCAATGGTTTTGACCCGACAGTGCTTTTCAGGTAGAAATCTTGCCATACTTGGTGCTCAGTAATATCTCGGATTCAAGGACCGTCGTAACTGCAACCGTCGCTAGGCCCATTACTATGTCCAGACTGAACATTACGAAGCAACAGAAATGAGGCCATTACCTTTGGTCCCATAATGGCTCGTCCAGGGAGACCTGGCATTCCAAGACGCCCAGGTGTACCGGGTTCACCCTACCATTATAAAACAACAACAACAACAGCAATGACTTTGTAAAGGAACAAAACAAAATTAATAAAAGATCATTGAGATGTGAAGCTTTTTTCAAAGCCTCACTCCTAAGCATAGCTGTCAACTTTTCCCTTTTTAAAAGGGAAATTCCCTTATTCCGAATAGGATTCCTCGCAAGAAAAGGGAAAAGTTGACAGCTATGCTCCTAAGGGCTCATCCACCCTTACTTCTTTTGCCCTGCATGTTCTTGACGCAGGTCTGAGCTTTAAAGTTCTGTATCCAAGAGCTCTCACCTCCCTCCTGTTACTTTCCCCAGGAAAACCCACTCTTTAACGCCAATCAGAACAAACAACAAATCAGGTTTTCCGCAGATTGCCATTAGTTCAATTCAGCGGTAAAGAGCAAGTTTTCCCAGGGGAAGCGCCAGGGCTGGTGGGGGGGTGGAATCAGTCAAGCACAGAGCTTGAAAGAGCAGACCTATGCCTTGAAATGCCACATAAAATGAATTCAGGATGAGCCCTTAGTTTAGTGAGGGCTCTGTTTTCACTGTGGGCCTTTCTAGATAGGTGGGTTATTTTTGTGAGTCTATTCTGAAACTTCTCTTATTGGTACAATAATCCTGCATTAATGGCGGATTTATACTGAACCATCCACACACCACACATCCACTTAATCAGCTGTTCAGCACCACTCCCCCAAGTCACACCGCTGTTGCTCTCTTGTGGGGCATTTTTGCATTTTTGCGTTCACCCCAGTGTGGTTCACCTTTACTACATACACAGCACAACAGAACAATGACCCATCCCCTCCAACAGCATAAAAATCAATATGTCTCACCTGAGCCAACAACCTAGCCCGCCTCCCTCACAAAATCAGCCACACCGCAATCAACTAAACAGAACCAACCAAGCTCGGGAACCCCTAACCTCTCGCAATATCAATAAAAATAAATGAATACATAAACAAAGAACCTACCCATGTGATGCTGACACCCCCCCACTACACTAAGAATAGGCAAAAGAGTGAAAGACCAATATCCCCATCTTTCTCCCCTCTCCCCTAACTGCAAGATGTCTATGAAAAAAATGTCTCTCACCAAACGTAAATGAACTGTGAGAAAGACCGTGAATTGAAAGTGGAGACAATAGATGTACCATTCCCTGTTTACCTGTTTGCTTTGTAACACAAAACCCCCAATAAAAAGTATTTTTATTTTTTTTAAAAAAAGAAAAATATGGAACAAGTACTGATAAAAAAAGGAAGCACCACAAAACAATTGCAGTAGCAAACAATACTGAAAGTGGCATCATCTATTGCCATCCAGGTAATTTCATGAGCACAAATAATTACAAATGCATAATAAAAGGGACTTCTGGAGGGGCTGTTGCCTTTCCTCCCTTGGCAACTGCTCCACCACACCAACTTCTGACACCAGACGTGGTAATAAAATTAATATAATAATAATAATAATAATAATAATAATAATAATAATAATAATAATAATACTTTAGCCCCTGCAGGTCCTGGCACTCCAGTTGGTCCTGATAATCCACGTATACCTCTTTGACCTTGATCACCCTAGGAAAAAGTTGAAAAAGCTACTTTATACAAAAGCTACTTTAACGTTCTCAGAGAAGGTAATAAAAAGCACACATAATTGCATGAGCAATTATAAATAAATTCTTGCCTTTTCACCCTGTATTCCAATTCCAGGAGCACCTTCTGGACCACGGGGGCCAGGTAATCCTGGTTCTCCCTGCAAAAGAAAAAATGATAATGTGGTAGCATATCATTGTATATATTGGTGCAATTCAGCGGCTAAAATATTGCTCTGTGAATCAAGAAGTCCCTGTTTCGAATTCTCCCCTTCACCAAGGACTCATTAAAGTCCCCTCCAGACTGGTGTGTTTTTTGCAGGTATATTCTGCAATGTGTCATTCATGCAATAATAGAGAATTAGCAGTGAATTTATACTGGGCCATTCAAATCTCATTCCATTTTATCTGTTGTTCTTCGATGCTTCCCCAGTGTTACCGCATTTTTGCTGTCAGGAGGGGCACTTTTGCACCACAATGCAACAAAAGCAGGACAACAACAACAACTCTGCGTATTATTAGGAGAATATATATGTTAGTGAAACTAGCATACCAAAATTATTTATATGAAGAAAATTGCTTGGAAAAATTTGAGTGTTTTGCAAAACTGCATAAAAATGTGTCTACTAGGAGAAATTCACATTAAATGCTGAGGATTTTTGAAAATAATAATTTCAAATTGCTGCAGGAATCTGGACAAGGGAATTTAAAATTGAAAGAAAATGAGGAACCGAGAGAACTGAAATTGGCAGATCCTTCCATCCCTTTCTCTAGGTGTTATCAGGTGAGTGTGTCCAACGCATCACATCACTCCACACAACGCATCACATCAATCCCTTGGCTATAGATGAAACCAGCCTAGATTTGCCAAATGGCACTTACAGTAATTCTTTTAATTTTAGAAACAGACATGCTCAAATAAAATAAGCAAACCTTTTGGCCTGGTGCTCCATCTTCTCCTGGCAGGCCAGGTAGACCTGCTAGTCCTGAAGAACCTGGTTCCCCCTAATGTCAATGAGAAATGGAAAGTTAAGAACACAAATAGAGCCCAACTGGATCAGACCTAAGCCCATCTAGTCCAGCATTTTGCTTTCTCAGTGGCCAACCAGATGCCTCTTGGAAGCTGACAAGTAAGACACAAGCACAGCAGCATTCTCCTCACTTGCGATTCCCAGCAAATGATCTACGTTGCCTTTGATATTTGAGGCAATATATAGCCATTGTGAACCAGTAGCTGTTGAAAGCCTTTCCCTCTCTCTCCTCTTTCTGTAATCCCTGGTACTCAGTTCTCCTAAATATACAATAGAATTAAGTCTTTGAACTTTAAATACACGGGGCTACTTAAGCAATGCAAAAATAATTAAATGCCTTATTATAATGCAGTTTTATAGAGTTTTAATATACAACTTTTAGAATGCTACTTTACCTTTGCTCCAGGTTCTCCAAGACCTCTTTCTCCCGGAGCTCCAGTTTCTCCTGGTAAACCTTGATCACCCTTAAACAAAACAAAATGATATGAAATGCTTGAGCAACATAAAAAAACATCTGCTCGGCTTATTCCGTCTTCAGAGAGAGACGATGGGAGTACATCAGTAGAGAGCAGCACCATTTAAACCACTATATACTTGGCAAAATTGAAATGGTAAAAATAAAATCCTGAACACCTTGGCAGGGCTTCCATATCACACTAAGCTATGGTTTAGTTTTATGTGCATGAGCCCAGCATGGCTGAGAAAGAGGGAAATCAGAGGCTTTCACTTCAGTTTTCAAGTTACTGTGGTTTCTTGTTATACCCAAACTCCACTCCCAACCACATTTGTTGTTGATTACACTGCCCACATGCAAGAAGTTTGCTTGGTGGGGATTTCTGCCAAAATCCCACATAGTTATTTAAAAATCAAGCAGTTGCAGTTCTGGTTGTCAGCAGAGTGACTGAAAGAAAGCATATGGAACCTGGTGCGAAAAGAAACTGGTGACACTCAATAATACATGATAGAAGGATAAATTAAACACAGGGGGAGACTCTTTCAGAGCTACTTTTTCCTTCAACTTCTCCAGTTGTCAAATTTCAACTATCTTGCTCATCACAGCCAGCTCCCAGCTGACTAAAGTCTCCAGCCAATCAGAGTCTGCTGTCCTGCAGACCAATCACAGAATTAAACCCAACACTGACTTGGCTCACCTTTGGTCCGGGCAATCCCTGTCCAGGTGGCCCTCTTGGCCCTGGTGGTCCTTTGGGGCCTTCTACTCCCTAGAGAAGATGTCAGAAAATGAATCCTGGAGAAAGAGTTCCCTAAGCACGGCTTAAGCAATTTTTAAATACCTGCAACCACCAAAACTCACCTTCTCTCCTTGAAGTCCAACACCAGGTAATCCAATAGGCCCAGGCAAACCAGGCGGGCCAATTTCACCCTTATAAACAAAGCATTGTTACTTAATACAAAATATAAATGCAAGTTACTTACGCTGCAATCCGATACCCAGGAGTAAGCCCCACTGAACTAATTGAAACTTAGATATAATAGACACATATAGGATTGTGCTGTAAATATTCACTGGGTACAATTTGGACCAGCTCCTTCGAAGCCATTGGCATAGTCTCAGTACAGAGACGTTGACAAATGTATGCTATATTTTCTTAGGACACATTAAATGCCAGCCTTTTATAGATGCTGTCTCCGGCACAGTAAGGAACGTGTACAGTCTTCTTTTCTTTTTGTACCCCAGAACTTAACTTTCCCACAGAATGAAACCCTTCTTATTTCATCTCACACTTTACTATGAAGAGATGTTAAAATGGGCTTTGGGTAGTTTATTGGGCATAAATCTATCTGAGAAACTACAGTATTGTTCAATCGCCATTGAAAAAGCAAATTCTTTATTTTGCTTCATTACACTCTTTGTGACTAGTATCAGTCACAGGTCATTTAGACTTTGCAAATCCCCTGGCATATTTACTGCTCACCTTTTCACCCTTTATGCCAATGCCTGGTTGGCCTCGGGGTCCCTTTGGACCATCAAAGCCACGATCTCCCTGTATGGAAAGACAAAATTGCATAGAGGTTAGAAAATGTGATCTGTGCTTTATCCTTAAAGTTCTGTTTAGTACAAATGGACTGATTGCTGGCAATGTAAGGATATAATTCAAAAATACTGAGAATGCAAAAGGCAGTGCTTGGAGTTGATTTTCTCTTGTGCATCAAAGAGAGTTCCCCGCCCACCTGATGAGATCACTGTTGAATTTGAAAGTCATTACAAAGAGATGAATAAAATGATTTATCTTCTTTCCATTTCAAATATTTATGTTCCGGTCCTGAATTCTCCATATTGATGCGAAGAATTCAGCGCTTGCCATATAACAAACATGGCTTTCTTAATGTACATGATTCATTGACGTAAAGATCATGATTCACCTATTGCACACTTTTTGGCAATGTTATGCTCTCTTACAGTGGAAAATATTGTTATTTATTTAAGGTGCTTAGACTCATCATTTTTTTGTGTAACCATGGTGGTTTCCAGTAATTTACAACGGCAGATGGCCAACAGCACTATCACCTGCCTGGGGGGGGGGAGGAGCCTGAATTTTCTCCCGCTTTGACACCCTCCATAGGAGAGAAGAGTTAAAAGGTCTCAGACAGGTGATTAGTGCTGCTAAAACTGAAAGTACCAACTCTCTGTTAAGCATTGTGTGTTGCAGACCCATGTGCAATGTATCCCTGGGGACGGAAGGGTGAGGCGGTGAACAGGTGGAATAAATTGGGACAACAACATCTTGGAGTTGAGAATTAGCCACAACTTTATAGATTACAAATGTAGATAGGCTTCGGCTTAAGGTGCTGGATGTGTATTCTGTATCAGCCTCCTACAAGATGGCTGGAGTTTTGGACAGGGTCATGCCACTTCAAGATGCAGGTCAACTGAGCTGCCCCGACCCCAGGCCACCATTGGAAGTTCTAAGGCCCGTCCACTCTCCATATGGCTTCAGGACATAAACTTCCACTCAGATCCATTTACCAGGGTACCGTGAGATATTGCACCTGCTCAAGGACAGGGGTGATGCACCAACTCACCCCACCCCTGGAAACAGACTAAGGATTCAGCCCAATGCCTTATCTACCACACAAGCCACTGGATACAGAGATCTACCACCGGGGAGTCCATCTTCCTATTCCTTTGCACATTGTGTTCTTGATGTAGCCAGAGACGTGGGTGGAGAAACCCCCTTTTTCCTCAACCACATTACCCCAGCCGGATCAGGCTGTTGATTAGTATCAACAAGGAACAATCTTTCCTTCTAATATTTCTTATATATTTTTTGAAACTTCTTGTTTTAAAATAGTACCCGTCAATCTTGAAAACAGGCCAAATGTTTGGTTCTTCCTTTTGACAGGTTTGATTTTTGTTTAAAAATGGGAAATGTAACATTATAATTTGCCTAGATAAGAAAACACTTGAATGTACAAAGATGTATGAGAAGCCTTACATATATCTGTTGACATTTCATCCTTGCTTTTCTGAAGAACTAAGTTCTATTAACAGTGGAGTTCTGGCTAAATGCCAGATTGGTGAATTACATTTGTTCTGCCTGTTTAAATCTCCTTTGTAGTTTCAGTTTGTTAATGCATTCTTTACTTCACTAAGCTGTTGTGAAGTGTTGCTGTGTGTTCGCAGGGAAGCAATTGCTTCATATCATCCCAGGAATGGTTTGATTTCTACAGGCATGTTCAGCTTTATATATAAAGAGAGAGATGAGCTGAATTTTTCTTTTTTCCTGCTACTGGCTGCATTCCTAATCATATTGATTTGAAATAGTAATTGTTGGTTCTGGCTTTATATGCTTTACTTGTGGTTTTAATGTGCAAGTGTACCCTGTCTGGTGACTTAGGGGTGAAGAATGGGTCATAAATAGTTGACAAAAATAAAAACATACCAAAGATGCTATAAGATATGATAATACAGTGGTACCTAGGGTTAAGTACTTAATTCATTCCGGAGGTCCGTTCTTAACCTGAAACTGTTCTTAACCTGAGGTACCACTTTAGCTAATGGGGCCTCCCATTGCTGCTGCCACGCTGTAGTCATGCAATTTCTGTTCCCATCCTGAAGCAAAGTTCTTAACCCGAGGTACTATTTCTGGGTTAGTGGAGTCTGTAACCTGAAGTGTCTGTAACCTGAGGTACCACTGTAAAACCATTAGGGATGTGAGCATTCCTGTGGAACCACAGCACTCATGCAAAGGAAGCTTCCCACAGGTGGGCAAAAGGTAGATAGCTCCTAATCTACTGGGGAATCTCAGGGTGATTTGTAACAGATCAATAGGAATTATGGTCTGAACAATAGCAACAGGGAAAAAAAGCTTCTTCCCACTGCCTAAATTAGGCTGTGGAGGTGAAGAAATCTTGAAGGGGAAACCAGGACTAGATTTGGGTAGGGCCAGATTGTGAGCCCAGACTCAGCTCTGAAAACAAATTCCTGGGTTGAACATGTGTTCCGAGGCACCTTGTTCCTTAACTCTATGTCCTCAAAGCCTCCACTCCAAACCACTACTTTGCACCCAGGTCTGATTGGTGGACCTTGAGGTTGTAGTAAAAAACAAAGTAGATCCTTCAAGTCTGAAGACTGCCCAGCCTTGCCATAATGCTTAACAGCTTTGTTTACCTCTTACCCTCTTCTTGGAGCATGCCCCAGGTCGTTCTGGGGAGTGGGGAGCTTGACTCTATCTTTTAATCCAACTTCCTCCCTCCACTTGGTTAAGAAATATAAGTCCAGATTGTTGTAACAATTGTTTTCTCAAAATTTATCTTCTGTACCATGAAAATAGATAAAAACAGTTGAAAAAAGAAAAGAAAAGAAAAGAAATATAAGCCCAGAGCTGATGCAGCTTGAATGAATGGAGTGGGACAGCTCTTTTTATGGCCTATGTCACTGTACAATCTTAGATTCTTACTGTGGCTTATGTCATGTGCACATGGCTTCCCAAAACTGTGGTGGGAGAGCACTGAATGCAGAATAAATGGGAGTGTGTCCACAGCCTAAGTACTAAAGTTGTTACTGATGCTGAACAGGTCTCCAGCTACAGCGTGCAGGTTCTGAGGACTGGGTTACAATGAAAAGCAACACATTTCTATGTACGTTTTGATAATTCCAAGTTTGGAAATGGGCTTGCACAAACACTTTAAAGGTCGTTTATATGCCCTGGCATTTTTAAAGCAAAACTCTTTTGTACCTTTGGTCCTGGAAGCCCTTCTCCTGGAGTTCCTCTTTCTCCCTGAATACCTTGTGGTCCCTGAGGCCCCTGTAAAAATGTTTTTGAAAGCAAAATTCTGGAAATCAATAGCAAATCAATCAAAGTAGGATCTTCATACATCTTTGTGGTTTGGAGCCTAGTCTCAACCTGCCCTAAATTGCTAAAGTAATGCTATATTTATGAAAAGCAAAAGTAGCTTTTTTCATGATACATCAAACAGCAGACAGCTATGAACTCCAGGTATAACAAGTTATACTGGATTATGCTAGGAGTCCCCCCGCTCCCGGCACCATTAAAGAAAAGGCTTAAACATGTGAGCCTGCAAGGTTTACCCTGTAAAAGCCTGAAAATGCAGTCAAGTATAAGATCAACTTTAATAATAGATTCTTTATGGGCTCACTCAAGCTTAAAGTTAAGCAAGTCTTTTAAAACAGATGCAGTAGTTTGCACACATTCTAGGGAATTATTTCCATATTGTCTTGTTTGCTGAGGATATTGTGTGTGTGTGTTTGACAAAACCCCTAGAGCAGGGTTTCCCAAACTTGTGTCTCCAGCTGTCTTGGGACTACAATTCCCATCATCCCTGACCACTGGTCCTGCTAGCTAGGGATGATGGGAGTTATAGCCTCAAAACAGATGGACACCCAAGTTCGGGAAACCCTGTTCTAGATGCATTGCAGAGGATGCTGATGACATACACATGTTCTATGGTGCTGGAAACTCACACAGAGTGTAGGCCAGATCTAGTAGGAAATATTATAGCTTTGCATAAGTTGAGACGAACCCCCTTCCTAAAACAAACTCAGTATTTCCCTGCAGATGAATGTTTAAAATTTATTTCATAAAATGTATATACTGTGTTGATTGTAAACAACACCCCCCACCCCACAAGTGGTATACAAAATGGGCGGTTGGCACTGCCAGTATAACTGAAGAACTACCAGGATCCTTTTGCTAATTAGCATGTTTCATTCTCACTTCTAAAGTTATGTTTGTATTTAATACGACAAGTTAGAAACTATCTCAGAATGAAGCAGGTAAGTGGATGTATAAATATGAACAAGAAATTTGGAGGTTGCCAATGTGGTGACCTCTGGATATTGTTGAGAGTCCAACTCCCATCAGCCTCAGACAGTGTGGCCAATAATCATGGGTGATGGGACTTGGAGACCAGCAGTATCTGGAGGTCCACAAATTGGCTACTTCTGAAATTGGATGAGTAGAGTGTAAACATTTGTAGACATCCCACCCCCCAAAAAAGGGAGCTGAAAATGAACATGTTATAGAAAAGGAGAACAAACAAGTCAAGAAGAAGAAGAAGGTGGGAGACAGGAAGCCACAACAGAGGGCATCACCATAGTCAAGAGACATTACAGAATTAACACAGTGGTCATAGTTTCCATAGATGGAAGACAAAAACACAAATGGAAAATGGAAGGAAAGAACACAGCTTAAAGACATCGAGAACAAGAGTTGGCAGTTGTTCAGATAAAAGAATGAAAAGACCAAGAGGTATCTCTTATTCTTCTACAATCACACTCCCGTTCCATCTGAGCCAAAGAAAGACATGGAGGGATAATAGAAGGATGTCCACAAGCCAGATACACAAATGGGGTGAGATTACACAGCACGGAAGAAACAAGAAAGCAATTGGAAAGAGAACGAGGTGAAAGATCTGGAACACAGAGTTGCAGATCATCTCTATTAAAGCAATAACTACTTTGAAAAGAACTTGTAAGAGAAGCTGAATAAGAAAGGCTGAAAAAAGTAAAGAACCAGGAACCAAACCTTGAGTGGATCAGAGCCACTCTTTCTTTTTATGTGCACTGATTTTTGCATATAAAGGTGCAGTTATTTGTTACTAAGGGATTTCCCCCCTGTGTGATCTCCCCACGTACAGTACATACCGGTAAACCTGGTTCTCCAACTCCAGGTGGCCCAACAGGGCCTGGTCTTCCTGTTAAACCAATGTCACCCTTCAGAAAAAGATACGTTATGTTTGGATTTGAACAAAATTGTGGACACTGAAATGAAGCAGCATTCTTTGATTTAATACAGTGATATTAAGAAGACTAGAGGGAAGTAAAACAAATCTGATACCAGTAATAATAACTTCATTTGCCCCTCTGTCTCTCTAGATATGTCAAATTTTATTACCAATAAACTACTAAGAGTTACACCATTCTGTGCGTTCCCTCCCCCCCTTTTAATGGTATGAATGTATTTGAACTACATCCAGAATACCTTTCAGGTATTACAAAGACATCATTTATCCTTGTTTTAAGTTGTTTTTGGTTTTTTTTTTAATCCAGCCATATATTATTTCAGCAGCTGTCCTTTTGCACAGTAGGCTATATGATTGGCATTTTTACCTTGGGGCCAGGCAACCCTACTCCCGTTTCTCCAGTCAGTCCAGCAGGGCCAGGCAGGCCTCTTTCGCCCTTTAGAAAATTGCAAAACAAAAGAACTGATTTCAACTTTTTGATAGGGTTTCAGAGAGAAGAAAACCTGCTCCTCCCTCCCTCCCTCCTGCCCTTAAACTAAGGTACAATAAGCCCACAATTTATGTTGGGGTTAAGTTCCAAAGCCAAATTCTGTATGGTCAATTGGGGTTCAATCTTAAATGGGATTGCCAAAGCCATTTTTCCTGGAACCTCAACCCCCTTTTAATTTTTTGCCACACGTGTAAAGCTGAATGTGCGCAAGTTAAATGCTTGTAAGTTGTGGGGGAATTGCTTTCGCAATATGTATCATAATGCTTCTGCCATGATAAAACTAGCAGATTACTTGGAGTGGGAGTAATAAATGAAACAAGACTAGGAAACACATCCAAACATATAAGGAATTAGCAGAAGTAGAAAAGATGGGTGGATTTTCCCTGTTGTGCTCCTGCATTGAACATTGGTTTGCGCCGCCCTGTCTTGCCCTGCTTGTGAATTCCAGTTTAACAAGGATAATTTCTAAAATCTATTCTGGATTCAGAGCGTGCCCACTATGTTGCAGCTTTCAGTTCCTTTGCATCTTTTGCCCCTTGAACAATGTCATGGCCCCGCTGATACACTGCCAGAAAAAGAAAAAGAAAAGCAGTCTTGATGTGACTGAGCATATGATTGCACCAATATATATTTTTTGTGTGCTATTTCATCAATGCACAGCAGTGCTTTTTGGGGTAGAACTGCTAATATTCCGCGGTGGGAAGTGTTACAGCTGGGCATCCGGGCCCTTGTGGTGATCCAGCTCGGGGGCAGGGGATTGATGCCCCCCTCATGCCAACCCTGGCCACGTCAGAATATGACACTAAAATTTAATTGGGGATGAAAGTAATAGATGCAAAATTGGAAATTGCCCACATGGAAACTGACCCAACCACATGTGCCCAACTTGAAGCGGATTTTACAATCAACCCCCCTCTCCATGCTCTTCTCAAGAAAAGCACTTTTGAAAGAGTCTAATGTGACCTTCTGGGTTGCTACATGCATGGTAACCAGCATGAAAGCCAAACGCAAGCTGAATTGCTATGAAGACTGTTTTCCTCACGGAATACAGAACAGCATGGTAACAAAAAATAATCTCAAAGTGGAAGAAAGCAGTTGTGTGTGGATCTATTTCTTACTAATTAATACTCATGTTCTGTCCCATTGTTGGAGAGATGGCCTGGAGAAAAAATAGCTTTCTCTTGCTTTTGAGAAGAAATTCAAGTGTCATAAAATGCCTCAACAAGGTGTTATTTATGAGCTGTACTTTAATGGTTCCCTGCGGCTTAAAGCCATACAAAGCTCTGAATGGGCTGAAGTGCCTTGGAGGGGATTTTTTTGTGATGTGGAATGTCATATGACATCTCGCTGTTGAATGACAACGGAGTTGATTCTTGCTTCTTAGATGTTCCATTTGGTGGTTTTGCAGACACAGCCGGAAAAGTCAGTTTCAGCACAGCTAAGATGGATAGAATTCATAGCAGAGGAAATATCTGAATAGTAGCAACATTTTCCTCAGGGATGAAGAGCCTGTGGGCCTTTCCAGATGTTACCAGATTACAATTCCCATCATCCTTGATCATTGGCCATGGTGGCTGAGGTTGATGGGAACTGGGAGTCCAACCACACCTGGAAGGCAATGGGTTTCCAAGCCATGGTTTACAGGGGCAGCCAGTGTGGAAACCTCCATGGGTTGTTGGCCAACGGTTCCCATCATCCCATACCATTTGTCATGATGGCTGAGGCTGAGAGGAGTTGGAGTCCAACAACATCTGCAGGGCACCATGTTTCTTTTTAACAGTTTTTGGTTTTCCAGTTTCATATGGCGCATGAACCGGGCCAACGTGAGTGAAAGCAAAAGTGGGCCCCAAAATTGCAAAGGTAGCAGCAATCTCTCACAGCGTTTAGAATTAAATTAATGTTAAGAGTCTTGCCTTTGATCCTTGCATTCCTTCAGGTCCTTGGTCTCCAGGCAGTCCTTGGGAACCCTGTTAAACAGGAAGGCATTTTTTATTTATTTTTTTAAAAGACCTTGGCCGAGTGCATCGTTAAATAGGAATATGACTGTTTTACTTCAATCCACACAAAACAGTTTATTCAGTGTTCAAATAATTGTGATATTTGCCTATTACATTCACTTACCATCTGTTTATCCTGATTTGTTTTGCATTGGAGATGATTACACTGCCTTTCGTTTCATGGCCTTCAAAAACCTGTATCATATGCATTTGTTTTTCCATTTGAAGCTCTGATCTGTAAGTTTCTTTCAGTCTGTTGTGCTTTTAGCTCATAAAACCCATTACTAGCAGACTGGCAACCCACAAGAAAGGTCTTTCAGCCTGCTGTAGAATCCTGACTTGGGCATTGCTACCTTAACCGTATTAGGCTAATGGTTAAAGAAAATGGCTGTGAAAAGGCTTTTCCTTCTCTGTGACACAACCCCCCCATGTGTGTTCCCCACCCCCTTTGTTAAAGGTATGTGAGGACTACAGAGACTAGTTCTCTAAATACAGGAAGAAACAGAAGAAGGTCAGTCATTCATCAGCTTGTTAACCATGGGTTACTGATTTATTTCATTTATTAAGCACATCCCATAAAACATCCTGAAGTGATTTAACTATGAGAACACCAACAATTAAAACATTATTTCGAGTCCAATACAAACACACAGAGAGACAGAAAAATCTCCACTTAAAAGCCTTGTTGGAAAAGGAAGGTTTTCAATAGGCGCCTTAAAAACATAATACTAGAGATGGTACCGGTCTGATACACTACAGGAGATAGTTCAAAGGGTAGGTGCCACCACACTAAAGGTCTGATTCCTACACTGTACAGAACAGACTTCTTGATGACAAGTATCTACAGGAAGTCCTCACCTGCAGAATGCAGTGATCAGTTGGATATAGATAGCCCACAGTTCCAGGGACACGAAGAGTGATGGGATGGGGAGTTGGCATCAGTGACTGACAGCCAACATATAATTCAGAGGAGGGACAATTTAGCTTCAGAAAGACGGCAGCTAGCACAGTCTTGAAGCAAAGCACTTCCACTCTCTGTTCATTTACCTGAAGACCTCGGAGGCCTCTTGGTCCACCTGGGCCTTCTGGACCCTGAGTGATAAGAGGAGAAATTATATGTGAGCCCATATACAGTGCAAAATATTACAAATCATACAGTGAATCGCCAGCAAGGGAAAAACAAAATGATTCAAATGTGGGAAGGATAATTGAAACGTGGGCAGAAAGGCTAATGTCAAACTAGATATTTAAAAATCCAGTTTGTATGATCATGCTCTCTGCAAATATGTACCTAGCATTTCAGGACTATTTCCTCTCCAGTAAGTCTCTCTTTCTCCCCGCCCCTACCCATGACACCCAGTGTGGTATAGTGGTTAGAATGTTAGACATGGACCTGGAAGACCAGGGTTCAAATCCCCACTCAGACATGAAGCTCACCGGGTGACCTTGGGCCAGTCCCTGCCTCTCAGCTTAACCTACCTCAAAGAGTTGTTGTGGGGATTAAATGAGGAAAGGGTTAACCAAGTATGCTACCTTGAGTTCCTTGGAGGAAAGGTGGGCTATAAGGGCTAATAATAATTATTATAATGGTATTGTTTACACAAAGGGATGTGGGTGGCGCTGTGGGTTAAACCACAGAGCCTAGGACTTGCCAATCAGAAGGTTGGCAGTTCGAATCCCCGCGATGGGGTGAGCTCCCGTTGCTCGGTCCCTGCCAACCTAGCAGTTTGAAAGCGCGTCAAAGTGCAAGTAGATAAATAGGTACCGCTCTGGCAGGAAGGTAAACGGCGTTTCCGTGTGCTGCTCTGGTTCGCCAGAAGCGGCTTAATCATGCTGGCCACATGACCTGGAAGCTGTACACCGGTTCCCTCAGCCAATAAAGCGAGATGAGCGCCGCAACCCCAGAGTCGGCCACGACTGGACCTAATGGTCAGGGGTCCCCTTTACCTTTACCTTTATTGTTTACACATTGCTCACACTACTAATGCAGCACTGGGCCTAGGAGTTCTATGAGCGGTACCGTTTCTGATTATACAAGTCCTTACATAACAATCTGATGTAGTTGACCATCAGATAGTTACTTACTCTGTCGCCTTTTATTCCTGGTGTTCCACATTCGCCTCTTTCACCCTTAGATTGAGAAAAGCGCAATCAATCATTAATGTTATCTCAGAACTTTTGAAAAATGTGTAATGTCCTTCCTTGCCAGTGCTTTATCCCCCACCCATTCCCATTCTATTTCAGATGCTAAATTCTTTGTCCTCAAATCAATATGGCTGTATTGGTCTTTAGCATGAAGCACCTAGTTGATTCAAGAAGGCGAAAAATCCGTACCTTTTCTCCTTTGTATCCAGACTTTCCCTGATGGGAAAAAGAAGAAGAGCAGAATGCATATTGATTAAATTACTACTGACACTAAACAGTAATCACTAATTCTGGTTCCTGCTCCCCCCGCCCCCGGCTATGTTTTTAGCTGCTCCTATTTTATCTGTAAGCCGCGTTGAATCCCTGTCAAGGGAAAAGGTGTGGTATATATGCATATATCAGCAGCAGCAGCAAAATTTACGGCAAGTATTAGGAAAATAAATCTTACTTATTAATCCAGAGTTTTAGAATAAGTAACAGAAATGACAAATTTATTGGCTGGCTCCATCCAGCCTGCTTTGCTTGCATTTGGTGATTAGGGTCTCTTTGCCTTTGGGGTGGGGAGGCACTGCCCTCTCCCTCTGTTTCGTTAGAAACCAAACCCTAGAAAAGTTTCAGGAGTTGCTCTGCCAATTTCAGAACGGGTGCTGCTTTCCATCACTAGATCTGTGTGATGAAAAACACTCCAAAAACAGACCAATGAGCTCTTGTGTGTAGAGTGAGTATGAAAATATGTAAAAAGCTGGTTCTGCAAATGCCATTGGGTATCACTGCGAGTGCCAAAAGCCAGCCATTTCCCGTGTCATTCCAGTTCTGGAAATACAGCAGAAATATTGCTGACATGATTTGGAAGCACACGAGCAACCTGAATCACATGACAGAGGTTTTATGTGAGACCTTAGGACTTGGGAGTAGCAATGGCTCACATGTTGCTAAGTTATTGTTCAAAGTGGATCTTACATAACCATGAGTAGAATGAGGAGCCTTTTTTATGCATTTTATTGCCCTTTGAAATTGCTGCTTACAAGTTATTTTCTTCACACCCTTCTTTATATTCTCTTGCATTTTAAGAAGGCATACCCAAAAAGTAAAAATGAGATCAAAAAGGAGCAGTGATATATATGGGGCAGATGTGTTTTTAAATAACAGAGTTTCCCTCAAAGTAAATAAATACATAATAGAATACACACACACACACACACACACACATTTTTTACCTCTGTTCCATCTCTTCCTGGAATTCCATTTAAGCCTGGCTCCCCCTAGAAGCATCAGGGTGTTGGGTTATTACTTTGCTTAACGTTCTGTAGTCAGTGAAAATGTTGTCAGTTTAAGTTAAGATTACATTACATATTGCTGAAAACAGATAGGAAAAATGTACCCTGCTGTTCAAACTAGCTCCATCTTCAATGCTAAACATAATTCATATTCAGAAATGTGAATGTTTTAGAACCGTGGTTCCCAACATGGGGCAACCCCCCCCCCCACAGGGGGGCAATTTGATTTTTAAAAGAGGCAATTTGAGAATGAGTTAACAACAGTTAATGGCCTTTTAGGCTTCCTCCACATGAATAGGAGTTCACTTTTTGAATAATAAGAATTATATGTCACGGGGGGCGGGGTGCATCAGGGTTTTAGAGATGCTTAAGTGGGGCATGGTCCCCCAAAAATAAAATGTTGGGTACCACTGATTTAGAATGATTTATACCCCCTCAGTTGTAAACTGCCATGTGGCGACTGAGAATGCTTTTATTTCAACATCCTCTTGTCTTAAATTACTAATGTTAATCAATGAGCATTTCAATTAAATCAAATGTCACGTTACCTTCACGCCCTTTGGACCAGGGGCTCCATCATCACCAGGACGACCCTTTTTACCCTGGAAGCAGAAAAGTAACAGAGGGGAGTTAAATGAAAAGCCTTGCATTTTTAAACATGCAAAGAAAGGGGAGAGACCCCTTGGTTTATATTCTTACTATTAAGAAAATGATTCTATGAGTGTAGGAAATAAGTAAAGTTCTAAAGATTTCCCTCTCACACCTGAAGCTTAAAAGCAAGTCATGCTCCAATCAGTGCAAGAGGTACATTGGTCAGAATGCATTTTCCCGGGTCATTCTCAGCTTTTAAACAGCTCATTGGTAGATAATAATGTTTTCATGAACATATGTTTTCTATTAGGGTGTTTCCAGGTGCCCTTTTTTTATTAAGCATTCACCCTGTGCAATTAGATGATGTTATGCTAAAGCAAGTGTTGTTGTTGTTGTTGTTGTTGTTGTTAATTACATTCATATACCACCCTTCATCTGAGGATCACAGGGTGGTTTACAGTATAAAAGCACAAAAATACATAACAAAACCCTACACTTTCCAGTGCATTTTCCCACTACAGTGGTACCTTGGGTTACATACTCTTCAGGTTACATATGCTTCAGGTTACAGACTCCGCTAACCCAGAAATAGTACCTCGGGTTAAGAACTTTGCTTCAGGATGAGAACAGAAATCGTGCTCCGGTGCAGCAGGAGGCCCCATTAGCTAAAGTGGTGCTTCAGGTTAAGAACAGTTTCAGGTTAAGAACGGACCTCCAGAACGAATTAAGTACCCGAGGTACCACTGTACTTGTTGCAGATTAATAAATAAATATATCCAATCTTTTGGGGAAGCAAGTTTGTTGCACAAGACCTCCCAAGCCACTTACAACCACACAACATGAGATTGAACCCCATCCCAAAGAGTCTAAGGGCTGGAAGTGCTCTTAGACTCTTTGTGGGGGGGACACACCATGATTTGATTCTAAAGGTGCTTCCACACTTGGCATTTAGTGTGAAATTGCCATGCTTTGCTCAGTTGCTTTTTGTAGGGCATCTTCATGGCACCATCATCCAATCATTGCCATGCTATATTTTTCATGTGGTTCTTCTGTCTTTTGTCAGACCATGAAGCAGTCCCTTCCAGACAGGTGTTTATTGTGAGACTGGTGATTCTCATGCACGCAGGGTTTCAGTAACGTTCACACATCATTGGCATCAACATGCCAGCTTATATTCCCCCCCCCCCATCATATAATGCTGATTTTCCCTTTCCAGCTGCAATCTCTTCATGAAAAACCCTTACATTTTCACATTCACACTAAACTATGATTTGGCTTAGCATTACATTATAGCTGTTATGTAGGTAGCCCTCATCTGTACAGCTGAATGTGAAGGCTCTCCACACAATCAAGGACCCTATCATTTATGAATGAACATCTTATTCTCTCTGGATCACTCAACTGTTGTCTCTGAATATGTATTTAATGAAATAGATAATACTGGTAATTAATAAAATAATGCCACCAAAAAGATTTATTTTTTAATTTTGCAATGAAAAAATAAGCGGTTTTTGTAAACTACTCTGGGATTGTTTACAATCAAGTAGTGTATAATTTTTTAATAAGATAAATAAAATAAGAAGAAAGTAAATGGGGGGAAAAGATACTTACAGCAGGGCCAGGAAGACCCCTTTCTCCTTTTTCACAGTTACATATAGGAGGCTGGGGACACTTCAAATAGAAATAACCATACAAATTAATCATCAGTTCCCACCTAGGCAGAAAGCTCTACAGCTCTTATATTTTCCTATAATTTATTTATTTAACCACAAGTAGGAAAGATCTAATCTTGAAAGCATCCTATTGCTTTACAGTACTGAAAAGGATGCTGTTTTATGGTACAGTTTTCTAATCAATATTTTCACAGTTTCCCCACAACACAGTCAAAACTTACATTTCTCATTTCATTATTGAATCCATACTTCTTGTTCATGTTTCAGCTTTCTGGCTGGTGCTGAATTTTGTGTTCCCTATTGAAGTGATAAATTTACAAATATCTCCATTTCAGATTTTTCTAGTAGTCCTGGGTGAACTGGATGGAATCTCAAATGTCTGTGTGGTGTAGAAGTACTCTAACAACTGTGATTCAGTTCTTTTTCATATACAGCAGAGTTAAACTTTGGTCTTTGCTACCACAAGATGTTGTGACTGCCACCAACTTGGCTTTTTAAAAAAGGGATGAGAGAAACCCCTCTTTCAAGACTATCCATGTCTACTGGTCATGAGGACTGTATTATGTTAAGGATCAGAGGCAGCATGGTTCGGAAAGCCAATTTCTTGGCACCACAATCAGGACATTATAATTGTGATTGTGTCCAGCTTGTGCGTTTTTCATAGGCATCTGGTTATCCACTGTGAGAAGACAATAAAGGTAATAAATAAAGGTAAAGGGACCCCTGACCATTAGGTCCAATCGTGGCTGACTCTGGGGTTGCGGCACTCATCTTGCTTTATTGGCCGAGGGAGCCGGCGTACAGCTTCCAGGTCATGTGGCCAGCATGACTAAGCTGCTTCTGGTGAAGCAGAGCAGCGCACGGAAACGCCATTTACCTTCCCGTTGGAGCGGTACCTATTTATCTGCTTGCACCTTTGACGTGCTTTCAAACTGCTAGGTTGGCAGGAGCAGGGACCGAGCAACGGGAGCTCACTCCATCGCGGGGATTTGAACCGCAGACCTTCTGATCGGCAAGTCCTAAGCTCTGTGGTTTAACCCATAGCGCCACCCGCGTCCTGAGAAGACAATACTGGACCAAAAAAACTAAAATGGCCTCTGGCATGTTGGAGGAAGGCTCTTCTTAGTTTCTTATGTGATACCCTTGGGAGTTAGCATTAGGTTATAGATATATTCAGACTATTGCTGGAACCGGAAACTGCAAGATGCATCAAAGACCAAACAAATTTACATTTTCCTATTTCACTTTTTAGTGCTCATCATTTAGCAAGACTTATTCTTCTTTTTCTATTTGTTTTAGTTTACTGAAATGGTAATAATGAACATAGTTTTGGCAAGATAGTTTGTTGTTTCACCACCACTCTTAATTTAAAATGCTGTAGATGTAATCCATCGTCCCCAGTTCACAGTTAAGACTTACCCCTTCTTCTGCCAGTTCTTTCTGGGGAGACAAATAAGTGCAAACAGAATTAATTATTTTATAAGTAACAAGGCACACTGTGAGAAAAATGAAAAAAGAGACTTTGCTGGCTGGGAAGGTGCTGACATAGGGCCAGCATATGCCTATTTCTTGTACACAAACACAACAAATCATAGGAAGAAGCAGAGTAGTATTTCTGGTTGTTCAAGGCATAGATATGTGCTCCCTAGGGATTCAATTAAAACCCACAAATTAGGAATGCAGTGTTAAATATCACTGTATAAAAGCCTATCATCATGTAGGGAATGTGTCCCCAGAGTTCAAGCACTGGGGAGAAGGATGCTTACTCCAAATTGGAGCATCCTATGCTGCAAACCAATTAATTTTGATGGGATTCTTTTATTGTGAATATTGATTAGGAATGTTTACATGTAAATGTTTGAGTAACTGGTTTTGTACTTTGTAACCTACAGGAAGCCCGTAACTTACGCGCAGTTAACTTGTGCGCATTGAGTTTTACAGGCATGGCAGACAGATAGATAGATAGAGAGAGAGAAAGATCTGGGGGAAATGGCTTTGGCAATCCCACCCGCCATTGAACCCATTAAGTTTTGACTAGACACAATATTGGCTTTAGGCACTGTTATGTACTGAAGTTCTCACCCTGGGCCAGCAGGGGGATACTGTAGATAGTTATGCAAATGAAGGATCGAAAGTGACGTTCAGTGATTGGATAGTTTGTATGCAAATGAAGGATCGAAAGTGACATGCACGATCCTTGAAACGTTACCCTTATGTACGTTGTGGGCTTACCATACTTAGAAGCAATGATATTAAATATATAAAATGAATGACTGAATGAATGTCATGATAGAAATATTGCTTCTACCCCCTAAACTAGCCTGCTGCCCCCAGGAGGATGTTTTCTTATGGTCAGTGTCCAATCCAGTCACCTTCCGCATATGAAATGCAAAGGGGTACATACTCCCTTTTGTCACTTTCTTCAGGCAGCAAAATGTCTAGGGCCCAGTCCTAGTCAGCACCCATTAATATTGAATTGACAAACCTTAAAAGTTCAGAATTGATTATGTGGCCTTGTGAATAAAAGTGAAACCAAGTTGTGTAGCAACAACAAAAAACCTAGTAGTGTGTGTGTGTGTTTAATAAACTACCACAGCTGAGATAATGTTGAAGCTATGGCCTTCTTCGGTCATTCTCGTCCACATGGGAAGGAGGGGAGAGGAAAACCATGTTGTGTGAAGGTTGTGGCCTTCTGCTCATGTCAGTTTTTAGGTACAACTCATTTGTGAAAGGACTGAGACAGATGCTGTCACTCCCTGCTTGAGCTTGAGAAATGCTGCAGTTGAGGTGACACACACAGTTGAGGAATGGGAGCTGGAAGTGGTGGTTGGCATCCTTCAAGAGATAAAAGGGCAGCATCTAGGGGTCACAGCAGGGAGGAGGGGTATGGGAGAAACAGAGGAAAAACACAGAAGAGAGATTTACGAGTAGGTAGAAGGAAAAGAGACAAACTGCAAAAGAAATTTATGTTGTCTAGGTGAAGGCAATGAGGAGGGACTAGAGGAAGAAGAACAGGCAGAAGTGGACACTGTACAGGAGGTGTCAGGAGAAGAATTATGTAAGGGAAGGCAGGCAAGAAAACACTGCATATAAAGCAAAACACAGCAGAGTCCTGTGATGAAAGGCGGGTAACAGAACTCTTTGAGTACGTTCCCCACCAGGGGTCTCTTTGAGAACAAGGACTCCTGGGGCGAAGAGCAGGGATAGAGACGACACCATTATTATAATACTAGAAGTGCAGAGTACACTTATGTTCTGTTAAGTATAATATACGCTTTATATAGGCCCCACTGAAATCTTTGTCCCTACCATTTCTTTGAGAATTCTCTCCACAACTCCTTTCTCTTGCAGATTGAAGACAAACCTGGATGCCGGGACACTGGCCAGGAGCCGAAGCTTGGCGGCATTGGCCACCTCCTCGGCCACTCTGGTCATCCCCACTGTGAAGAACACGATGCCTTGGTGTTTAGCATCGGCAGTGGCTGAGAAAATATCTGGGTTTCTCGGGTGGTCCACTCCGTCCGTCAAGAGCACAGCTACTTTCACGCTACCGTGAGTCCCCTCGGTCATGTAGAGCTGCGTGAGGTTGGTGATGGCGTAAGTGGTGTAGGTGCCGTGGCCGATGTAGGTGATGGGGGCGATGCGGGATTTAAAGGCATCTGGGCCCTTCCAATCTCTGAAAGTTTGCTCAATGAGGACAGTGCTGCTGTACTGCAGCAAGGCCGTCCTCCAGCTGAGGGAACGTCCAGAGCTGAGCTGCAGCCCTTTCATCCTGTCCACTATCTCCAAGATAAACTTCTTCTGTTGTTCGTGATTGAAGTTCTTTGCACTCTCCGAACTGTCCAGAAGGAAAGCCATTTCCAGAATGCAGTCTTCATCTAGAAAGAACGCGTCACCAGGTAAATAATTTACATTACAGCCACATTACGGGAGCTATGGTTTGTTACAGTTCTCAAAAGCATCTACCCTCTCTATAGAGAACTGCGGCTCTGGGGCAGCAGGAGGGTGGGGTGGGGGAGAAGGGCCTCCTAACAACTCTCTCAGCATCCTTCACAAACCACAGCTCCCAGAATTCTTGGTGGGGGGAGGCATGACTGTTTAAAATGGTACTGTAGTAGACCGCACTGAGAGCCAGTTTGGTGTAGTGGTTAAGAGCGTTAGACTCGTAATCTGGTGAACCGGGTTCGCGTCTCCGCTCCTCCACATGCAGCTTCTGGGTGACCTTGGGCTAGTCACACTTCTCTGAAGTCCCTCAGCCCCACTCGCCTCACAGAGTGTTTGTTGTGGGGGAGAAAGGGAAAGGAGAATGTTAGCCGCTTTGAGACTCCTTAATGTAGTGATAAAGCGGGATATCAAATCCAAACTCTTCTTTATATATATGGTGTGAACGTGGCCTAGGTTAATCATTTGATAACTGTAGAGAATGTTACTCCCATTAGAGTTGGGCTGAAGTGACAAGAACAATTTCTCAGCCGTCCCACCCACCTTGAAATCGACATTTTGCCAATATTTCAGGGGTGAGGTGAAATACAATTTGGGGGAAAGGGAATGTGAGCAGCTGCCATTTTGTGTGTTTTTTACCCCTGCCCCATCCCAGTAAGTAGCAGCAACACCACTGTTGGGAAGTGGCACCAACCCCATCACACTGGCCACTCCTGCCTACCACTTCACCACAGTCCTTCCTCGCAGGTGTGTTCAGACTTTAATACATTTCAAAGCAATCCCATCCAGATAAACTTTGGGATCAGAACCGACCATTTCAAAGAATCTGTTAAAATTCAAAGTAGTCACCTTGGTCACTTGGACTGGGATACTTTTCTACTGCATTTGAGAGGAATGGTTTGGGCTTCTGTTTTCTGATTCCATTTCTTTTTTCTTCGTTGGTGTTTTGTGCCAAAAAGACTTGGTGGTCCAGCAGGAACAAAAGCCACCATAACCTAGAGGGCATGGTTTGCTTTGTTGGCCAAAAAGACACAAGAAATTGTGATTGCGAAAGCAAAAAGACACAAGAAATTGTGATTGCGAAAGCAAAACAAAGCACACAATACAAAAATGCAAAGCAAACAAAAGCTAGTTTTCTACTTGCAAAATGGAGATTGCCTTGTTACCACCTTAGTGAAAAGGTTTTATGATGATTTTTAATTGTTCTTTGATGGCTTTTTAAAATGTACTGTAATTTAATGTACACTGCTTACAAATGTCAATGATTAAACAGTACAGTGGTAACTCGGGTTACAAACACTTCGGGTTACAGACTCCGCTAACCCGGAAGTAGTACCTCGGGTTAAGAACTTTACCTCAGGATGAGAACAGAAATCATGTGCTGGCTGCATGGTGGCAGCAGGAGGCCCCATAGGTAAAGTGGTACCTCAGGTTAAGAACGCTTTCAGGTTAAGAACGGACCTCCGGAATGAATTAAGTTCGTAACCAGAGGTACCACTGTATATAAATACCTTAAATAAACAAATAAAAGCACATGATCCATTCATTTAGCATTTCCTAGGAAATGTCACTTGCAATGATACCACTGCATGCAGCAACAGGTTTTGCCATATTTACCATGTCTAAAAAAATATTATTTGGCAAATTTATATCTTCTCCTTCCTCCAAGGAGTTCAAGCAACTTATAGTATTTAAGTTATACAGTATTTCATTTCCACACACACCCCAACAGTCCGTAGACTGCAAACATGTGGACAGATTGTTCATTTTAAATTCTATAATACTACAGCATCTAGGTTAGAGGCACCGAATAGTCATAAGTAACAACAACAATAATCTAGAAAGTACTTTACAGTAGCTCTTCAAGGTAGGCTGATTGAGAATGACTTGCGCTAGACCACCTGGAATGCTTTCTGGCAGATCAAGGATTTGAATTCCTACCCCAATGAGTACAATTTTCTAGCCACTATGCCATACTGGGTTATTTCCATAGGTTTTATCCCACTCTGCTGCCAAAAGACGGCAAGCAGTCAAAAGGTCCAGGGTGGAGCTGAAGGACAGGTAGGCAGAGCTGCACAGCAATCTTTGCTTGCCTTCCATAGGTTGAGGTGGTGGCACAGCTTGAAACTTGAACAACGACAACAAAGAATGTGGCAGATTGTGCATCTACACCCGCAAATTAATTTTTACCCATATGTTTCTATTTAAGAGGGATGCATTACATATAGATCAGAATGTCTCATTCAAGAGGAATCTGTTGCATATAAACAGCTGCCCCAAGGCCTGTTTGATGCCAAAATCAATGTCAAGTACCTGATTCTATAATAACTCGCATGCTGCAACAATTTCAATTTCACCCCTGGGAGCTGTTTCCAAACATGAAATTGGGATTTAAAAAGGAATAATATTCACACCAGAGATATAAACAAGCCCCATGCCTCTGTCCTTCAGTTAGTTTTACAGTTTCCTCTGCTGTCACTTTTATGGCTTGCTGGTGGCAAAAATTGCCTTGATAAGAGTTTGTTGGGGAGTTTCAGCCCTCCTTGCAGAGATTTCACTGCCCTATATTCTACACACATAGTCCCAGCATAAACACAGACAAAGTGCCAGTCACATGGATTTTTTTTTTTGGCGGCGATAAAGATCTCCCGACACATAAATCTGCTTCATATATCTTTTGTGTATTGGTTTCAAACCGTCTGAGGAATGAGCAGTAAAAAGCCTACAGCAATCCAACTCCCTGCTAAAAGGCTGGTGCCTATAAAAGATATCTTAATTCTTGCACAGTTTGCTCTTGCACAACACTGCAGTCGTCTGGGGGCGGACAGGCAAGAGAGGATTCTTACCTCTGTCTTGTTGGATGCACCAAGTTCTGTGGTGACGAGTGCTGTATCTGGGAGAAGAGACTTCTGCCTGAGGTTGCTGCCTAGGCTATTACCGGCTCAGAGCCTTCACTCTTGAAGTGAATTGCAGAGGGAGTAGGAGGGGGGAGCAGGAGGAGAAGAAAGTTTGACAAAGGAAAGGGACCACTCCTCCAATCATCTAGTTCCACCGAAAGCTACAGCCACACTGACTCAAATTCCATCCAGGACACATTTATTCACACTTGTTTTACTCATCCCCAGGCTAAATAAATCCACGTGTGGTAGTATGGCGAAATTTATATCCCACCTACGTACTCACGCACCTGGACTCAACAAAGTTGTTTAACTCATTGGGGGCAAATGATTTTCATTTTTTCTTTCAGCTGCGGAGAAGAAACTGTTTCTCTGTGTGTGGTGCAGTGGAAACCTCATTTATACAAATGGAATTGTCAAACATGCCTGCACCTAGGTCTCATTATTCTGATAAATATTTGTTCCATAGTTCAGGTTAATATGAGAGGCATCATAGGTCAATTTTCATGAGATCTGGAAACTGGACTTGAGTCTCGGGGGCAACACCAATTAATGTGGTCTCATGTGTCATCTACAGAACTCATATTTTCCTTAATTGTTTTGTCAAAGTAGCTTACTTGCTTAAAATACACACACACACATACAAACACTCACTCACTTATGGGCCCTGATGGGTAAACCCAGAATTGCTTCATCTACCTAACAGTACAGCAAATATTTTAAAAATCTTAACATGCACCTGTATCAGGGCTAAAATAAATGTGATGTTATTCACATCTTTAGTCCATGTTTATTATCCCCCAATAATTAGCCAGTGTATCACCCCATTTCCCTTGAAATGTTGTGAGAGGAGTTTCCTGCTTGCACTTCCCCCAGATAGCAAAATTACTGCAGAAATCACAGTTCAGTAGTCTATCTGGATCTGGGTTCAAGCCTAGGACAGCCTTACAAAAAAGAAAAGAAAAATGGCACGACTGAATCCTTAAAGTTTTCAAAAGAAGTGCGCTTCTTAAAAAATGAGAGATAGAGAAATAAGTTCTGTTGCTGGCTGAAGAGGGACCAGACACAACAAAGCAGCGACGCTTTCCCCAAAAAGAAACATGTTAAACTCGGATACGGATCTGTAAGAAGCAAGAAATCCCCCTACCCAAATTATCATTTGTTACTCATGCCTTTGTACGTGTGTGTGTGCATATTTATTTAGCAGCAACTTCTTAGCTGCATGGTGTTCTTATGATGAAGCAGTTCTGTTTTGCTTCGGGACAAAATTTTATTTTGCCCACCTGCTTTCTTGCCTGGGTGGCTTAGCAGATTTCTCGCAAGTTTTATGGCCAAGTGCACATGACACATGACAACATTCTCACTAGAATTCCTGGTATGTAACATGTTGCATGCTACATTGGGCGCTTACAGACTTGTAGCTGCCTGAAATGATAATATATAACCCGCAACTTGAAATATACTTTTAAGTGCTGAAGTAAGGGGAATGCATGTGTAATTTTAAGATTTTCTGTAGTTACACAGAAAATTAAGTTGATATTTTTTATTTGACCTAACGACTTCTTTTTACTTGTATCATTAATAATAAAAATAGTAATAACAATAATTTTAAGTAGAGATTTTTATCCCAGTCTGCCTCTGTATTGAATTAAAAATTGTTTTTATATGAATTTGTTTACATCGTTCTCTATCTGAGATCATCCTATACATATATTTTGTTCATGTTTTTATTCAAAAATCGCCTTGGGATTTTCCTAGGAAGCAAATTAATGGAAATAAAATTGATGATGATGATGATGATGACAAACACAACACAATAGGGAAAAATCAGAAAGAAAGTCAGTTAGTTCCACACTGTGTACTCAACTTTTATTGGTGTTTGGTATCCATTTATTTATGTATTTATTTCATTCCATCCTCTTCAATGTAAAGATTCGCAGAGCAGCTCATAATATAATGCTAAAACAAAAAAACAAAGAATTAAACAACCCAAAACAGAAAGTTTGACAAAACATAACA